CGCTATGTGATGTTCACAGATTGGCCACTCCAACATTGAATCTCATCTCACTGTTGATCTGGTAGTACATAGAAAAATGGACAAGGGCTGATCCAGATCACTGGGTCATCCTCCTTTTTTTCTTCTTTTAACATTTCTTGGGGACGGCCTGGGAAAAGTCCAGCCCAAACATAATCTCCCGTCTGCAGCCTTGTTCACTAACCTGACTTCCCGTCTACGCCGCATAGTACAAAAGCAAATACTAAACACTAATAAAATATGTTAATAACATCTTGCCGTTCATACGGTGTAAAAAACCAGGTTGTTTGTCGGATGATGTTTTGAACTCGGTGAACGTAAATAACCTCACCGACTTAGACCAGCCTAGACCTCGCTCACCAGAACAACTCACTCACAGCATCCATATTACATTACATTACACTTCCACTCTCACCACAAACGAGGCCTGCTTCATTACCCTTACCCTACTGCTACTCCCCAACTCAGATCCCCTGCTCGCCTCTGCCCTGTCTGTCTTGCCTTGGTCTTGTTCCAGGTCCCTTGCTGTCGATCCATTCCTGAGCACCCCATGCTATTTTCTACTGCCTTGGCTTTGACTCAGATGCCTTGCCTTGCCTTACCTTACCCTGCCCTAGCAGGCCACTGTATTGTACTGCCTATTCTTTGCTGCCAGATCAACAGCCCAACATCATTCACCAACAGCGTTTGGATCTCACCGGCTCCCCGCATAAAACAACAACACCATGACTGAGAGCCGACGTTGCACAGCAGGGGCTCTCTTCTCATAGCCTACGGGCGTGCATGAGCGTGTTCGCTTAGGGAGCCAGGGGGGAACATATCCTCAGTGTTGCGATGCTCACGCTCTCATGCTGCGGGCGGCGGTGACAATATTGCATTGTTACAGTCCCAAGACGAAAACGAGTTCTCCTCCTCCTCAGTTCACCTGCTTGCATGGCTGAGTGATTCGTCACTTCTCGCTTCAATCATGCAGTCTCGCGTGCAAAGAGAAAAGAGTCGCCAGAATACGTGACATCCTGGTCGTGAAGCCCATTAATCCTAGGGCTCAGACACGGCACAGTCTCGCAGCCTCCTTACATCCTTGACAAGTGAGTGAGCAGCCCGGGCTTCGCGGGATGTATGTATGTATGCATGCATGTATCCGTACATATCTCCATCTGCAACTATATACATACACGGAAAATTGGTGGCTTTGTCAGAACTCATATGAGCGCCCTCAAAGTTCGCTTCCCGTCTTATTCTGCTGTTGTCAACATGGTTCTCCTGGGAATCCTTGGCTCAGTAAGACCAGCCTGTTCCGTTTATGACCCTGAGACTTACATGCTTCTTGTTGTGATTGGCAGGTCAGGCATAGGTATAGTAGTATTCACCACCCTCTCCTATATGGTTCCTTGGTGACAGATCACTAATACAGACCAGTCAGTGCTTAATGAAATTGGACGGGAATAAAAAGTTTCATTTCTTTGATGTGCTGAAACATGGTCCCTCACATATCAAGCTTAAAACACCCTATGTTCAACCTCTTGGGTCAAGACCTAATCAACTCGTAAGTCGTCCTCTCAGGAGACGACACCGAAACCCGAGCACGGAAATAAAAGCCGCCTTATTCCATGTTACACAAGGATTTGGATACGACTTCGCAGTGAAGTATACGTATTTACAAGGATCGTTTACTATTTTCAGCCCTTAAAGGATCTTCCCCCAAACGGATCTCACTTCTCGGTATGCATCCAACCGAATCGAGAAACCGGGCCAAGGGATATTCGAGCCCCGTGCCTTCTAATCTGACGTATCTCAAAGTCTCACTTATCGGTGAGGATGGTTCTTGTCTCGCGGTTTCGACTGCAAGGTTGTAGAATAGCAGGGTTGAAACGGGAATGTCAAAGGAACAAATGTTGATATTCCTACGGATGCCAAACTAACACGGCACGTTCGCTTGGGTACACCATCCGGACGTGTTATCTCGAAACATATCTGGCAACGTGCTACCTACTGAGTCATATTATTCCCGGGATGCGTTTCTTTCTGAGGCGAAACTTCAAGGGTCTGCATGGCTCGGTTGAGCGTAAGCAGGCTGCCTAGATATCTAGGGATGGAATCACAGTAGCGTTATATGCTGACCGCAAGTGATAGTGGTGAGTTGATGTTCATGCCATCTCGCATGTTTACATACCCGATAATTCCGGAGACAGGATTCGTTGTCATGTGCGGTAAGCACAGGTGCAAGTTCTTGTCAGCCCCCAACTTGATTGCCAATATTGGTTATGGATTCAGCTCCCATCTCATATGAGAGGATCCGAGTTGGTTGCCTGTTGTGAGAGTACAACTCCCCTTTAGGTGATGTGACCGTTCGAGCGTCCCGATACCGCGGTTCGGGAAATGCAAGAGGGAGGCAAAGTTGTACTCGAATTGTATATTGATCATGGAGATCTCTTGTTGGTGTTGTCACGGGCCGATTACAGCCAGCCAAGTACCGTATAAGTCTGTAAGGTTATCATAGTTTAACTTGACAACCACATGTTGCCTCTAACAAAGAGCGTGTGGCTTGATTGTGATACGCCTCATGGTAATAGCCGTTACTGAAACATGAGCAGTTGATTGGTATAGATAATAAGCGCGATACAGGCAAACGGTGAGTGATGCGAGGTGATGATGCTGGGGTGACGGGATCTTCAAAGTCAATCGCAAGCTACGGCCAACTCAATAGCCCTTTTTCCTCATTCTCAGTCTTATCCTCACACTTGTAGTCTCGTCTCGTCTGGCAATATCGAGCTGACACTAATCGACACCAACAAGTCATTAAGAACCCCTGCCTGTGTAACCCGAAGCTCTGTGCAGCCATGAACTAACTAACCCATGCAAGGCGCCCATGCATTTTTGAGGCTGAAGGGTTGGCATGTGAGCAGCCTGGTTCGACTATTGATGCAAGTCGTTAGTATCGTGCTGTATTGCGAGGCAGGCCTTTGTTGTCGAGTCTGTCCAAGTACCTCTCGAGTCTCACAACTTACAGGCTCTGAGTCGCGCATGACAGTTCACGCCATGAGTTGACAAAAGTGTCACGGAGCATTTCAAGCGAGAGTGACGAGTAATGGACTAATTCTGATGTGATGCTACTCAATATTTCCCAGGTTTAATGGTGGTACCGTGGTATCATGAATTGGATGGCAGTGTTATCTTGCTCATGATCAGTTCGCCGATACTTACTACAAATGGCCAGGACTGATATCTGAGAGGTTATGGCTACCATTACCACTTTGCTCAATAACAGAGGACAGACACTCGATTTATTGATGGATTGTTATTCAAAGCAATGTCAATGTACTAAGGTTTTTTTTATAGAAGGTTTTTGTTATGATCAAGCTATAAGTGATTGTTATATAGAGCACTGTAGAAATAGAGCCTGAGGAGTGTATATTCACACAGTGCACTAGAAACTCAGGACCCAGGCATCCGTCATTAGTTGGGCACCATCCTCCGACTCTGACTCCGAGGTTACGACATCGCAACTTTTCCTCTCTTTCCAACCAACGAAACTCAACCCCAAACAAACCCCAGGAGAGCCACATTTCTTCAGCTCTCCCTAGCAACGACAGCCGAGGATCCCGTTCCATTTCGCACGCCTATTCTCCGATTTGCTACTCGTACCACGTTGACGTCTTCCCCACCACTCACACGCATCACCCACTTTCCGAGCTTTCGCAATGGCTGGCAAGAAGGGTGACAACAGCAAGAAGGTAGCGGGCAACGCTCGCAAGGCCGAGGCCGCCGCCCAGAAGCAGGCCGCAAACGACGCCCGTCAAGAAGCTGCCGAGGAGGAGAAGTGGAACAAGGGCGCCAAGAACAACTCCAAGAAGTGAGTGCTGATGTCGCTTGAGGGCGCAGCTCTGAGTTGCTGACAGCGCATATAGGGAAGCTCAAGCAGCCAAGGCTGCTGAGGCTGAGAAGAAGAAGGCCGAGAAAGCTGCTCTGCAGGCTGAAGACGACGCCAACACCCCCGGAAAGGCCCCCAAGAAGTCCAAGGCTCCAGTTAAGAAGTCGCGCGGTCTTGATCTTGCGCAGCTCGATGGTGACGATAAGCCTTCTGCTATCAGCGCATCCGGCATCGACAACGCTCTCGACGCTCTGGCTCTGACAGGCGGCAAGGACGACAAGGTCGACCGACATCCCGAACGCCGATACCCCGCCGCATATGCCAAGTACGAAGAGCGACGACTGGAAGAGATGAAGAAGGACGGCAGCGGTGTCGGTTTGCGCCTGGATCAGAGGAAGACCAGAATCAGGAAGGAGTTCGAGAAGCACCCCGACAACCCTTTCAACCAGGTCACGGCTTCGTATAACGCTACGAGGGACGACGTGGCCACGATCAGGGCACAGGAGAAGGCCAAGATCGAGCAGCGCCTCGGACACTAATCTGGACTTTGTTTCTTTTATTGGCATTGCGGGATACCATCATGAGAAGAAGACATACATGCATGGTTGAGGGTTCAAAAGTTTCATGACGGAGTACTTGCTTGGGAATAGACCATGGCTTGCATCTTACGAAGATCAAGGTGCTGCTACGAATTACGATTATGAGTCTATAGGAAGGTACTCAGAAAAAAGGATTTGAATAGACAAATGCTTCTCATTCAATTTTTCCGCCGTTGTGATATCACAATTACCTTACCCCACTGGCATGAGACGACCCCGCGGTTAGCCCATGGCAGAATCTGCACAGCTGTAGGGTAGTGGAAGCGGTATCATGACCTGATCTAAAGCTGTCATGATACGTGTTACAGCGTGCCTATATTTCCTAAAGATCCCATAAATACCGGGGATTAGATCTCCGTGAGCCAGTGTTCTTCGCAATAATAATGATGATGCTATCTTGATTTACACCTGTATTTGGTTCACGACTTGGAGCGCTTGAATACACCCCACCATGATGTTAGCTGTAAGCCTTCACCGCCTGCCAGATAGCCTCCAAGAGCTCTCAAGCTTGGAGATCTAACAACGACAAACAAATGCGACACGATCTCCAAACCAATTCAATTCCCTACACCTAGACTCCTGATATAATACAACTCCACGATACACAGCATCTCGATACGCGATTGCGTCTGTGACACCAATGCCGCCCTTCAATAATATGAGCGCATTGCCATCGCTGCGCAAACAACAGCTCCTTTCAGAATTGTTTGTTCTCTACCAAGATACACCATAAAGTAATGTGTTAACATGCAAACATAGCTCTGGACTCAAGCAAGCATGCCCTGAGGGCATATTTGTTAGTCTCACCCCAGGCGATGCCACGCTCTGGTCTGGTGTTCTCTTCGTTCGCAAAGGTAATAAACACTCGCGTACTTCCTCGACTCCAGGCCTTTATCTATGATGCTGATCTTGTGATTCTTATAGGCCCCTATTGCCCTGCTATACTCAGATTCCAAATATCATTCCCCGACTCGTATCCCCAACTCCCACCTCTCGTCGTCTTCTCAACAGACATGTTCCATCCTCTCATCACACCCTTAACAACATACATGTACACAACCGACATTCAAGAAAGCGGCACAGTGAGTGCGTCGGATCAAGAACGGCTACCACCAGGAGGCTTCAGCTTGCGCCATGGATTCCCGGACTGGTTTGGACGAGGACGACGGAGTGTGGTGGAAGCGAAACAAGCGCCTGTAGCGAGTCCTGGTTCGACTAGTAACTCGACAACATCAGCAGCTCCATCATCGGGAACGCCTTCGTATATACGCACCGGGAAAAAGAGTGTTTCGGCTTATGAAGTTCTACACTACATCCGCAGTGCCTTTGATACAGAAGAAGTTCTCGACTCGGTACCCCTCGCGGCGGCAGGAAACCCAGGAGCTTGGAACGCATGGAGAACGTACCGCAAAGCAACGGGGAAGCTGGTGGAAGATACAACTGCGGAGGAAGAGCAGAAGGAACAAGAGCAAAGCGAGCACAGGCCAGAGAGCGTAAAATCGGGGTCATCTACGGCTACACCAAGACGACCTGGAGAATGGAATTGGGATGGAGTCTGGGAGGATAGAGTCAAGAAGAACGTTTCTGCAAGTTTGTCAGAGCCTGTCCTCTATGGAGACACCAAGAATTCAGATGACCTGGTAAGTCTTCTGCCGCTATTATGGCCACCTCCCCCAGGAGCTCTACTAATTCTGTACCTATAGATCAAGTTTCTTGCAATGGAGGACACTGATATCGATTCGGTGAAGGAGAACCTACGCCGGACACTTGGGCAAGCTACATAAACTTCAACTTGACTTGCCTTAGGGTCCCTATCTGTTTTAGTCTCCGGTGTTTTCGACTTCTTTAGATGCGGCCTTGCAGTTGTGCCTTAGGTAGCTGCTGCTCAAGGGCATTGTTTTCGACATCAGGGCAGTAACTCTGCACCTCTTGTCTTATAGCATAGCATGATCTTCCGTTTTACTATGTTCGCTCTAATAGCAAGAGCAACTCTGATACCCCTAAGAACCCTCCCGAACTTGCTTTATGCTTCGTTCGTCTCCAGTAGTTGAATCTCAACCAAGAATGTTCATCACAACAACAACGTCTTCCTCCTCATTACATACATAAAGCATGCCAGTGTTGCATCTCAAAACTTTGATCATTCTCAACATTCTTGCAATCTTACATTACTTACCGCATCGTAAAAGTTCCTTGACCAGAACGAAACAGTCACTATCGTTGACCATAAACTATAGGAGACTTGCAAAGGCCCAAATAAAAGGCTCACCGATTCCATTTCACTACTTAAAAGAACCAGAGATACACATTATCGTGAAGGACCAGTCTCATCCGCCATTACAATATATATCACGATGTCGAACCCAAGTTACGAAGGTCTGCCCTTCTGGGGCACTTGCCCCTCTGATCCCAGCTTTGTCTACGAAAAGCCGAGTCCTTTGAGAATTGTGAAGGCTAACGAGAGCATGTATAAGCGACATACGGCAAATCAATCTAACCAAGGTAGCTCTAAATACAGGCGGTCAATTCAAGGGGACGGGTCTCTTACAGTCGCCAAGAGGCGCAAGATCAACCCAGGACAAGCAGATGCAGACAAAGAAAACTCAAGATGGCCACATGATGACCCGGGTATGGGAGAACAAGGCAGTCGAACCTTGCGCGAAGCCAAATGCTAGGTGCAGAGTGATGGTAGTCCACCCCTACGCTTGGGGGTCACGCCCTCACCCCAGCTATCAGTCAGGAAGACGAGACAGACGCGCCCACAGCCCGGGGGTCAATTGGGACAAGGATACCCATTTTCCACCTCGACATCAAGTGAATTGCCTGGGGCGTATGATCTGCGGCGTTCAGTCAAGGTCCGCCCACCTCTGACCAATATGTATGACAGGGCTTTTATGTCTAATGCAGAGTTACCGCTGGCGCCTCATGCAACAAGCCGAGAAGAGGAGTCACCACTATTCAGAAGAAGTCCACTTGTGGCACTGACCGAGCCCTCCAAGACACTGCCTTGGCCAAGGTTGGAACGTTGGTCAACACCCCAGATTACCATCACACCCGAGGCCACCGCCATCGAAGAAGGTTGCCATAGATTTTGGGTGGCTATCGAGGTCTCAGTCAGACGTTGGTCTGAAAGTGCGATGAAATGTCAACCAGGGGCCTGTCAGGAGCGGCCAGATCTGTTCACGGATCTTGCTGGCTTGACGCAACGTGACCAAGAGAGTACACATGAAAGCCCCTTTCTTGAACAAACAGGTACTGACGGCATAAATAGCAGGGGATATTTACGATGATGGTGGTCTCAACGATTTGGACGTCCAAATTCTGCCAACGGAAGAATCCTCAGTTATTCGCATTCTTCAGGAACAGCCCTTTCCCATGTAAGTACACAAACGAACGATATTGCCATACTGGTCAAGGCGCACGCTGATTCACGGGAATAGTCACCGCTTGGACCCCGGATCAAGCATCTTTCTTCTAGCTCAAGTGCAGGTCCGTGTCTCAAAGGGTATGCGGCGATGCAGACAGAAGTGTTCACGGTTAGAATCGGACGACCTGATAGAAGCGCTTAAGGAGGAGTTGGGTGATTCTACAGTGAGCTACATGACCGTGCGGCTGTCATATCGAAATTCGGCGTTTCCCATGTGTCAAGATATGGGAATTGTGGAGGACGACATGTTCAGCATGCACAGCAAGATTGAGACGGTAGCCACAGCCTCCGTGAAACTCCACAATGCCATGTCGCTTTGGTCTCCTCCTCCGGTTTCAAGATCCAACCCACTATTGCCACTGGTAGAGAGACACTGGGGGGCCACGAACGCCAGGAAGGTAATGGCACAAGTTGCTGCAGCAAAATACGGCTCCAAGGATTCAGAGCAAACGTACTGTTTGCAACAGAAGCATTCAGAAAAAACTGATTATAGCACACATGTCAAGCCCGCTTGGAATCATAGCCCTACGCCTCGGATTCCTCTCAGAAAGGCAAGCCTTCAACGAGGCTGTACCGAGGGCGATCTCGATGATAGAGAAATGCACTCTCAATCTCATCAGAGATTGAGACAAGGGTCATCCAGATGTGGTAGCTATGCATCAAGCTACTTGTCGAGGCAGAGTCGTGAAGGTCTGCCAGGGCCGAAAACCATTAGGGGCGCGGGGGTGAACAATTCGGCCCATACACGACCGAAAGAAGAACACACCCGAGATGGAAGTGATATTCCTGCTACTCGAAACCGAAGAACCTTTTCTGGCAAATCTGACAGCAGCACGTTGTGGAAGAGGCGGTCACTCGGCGCTGACACCCTCAGGGGCTTATTCCCTTTGATGGCGGGTTTGTCCATAACGACAAGGGAGCGGGAAGTGGAGGAGCCCCGAGCAGCATCGCCAACGCGTAGCAGAGGCAAAAAGGATGCAAGCAGATGGGGATGGGCGGCATGGTTCTAGACTGACCCAGGTAGTAGACGAAATGGAGAAACTGTACACGTAGTGAGATTCGAATGCTTTTTGTTGGATTGTCTACGAAGAAAGCGGTATTGCTACCTTGTCTAAAGTTCGTCTTTCCAGGGGATAGAAATCTGAGCACCCTTTCGCGCAACAGTCAAGGCAGCTGCTCGATTGGCTGCCGCAACAGCTGCTTCAATATTAAATTGGCCATCTTTGGCGGCTACAACGGCCAGGGCGTAAGAACCAACAAAGGTATCACCCGCGGCTGTGGTGTCCACTACGGTCGTCTTAGTCGCCGGAAGCAATGCGCTCTGGCCTTGTTTATTGACGAAATAGACACCACGGCCTCCAAGGGTGATGATGACATTGTGGACTCCGCGATCAATGAAGACACGGCCAATGCGGTCCAAGCCTTGAAGGTCATCAAGCTCAGACTCAGCACAATCTGCAAGAATGGCGGCCTCGGTCTCATTAACAACGAGATGGGCTAGCCCATCGTAGGCATCCATAGGCAAGGGCTGAGCCGGTGCTGGGTTGAGAAGGACAGGAACACCATCCTTTTTGGCAGCTTTCAAAGCTTGCATGACAGTATCGAAAGGAATTTCGAGCTGCATGATCAGAAGGTCAGGACGGGGGCCAGGGAGGGTCTCAAACTCAGCAGGCTGAAGAGAGTGATTGGCTTCAGGAGACAAGATAATACGGTTCTGGCCAGAGGGCTCATCCACGATGATGATAGCTAAGCCAGACTTCTGGTCTTGGCGGATGGCTACAGAATCGACAGCAACGCCAAAGGAGCGAAGGCTGTCAAGCAGGAGGGTGCCATAAGGATCGGCGCCAACAGCACCCACCATAGAGACGACAGCCGAAGGATTGGACAGGTCCGAGTCTCGAGAGAGCTTGCCACAAGCAACAGCTTGATTAGCGCCCTTACCGCCTGGCGAAGTGTTGAAATGGTTTGAGGTGAGGGTTTCACCAGGAAGGGGATGATGTGGGACATAGGAAACGAGATCCATGTTGAGAGAGCCCAGGATGGTGATGTGTGGAGTGCTAGCGTGAGAAGCCATCGTAGAGGTGGGTTGGAAGAGATTTGCTGAACGGGTTATTGCGGCTGAATCCAGGCTGGTGTTCCTTTCGCAATATGATGCTGTCTGTGTGTAGTTGAGGATGTAGTATCCGTACTCCGTAGTTGAATTGTCACGTCAGGGGTGAGTATCAACAGCCGAAAGCCGATGGCCCGCGTGTCTGTAGCGTCAGAGAGAGGCCGAGCGCAAAAGCAATGATTAAAACAAGTCTGTTTATTTGCTTTTCTCGACGTTTGCGCACAAGGATTCGTTGGTAATGCCGCAAACTCTAGATGGCTTGTTCACAATATTGACACGTTTAGTTTGCGGTGAAGAAGTTCCCAACTTGAGTTGCTATTGTCGAGACCCGAGTCATGTGGAAAAGATGGATCCCGCGTGCCCGAGGAGGGTTAGAGAGCTGGGGGCATGTGCAAGTGGAAGGTGAAAGTCATCAAGTTTGGTGTGGGGTTGTTTTGTCCTGCCTTCCTTGTCCCTGATAAAGCCTTCGTTTATAGATGGGGCAGCTACGATGGAATGTGTTTTAAATTGAGAAGGAACTGTTTCTTCCAAACACACCCCCAGGACCGTATTCTGTTTCGACCATCATCAGCAAAGACAATTCCGCATCTCGTGGAGCATCATGAGCTGCACATGTACCCTTACTGAGTGTCCAAAGGCACTATTGAACCTAGGCCTGATTCTCGGTACATATGCAACAGACCAGACCAAAGACAGTTATGACAAGACAAGTGCCGGCTCCTCACTTTAGCGTCGGTATTGAACCACATTGTCTCGCCCATCCTCTGTTTCTGAGCCGCCGATCCGTAGCTAAATCAGCACATGAATCAGTTCGACGACGACCTTGTACAGCTGCGGCAACTAAATCCTTAGCTTAGAAGCAAGTTAAGTGCTAGCTTAGCGGACCCTTCTCGAGTTTGTTTTTTTGTTTAGTAAACGAGACGGTGCGCTCTGTTTCCCAGGAGTTGGAGCTCATGGCGAACCTGCTTTGACTTTCGCGTAACGAGGTAACGCAGCCAGGATATGGGCCCGAAGGAACGGAACCGAGGTTTGTAGAGGGAACAAAAGTAGCCAATTGCATCATGGGAAGTGTCTTGCTGCATACGGAATGTGACAACAACCGAGACAACAAGGCAAACATTTGCATCATATGAGCTGGTATTGGAGGATCAAGCTGATATTCCTTAGGCTAAATGACTTATCCACAAACTGCATCATATTATCGGCTAAAACCTCTTCTGTATTGACATGACAGCCAAGTCCTTCTTTGGAAACTGGTGGGTAGTGTGAAGACCACAGCTCTAGTAATTCTTTATCTTATGCAACCAGGGTCAAAAGATGCACATGGGGAGGTGGTGACGGAAAAGAAGATCAGTTTGTATATCACCGGGAACCAGAAGCTTCTTGTTCTCTCCTTCAATGCCTATTCGACCGTTGCATTTCCATTGGTCTCAACAATGATACATCAGAAAGCAAACAACAGCGCCTGCTTTTGGAGGATGTCACACTTTCCAAAGCATTAGGTTCCTTGCTCACTTTGAGTACTGGGTAAGTACCTTGTAGTTACAAAGAATTCGGGTTTGTTTGCTTTCAATAAATTGAGAGACTTGGAGCAGTTCCCCATTCATCCCTGGTTCACTTACTAAGTTCTTAGTTACCCGCCTTAAGGTGCTAATCTTCAGCGACCTGATGGGTCAATGATGGGTGGAACCTGAGAGACGCAAGGAAGGAACGTTGGATGGAGGTTTTTCGATGTGGATGGTTCATAGTTGGTTGCTCTGTCCCTGTTGGGAATATGCCTGAGGTGATGTCGTGCGTGATTCAGTGAAGCAACTTGAGGTAATTGCCTGTTCTGTAGCTGAGCATCTGCTTCCTTCCCTGGCTTGTTCGCTACAATTATAACCTCAACTCTCCCAAGTAGTTCTCGTCTCTTTCACTTAAAGTGACTCAAACTTGATCTCACTTTCGCAAAGCTCGAGTCATGATAGAGCACTACCCATCTCAAGCCCTATCCGGGCTGATGCTTGCCATTGCCACTATTTTACTGCTTGCATGGGCCCGTTGGCGCTCTCGACCTACGCTGCCCCTACCACCTGGTCCGCCTTCTGAGTTTCTTCTGGGCCATTCTCGTGTAATACCCAAGGAGAATGCTGCAGCAGTATACGCGAAATGGTCGAAAGAATACAGTGAGTTTGACCTCTGTACATACAGACGAATATTTTACCTCTGACATTGCCTTCAACAGACTCAGATATCATACATGTCAGATCCCTGGGTCGGTCTACAGTCGTTCTCAATAGCGCAGATGTGGCTAGGGATATCTTGGACAAGAAAGGCGCCAATTTTTGTGACCGACCCAGATTTACGCTACTGGAAGTGTAAGCCAACCCTTTGCTTCTATCTAGAACAAAACGTGGTCCGAATGATTTGCTAATATGGGCGTTTGATAGCATGGGATGGGGAAAGACTCTGACGTTTCTTCCATTTGGAGAACGCTGGCAAATGCATAGAAAGCTACTCCAGACCTCGTTCAGCAACACAAATGTCCGCCAATGGCACAGTCTGCAGATAACAGAAGCCCGACGAACGATTCGAAATATACTCAAGAAGCCTAAAACTTGGGAGACGTCATTGCGCCGGCTGGCGGTTGCCATCGTTCTGCAAGTGAGCTACGGTACCCAAGTGCTCGAGGACGATGACCCCTACATCCAAATCGCCAACGATGCCATGTATGCCACTAGCAATGGTGGAGTTCCTGCCAATAGTATTGTTGATCTAGTTCCATTCGGTACAAGATATCCACATGATGGACCCGAAATCTCTAGAAGATTGTACTAATGAGCCAGTCTAGCTCGCTATCTCCCCGACTGCATTGTCCGCGACTGGTCCTTGCGATTCGCCCGACAATGGCGCTGGGCTATTAAGAAGCTTCACGACGTCCCATTCGCTGCTGCACAAGCTGAATATGTGAGTTGAAGGGTAGTGGGCAACTTGGGAAAACACCTCAAGAGTTATGCCGCGTCTTGCCATGTAACTGACTTCCTTCTCGCAGCACAGAGATGATCATCATAGAAACACATCTCTAGCACATCACCTCCTCCGTGAGTATAAGGACAAGGAGTTCCGTGGTCAAGAACAACAATGGTCCCTTGATGATATCAAAGGGGCGGCAGGGGCGGTTTTTATCGCAGGAGCAGATACGGTGAGTCTATCTCCATAATAGTTGATTTTTGAAAGCTAAGAACGTGGCTTCCAGACATGGGCTACATGTGTAATCTTTATTCTCAACATGGTTCTCCACCCGGAAATACAGGAGAAGGCACAGCAAGAGCTTGATGCGGTGATTGGGACTGATAGACTTCCCGACTTCTCGGACCGGCCCGCTTTGGTTTATATTGAACATATTGTTCAGGAGATTTATCGGTACGCGAGATGTTTAACCGATCACTAACCCGAAATTTAAACTGACAGGAATCTTCACAAAGCTGGTCGCCACTGGCTCCTCTAGGTGAGTTGTTCATGGTTGACAATGAAGAAACCCTGCAACGGCTACTAATGCTCGGCAGGGATCCCACACAAGTCGCTCCACGATGATATCTACAAGGGCATGCTCATTCCTAAAGGTATATCTGAGGCAAAAGTCTCGTTGCTGCTTGTGCAAATTGACTGACGATTTACAGGGTAAGACACTCTCTTACGATGCTGCTATCATAATGAGGTTACAAGGTGGGGAGGGTATCTGATAAGTACCAGGACTGTGGTCTATGCCAACGCTTATGCTATGGCTCATGATGAGCGGGTCTACAAAAACCCCCACGATTTCAACCCCGACAGATATGAAGCTGGGGAACCGTTTCCTGTTGGCAATTTTGGATTTGGGCGCCGGTACGTGACAGGCCAACCCCAACTGAGACTCGGGTCACGGCTTTTGAAATCTAGAACGAACTAATCACCACTAGGGTCTGTGTCGGTCGGTTTCTGGCCGACAATAGTGTCTGGATCATGGTAGCAACGATGTTGTCCGTACTTCGGTTTTGTAAGAAGATGTCTTCGGACGGGAAGCCCATTGAGCCCCGAGTCCGATTTACCAATGGAGGAACCTGGTATGTTGACCCCCCATGTCTTTAGCTATCCCCACTGCCCCTCGATACCTTTGTACCCTTGCCAAACTAGAAACATGCACATAAGTATTTGATAATGTGGTTGACACATGGCTGACGATGGTATTTGCTGCAAGTCACCCCGAGCACTTTGACTGTGTCATCAAACCGCGGAGTCTCGAGGCTGAGGCACTTGTCAAGAGCGATTAGGAATAGCGACCAGCTGAACAGCTTGGAGAGAATACTATAACATGCTGGATCAGGTATATCATATCAAGTAAGTCATGCTCAGTGTGTCTTGCGATGGCCGGTCAATCCTCACATGCAGTACGGAAACAGGGCAGGTACTCATGTGCTCAGTGATACCAGAAAACAAGTCCAGATATTACACTCTTTCACTGCAACATGACACAGGTAGATGCTGGGTTGTGTCTATTGATAGCCACCAACAAAGTCGCAAACTTTTGCCATTTTTGGAATTGCTCTTTACTTTCCCTTGCTCAGCACATTATAGTATGTGATAATGCTGACTCTCTTCCCATTGGATTAGCTGTACCCATGGCTTGCTTCACCCTTACCCATTCTCTGCAATGAAGATTCTTGAAGCAGGCCGCAGAGGTCACCTGGCTAACGCGATTTCCCCAAGACTGGTAGTCTATTTTAGCCGATCTACAGGACCCTGTTGCTCAAGAAGGATCCCAATCGGCTTTTGAGGGAATCTTGTAAGACCCTTGTCGAGGTGGGGCATCTCGGCAGAGTCGTTCGCTTGTGTTGTGTTGTGTTACCTCAGCCCGGCTCGTTGGTAGTCGAGTCAAAGCGCAGGATTATCGAGGGCAGTAATACGTCTCTCAGTCAGCTCTGCGGTCACGACTCGTTGTCGACTTAGTGCAGCAAGAGGCACTACTCATTGACGCCCCATTCCCACACTATTACAAAGGACCATGCCTGTTTATGGTAACAGCATGTTTAGTGGATGGAGATAACAAGCTAGCCAAGAAACAAGACAACAGCGATATGTGACATCTTTGCTTGGCACCTCAATAGAATCCTTGCAATGACGATCGGCATGCCTCCCTGAGGATTCACCCATCACTACGATGGAAAGGCAGGACTTCGGCCTAAATGGCGTGTTCTAGGACCAGCCCTTGTCATGAAATTTGGGTGAAGGATGCGAAAGCTGCATCTTCTTTCGCATTATGTTGCATCGAGGTAACAGGAATTAAGCAAACATTCTACATCTCCACTCTATCCCCGCTAGCTGCATAAACATACTGTATTATGCAGTACCGAGAAGCCGAAGTGGTTGCTGTCAAAAGCCCGCGGGCTCTTGACAGAGATGGAGTTGTCCTTGATCCGCATTCAAAAGACGCTGGCCCGCTCTGTATCCAATTATTGGCATTCCATACGAGTCTCAGGTATATAAAGAAAAAGAAAGACGATGGCCCCATATTGTAATGTTGTACCTATCAAGATTCTTGTGAGCGTTTGATGTTCATGTTTCATCACAGTCCTGCAATGCTTTAGCTTGGACCTTGGACACGGGCCGCCGCGCCGCACTTTCATCTGCATTAGAGCAGAATCATGATCGTCAAGGTTTCGGGCCATTTTGGTGATGGCCCCGTCCCTGTCCTTATGCAAGCAGAGAAATCTTCGTGGTTGACTTTGGTGAGCATGTGAGTGTCAAGCAGCACATGCCGCAGTCAGTCGTTGTCATGGGTCTATCTGGTTAGCCGCTCGAACCAACTGAGAAGCACACCGCACCTCAGCCCTAAGTACAGTGATGTATCAGTCAAGTTGGTTCGGTTCAGCTCCAGAAAACAACATGGCTGTTGTGTTGTTTAGAACAAGCACACTGCAGCCAACTCTTAGACACCAGCATATATCCCAGCAAGCCACACTTTATTGTGACACATCAGTTGGGAACAAAGTTGCAAAATCCGGTTCCGCATCCGATTGCACTCCGTGATGGTGTATTCTTGGCTTCCCAAGATCATTGGCTGATGACTGTGACCAGGGGAACTGCAAGGAAAGGATCACAGCGTCTAGAGACTATCATTGAGCCTATTGTGGAACGACTGTCGAATTGAGTAGACTGCAGGATGCAAACAGATTCGAGTGGCGCATGCAAGAGGCACATTGTTCTTCGTTATCTTAAGGTCGGGTTTGACATGAGATCATGATACTAGAGCAAGTTAAGCTTTACCAGAGACTTACATCCTTCTTTGCACGTCCAGCAAACCTTAGGCTTTGCACTACTGATTATAAGCATCGCAATGGCAGTGCTCAAGAATTTGGAAGCCAACCATGGGCTCCATTTATCCGAACACTCCAGAAACAATACTGAAAATGGAGAAAGTGCCAGTGTTTCGACTGCTGGGAACGCAAAGGCCGGTGTGTTTTCGAGGTGGTATAGGAGAGTGCTTGACGCTGGTGTCGAGGAGAATGGGGTTCGGCCAGTGCCCATAGAGCAAAGAACCCAAACGCAGCACAGCAACCTTTTCACTGTGTTCTTCACATGTCTGTTGTGTATTCTACCGTGAGTTGGTGGCATAACCCAACCTACCGATGATCGCATACGCTGATAAAATCTCAGGTTGCCAACTGGTGCTCTCGGCACGGCTGTATACGGATTAGGATTGCGAGATGTGTCGTTGATAATCATCTTTTTCAACATTGTAACATGCATCCCCCCCGCTGTTATCAGTATCGGGGGATGCAAGACTGGGATGAGACAAATGATACAGGCTCGATATTCCTTCGGGCGAGTTTCTCGAGTTCAAATATCATTGCAAGTAGATTGCTGACATTTCGATTTGTCAGGCTCTATCTTGGAATCATTCCCATCCTCCTCAACGCTGGAACGGTAACAGGGTTTACGCTCGTGGGATCGATCGTGAGCGGACAGGCCATCGCAGCTGTGAATGAGAAGGCCAACATAAGTGTCAACGTAGGCATCGGCATCGTTTGCACTCTCAGCTTTTGTCTCGCGTTCCTAGGATATCGAGCGGTCCACGTCTGGCAGCGGTGGCAGTGGTTACCGAACTTGCTTGCCATTGTCATTGCCGTCGGCTGTGGTGGGAAGCATCTGATGAACCAGGCTGACCATGACCCGGCATCTGTGAAAAGTGTCGTAGGATATGGAAGTCTAATGGCAGGATATTTCATGACATTTGGCGGGACTGTCTCCGATTTCACCGTCTATCACGACCCCGAATCATCCAAGTAAGGATTCCTTGATATTGTATTGTGAGAATCAAAGCTGACAAACCTCACCCAATTCGCAGGCTCAAGATCTTTACGTACGTGTATCTTGGCTTGATCACCCCATCGACGCCCCTGCTCATTCTTGGAGCTGCCATCGGTGGTGCTCTCCCCAATGTCGAATCATGGCAAACGGCTTGGGATAATTACGGAATCGGCGGCGTCATGGCTGAAATGCTCGCACCAGCAGGGGGTTTTGGCAAGTTCGTTCTTGTCGTTCTCGCCTTGAGTGTTGTTGGTAACATGGTGCTGTCCAATTATTCAGTCGCCTTGTGTTTGCAGATGCTTGTTCCTGCCTTTGCCAAGGTGCCACGCTTCTTGTTCATCGTCGCAACGCTGGCTATCATGATCCCAATGTCGATCTATGCGGCTGCTAAATGGGAGGAGTCCCTTGTTAACTTTCTGTCTGTGATTGGCTATTGGGCGGGATGCTTTGATGCCGTTGTCATCGAAGAACTCATAGTCTTTCGAAACATGGACTACCGTTCTTATGACCCCGCGATATGGAATCAAGTACGACGGCTTCCAACTGGACTCGCGGCCATCGGAGCATCTTTGGTCAGTATTGGGTTGGTGGTCCCGTCAATGGACACGCCGTGGTTCACTGGGCCCATTGGGGAGCGAATTGGTGACCTGGGCTTTGAATCAGCTTTCGTGGTCACTGGGGTTGTCTACTACCCGCTTCGGACCTTGGAAGTCAGGTTGATGGGTCATGTTTGAGGCATATGCACTTATAATCCTGCATGCTTGACAATTTTGAAGAAAGAGGAACAGAAATTTCTCCAAGACATTGCCGCCGTGATATCCATACCATACTCGGTGGCATTTTAGTCCAATGCGCCAGTGAATGACAGCAGAAATTATGATAGTACAGGATTACAGGGAGAGATGGGAGTTTGGGTTGAAGGACAAGGTAAGCAAGGAGGGTTTCCAAGAAACATGTTGAGAAGAGCAGAGGGATAACTGAAACTCAATCAGAGGCTTGTATATAAATATAGCCTAGCTTTAAGCACTAAGCGTGCAGCCTGCCACACAAGACAACGTCTTCACCAAAAGGATGCCATGAGACATTCGATAGCCGCGCAGCAGGAATTGGGACACCTGCTGGATCCTGAAGGCGATCTGGCGACACGACAACGCCTCCTTGACCAAGCCAAGTAGGTGCAATAGTAATAATAATGGAGTCAACTAGTTCGTGATATTGAGGATCAAGCAAGGAGTTGATAATTTGGCCGCCTCCCTCGACCATGACGCTGGAGAGGCCTGCATGATGCAAGGCTCTGAATACATCATGCCAGTCAAAGCGCATGCGTTCGTTGGGCCCTAGTGTAGTCGGAACATGGATATACTTTCCGCCATGCTGATCGAGTAGTGCAACGTTCTCAGCAGGCAAGTTCTGGCTAGACACACCAGTCAGGACAAAGGGAGCTAAACCATTACCGAGGCGAGAAACCTCTAGAACTTTGTCGGAGCTGCTAGGAGCCCATCGGAGATGAGGATCAATGACAATGGGCCGAGGCTGGCTTGTAGCACCAGTGATACGACAATTCAGGGCAGGCGAATCGGCCAAGAGAGTAGAAACGCCGATGAGAATAGCATCATGTCGTGAACGAAGGTAGTGAGTCATTGCTTTGGAGTCGGGCCCGGAGAGTCGAGTGCGGACGCCAGGTGCCAGAGAAAGCGATGAATCAAGCGAAGTTGCAAATGTGAGTGTCACAAACGGCCGTGACGTTCCAGACGCTGTTGTTGAAGGCGGAAGTCTGGACTCTAGCATAGCTGCTGAGGATGCGGGGAAGGTGAGCTCCGACATTTTGAGTTCTTTCCCGTAATGATAAGGTAGGATCTGATCAAGCAGGATACGAAGATGAAGAGATACCTAATACCTAAGCCAGAAGGTAAGGTATAGGTAGAGAGCTTTGATGCCAGGTACTTTTGCCCTAGTAGCGCCGTTCTGTAGGTTGTAGGAGCTTCCAATATGCCGCCGACAACTCCTACAGGAGACTGGGTGACGTGGCCAAGTAGATGGAGAGGATCTGATTTAATCGTTCTTTGAGCTCCAATCTTCTCAATTGATTTGGCGTGGAGAGGATACTTCGCGGTTGTCGCTGTCAGATTAAAGGATTAATTCGATAATACTTTGGTTGAGATGAAGTTGAAATTGACTTTCCTGATTGGAAGGAAGGATACAGGCAGCGGCTGGCTGAAACCGCTGGCGGGAATGTGACAGCAGCAGGCGCGGCCCACATGCCATTCATGGCCCTTGGCAATTGAATCACCCAATGAATATAGAGATTATTACGATAAACTTGAAGTCCAGTATGGAATTCTTAAGCTTCAATGGGATAGCGAACGATGTCTGCAATGAATTTTTATTTTATTTTATTTTATTTTTGATTTTCTTTCTAATGAAGCAATTTCCCGAGTCCGTAAAGAATGCTGATCATTTATCCTGCCTTGTTGCCACGCGCGAGTGCCGCTTCATCCATGGTATTCCAAAGTGAGGCAGTTCGTTTTCTGGCTATTTGGATCATTGGCGACTGGTAGGTCGATCTATCTGCTAAAGATGGTAACTCAAACAGATCTGAGGAGGCCTAGTTTTAGATTCAAACTTGCCATTGCTCGAAATAGCTCTTTGTGAACCACCTGGTACTGACAATTTCAGCAGCTTCATACTCAAAGCAATCGATATTTGCATTCCCGTATGCTTTTCAGCTGTGGCAGCACTATATTCAACGAGTAGAGAAGACACCTTCTTGCGAAAAGGGAGTGGCAAATGATCGGATCGTAAGCAGAAGCTCTGGAATCTGAAAACGCTTCCTTACAATTATCTTAAAGTTGAACTTTATTGAGTTCCAGCGACTGCAGTCGATACCGGTTGTTCTTTGATTGAACTGAACCCGTTTCAACTGATCATCGAATGCCTAGACATGGATGGATATAAGGTTGAATCGAAGTTGTCCAAAATTCTTCGTTTTCCACCCAAGTACGAAGAAGATATTCAGTCTTCACTAAATGGATTACCGTATTGAACTACTTAATATTAACTTTTGTTGTAGCTATTTCTGGTATCATAATAGCCGATTAGGCTAGATTTCCAAGACTCTAAATGGGGCAATTGGGTAATCCAAGTCACATGAATAAGAGCATCTGCGGATGCTGCGGGGCAGATCGAATAGATCTAAGACAATCAGATCGGGTCTGTATCCTCATCTATATACTCTGTTCATATCAAGGATAGTTTCAAGCAAGCCATATGAATATTTGTGGATTAAACTTGTCAGGAGTCAAATAGGGGGAGCACGTCTTCGGCAGCTGGAGCTTTACGATAACATCGTGCAAACTCATTAAAATAAATAGATTAAAAGGCTAGCGCTTACTGGTCATAATGGCGTAACATTGAGCTCATTATTGATCTGGCGGTGCACTGGTGGTACGGCTGCTCGCAAAACCCCTGAAAATTGTTACCAGGACTCGGCGGAAACATGATGAACCGACAGCGTATCGGAAAGAAGGGAATTCTAAGTCAAGAATTTCAAAGAATGGCATGTCCAACTGAAACAGCCCGTATGTATTCTCTCGCCCCCAAAGTCAATGTGCTGCTAGGTGGTAACCACCCATTTCATGGAGCTCCAATGGTAAGCAACGCCATCGCGTTGCACAAAAAAGAAACACCAATTTTCAGAGGCCTCGACTTATCTACATTCATTTCTATCAGACTTTTCAAATTGACTGTTCAGGGTAATTTAGCAAGGTAGAGCAATCATCAGTGGTAGATGACCTACCAACCTGGACCACCCAAGGCATGAGTAAATACCTAATAGTCAGTGTGTGTTTCAAGTGAGTATGCATTCTCTCATCATTTTAGACCATTGCCTCTTTGGCTGAGCAAGTGGAGGTATCTAGATCTACCTGAGTATATTCCTGTGGGTACATAAAGGGAGTCATGAATGCTTCCAGCATGTGAATGCTCTACATTGACATATGTCGCTACTCTATCTGTAAATATTAGATGCTATAGTGGGAATAATGCACGGAACTGGTCGTGCCGTTGGGAAGGTGATATGTTTCAATAACTGCAGAATAGCAGATACCAAATTAATAACTTAGCACACAACCATGGACTCTCAGAAGCGCGCATCCAGAGAACCGGCTGAGCCAATCCTATTACATGTATTTTGTTCACAGCAAGATAAAATAAATATTCTTCCACATACCGCAAATGTCTAGCTTCCATAGTATAGCTTCCGTAGTAAAATACTAATCCGTGTGCTGGCTCCATGATGATAAAACTGTAGAACAAGAATGCAGATCCTATGTGGATTGACTTGTTACAAATCCTCGTGTGTTTCGAGACCAATATCTGAAGAAGGTTTCGAAGAATAGAATTTACTCAGTCATAGAACTGTCAAAGGCGAACGCTCTTGTTCTGACCTTGTATAACAACTGCAACAGGTGCTGGGAATTTATTTGAAACGAATATATTGAATTCCTAAGTCTTGGTGCCAGCTCCTTTTCTAAACAGGGGATTCCCGTCATCATCAAAGCCAGCCCACTGAAAGAATCCGCAGTTCTCCTGCCCTGGGGAGTTGGCATAACACATCCAAAAGTATTTTCCAAAATTCTCCTTCTTCTTTGTCACAGCTCTTAGAACGCACGGCAGTCCACATCGACACTTGGGTGTAAACCGTGGATGTAGGTTTGCCTTGTAGTCTCGGTATGTAATGTTGATACGCGTCGTGCCAGAGATAGGATGTGGATCAATCGATGATGCCGGTGCGATGCTATGCTTCCACTCTTCTTGCATCTCGGCATGCATCACGAGAAGAGAATTATGTGGAAGATGTATTGATACTTGACCTTCTGCATCTTGCTCTTCAACCGTTTTCGTATCGCCGTCCCTAGGTATTATCCGCCTGACACGAAATTCGCGAGCAACCCCTAGTGAAATCGATCCGATGACGGCGCGAGGTCCAAGATATGTGAGATGGTCGCTATGCCAGCCGACATTCTGTTGTGGACCGGTATATGCATTGACAAATGCTGAGTTTGGGACCCAGGGGTTGGGAGATTGATATTTCAACTTTTTCCCGCCAGGGTATCGAGTCTTGATTCGTTTCTGAATCTCGCAATTGACAGCTTCTTGGACTTTTGGCTTGACCTTGATAAGCTGAGGTGTAATGCGCCGGACATCCTGTATATGATTAATCAAAGACTGAGAGGTGAAGCGATCACTTAGAGATTTACCGTAAGTCGACCACCGTTGTAGTGGTACTCGGTTTTCTGGCGCTCGATCTCGTCGTAGCTTTCGACATAGAAGCTTGACGTATGGGGACTTGATACTACGTTCTCGAATAATTGGAAAGTGATCTTCTCGAAGGATTTTGATTCTTCCAGTAATTCTTGCAGTAATTCGTTGGCTTCTTCAGGTGGTAAGAAGTTGTGTATAATCGTGCACGGAGTTTGTTCAGCCACGTCTTCCGGATCATATAGGTGCAATGTGCTTCCGGCTTTTGACTTTAATTTCTTCTTTTTAGGTGTAGTATCCAAGGAAGCCGAGTCACTTGGGGTTGCATATTGCTTCAAGGACTGCTGGTATCCAATAACTCGAGTGCCCTTCTTCACCGGGGCCTGGACTTTAAGCGACGCCGATGCCTCAGAAACGGACCCATCATGCGCTAGTAAGATGTCTAGTAGGATTTCCTGATCAAGTTGAGGATGCAAAGACGATAACAAAGCCAACTTGACTTCGGTTGACTCTTCTGGTTCTGCGATTTCCTTTTGAAGCTCTGGAGATGGTTTCCGCTTGGGACGAGTCAAAAAAGCTTTCATAGTTTGATTCCCGTATATCCAATAGCATAAATTATACGCTGTAACTGAAAGTGCTCTCTGACAGATGCGCCTGCATTTCGCAGTTTGGGAGACGTGATGAGGGGCAATTAGAGACACGATACCGCGAAAGTTCCGAAAAGTTGAGACACGAAACCACGTGACTGGAATGACTTCGGTTACCACATACCCCCGCTGATGACGCATGACCTGGTTAGCCGCATAAACGCGACACTCTGCCCCGCGGGCTTGTGAGATTACCGAAACCGAGGCACATGTCAGTATAGCTTCGAGGGGAAGCTCTGTGATCCAAGCAAGCCCAAGCCCATTGTCCACCGTAGCTTTCTTTGCTCTACCATAATACCACAGCTAACACATGCGCGCGGTCTCTGAAGACCAATTTTCAGCGCCATGGCTGCAATGCTAGAATTCCGAACCCAAGGGTACAATCCCTACGCCGTCAAGTATTCCCCGTACTACGACTCGCGAATTGCCGTTGCGACATCTGCCAACTTTGGCATTGTAGGCAATGGTCGTGTATTTGCGCTCGCTCTGACGGCGCAGGGTGTACAGGTTGAGAAAACGTATGAGACGTCCCGTTGCTGGCTTGTGGAGTGTTACTAGAAGCTAATTCCGTCGTCGCAGCTTCGATACAAACGATGCGCTGTACGACTTGGCTTGGTCTGAGATTAACGAGAACCAGTTGGTTGTTGCATGTGGCGATGGGTCGTTGAAACTATTCGACTTGGGAATTGACGACTTTCCGGTTATGAACTTTCACGAACATAAGCGAGAAACCTTCTCTGTCTGTTGGAACCCTATAACCAAGGATACATTCATATCGAGTTCCTGGGACGGCACAGTCAAGATTGTACGCCAACTTACATCGTTTATACATAAGCTATTATCTAACATTTCATAGTGGTCGCCGACCCGAAATCACTCGATAAAGACGCTGCCCATCGGAAACTGTACTTACAGTACATCGTTCTGCCCCTCCAACCCCGCCTTGATATCCGCCGTCTCCTCAGACTCCCACCTCCGAATCTTCGACCTCCGAACTCCATCTTCGGCAAAGTATCACCTCACGGCGACGATACCCGTCCACGCTTCTGGACCGCAGCCATCACCCGGAGCTTCTGCGCCTGCCGAGATTCTTACCCACGATTGGAATAAGTACCGGGACACGGTGATAGCTACAGGTGGCGTGGACAGAGTTCTACGAACCTTTGACATACGGAACCCCAACGGAGGTCCACTGTCTATCATGCAAGGCCATGAATATGCTGTGCGGCGTCTATCGTGGAGTCCCCATTCGAGCGACACTCTCATAAGTGCCAGTTACGACATGACAGTTCGATTATGGAATGACGGTTCGAATCAGCAGCAAGCTCCGGCAATGGGACCGACAATAGGAAGTCAAATGGGAATCATGAATCGTCATACGGAGTTTGTCACGGGAGTAGACTGGTGTCTTTTTGGTATGGGCGGTTGGGTGGCTTCTGTGGGCTGGGACGAGAGAGTGTTATTGTGGGATGCCAATATGCTGATGGGCCAACGAATACCATGATGTTAAGCATTGTTAGTTTGGCGTTGATTGGAGTAAGCGTATCTACGAATACCTTTGGTATATTAGGCGTTGGGATGTATTCCATGGGTTGAGCTCATCAACATGCAAGTCTACTCTCTGGTCAAAATAACTACATACATTAAGCCAGAGTATCACAAAGCAAGACGGTTATTGAGATTATCATCATTTCCTAAGTAGAGTTGTCGTGGAGAATAACCAGTGACGCCTGCAGACATGTCTATAAACCAAACCCCTTTTTCCCATATCTTACACTAGTATAAAATACAAAAATGCCCAATCGAAGTACAAGTCATACACATCCCATCCGTCATAGGTATCTGGTCTTGTTATTACATTTTCACCATTTTCACGGAGCGCCTTTCATCACTTAGAATGAAGAGCGTCCGCCGTAGCCTCCTGAGCGGCCACCACCAGAGCTTCGGTCACCGCGGCCACCACCGTAGCCTCCTGAACGGTTGCCACCATAGCCGCCTGAGCGGCTGCCGCCAAAGCCTCCTGAGCGACCGCCGCTTGAGCCTCCGCGGCCAAAACCGCCAGATCTACCACGTCCAAAGTCATCCCGGCGGACATTGCTTGCCATAGAATCAAAGGGATCGCTGCTTTCTCGGCGTGAAAATCCATCGAATCGATCATCAGAACGTCCACCAGATCGATCACCAAATCGCTGGCCGGGTTCCGAAAGTTGCATGCCTCGGATATTGGCTAATCCCAGCTTCTGAGCCCACGAATGGGAAACAGATGGGGGCTTTTCCCATCCCCAGCCAAGACGTGTCCATTCGTTAACCTCTTCGGCCATCGACACCTTGTCATTGGCCATGCCGAACATGGACATATAGGCTGTAGCGAGAAGTGAACGAGGCACAGTGCCAAAAAGAGCCTTGGTGCTCTCGTGGTGAGGAGTAGTCTCGCCTCCTGCCACGTCGGTCTCAGCGCTGGTGAGAGAGCTGTTCTGCTGAATAGGGAGACCTTGAAGCATCTTTCGAGCGTTACGGACGGAAGAGTTGGGAATGATCAGCCAGCCTTGGCCCTCCTTGTTCTGTCGACCAGTTCGTCCAAGGCGGTGAATGTAAGACTCACGTTCCCGGGGAGTATCGATCTGGATAACGTGTGTCACGTTAGGGAAATCCATTCCTCTGGCTGTGACATCAGAAGAAAGAAGGACACCGGTTTTGGCCTCGCGGAATCTATCGGCAGCTCTTTGGCGTTGTACTTGACTCAGCTTTGACTGCATGACAAAGGAAGAGAAATAAGGGCTGCCGTCGTTCCTGGCATTCTGGCGTTGCTGGTAAAACAGCTCGCCAGCCAACTCAACCAAAGCAGTGGTATTGAAGTAGACAATAGCCTTCAAGGGCATGGCACCGGGGGTTTCCCTAATCTTTGCGGCTTCACGCTCCAGAAGCTCAAAAAGTGAGGGGAAGACCTGAGCCCAACCGGAGACGGGAACGATATGTTGAGGAACCTTGTCGTGGGTAAGAGACTCGTTCTCGGGGATGGTTTGGACAAACTCGAAGTCGTTGGCTCTGACCATGTTGCGAGCCAGACGGATGACACTGTCGGGAATTGTGGCAGAAACGAGCATGGTCTGGCGAACCTTCTCTTCAGGTCGGGGAAGGCACTTGATGATTTCGTTGAGCTCTCTCTCGAAGCCGACATCGAGCATTCGGTCGGCCTCATCCAAGACCAGAGCAGCCAGGTTGGGAGCATCAATGCCGCTGCCGGGGTCCTGGAGAAGATCGTTCAGACGACCAGGGGTAGCGACAAGAAGATGGCAGCCCTGTCGTCGAGTCTGTTGAAGCATGCTGCGCTTGTCAGTGCCACCAACAGCACACTGAACCACGAGACCAGTGTGTGCAACCAATCGGCGAGCCTCAACAGCGATTTGCTCGGCCAGCTCTCGTGTGGGAGAAAGAATAATTCCACGGATATCATCAGATCGGGCTTGACGTCTAGCGGTCCTGTCGGCGAGTGTGCTGTCTTCCTCAATCATTCTTTGCAGGAGAGGAAGAAGGAATGCAATAGTCTTTCCGGTACCAGTCTTGGCTTGAGCAACGCTGATTAAATGTTAGCCGATGTACAATCTTTTTTTTTCATGTACCTAAACTCACATGTCAGTACCCTTGAGGGCAGGCTGGATGGTCTTGGCCTGGACAGGTGTCATGGTATCGTATTTCATGTCGTTGATGATGGGCTTGAGAAGGTTGGGGTGAATGCCCTGGAGATCGGCGAAGCGTACTTGAGGCTCAGCTTCAACTGAAGGAGCAGACTCATTCTGCTCAGCAACAGCCTCGGTGCTGTAAGCGCGTGTGATGGAAGCAATTCGGCTGATGGCAGCGATAGAAGACTGGCTTGTCAAAACTTGACGGCGAACAGCAGGCAAAGCAGTTCGAGTCTGTGTGAGGAGGGCAGCTGTAGCGGCGGACCTGGCCTGAGTGGCACAGCGCCTAAGGCTGGATCGAAACATGATGCCGGGTATTAAAGACAAGAATTGACGCTGAGATTCCGGTTCTGCGATTGATAGAAACTACAAACCCAGAAGCAAGAATTGAAGGAAGAGAAAAAAAAGAGGATGATATGAGAGAAGGTTAAGTTGGATGAAGATTGGCGGGCGTCCAAGGGTCGCGCGCTGCTACTTTTGGGAAAAATGAAATTTTTACAGCGCTACCTTATCTTATCGTCTAATTGGCAGCGAGGCTCTACCCTGATTGGGTTAGATCCCGTATCTGTCACGTGCTCCACCGGAGGTCAGCACCGGGCCAGAGGCAAAAAGGCCTGTAAGGGTCCTGGAGCATTGCCACTAGCTCAGCGTTGAAGATGAAGATGGAAGAAAATCCCCGAGTATGAATTGTAGAGAGTGTATCTTATGGTCTCATGCAATTTCCATTACCTTATGCTATGTAAATGCCAGTATCAAAACAAAACTCCGTTAACCAATGATCACTCTTCTATCTCTATTTCTAAATCCTCAATGACAACTCCTTCTGATGCAAGTTCCCTCCAGCAGCTTCCAGGCTCTAGCCACTCATCTTTGGTTTCGACCCCACCATCGAAAGACCCTCCCCGAGTCCATCCGAGATACCCTGAGTTACACCATCAACAGTCCAAACAAACACTTCCAATAGAGCCTGTGCAACTTTGCCATCATTCATCTGACCGATTGCTTCAGTCAATAAAGCGCTCTGCTTGCCAATTGTGTTGACCAAGTCCACGCCGTGACCTACGACCTTCTCCGAGATCTTGTACTTGCGCTCCAGTCGAGCTGCGCATCTGACGAGTAAGAGCAGATATGGCATTAGGAAGCTGAGGAAGAATATGAGATTTACCACAGTCATTTGAACTCCACGGTGAATGATTGAACGGGATTGACTTGGATGAATGCGGTTTGAGTCGGGCTCTGCTCGAGCCAGAGCCATGTCGGACTGGTTGACTTGCTCTGGCAATGCACATTGGATTCTTCTGAGTTCGCCTTCATCAAGTTCTTGTGGAAGAGCTTTGAGGAGATATGTCACCCCGTCAACAAAGGCTTTTCGCTCAAAAGCGATATCCTCCTCTGCTACAGCCGCTTTGCCTCCATCTATAGAGATGTTGACAAGATTTGTTCCTATTGTACCATGTCAGCAAATTACATTCATTGGTTAGTACATCAAAGTAACTTACCCTGTCGTGCAAACTTCCAATGCACGCCAGACGCAGCTCGCATAACTGGTTCATCCTCTGGTGCTTCCGAATAAAGGACTCGACTCATCGGCTGAGGATTTAAGTCTTGTGACTCTACAAATCCACCTGAGTGCTTTATCATGTCGGTCTGGAGTGGCTGGGCCATTGTAGCCGAGACATCAGCTTCTGAAAGAGGCCGAGGTTTTGTTTGTGGCCCAGATATTGTCACACCTGGACGTAGAGTGTGAAAACTGATACTCCGTCTGAGAAAACGAATTGGCCCGGGGAGTGAGTTTGGAAGCATGGAGACGACATTGAAGATCCTGCTTTCGGTGATTTGATCGATCTTGATCTCGTCCAGAGATGGCGCAAATGATCTGAGATGAGACGCCATGTTCCAAGAGCTGCAGGCTAAAGGATGAATGAGGTCTCGGGATAGTGGAAGTGAGAAACAATAGAATGCCGGGTCAGGTTAACTCAGTGATGAAGTGAGGCTTCGGTCTCATCAGTCATGATGCGAAAGTGGCAGTACGGTTTGACTGTTAAGCAAAGGGACCTCCTCATAAAGACCTCATGACAAAACCATCAGATGAGAAAAGCCGAAAGGGAAAAGAGGAACAAATCCCATATCATGAAACAGCCGCATCAAATAGAATCTTGCACGAGGTCTCGCCTCGCCTCGCCTACAGTCCCTTATCATTTTTTTTGGGTCCTATTCCGTCATGCTTCTGACATGTGAAAACGGTTAACTAAAAATTTGTTGAGACCATGGCTTTTTGCATCTGCAGATAAGGTTGATCTTCCAATAGGGTCTCGTTTCTTGGTGGGGAATTATCATGAGCAAACGTAAACTTTGTTTCCCCTTGGAGAGGTTGGAAAGCTACTTTATTTGTAACTCCACTACCAACACTGTATTCATGAGCATCCATCACAAGCTATCGGACTACCTCGGAGCCATGAACGCATAATGATTCTTATTCGGATAATTCAATGTACAAACGCCCCAACAATGTATTCCATGCATGCGATATTATACGTCTTGCTTAACTAAACGCTCGCTGATCTCTTCCTCGGTAGCCTTCATAGGCACCCTATTCCATTTCGCCATGCGCCAAACCAGAAACCAACCATTGTCAAAATGCAATCTCATCTATCACAAATGCGCTCAATCTGCTGCATCCGATGCCCATATGCTAAACTCGACCAGAGTCAATCAATCGCTCCCTTTTTTTCCGTTTCATTAATGTAGCCATGCTGCCGCTTCTTAAGCTTAACCCCTCTGAACACCCAATTGACTTCATCAAGTATCCGTATCATATGCATATGCCCACCATCAGCCATTACATCATATCTTTGCTCAGTTCGTAAGACCAGCCTCCCTCACGTCTGAGCTTGTCTCTGGCAGCCAGGTTCTTTCGAATGTCCTCTTCAGTAAGACGATCAGTGCCGCTCCAGTTGGCACTGGATGTTCGGGCGCGGAACTTGTGGTGTCTGTCTTTGCTCTTGTCGAAGACCTCCTCCATGTTCAAGGGCGCAGGAGGTCCGAAAATTGACGCAGGGTCAATATCTTCCTGTCTAAAGAGGGCATCCCGAATGTAAGGGGAGTTAGCCCATGCTGCGACCGTACCAGCTTGTGGTTCATCATCGTCCTCATCTTCATCGTCTGTCTGAATTTCAGGAAGTTCGATGGCCTCGCCATTCTGGAATCGCGGTGATGATCTTGGTACAGACTTGGCTGCAGACTTCATTCCATTGACAGGGCCGGGACGTCCAGGCGTCTTGTAAGAAGGTCCCGCCGGGTTGGGGTTCGGGGCGAAAGGAATAGTTCCTTTGTGAATCTGAGCCATGTCCATAGGGTTGCCTCCCTTCATTTGACTCTGAGGAACGCCAGTCTTGAATAGGTTCTGTGCACTAGCCTGGGAAACATAGCCACTCGTAAGAGTCTTCGTCTGCAGATCCTGGTGCTTGTTAACCTTTGTTGGAATACAAGAAACGCTTTGATTGCTCACCCTCTTAAGAGCGCTGGATGGACGAACTGGTGGTCCTTTGATATTAGGAGGCTGCTCCATATCAAGCTCATCAGCGTAGTCATCGCTCGTTCGACGACGCTTGGCATCCTTCGCCTGGTATTGAGGCCCACGTGCAGGTGGAGGTCTTGAAGGTCCATCCTCATTAGCATCTCGAAGGGGCCTCTTCGGGCCAGATTTAGAACCATTTGTCAAGTTAGCATTGACGGGTCGTCCCATGTCATCTTGAGATCTGAAGATTCCAGAGTTCATACGAGAAGGAGGACGAGGTGGTCCTTCTCGTTGTACCGAAGCAGACTTGTCCTGTTGTAGACTGTACTGAGGTGGACCATTTGGCTGTGACCGAACAGCTGGGGGGGGCGCGGGGGTCTTCTTGGCTTTCTCAATGATTGCCAGTCGGTCTTGAGCTGCTTGACGCTGAGCATTCTTCTCACGCTTTTGTCGTTCTTCCTCTTGGCGACGGATGGCTTCTTGCTTCTTCTTGTCGTCTTTCAATGCTGCGCGATCGCGCTCAATCTTGGCCTTCTTCTGTGCAGCCAAATCGAGAGCTCTAGGCCGCCCATTTGATCCGGTGGAAGCACCAAAGTTTGGTGCGGATTGCTTGGGCTGTGTAGAGGCCTTGCTTGCCTTGCTGATTGTTTGAGGAGGTTGAGAGCTTGTCGAAGCACCGAAGTCCTGATACCCACTAGCAACAGAGTTGCCAGGATGTAGCTGTGAGCCAGTGTTGACCTTGATGTGAACGGTAGGTGCCGCCTTTGTCTTCGCCGCTGGCTCTCGGCCTGGCTTCGCAATTCGCCTCATTTCCTTGGGGCGAGATAGTTGTCCAGGAATGGCGGATCTGTGAGCAGAAGGAGGGGGTACCAAAGCAGGTGCATCGCCCATATCAAGATCCTGGTCAGCGACCTTGGCCTCTGGCTCCTCCTGAGGCTTTGCCCTTCGCGGGCTGGTTCGGGTTGGCTTAGGTGTAGCCTTGGGAGCAGGTGTTTCAACCTCTTTCCTGGCAACGACCTGCTTTTCCATGTTGGCAAGCTTCTCTTGCTCTTTGCTGAAAACTCTGGCCTTTTCCCTTTCCTTTTCTCGCTCCTTCTCCAGTTTCTCCATCTGCTCAGCTTGGACTCTAGCTTCTTTCTCCCTTCGCTTCTCCTCCTTCTCGCGTTCCACTGAAGCTCTTGTGCGCTTAGCAACTGGTCGAGGTGCAGTTAACTGCTGGTCGGTGACACCATCGCCACTCCTATGGGAGTCAATGCTTGCCTTAGGAACGATTGAATCCGAAGAAGGATCAGGGAAAGTTCCAAGCTGAGCTCGAGATGGCGAGAGCAGGGATGATTTGCCTTCAGCGCTCAGAGCTGCGCTGCTGGCGATCAGGCCCTTGGAAGTGCTGAGAATGGAAGACATCTTGTTCTTGAGATGCTTCAAAGGACTATCACGGAAGAGCCTCGTGGGAGACTTTGAGGGAGATGAGGAAGAAGGTGCAACAGCAGTGGCTGGTCTCACAGAAGCGTTCGTTACTGATATCGTTTTCTTCAATGGGCTTCCCTCCTCTGGATCCGAAGCTGGGATTAATGGAACAGCAGGCACCGATACAGACTTGGAGTGTCCAAGGTATGCAGGTCGCTGAGGCTTGTTGGCGCGAGCTGGTGATCGGATATTGTCACGGTCTTCACCCAGGTCGAAAGATCCGAGAGTCTGCTTGCCGTGGATTCCCTCCATCACATCGGCAGTTCGGCTCTTAGACAGTGACGGCCTTGTTGGCGAAGGGGCGGTGACAGGCTGTTGTGTAGTTGGGGGGACAATCCAGTCATCATCATCGTCTTCGGGGAAAGCACCTGGAGTTGTTGTGGTCTCCAGCTTCCTGGGCGATGGTGATTTGGGTTCAGGTACTGATTGGGATACAGTTTGTGGCTGCTGAGAGTTGGTAAGGCTGTGGATTGACTTCGAGGGTCGACTTCCATTTGGCTGCGATTTACCGAGTACACTAATTCGGTCCTGTAGCATCTGGGTGTATGTCTTGTTATGGTGGATGGCAAGCTCCTCAGCGTTCTTAGGCTGCTGTGGGACTGTGGGGAAATCATCAACGTCCATCTCGTCCTGATCCGACTCGTCTGATGCACTCTGTTCTGCGTGACTTGCCAGGCTTCTTCCTCTCGTGTTTCTCCCCAAGTAACTCGTCCTCTTAGGATCGACATGGCTTGTTCGAGAAGCTCTCGCACCAATACTCTTACCTGCCGTGAGAGGCTCACGAGCAGGGAGAGAAGGGAACTGCAAGCTGTTGCGGAAGCCCGGGCGGACGGGACTGGGGCTGTGACGCTCAGATTGAGACTGTGAATCATCCTGGATAGCGTTCTCGTCCTCCTGGGGCTCGGCCTGAGCCTCTTCCATATCAACGTCAGTCGTCGCTTGTTGTGTCTTGATCGGCGAAGAAGTCTTGATGGGGTCCTTGGCAAGAGATGTCCGTGAAGGGCTTGGCTGAGGGAAAGCGATGGCCTCATCCAAGGCAACAGGGTCAATATTTGAGGTGTCATCATCTTCCAGGGGATCAAAGCTTGGAGGGTTAACGTCTTGACTCCCAAAATAGCCAGAGTCGCCCTGCATTGCCGGCTGAGATTTGGCTGGTGCGATTGGTTCCGATTCTTCTTCAAGGGCCATGTGGGCGTCCTGGTCTGAGTGAATGGCTTCGGCATCATTTGAAAGCTGTTCTGGCGCGTCTTCGACTGGTTCGTCAGAGGTAGGAGGCGTTGTCTTTGGCGATGGGGCGTGTCGTCTAGGCGAAGAAGACTTGGCTTGGTTCACAAGCTCCCTTTGGGGAGACTGAAGAAGAAGATGCTGCGCAAATCGGTTTGCTGAGCTCGATGGTGTGCCCCCAAAAACATTGGACAAGGGCTTCGAAGTGTTAATATCTGTTATTTGTGAACACTCGGCGGCTAAGCTTACCACTCTCGGCTCTGTGATCAATTTTCGTGCTGTTCGAGGTGTCTTGCCACGAAGTCTTCCAGGTGTTTTGAATGTTTCGGCGATATTGCTACCAAGCCGCCAGTCAGTACATCGCGTCAAAAAAAAAAAAAAAAAAAAGGATCATGACGCGTACGTTTCGTTCTCGTTGAAGATATTGGCCATGTGCTCATTGAGCCATGAGAACTCATTGTGAGCCGCGTATGTGAACTCGTCTACCTCAACATCAACTATCTCAAGAGCAGAAGCGCGCTCATCAGCGACCCAAGCAGCTGAGCCGGTTGGAATGCGCGGTCCTCGCATGGCCGCCATTGCGTCGGTTGAAAAGAGGCGCGTGTGGAGGTGATTGGAGTTGCTTATCAACTATTGTTCGTGCGATATTGGTTATGTACTCATCGGGTTGGAAGGTCGAGATGGAGTCGAAAAGTTTAGTGTGTTTGAAAGTTGTGAACTTGAAGTGCGAGAGGAGCTAGGTCTCAATAACAAAGAGGGATGTTTATCCGTATGCTGAATTCGGACTAGCGTTGATGGATTTCCCAGCTCGGAAGTGGGGCTCACCCAAGCTTCTATTCACGGCCAGTGGACGATGAGGATGTATTTCTTATGAAACAGAGGCATGTAAACAAGGTATTGTAGCCTTTAACGAGTTAATCAGTAGCATATATAGGCTTCTATTCGTTTATAGTTTCTACAGGAGTAATTACAACTCAATCCGAGCTACAAGGCTATAACCGCTGCGCCGAAGCTAAACTTCAAGTACCTTTCTTAACGCCCTGCCAATTAATGATATCAGCCAACACGTGCTGATAACGCCTTATCGGTCGCAACTCTCTTGTTTACTTTCGCGTTCCCCTCCCCCTTTGGAGTGCGGAGCGACGAAACATAGCAAAAGATTCAACGAAGCCGCGGACTCAACCTCGCCCAACATGAGGGTTATTGAAGTAATTATTGACGTAAGAGCTTGATCCATACTATTTTTCTGCTGTATTCATCCTGACCTTTTTTTTTTTTTTAAATAGGGCTTCAAGTCTTATGCCGTGCGTACCGTGATCTCAGGATGGTAAGCCAACTATCAATACATTCGAGGAAACATAACCAACATATACAGGGACGAGAGTTTCAATTCGATCACCGGTCTCAACGGTAGTGGAAAGTCAAACATCCTCGATGCGATATGTTTCGTTCTCGGAATTACAAACATGTCAACGGTTCGAGCGCAAAATCTACAGGTCAGTCACCGCCGATTCGACCACCCTTAGTACATACTGACGACAACCACAGGACCTGATATATAAGCGCGGTCAAGCTGGTGTCACAAAAGCCAGCGTCACAATTGTTTTCGACAATCGAGAAACTAAGAAGTCGCCGATCGGGTTCGAAGAATATGCCACCATTAGTGTTACACGACAGATCGTTCTTGGAGGAACATCCAAGTACCTCATCAACGGCCACCGCGCTCAACAACAGACGGTGCAAAACCTATTCCAGTCGGTGCAGCTCAACATCAACAGCCCCAACTTCCTCATTATGCAGGGTCGCATCACCAAAGTCCTCAACATGAAGGCTGTGGAGATCTTAGCCATGATAGAGGAAGCTGCCGGGACCAGGATGTTCGAGGATCGTCGAGACAAGGCCCTCAAGACAATGGCAAAGAAGGAAACCAAGTTAGTTGAGCTTCGAGAGCTTCTCAAGGACGAGATTGAGCCCAAGTTGGAGAAACTACGAACTGAAAAGCGTGCTTTCCTAGACTTCCAACAGACTCAAAATGACCTGGAGAGACTGACTCGAGTGGTTGTTGCGTACGATTATCTGCGCTACCAAGACTCTCTAAGCCAGTCAGCGGCAGATCTCGAAGGAAAGAAGCAAAGGCGGCGCGATCTGGAGGAGTCAGCAGCTCGTCTAAAGAGTGAGATTTCTCATCTTGAAGAGGATGTTAAGAAAGTGCGAGCTCAACGAGACAAGGAGCTTCGAAAAGGAGGCAAGGCTTCAGCACTAGAGGAGGCAGCCAAGAAGCACTCGAATGAGCTTGTGCGATTAGCCACTATTCTTGATCTGAAGAAGTCCAGCTTGGCAGAGGAAGAAGAAAAGAAGGTAGCTGTTGAAAAGACGGTCTCAGAGTTGGAAGCCACCCTACAGGAGAAGACGGCCGCTTTCGAAAACGCAAAGGCCCGGTACGATACCGCCAAGGAAGATCTGGAACAACAAAACAAAGACGCCGAGTCTAAGGAAGAACTTCTTCAAACTCTGCAGACAGGTGTGGCCTCCAAGGATGGTCAAGAGAACGGCTACCAGGGCCAACTTCAAGATGCAAAGAATCGTGCAACGACGGCGGCTACAGAGCAAGAGCAAGCAAAGATCAAGATTGCACATTTGGAAAAGCGTGTCAAGGAAGAAGAGCCTCGTGCGAAAAAGGCGAAGGATCAGAACGCCGATCTCCTGCGCGATCTTGATGGCTTAAAGGCACAAGCCCAGAAGTTAGAGAAAGAACTTGGCCGATTGGGCTTCGAACCTGGTCAGGAAGAGCAGATGTTCAAGAGGGAGTCAGAGTTGCAACAAACCGTTCGCAATTTGAGGCAAGAATCTGACAAGCTGAAGCGTCAAGTCGCCAACACAGAGTTCAACTACGCGGATCCTGTGCCCAACTTTGATCGATCGAAGGTCAAGGGTCTTGTCGCCCAATTATTCACTCTTGACAAGGAGCACACTCAGGCCGGCACTGCGTTGGAGATCTGCGCTGGAGGACGCCTATACAATGTCGTGGTTGATACTGAGGTGACAGGTACACAGCTGCTACAGAGGGGCAAGCTACGAAAGCGTGTCACTATCATTCCTCTCAACAAGATCGCTGCTTTCAAAGCTTCGGCACAAACCATCGCTACGGCTCAAAATATCGCACCTGGCAAGGTTGATCTGGCGCTGTCTTTAGTTGGCTATGATCACGAGGTGTCAGCAGCTATGGAGTATGTCTTCGGCAATACTCTGATCTGTGCTGATGCAGATACTGCTAAGAGGGTCACGTTCGACCCGAACGTGCGCATGAGGAGTATCACTCTTGAAGGAGATGCGTACGATCCATCTGGTACACTATCTGGCGGAAGCTCACCAAACTCGAGCGGTGTTCTGGTACTTCTCCAGAAGCTCAACGGCCTGACTCGTCAACTGAGCGAAGCGGAAGGTGCTTTGAGGGAGCTCCAAGCCCGCATATCTAAGGAGAAGGCCAAGCTGGACCAAGCTCGCAGAATCAAGCAAGACTTGGATCTCAAGAGCCACGAAATCAAACTCGCTGAGGAGCAGATCAGCGGCAACTCTTCGTCTTCCATCATTCAGGAAGTTGCGAATATGAAGTCAACCATTCAAGAACTCAAAGAGAGCATATCCGAGGCCAAGATTCGACAAGCCAAGGCAACCGCCGATATAAAGACCATTGAGAAGGATATGAATGACTTCGACAACAACAAGGACGCCAAGCTCGTCGAACTGCAGAAGGCACTTGATAAGCTGCGAGCTGGCCTCGGTAAGAACGCTGCCGCCGTAAAGACTCTGCAAAAAGAACTCCAGGGTGCACAACTCGACGCTGAGCAAGCGGGTGTCGATTTGTCTACTGCTCGAGAACAGTTACAAGAAGTTGAGATCGCCATCAAAGCCCAACAGAAAGACATTGAAAACCTAGCAAAGCAAAAGGCTGAACTTCAGGAAACGCACGACACTGTTCAGGCTCAGCTTGATGATGAACGCGCCAAGCTGCATCAATTTGATGACGAGCTTCGAGCTTTGGAAGATGCCACTCGCTCCAAGAACTCGCGCATTGCTGAAGAGAGTCTCGAAATGCAGAAGCTTGGTCATCTTGTGGAAAAGTTCCATAAAGAGCAACAAGGTGCTGCCGAAAAGGTCGCCCGTCTAGAGAAGGAGTTCGACTGGATTGCGGACGAAAAGGACAAGTTTGGTCGCAGCGGAACTCCGTATGACTTCAAGAACCACAACATTGGAGAGTGCAAGTCAACATTACACAACTTGACTGAGCGCTTCCAGGGTATGAAGAAGAAGATCAACCCCAAGGTCATGAACATGATCGACAGTGTTGAGAAGAAGGAGGTGTCGCTCAAGCACATGATCAAGACTGTCATCAGGGACAAGCGCAAGATTGAAGAGACAATCGTCAGCTTGGATGACTACAAGAAGAAGGCACTCCACGAGACATGGGAGAAGGTCAATGGTGACTTTGGTAACATCTTCTCTGAGTTGCTTCCCGGAGGCAGCTTTGCCAAGCTTGATCCTCCCGAGGGCAAGACTATCAGCGATGGTCTTGAGGTCAAGGTCTGTCTTGGTAAAGTGTGGAAGCAGAGTTTGACGGAACTGAGTGGTGGACAAAGGTATGCAATCCCTGACTATTAATAACATACGAATGCTAATGCTCTGACTTTTAGATCTCTGGTTGCTCTGTCTCTCATCATGGCTCTGCTCCAGTTCAAGCCTGCCCCTATGTACATTCTTGACGAGGTTGATGCTGCGCTGGATCTCTCACATACCCAGAACATCGGTCGTCTCATCAAGACCCGATTCAAGGGCTCGCAGTTCATAGTCGTCAGTCTGAAAGATGGCATGTTCCAAAACGCGAACCGCATTTTCCGCACCCGCTTCAGCGAAGGTACTAGTATGGTGCAGGCTCTCACGCCAGCGGATATGAAGTAATGACGTTGATGGCAACTGAAAAATGTCTGGAATGAGTGTATGACAGGGACTAGACCGGGTTTTGTACATGAGGCGTCGGGTTGGATGGGGAGGTATGATGTATTTTAGGCATTGGGATACTATGTGATACCGTTTGATTTAGTAACGTTAAGGCATGGCCTGCAACTTATCGATTGCTTTGAAAGTGCTTCATTGTTCACGAGATGGGTTGATCTTGTAATATGATCGTGAATAACAAATTGATTTGTGTCTCCTCAAACGATATTGTATGTCAGGTAACTATTTCTCCAGGAACATGGAATACGCTGCACGTAACAAATTACGGACAATGCCATTCGTTTGTCGATGTGTTGATCAACTTGGTGCAGACCTCGCATATTTCACAGTTGATCTACCCTGAAGATCCCGATTTGTCGCTCAGCTCCCAGATACCGAGCCAGCTCAGCAGGAAGTTCAACATCCATGTTCAGTCCCGTAGTATTTTTTCCTCCGATCGTGACTTCAGCAAAGGAATAACCTCTTGCTCGAATTTCCTCCTCGTTCGGGAATGACACTGGCAACAAGAACTCCTTTTCAGGTGTGGCTTTCAAGCCGTGGCTAATTTTGGCTGCGACTTGTTGCAAAATACCCTGTAGTCCTGAATCTGTCCAGGGGAATTTCAAGACAAGAAAGGAGCCTTCAATATGACCCAACAGACGGCTAGTCTTGTTTGGATCAGGAATCCAGAGGTCGACCTCGATATTGGCTAGCAACGGGAAGTGTTCGCGTGAGATAGCTTGCCAAACATCTTTCTGACCAACTTCAGAGTCCCGTTGAGCAAGCGTGTACAGACGATCAAACTCTGAGTGCTTGAATGAGGCAACGTCACGCTCTAGCTCAATTCCACAACATGGCTGAACAGGGAAAACAAGCAGACTCTGTGCAACAGCCCCCTTCCCTTCCGGCTCTGCCCCGGGGAGCCGGCGCTCGGGCGATCTGCCAGGGCCGATGTCCATGTCTTGGACGGCCACGCCGGCCCGCGAGTGGGTCTGCCGGAGGACATCGCTGCGATCCACGGGAACGGGAGGGAAGAGGATCAAGACGGGGACGAGGAAAGCGACGAGGGTGACGGTGAGAAGTATGAGCGACACGGCGTCTAGGTTGCACACAAAATGCTTAGTGGCAACCATTCCATCACGGATGCGTATACCTGAAAGCATAGTTGTCATATTGCTCAGCCGCTGGGCGAGGGCTGAATCGCGACCTGCAGCGGTAAGATAGCCCTGCAGGCGCGGGATCAAATCCGTCATTTGCCGTCGAGGTGAGGGGACTGCGCTAAACACTAGGGAGGGAGGCTTGAGTTGAGTTGGGTTGAGTTGAGTTAACCTCAGAGATGCATATGCACTGCAAAGCGCCTCTCGCACGAGCTGCGCAATAGGGGGAAGCCAAGGGTCTGAGGGCTGAAGTCGACGTTAACGTGCTAGTCCGATATTGATCGGTCTCGTTCTTGAATGTTTGCAGATCTTTGTTGTTGTCGACCAAGTTGTGGTGGTCTTTGCTGTATGTATGTGTATTGTATGTATGTGAGCCCACACACTGTAGGGTCGACTAGTGATTTAGGTTTGTTTCGAGTTTTCATTTCCCCTCAAGTGTCATGATAGGTCCAGGATGTTAAATCTCCAACTACTCACTACTGTACCTTCGGCGGCCACGGGCCTCCGATTCATTGCAAACCCCTCCCAGAGCGCACCTATCGCATCGTTGAGTTTTAAATTACGACCGGGATATTCATAGTCTCAAACTAAATCCCTTGCCTGAGCTCTCTCAGTGCCATGGATGCCGCGATATAAAACTCTGCTAGGCCAGGTTGCCTCGTGCTGGACTGGAATGGTAGGGTTGGAACCGTGAAAAGCTAGCAAGTAAGCACCCATCACATCCACTCTTTTATGCAACGAGACAGGGTCTTGTTCCCCTGTAGGGACGCATTTTGACAACACGTCTTCTCCACAGGATCCGGAATGCGTAGCCGCTCAGCACAGTTGCTATGCATATTGTCGTCCCGCCTATCCGATGTAGTTTGATATCATCGTACACATAGCATGAGTGATATGTACCGTTCTTCCAAGGATACAAGACATACCTCCTCCCTGATCTGATAGCGAAGGAGGAGGTGCTATTGTAAAGATGCCATGCTAATTGCAACACCCCGCTGATCATGGATTACGTGTCTCGGCCAACTAGATAGACAAATGCTTTCGCCGCACTTGTATCCTGCAGCTACCATAGTACCTCAAAGGATCTGAGTTAGTCGGAGAGAAAGAAATACCGAGCAGGGTCACCAGCGGAACGGTTCAGCCGTTTCCCACCGACCTGTCAACGCCAGGGACCCTCTTTGACTGTCTTGGTCATTGAACCTTGGTGCCACCAACAAGACACTTGACGGTAAATGTGTCAACTGCCAACGGTCTCACTTCAGCTATACTGGGGTTGAGTTATCAAATAAGAAGTCAGGATTACTCTGATCAACCCTGATGGAGAACCCTCGTTTCTCCGAGTTTATTGGCCAACATAAGCGCGCTCCTCTGCGAATTCATGCTTTGTTTTGACTGCGACACTGTGCGCTGTCAAGCAGTGTAATGTTGTCTTTGGTCATCACAAGTAAGTCCCGGAGTTAACCAGGTAGTTTGTTGAAGAGGTGGGTCAATTCCCGTCTGATCCTGGTGTTCCTCATGGCGGCTGCGACCACCAGAAAACCCTCGCTGCATTGATCGCCATGAGGCTGGTCGGAGATACTTCTGCTTTCATCCAGAGCCTCCATTCCTGGCTTCCCTGTCGTGCCGACACGCTGACTCGTAGTAAAGTAAGCACACATGGTTGCTGTACTTGGCCCAGAAGAGTCACGAAGCTGTCAAGCAGGGATCAGCAGGTAACTGTAACTGGTAAAAGAAGTTGGTTGATTATACCATTTTGGCCTCATTCAGCCAGATTGAGTCTCAGCGTGTCAGAAGTGCGTCGACATCTTTACGACATGACTTAGGTATCAAACCGACGGGCATAAGCCCACAGATCTTAGCCCAGGTCGGAACTCCATACCCATAGAGGAAGTTGTGAAATGCAGTGAGATAGAGGCACAACCGTTCCCCCAGATAACCATATGGGACTGTTGGTAGCATGGCATACAGGCATCGTTATCTCACTTGACTCGACCACAAAAGCCTGAGAACAGATTGACGGATAATGTTGAAGACAAAGCAAGCCGGAGACTCGGGTCCGCGCCCCACCGATTAACTTCCAGGCTGAAAAGGATGCCTTGCTGTAATTTCCACATCTTGTTGCAAGGGAAGTCCTGGGATCTTGAAGGATGAACGAAACTGAGGCTCGATACTGGCAGCGGTTCTGATCCATCTCCACCATAGCCTCCCCGCAACCCCTCAATGGTCTAGCGGTGACGATAATGCAGACAAACTCCGCCAATGCCAATTTGCTGTGGTTGGGATAGCTATGCCCAACTCAGGCTCTCGTTCTTTCAATGATCCTGGTTTCGGTACATGAAACGGCTTTGAAACAGGTAAAACACCATAGGTGAAGACCTTTCGTGGACTCTGTGGAGATTTTATGCCTCAGTTGTATCAATACAACAGCAACAAAAGAACTCCAGGGATCCGTATTTAGATAATACCCTGGCTCCTTCTCGGACATTGCACTTCGCACGATGTTGCAACCATCTTTCGCTGTGATAGAAGCTCTCCCGTCCTATCAAGATCCTAATAACTGTGAGAGAGCCCTCACTCCCTAGATATGGAGACCGCCAAGGAGTGCCGGTTAGTTTTGGTTTGAGTCCAATCCTGACGAAGGCTTTGCGTTTATGAATACGAGGAATCAATTGATTGTAGTGCCGAGTTCTACACCCACTTCAGCAACTACAGACGCTGGCCGTGATAGTGTTGGTTTCGATCTGTCAGATCACCGCTTGCAGTAATGCTCTTGAAAACCACCAATACCCCCAGCCAGAGTTACCCCGACGGACTGTATGGTCGTATCAGATCCAAGCACACTGCAGCTTTAGTCCATATCTTGTCGAGGAAGGATGGAAGAGAACGTTTGAAGAGGAGTGGAGGATTCATGAACAAGGATATAAATCTTCCGAAGCGCGCGCTGACCAAGAGCGCCAGCATATGATCCTTCTCGGCTTGGACATCTTTCGATCTGCATTCAGTTTCTTACACCTCTAATACATAGATGTAGTCTTTGTTAGAGGAGATGGATCAGACATTATGTCCCTTGATGCTTGGCAACTCGGCCAAAGCGGATCAATGTACTGCAGAATTTTGGTGAGATGACCCAAGACGATTTGAGCATAAGTGGTGGGAGCTGAGTGAAATGGGCTGTATTCTTTGTGGGCCGTTTGTTGGTTGTCGCGTTTGGCTAGACCAGGGCCAACACCGTAATCCTCCAGACTTGCGGCGTGTTTCCTGTCCACTGCACTTTAGTACAAATTGTTTAGGATTATGCGGGTCTTCTCTTGAATCGAGATATTCGTGTTTTCGAATAGCAAAGAGAACTTAAAGAAGTTTCTGGTAGTATAAGTATTCGGGGTATGTAAGTTCACGACGTTCAAGTAAGTTAGTCTGCTCGACCCGATCACTCGGATTATTGGCTCGTGGCTTTGGCACGTTCCAGAAAATAACTAAGCTAGCTTGGCGGGAAGCTCCTGGTCTATGGTAACCAGGGCTCCTCTTATGTTACCACTCACCATCTAGTTATAGGGATAGGATAGTTTTGTCTGTGCTCAAATACACATGGGCCTTGACGGTAGGGCTTGTTAACGCCGACGAATGTCGGTGCCGGCTCCGATAATCAAGGCGTTGAGGCTTGAGGAGCAACACCGATATCATCGCACAGGACTATGCAGCGTTATAGTACTGCATACATAACCTGCATGTGCAAGATGGAGCTTGCAGAGTTAGTTCTTGCTAGCTTGCATGGTATCACTAAGCACCACGTCTACAAGCTTCATGCACTGAGGGTACCAAAATATGCAGCGTTGAACCAACAGGGTATGGTCAACTGTTGGATCATTTCAGGGCTGTTTTGGTCTCGAAACTGGTTTGGCGGAGTAGTCGGAGGTCCCATGGTAAAAACATAGGCTTGTACTATAGTAATAGATCGTTTCAGGACGATCAGTACTCGATCAGGCCTCTAATAGAAGCATCGAAGGCTCATCTGTGGTTGTACTATAGTAGTGGTATGGATACCATCCTTTCAACTTATCCAAAGACTCTGATGGTATGATATGGTTTGATGCAGGATGGCAGAGCTGAAAACAGGGAATCAACGACGTGTATGCCTAAAATTTGCCACAAGCTCGCCCGCAATTTGAGTCTCGAGAACGAATGTTCAATGTCCACCATACATCGTCATGATGTCGATGACAAGAGAAAATAAACTGTTGAGCCAGAGTCAACTCCTGACAGCCATGACCCACAGAGGCGTTCATTGCTGGGTTCGGCCACGCGACTACCCACACAGGCTGCCGGGAGCGGGACTTGATCCAAGCGTCAAGACATCATTAAGCCGTTTCATTTGTTGCCAGTGGCTGGGACGGATCCGGTGGTTGTTGCTCCGCGGCGCCTCTGTCAAGGGTTTCATTGGGACATGAGTGTCCTCTTCCACGGTCGCACCCTTGTTGATGGTGCCCTATCAGATCGCCATCTGGAACCAGGGACTATGGCCGCATTTTTAATGCCAAGCCTGCCAATGACAGGTACAAGTTTGTGAGGATGAGGAAACACCTCAAGGGCTGCTTTTCTGTACGTAAGACGTGGTGAACAAGATAACAAGGCCATCGAGTATCCGAATAAAGAGGTAAATCATGTTGCACGAGTAAAAACTGCGACATATGCTCTTACGGATAATACTAAGGCATATGCGTGGGGAGTCTGCCAGTTCTTTGGTCCAAACCAATGATTTCCATCCTGACAGTCCTGGGAGGTTGCATCACCGTTAATGATTGACCTTGTCCATGGGTGATCCCTGAAGTGCCTCCCGACAAGAACAACGTCAAAAGCACAGACACAGCCTTGAATGACCCCCAAAGATTCTGTGCCATCATTGTGGTCGACGTATCTCCTTATGTCTCAGTATTATAGAGGTTCGTATTGATTTGTTTGCACGTTATGTCAGCCTCATTTCACTGATTGTACCAGGTTGTCCACTCGCGTGGCTGACTGAGGACTGAGATTATGTCTGGCCAGTAAAAAAACTGAGCTGGAACGATCGACAATGCGATATCGTTTTGTATGCAAGAAGATAGTCGTATATTTGGACTTGAACGTGCTGCTGAGCAACTTTTTCAAGTTGAGTAGGGGTCAGAAGGAAGGCGAAAATTAGGACAAGGCTATTTCGCATTCTTTAGCTGCATTAGGTCAAGACCAGATGGATGGACGAATACATACCTGCATGATGAATGAATACATCCAACCCTTCCCATCCATCACAAACTTTTTAACTGGAACATGGTAGCTCATCAAAGCCAGGGGAGCGGTTCCGACTGCGAAGAATTAAGGCCGACCCATCAGCTGCAAATGTCCGTCTGCGGCTTCGGCACTGTCCCAGTCTGGTAAAGCTTTAACGGCATTTCGTAGAGGTACGTAGGTACAGAGAAGAAACAAGACCCAGGAGATCGGGCGCATTCCAACCATTTCATGTCAAACAAAGCGGAGCTGGTTCGGGGGTATTCGAATCCTTGTCAGTCAACTATCCATGAAATACAAGATTTCGGGGGTAGAAACGAAAATGACCAAATGGGAGAAGAGTTTGTTATGTAGGCCAAGTGAATGGAAAGAGGAAAGAAAGAAATACCTACCTATGCTTAGGAAGGTAAGATTGGATCGGATTGGCAGGCATGAATGGATGAGGTGTAAGCAGGCACGCCTGTCATCGATGGAACTGGGGCGTGTTCCTTCCCTCCCGTCCCCTTTCACTCCATCCCTCCTAATCCCATCCCATCCCATCCATCCAACATCCCCTCCCCCCCCCCCCCCCCAAACTCAGCCCGCCCCGCGCTCCATTTGGCAATAACATCATCCATCTCGTCGACCCAATCTTTGTTATTCACCCCTGTCTCTCGATCACCGTCCTGACTAACCCTATTAAACGCGCCGTTCAAGGGCTATATGTCATCGTCAGCTCCAAACCTCATATCACAATTGTCGCTCTTTACTCGACGCGTACTAGTTCCCTTAGCTGTGGATTGGAACTCTGCCCCAGCCTTTACAAGTGCTCTCAGAGCCTTTGTCTCTCTCCCACCAATAAGTCATATATGTTAAGACAACTTCAACTGCCTCTATTATTAGCTGACCCAGCTCTACCGAAATCTTTCGAATTTGTGGAAACTCAATACCGTACGGATACCGGGACGCACACATCCACTTGGTCCAGTACCCTGCTCGTCTTACACTCACTCCTCCACATGTCTATCCACGTTTGTTTGTGCTCGAAAAGCTTTTCTTGACGGAACCCGTATCCTTCTCCGTGAGCTTCTGATACTGTTACCTCTGCTCGAAGTCAGCTCTTTGTGTTTTATTCCCACTGCCAGAGTCACATTCGAGCCCGGGCCATCTACCCGTGATTGATGACCTGCTTGTCAGTGGGCGTGGGATCGGTCCCCTCGTCAGGCAGTCAAAGGGCACCAAGCTTAAAGCTCTTGGCCGGTTCCCGGGACCCACGAGCCCAAGCTCTCTCATTGAACAACGATTTGACGCCCCGTCAGGCTTGCATCTTGCATACGACAGGCTCCTTCTTCAGGGAACAAGGACGTTTTTGGCCTTCGACCTCATCTCCAGGGGCCCAGCCAACTGCTTGACCAGTCCACTCTGAAGTCGACCGTGTCCCCGCTGCTGCCGTTTTTCTGATATACGCCCCCTACGTGGATCTGGAATCAGTAACCAATCTAACATCTTCCCTATAGCAAAGGGCCCTGACAACTTTGCATCGATCAATCTCTCCTCCCTGTCATAGGTGACAGTGCCCCTCCGTTCCCCAGCCGCGATACATGCATTCCCTTATTGTCGTTGAAGGCCCCTCTCGCAATACCTTACAACTATCTCAGACCTCCCTCGTCAGTGACCAACGAACGATCTTGCAAACCGCCGCGTGACACGAGAACTAGGTTCAAGCTCCGTGTACGAGATTTATCAGAGTATGACAACAAAGTCACAACCACTAATCCTTCCCTTCACCTCGAGTTCTTCTTGGGCACGTCTGTAAGAAGCTTTTGGACCCCTTAAAAGCACCGCATTGCACATTTTGCTGTCCTTCAGATATTGAAACGGACTTGCGTTACTGGCCAAGCCGCGATAGCGGTTCTGATATTCACTGTTTGTGAAGAAACGCCCGTTGAAAACCCGTTCGAAACACCCCTGACCCTCTGCACAGTATTATTGAGACTGAGTTGTCAGTAGCCAACCTTTGGTTACTCGCACCTTTCTGCTAAGTCGGAGTATCTCGAAGAACGACCTGCCCTCCTTGCTGCTTAACATCTCTACTCTATATCTGGAGCAACTCTAACCAGTAAACAAACTTTTGGAAAGCATGCGAATCGCGAACTGTTAACTAGATTCTTTCCTACTTCAACACCACTGAAGCATCGAGTCACTTAACATCGCATTAATCGACTAATCACAATGGGAGACTACTACCATCACTTCCTGTCGTCGATGTCCGGGGCAGGGATGAATCCAGCGACGTCTCCTGAGGAGATGCTCGACCCTCGAATGCATGGAGCACCGATACCAATGGTATCTGCGCCGTTACCTGGTCCGTATCAGCAACTTGGATATTTTACCGGGTTTCCAGATCCCATGATGTTCAATCAGAACAAGTCGCAGAAAGCTCGCCGAAAGTCTGCAGCTGGTACCCCTGCAGCAGTTGACCATGTCAAGCATCGAAGAACACGATCAGGCTGCTTCATGTGCCGGAGTAGGAGAGTTAAGGTATGTAACTGAGGACTGAGTAGAAAGCATGCCTAACTCTCCCAGTGCGACGAAACCAGACCAATATGTGAACGTACGTGCAGTCTTGCAGGGACTTGTTGATTCTGAGATGATAATGCTAACATTCTTAAGGTTGCAAGAAGGGAAATAGAGAATGTGTCTACCCAGATCCCCCATCATCAAAAGGTTCCTCAGCCTCGAGCGGTAAATCCAAAGATACTGCAACTTCTGCTCAACAAACGAGTCCAACTTCGTCCAAATCAGAGGACGACGAGGACACTGAGCAAGAAAGTAAACTAGAAATGATTGTGGACGAAGACGAAGATACTGAAGACCAAACAAAATCTTCGGTACTCTCCAGACAGTCAAAAAGCGTCTCCCCATCGACCGCAACAGCAACACCAAGTAGCCTTGCAGCTGTCTATTCCTCCTCCGAGTTTCCTATACAGATGGGTGAAGCAGACTGGTCACATCTACCACCGGAGTACCAACAAGGCCTCTCCTTCTTTGTGGAAAACCTCAACCATTTCAATTATTGTATACCACTAGACTCGGATGGCTTTTTTACGAAGATTCTTCCCAATTTGGCCACTCGCCACGAGCCCTTGCTCAACGCCCTCGTAGGCTTCTCTGCATACCATATCACTCTTCGAAACCCACAGGGAAAGCTCCAGGACTTTTTACAATATTACAATAAGAGCGTAACGCAGCTCTTGGGCTTGTTTAAGAGACGAGAGAAGCCCAACGTTGCCACTCTTCTCACTATTCTGCAGCTTGCCACTATCGAGGTATCTGTGAATCCTTTCTCGCCATCCAACCTTCACATTCTGACTGTACTGCTTAGGAATATTTTGGCGACTGGGTCAATCTAATGGGACACCAAAAAGCAGCTTTCGAAATAATAACGAGTATATTCACCCCCCAGACAGTGATGCAGACGCCCGTTGGCCGCATGTGCCTTAGCTGGTACGCCCGATTCGATAACTTCGTTGCCCTCATGGGAGGATTCCCTACCGATCTGCCGCGCGAATGGTTCCAAGCGATGCTGGATTTCTATCAATCCGGGATTACGTCAAACCCAGATGAGTTACATTGGAAAATCGATGCGTGGTCCGCACGACTTCGCCTGATCTCTTACGACATGTCGATTTTGTTCGCCCGAGGCAGTAGAGGCCAGATATCCCAGGAGGACTTTGTGAAAGAGCACGAACATTTGAACCAACAGCTCATAGAGTGGAAGGAGAAACGCGACCCCGCCCTACAGGATCCCAAATATCTTATCAAGGATTTTCCTCCGGCAGAAACTCTCGATCCGGACGACTTTGTTAATCCCTATACGGTTGGAATACTTTACGATTTTCCCCTGTTCGACGTCACAGTTCTATGCGCAGAATGGAACAGCATCATGATAATGCACAAATGCCAATCATCAGGAATGAGACCAGACCAACTGTTTGCGGATCTAAACCGCCATGCATATAGGACGTGTCAATATTTCGAAACATTGGAGTTCTGGCCTTCAACTCCCAGAGGCGTTTTGGTTCTGATACAGGCATGTATTGCTATTGCAGCTCTTTTCTGCCCTCAGGATGCGAGGCATCACATGTGGTTCCGCCGGAAGTTTGCTTTACTAGAGACTATGGGGTAAGAACAAAACTAGCCTACATGCTCCAGTCGGAAGGTCATAAGTCGAATGATCGCTAATTATTAAGTAGGTACATTCATCCTCTTCCGCTACGTACCAAAATGGCAGAGTTATTCCGAGAACCCTCCTGTGTAAACTGGTGGCTGCCGAATGAAGAGGGATTCAGCCCAGTGTTACAGGAAATCCGTAATTTTGCGGATGAACGGAACGCTGCAGCTGTTACAGCCCAGCAAGAAAGTGTTCGTGAGGTTCGACATATTTTCGCTAAGATGTCGCTGATGGATGATGCAAATGCCCCGTCAAGCTCTAGTCCAGACTCTGCGTCAAGGCCCAGTGTTGATTCATCCAGTTCGAAGCGATGATGTATTCAGGGGCTGGGATCTATCCCGGATCATGCAAGTACACAGAAATTGCAACACAAACTCATCATTATTTAGATTCCCCCCCTATTTTTCTTTTCCTGCACACCTCCCTTTTGTGGGCAGATTGTGGAGATTGTTGTTTCTCCAGCAGGGACAAGATTTCGAGGCAGGCGGCCAATAATGACACTTCTTTTCTGAGGCCAGGGAAGGAGAAACTTCGTGGTTTGTTTTGGGGTTACAAACGCAGGAATAGACTAAGGAACCATTACACGTGGTATGGTAGATAAACGCGTTTACAGCCACGGTGCTGGCACGTGGAGGATTTACTGGAAGATTGGGTGTTTCAACAGGCATTTTGACGGTGGTACTGGCACCGTCAGGTTGATTATGTATTGACTACTGAGGATGACTGTGTGGTCAATTGTATTATTATACAGTGGGCAGGTGACTCTGCCATGCTATACTACCATATCCTGAAAGACAAGATATGAAATCAAATGGATATCACCTTGATCCGTCTATTACTTCTCATCCGTTTTGGGTTCGTCATCTGACTTGGTATCTATGGCCTTTGCCGCATCCTCTGAGGATTTGTCCTTGGCCTCTGAGGATTCAGGGGCATCCGCATCTGGTGCTGAGTCTACAGAGGCGTTTTCCCTTGTCGGCTCGTCCTCTGCAAAGCCCGTATCTGTAGATTGCGCTGACTCAAGAGAGTCCGCAGCTGGCTCATGTTCATCCGTTTGAGTGTCATCGTCGTTTGCAGAATCTTGTCCTGAAACAGATCCAACAACTGTCTGGTCGGCATCATCGTCAATTTCTTCGTCTTCATCGTCGTCATCATCGTCGTCATCTTCTTCCTTCTCAGCTGGGGGACTGTGGGACTGTGCTCCGGATTCTCCCATGACTGATTGCTCAACAATAACAGGGACATCGGCCACTTCTGGCTCCTCCTCCACGGGTGAGGGAGCGGTCAGGTGCATATCCTTTAGTTTCCTGGAAACTCCAGCGGGTTCCTCCTCCTCGGCTTCAATAACAGTTGTTACAGCACTTCCCGTCGAAGGACTACTTCGAATGTGTCGTCGAGTATTCGTTCTTGTTGGATGCATGTTGTCTTCTTCGGCAGGAGGACCTCGTTGATGAGATGAAGGCTTGAGAATGGTGGGAGGAGGTTTCTCGGGCTCCTGTTCAGTATGGGGTGCCTCGAGTCCCTCCGCCTCGGGAGGCAACTTGTAGTTCTCAGCAGGCAGCAGATCATACAAGTCGCATACAGTCTTGAACAGGACGTACAGTCCTGTCTCGGCCTCTACAGACCAAAACACACCACGATGCTGAAACCAGGCATGGGCGAATATGCGATGCAACCTGCGGAACACATTGACGAGATTCTTGACACCCACATTCTTACTGTGGTTGTCATTATGGACGACAAAGCGGCTGGGGAAGATCTTCTGGTCGGTCACAACGTTGGCAGCCCAGTCCAGGGTGTGACAGCAGTAGTCGATGGCGCAGCAGCTCTTGGGCTGTTCGTGCACAGCGCAGAGGAACTGCCATTCGGAAGCGCGCATTTCAGGGCACGTGTTCGCACTGCATGGCGGGGTGTCGAAGAGGAAGCCAACAATCAAGGAGTTGCACTGCGAGATGAGGAAGCGGCAGAGCTCATAGAGCCAGATAGTCCGGTCGACGCCATTGGGAGGTGTCGCGAGCTGTAGCGCGGTGCCACGGGTGATCGGTTGGGTGTTGGAGGAGGTATGGTAGCAGTGGAGGGCGGCTAGGTGTTCTTGGAGTTGAAATGCAGAGTCGAGCTGGTTCATGTTAGCTTCAAGGTTCCGACATATTATGATGACGGCGCAAATAAGGTACCTCTTGTAGTGGTATCAAAGGAGGTCCAGCAGCCATATCTGCTGCTTTTGTTCCTGGGTGTATCCGCCGTCTAGAGCTGGCTTCAAGCTGCGATTGCTCCTGGGGTGTCGTATGAAGACTGGCTGCAGGTCCGCCAGAAGGAGACATGGGTGCCATTTGAATCTCTGCAGCTGGCGGAGGGCTTGGAAGCCTAGGGGAGCTCGGTGCTAAAGACATGACTGGCAAAATTATGAAGTCGTTGCTAATAAAAACTCGCGATGTTGGGCGCAAAAGATCTGGGGAGAACTGGGCGGTTAATATCACACAAGGCTGCGCTGGGTTGACAAGTGGCTGGCAAGGGGAGGCAAGAAAACTTAGGACCATTATCCTGAGTGACGAAAATACTTGGGTAATCTTAGTGTATTTCATTAGATCTTTAGACCAGTTAAATTTGGCACCCTGTTCTAGCGTCACGAGGTTTATTTATCCCCCAAAGACTGGGCAGGGCTACCTAAGCTCACCAGGGGGTCTAGGGTGGGGATTCGGTATATGCATAACAGAGAAATGCCCGTCGCATGCAGCTAAGGGGGACCGTGCAACTTATACCATCGAGTTTCTGAATGCATGATTTCAAGATATTTTGTGAGTGCTTCTTATTGATCGAGAAGAGTCTAAACTCACGGCGAAAAGAACTCGATAACCGCCAGCCGTTAGAATTGCTTCCCGAGCGTTCTTGAACTTAAAGAAAAGGCTGAACTAAACGGCCAAACGTTAACTACAACAGTCATGGATTTTGATGACGATGCCCCGCCAGAGCTGGTTGATACAACCGCCAACGATGTGGATGAGGAGATTACAGTCAAGGTTCCTATCACAATTGTGACAGGTATTACTACTAGCCACTATTTATCTCATTCTCTAATAGTTGATAGGATATCTCGGTGCTGGTAAAACTACCTTGCTAAATTACATCCTTACGGCTCACCATGGCAAGAAGATCGCTGTCATCATGAATGGTTAGGACGGACCACGACTTGTTGGAAACAGCCACTAACATGATATAGAATTTGGAGACTGTAAGTGCTCAGGTGTGAGATTGTCGTTACGTTTCTAAGTCGTACTGCAGCGCTCGACATTGAAAAGTCCCTTACTGTGAACAAAGGTGGTGAGCAGGTTGAAGAATGGTTAGAAGTCGGCAATGGCTGTATCTGCTGTTCCGTAAAGTACGTCTTGAATGTACGGCAGCCACCCACTACCGTGCTAACTGAATTCAGGGATACAGGAGTCAATGCGATAGAGTCTCTCATGTCGAAGAAGGGTGCATTTGACTACATCCTCCTCGAAACCACTGGCTTAGCCGACCCCGGAAACCTAGCCCCCCTCTTCTGGGTGGACGACGGACTTGGAAGCACCATTTATTTGGATGGAATAGTCACGCTCGTAGATGCGAAGAATATCCTGCGCAGTCTTGACGACCCCAATGGTGTTGTCGAAGGACACGACGACCACGGTCATGGCCCTGTTATGACTACAGCACACGTTCAGATCTCTCATGCGGATGTGATCGTGATCAACAAGGCCGACATGGTGACAGAGGTGGAACTCAACCAGGCCAAAGAGAGAATCCAGTCGATCAATGGTCTTGCTAAGATCCATGTAACGGAGAGGAGTGTAGTCCCTCAACTGGAAGGATTCCTGCTTGATTTGCACGCATATGACCAATTCAACGAGTCAGACGCAAATACCAAGGGACATAGTCACCTCGACCCTGTAAGTTCCCGCCTGATATATGATATTTGTAAGAGGTTATGTAGCTAACCGCTCAGACCATATCGACCGTCACCATACCCGTTGGTCGCCTTGAGCCAGGACAACTGGACACAGTTGATCGTTGGCTACGATCGGTACTGTGGGACAGCAAATTACCTGAAGATGAAAAGGAGGGTGATTTCGAGATCCATCGCTCCAAGGGACGGCTTGTGTTTGCCAATGGAGAGGTCAAGATGTTGCAGGGGGTGAGGGAGGTCTTTGAGATAAATGACGGGCCGTTGGGAGATGAGACGCCCAAGGAGGGGAAGATTATTCTGATTGGAAGAAACGTAGCAGATGTTGGATTTGAATACAGTTTCAAAAAAGCCCTAAGCTAGCCTTTATTACCTAGAGTAAAGAATAGAGGTGCATGATAACTCTATGATGTCTGAGGTCTTCCGCTAGTGCTTGCTGATTACTGAATGTAGACTGGAGCAGTTGAGCTCTGCTCAATGAATGGCAATTGACTTGCTTATCTTCTCGCCTATATTACTGTTATCATTCGATATATCACAGTGTCTAATAGAGGTTGTTGTTTATAGGCGTTGTTTGTTGGCGATGTTTGCCATGATGTTGAAGCATCCCCACTTATTCCCGCCCGGATCATCGTCCATTCCACCTCACTCCAATGTCCAGCCTTCTCTCTCAGTGAGTGAGCCCTTCTCCAACCAGTAGCAAACCTAAAGCCCCAGGCGAATAAGGCCAGCTCTGAAAGCAAACGATCGCATCTACAAACAACATCCCTACCATTTTGTCAACCTCCGCACAAAAACGCATCGACGTCGCACCGAACGAACCCTCTTGCTACGACACTTCGAATTAACAACATTGTATTCCAGCAGCACCTCCACTTTGTTGATCGCGACAAACCTCTACAGTCAATCATGAATAGGCCAGGTAGGACGCACCCCCCACGACGTTATTCCTTCGCAGCCCAGACCCCGCGCTGCCAGCGACATCTGCAAAAACCTTCGTCATCTTTCGTAATTTTTTCGGCATATTATCATGCGAGAGAGAGCTGTGCGCCAGCACTTACGCTCACGAGCCTTGTGAAACTCCCTTGACGGCTTTCAACCCCTCCGCGACCCTCATTGACCTTGTTCGGATGTCGCCACGATCGCTTCAATGGATCTAAACGCGGATCAGGATCAGGCTGGGGGCATGTCGGAGAGATTGCCATGAGCAGAGGCTGGATGGTCAAGCAAGCAAGCGAGCATTGGCAGGATAACGCTGACGATGTCATCGAATCGTAGGGGCAGTGCCACAGACACTCCGCGGGATGCCTGGTGGCTTTGGAGGTCAACAGCAACCCCAACAACCAGGACGAGCAGGAACGAATCGATTACCGAACGGAAAACTAGGTATGCGCTTCAGAAGTGATTGCGATCTCCGCGCTGTTGTTTTGGCTGGGTTGCATCGAAGACGGCCTTAGGCTAATACCGGGGGACAAATATAGGGAACAATAACTCTGGCTGGGCGTTTGGAGGGGTTCCCATGGCTGGAGCAGGTCCCCAAAACGCTGGACGTCAACTTGGCGGAAACGTGAGCTTCGCACAGAGCTTGTCGGGCTCTCAACCTGCAACATCACTCGACCTATCGTACGTATATGGCTGCGGCACACATCATCGGAGCTTCAATACCTGTCCGGTATTGAATTATTCGAATCGAAGCTAGTCACAATGACGCGCTTGCTAATGCAGACTAGCGAATTCCCATCATTATCGAACAACGCCCAGATGTCGAACCCCAACCAGTCGTCTATGTGGTCGACAGCTGGATCGCGAAACCTGGGTGGTCCCAGTCCGCGCAACCAAGCTACCCCTCAGCAAGGTGGCCAGGATGATATGTTCAGTCCCACCTCTTCCAGAGGGCAAGGCGGGTTCAGATTCGGTAACCAAGGCAACATTGGACAACAAACTCAATCAAGCAGCGTTGACGACTTTCCACCACTGAACCAGACCTCGAATGGTGAGATGGGATCAGATCGGACGGCGAGCTTGATGTCATCTTTAGGCTTCAGCTCTCAGGCCGCCGGCGCTGGACCCTCAGCAAGCAATAGGGGGAATGGTCTTCTGAACGCATTGTCGGCTAACAGCCGAGCGAATGAAGCCAGGTCGCCGCCTGGTATTGGAGCCCCTGGCTCTTCAAGACCGCAAGACGGCAAACCTCCTGGCCTGGAAGAGCCCCGGCAAAAGTCTTCCAAGGAGGATGCGGTACCAGACGATGCTTCTAATGCAGCGGATTATAACAACGCGGACTATAGCGCCACGAATTATGTGGCACAAACCATGCAAAAGAGACTCGATACTGAGGACGTCATTGACCCTCTAGAGGGTATGCCAGCATCCGACAAGTGGGGTCTCAAGGGCTTGACAACGTTGATGAACAACTATCCTGACTACCACGCGATGGTTGTGGGAATGGACCCTAACTCGCTAGGACTTGACATCAATTCTCAAGAGTTTGTCTTCTCAAAACTAGCGATGGAGGCTTGCTAACATGCTTCTCAGGTTGTTTTCGACTCAGATTTACTCGCTGTTTGATGACGCACCTCCTCGGCCAGTCCTTTCCAATGGAAGATTTCGATTGCCGGATTGTTATAACGTGACAAATGTGCAACCTATCGAGAGTAAAATTCAGAGTTTCAATGAAGAGACTCTATTTTGGATCTTTTACAGCTGTACGGCAGATGTAAAGCAACAAATGGCTGCAGTTGAGCTGTAGGCGATAACCTATTTGTGCACTGTATGGAAAACAACTAACTCGTTGATAGACATTCACGAAACTGGAGGTGGCACAAGAAACACCAGATCTGGTTGACCAAAGACGAGCACATGACTCCTCAAATACTGAGTCCTAACCATGAGCGAGGCTATTACGTCGTCTGGGACACAAACTCCTGGCGCAAAGAGCGTGTATGTGCATCTCGGAGGGTTTTAGACGATATCATCTAACAAGCGCACAGAAAGAGCTCACTCTACACTATGGCGATCTAGATACAACGCTGGGCCAGGCGCAGGTTGTGCCTTGATAGGAGGAGTACTGAGCACCACGATTGGAGAGAATTTCCTTTGGAACAGGTGTGCATGGGTGACTGATACGTGAGAAACGTATAAAGGGGCGTTACGGCATCAAGACAGGGCAACTGTTTCTCGTGGGGATGGGATCGGACCTGGGTTATGAATGAACGCTCTTCCATCACTGAGGGCTGGCTTATCGCCTGGATATCGGACTGTCGTGTCAATAAATGATGCTTTTCAGTTCTGCGCAATAACTGTTTGCCTTGAATGTTATGACATGTATGAGAATTCGCCGCGGCCGCATTGGACGACAGGCTATGGTTTGACTCCAGTTATTCTAATCAATTATCAAGAATCAGTATTTGAAAGAGCCCGAAGCCATCATCTCATTTGGTTCTGATATCAATCATATAAAGTTCGGTCATTAACATGATTAGCCGAGGATTCCCCACATGCAATTTGACGTAGCGCCCCGTCTTTCGAGGTGGGCTCGCTGGCGTAAGAGCAACGCTTATTACATGCCACCGACCCACGACCCAAGCTCTCTAGCTCGTGGCTACAACTGTACATACGTATCGTCATCTCGGCATCTTTCTTGGACGGCCACCTATCTCGGTCGAACCCGTGTAGCCTCTTATAATTCCTTCGAACGTCCGCCTCTTCCTTGCGACTCATACATCATGGCGGACGACCAAATCTCATTGCCATATCTACTGGCCATCCTGGTCGTCTCGGGCTTGATAATACGATATCTGTTCTTTGGAGGACCGTCGCCACCTCAGCCCACACGATCCCCTGAAGCTTTCCTCCGGTCTAGAGAGATTGCAGTTGAGAGAATACAGCAAATGTTTCCGCAGGCGGATCGACGGAGTATTCTATGGGATCTGCAGCGCAACGGAGGAAACATCCAGAGCACGACAGAGCGAATACTAGCAGGACGACTGGACACGGTATGCTGAACCTGTGCTATTGCCCTTTCAGGCCTCTTGCTGACAAGTATCACCACTAGCCCCCCGTGACTTTCCAACCGCCGCCTCCTCCGGGCCAGTCTGCACCGAGCAGCAGCGCAGCGACGGCGTCTCGACAGCCGGATAAGCCAGCGCAGCCGGATCTTATCACCCGGTATAACCTTGAGGACAAGTTGGATACTGCGTCGCAGGAGGAGCAGGATGCCAAGGGTAAGGGATGGAGCTCGAACAGAGATGAGAGGCAAGCTTCGCTGCAGAGGAGGAGGGATGAGATGATTCTTGCAGCGCGGAGGAAGATGGAGGCTAAGCTTGCGGCTGAGAAGGCGGTTCAGGGGAGTTGATAGGATAGAAAGACGCATGACATAGTAGATAACAAGGTGGCCAAGCATTGTATTAGTTTTTGACGGTGGCATCATGTCGCGTGCCCTTTTGACAGAGACAAGTGTAGCTTTTTCTTTTATTATACTCATATTTAGACAAACATGTATTTGTAACAATACTTGATTAATCAAGCTCAAGAACCTAAAGTGCTTGTATAGCGGGTTGTCAGATCTGCATCAACGCTTGTTAGCATGTAAGCCAACCCTGTCTGTACTGCATATCGATTATCGTCCGTTGATCACATGCGCAAACAATTCAAGCAGTTTTGCCATCTTGCTACCAGAGACTTAAAATATCGCCATGCCGAGATATCTGCCACAAGTCCAATAACACCTATCTAGTACTCACAAATATTTCACTCGAACTTAACTTGTTTCTCAGACTTATTCTGAGATTTACACCAACCAGCCAAGCCTCTCATGTGAAGCTGATAGTCAGAGATGTGGCAGTGCTTGCGTGGCTCTGTGGCGATGGTCTCGGGAGATTATCAGGAAATGAATGTCTAGCGACTAGCGCAGTGCTAGGAGTGCCAGAAGGCCTCCAGATACAATCAAAGCGAAAATGAAGATTGGCCTGTGTTCCGGTGCATGACTGAGGTAGCCAAAAGGTTCATGGATCCAGTTGAAGCTATCTTAGCATATAGACACCTTGAGGTTGATTGCCAGTAACGGCATAAACTCAATCGCTGACAGGTTCGACAGAGATACCATCTAATGGAACACTTACTCTCACTGAAACAGTGATATGAATCACATACCTTAACTACCTCGGATGATAGCCCATTGTTGGAGTTGTAGACAATAGCAACTGTAGTGGGGTTCTGGGGATTGGTTGCTGGTACAAATATAAGACCCCGCCACATGTTTGTTTTCTTCTACATATGCGCGGGCAACCGAATGATACTCTGACAGGAATCTGCTTCAGCTACGCCAACAGGTTCCAAATTCAGGAACAAGATTAATTACCGCATTCCAAGATCACTTCTTAGTAAAGTCACCTCAAAAGAGGCGTTACGGAACATCTGCCGCGAAATCCAGGGTCCAAAGATCTATCAAAGGCGAACCCTGGAGCTGAGCCACAGCCATTCAACGCGGCCTCGTGAACTAGGGTCCAGGTAGTTCAAGTGTATCACCCTTCGACTTCACCCATTCACCTGAGCTCCGCCTAGATCCAAAAAGGCACACTACCTATTCTCCGATCAACACCAGCTTCACATCTCCCTCTTTCTTTTAGCACTTTCATCGCATCTCCCCCTTCATTCACTGACCTTTGCGTCCCCTCTTTAGACTAAACGTAGTCTCGTCTTTGGTCATACAGATTCGCTCCTTGATCAACAGCCTCACGTTCAAGATTTGACGTCATCTTGGTAACTCTCCCTTTTCCTTGGATCAGCAACATGCCAATTAGTACCACCAATCCGCATCTGTTGCTGCGCATGTCAAGAGGCACAGTTAGCTGAGGTAGCCACCCGACACCGGGTCCATCCTTGCGATACTGCATGGCTGATCAGATATATCCTTCATGCCCTACGCTCCCTGGCTGACCTCATGACCCTTGCTCAACCTCGTTGATTTGATCTCGACTTTCTAGTGATTATACGTGCTAACATCAAACCTTCAAGGTACGACTTCATACTCGTGCACCTCGATCGAGAACGTACCCTGGCATTTGAGTGCAGTACCCCATTGTGCAACAGTGACCAATTCGAACTCCAACGACAAGTCTCTCGCAGACCTGAAACGCCACTCGACACAAACGATACCGAAGACGGCCTTCATGCATTTCCACAAACTATTCGATTGTTGATACCCGAACCCTTCAAGACTACAAGTACATATCTTGAGGTTGCGTGCACCTAATTGCCAGCGGACCGGGGCCCTTTCATCGCGATGGGTACACCCCGAGACTATTATGCAGACTTAGAGCTGCCACCGACGGCAGACGCCGCGGAAATTCGAAAACAATATCGAAAACTTGGTACAAATGGACGAAGCTTGTTTCCTTCTTACAGCCGCTGACACGAATTGTAGCTCTCAAGTATCATCCAGATCGCAATCCTGGACGAGAGGCAGAAGTGAACACACAGTTCCAGATTATCCAAACGGCGCACGAAATTCTTTCCGACCCTGAACAGAAGGCCAAGCACGATGCTTCGCGAGGGCGCGGTAGATTTCCAGGAGCTTCGGGTGTTAAGGGTAACCCGTGGTCAAATGTCAGCGCCCAGTATCCGCCCCCTCCTCGGCGCAACAATGCAAATCCTCGAGCTCCGCCATCGGGCGCACAAAGATGGCAACGTTTCTCTACGGGAGTTCCTCCCACTGCAAAGCAGTATACAGCATCAGATGCTGAATCGAAGAAGAATGCTGCCCGAGCATTTGAAAACATGCGAAAGGGTACATCGACCAAAGCGAACGATCAACCACGACCTCCCCCTCCACCTCCGCCACCACGGACTGAATCTGCCAGACAACGTCAAGAGGCCTCATTTGGTGCCAGGAAGACAGGCTTCCACCCTCGGACAACAGTGGGCGATGAACCACCTGTATCAAGTAGCAACTACAGCTCGAGACCTGCTTCGGAACGATATGCGCAGCGATTTGGCTCTGACATTCCACAACAAGCACCTCCTCCTACTCCCCAACGGCCGCCCCCAACTGCGATGCCTGATCCGTTAAGCCAATTCAGAGACCGAGACAGTACAGCAGACCCCCGACAAAGCAGTCCTTATGCATCAAACGGAGGCGAAAAGACTAACCCTTTCGATGGCATCTCAATAAACCGGGCTAAGAGTACTCGGGAAGCAACTCGCCAAGATCAATCTGCCTCTGAAAATGAAGCCTTCAACCGACAACGCAGCGCCAGTGCACCGAAGGGTGGAAAGGCTGAGGACGTTCCTTTGAATAATAAGGCTCCCGAACAACCTTCGATACCTCGGGATCCGGCAGACCGTCCCAAGGCGCCGTTGAAGAAAACTCGCAGTGGTTTCAAGAGTGTTCCACTAGGACCTAACCAGCAGGCCACCGAGTTTCCCGCAAATGATAAGCGTCAGTGAAAGTCGCCAATTCAAAAATCTTGTTACTAACTATAAGACAGCAACTGATTCACCTGGTGGCCCAACAATGTATGGCAATCCATTTTCTACAACATCTAGCCGCCCATTCCTGAAGAGCTCCCACAAGTGTCGTGGTCACCACGGGTATGATTCCTTGGGGAATCATTGCCCATATGAAATCCCTATCAAGCCTTCTCAGCCGTCGCCTAGTGGTAGACAGGATTCAACTCACCAATTGACTCCGTTTGAGCGCCAGCAACAGGAGCTCTTATCGCAACTCATCGACAACGCGAGTCCTGACAGCCCTGCTAAGAAGCCGAAGCTCCAAGACCGCGACTCTAAGATCCCCAGCATGCCGAATCGTGCTAACAAAGTCTACTCGAACAGCTTTAGTTTCCCTGTCAATGATGACACTTTCGCGCGAACATCGCCTGATCACCATCGATTCTCCCGACGAAGCACTGACGATATTAACACTAGTTTTGCTGATGAAGATGATGCTGCTGGGTGGGAGTTCAATGCCGGTGGAGTTGAACAGGACAGCCCAAGTAGGCCCCGAAAGCCAGGTCGCCGATCTCCAGGGAAGCGGCCCCCGATGAGCGGCAAGAGTACACCGAGTCTCATGTCTGATGCCGAGAGATCCGACTCTGCTAAACCCGAGTCGGCCTTTAACCCTGCAGGTTGGGACTTTGGTCCCCAAACATTTGTTCCTCAGCCGTCAAAGTCTGTATCTCCCACGCGATCTACCCGAACAAACTCACGAAAGCCGAAGGCGTCCAAAAAGTCAAGCCATGCCAATCTTGTGGACGACAGCAGCAGTGAAGATGAGGTTTTGGAATGGCGTGGCCGAAAAGTGCAAGAAGAGCCACTTGCTGCCGAGAGCCCCCAGGCTATGGACATAGATACTCCTCCTGCGCCGTCTTCCATGCCGCCACCTCGACCCCCCAAGGTACCTTCACCCCAACCAGCTCAGACTACGCCTTCACCACAGCCTGCCCAGCCTGTGAGCCAACCTCCGCAACCCGTTGAAACGAACCAGGCTCCTGGAGTGGTACCTGCTCCTCATGCTGCCCGAAACATCAACGTCGAACCCACCAGACCCGAGTGGCGACCTGGCAATGTTGACACCGTCAATGGTAACGAGCACGGACCCGAGAGTCCCAGAAAGGCATTCAATTCAAACAACATGGGATCTGAAGACAGCGAAGAGTTCCAAGCAAGCTTTGCTGACCTCAGAAATGTGGCACCATTCACTCAACAGAGTTCCGGCTTGAAGTCTTTCTCTGACTTGAAGGACAATCTACCATTTGAAAGCAAAGCGGCGCCACAGATTCCAATGAAGTTACCCAAGGTCCACCCGTTGATCTTTCCAGCAGCACCAACTGCTCCTCAAATCCCAGCTGCGGCCACTATTAACGGTGTAAAGCCAAGTGCGCTTTCTTGGGAGACATATGTCAAAGATTTTGAACATTACTTGAAGCAATGGGACACGTTCAACGCCCAAGTCGTCGACCATTTTGCCACCCGAAAGTCGCACATTGCTCGTACCCGAGAAGAAAAGGGATATTCATTCTTGGAGAACCGGGGTGATGCTGACATTCAGGAGTATTACAACTGGCTCGAACAGGATATGGATGTTCGTCGACGCTGGGCAGCCGCATGCGAGGAGCATGAGCACCGATTCCGAGAATTCATGGCGTTTCGAATGAAGATGAAGTAATTGATTGGTTTTGTTTGTGGAGTTGACAGTTTATGGATTGGGTCGAATTTCGTCTAATGTCGTTTTATCGTCAACATGGGATACCAAGAAGACTAACTACTTAGCTGTTGATCACTGGAGAGGATACATATAGCACGCGATACAGAGTGAATTTCGGGGTTTCTACAGGAGTCCACAAGATGACGAGGATAGGAGGTTCTGGATCTGGTAGGCAACAGGCGCGATGCAAGCATGCGGTGCGTGGAGCTGGCAATTATGTTGCGTTACGTTACGTTTGATAGTGGTTTTTGTCGTTGACTATTAGTGGCAACTGGGCGATTTGCATCAAGGGCGTTCTCGCTGCAGACGAGACTTGAGCTTCACTGGCATCAGCGGTTTGGTCTTTGGAGACGGGATTCCAAGATGTGTATATGATGGCACGAGTTAACCATAGAAATAGACGAGATGGTACCTCTCAACGAGTTGGCAGTGTCAGGCACTGGCAGATTCACGGCGGCAGTGCGCTAGCCCCTGGCTCTCAGATCGTGAGATTCGAGACTTGAGAACCTGTGTGTGTGATTCGCTGCTCTCTATGATCGCGAGAGCTATATTATCCCCATCCTCTAAGTTTTCTGCCTTTCTCTCTCCTTCTCTCCTCCATATTTTTTCTGACCGGAGTCGGTAGTCTTCTTCATCAACAATATCCGTATCGAAGCCTTCAACAAGCGCTTTACCTCTGCAAACAGCGACGACATAAGCACAAGAACAAACACACGAAGTAAGTTTTAGTTATTATTCCTCTTATGTTCCTCTCTTCTATCCGTTTGCTGGTCACCTGGACCACAATCGGAGTGCGCTGGGTGGTTCACTGCAATGGCCGTTTCGTCCGATCTTTTTCGAGAGCCGTTTGCTTTTTGCAATTGTCTAGTGAGGGGGTGTTCTTTTGTTCACTGCCTTTCAACACCTTCTATTCTTCTATTCAAACAATTTCCTGCATCTTTACTGCGGATTTCTAGTATTTAAGAGCACTCGTTAACAGACTTAGGAATCCTTTTCTTCTTTCATTCCTTCGCAACTCCATCACACTCCACTTCTACCTTCTTCTCTCTCGTTCTTGAGTGTATCCTCAAGACGTCCTTCTAATCTCATCGCTTCTACAAGAGCCTTGCGCATCATCCACAAGTATCGACATATATAACTGTCGCAATGTCTGACGCTGCTGTGAAGCCCAACGCCTGGACCGATGAGGCCAAGGTAAGTCCCGACCATACCCCCGATCCATGTGGAAGGGGTCTAACCACTTCAACAGAACGAGCTTCTCCTGCGTATCATCGCGCAGTTGAAGCCCGAGGGCAAGTCTATCAACTGGTCCGAGATTAACATGGAAGGCCGTACCGTCAAGAGCCTTCAGAACCAGTGGACCTTTTTCAATAAAAAGCTTGAGGCCTTCAAGACCCAGTCAAACGATGGCAGCACCCCTTCTACTCCCGCTAAGAAGGCGACTTCTGGTAAGCCATATGCCCCCTTTCTAGTCGCGACAATCTAGTAGAGTAACTAATCCCTTCATCTAGCTCGCAAGCGGGGCCCGAAGGCCAAGAAGGTCGCTCCCGATGACGACGAGGTGTACGAGAGCCCCAAGGTGACCCCTCGTAAGCGTCGCGCTCCTAGTAAGTCGATCGTACACAACCCTCATACCAAGCCTTTTACTAACACTGGTAACAGAGACCCCCGAGAGCGACTCAAAGGCCGTCAAGAAAGAACTTAGCGAGGCCGTCGTCAAGGATGAGGAAATGGAGGATGACCGCGACGTCGATGGAGAGGTCTAGGCTCTTATCTTCTCTCTATGGTGCCGGATAACTTCGTCGCCAAAGTCTCCAGAAACGTCAGAAGAAGACAAAGTCTACCTAGTATACCATTGTGTTCAGGCTTAGGTGAAGGGGGTGGGTTCACATCTAGCAGGGCAGATAGGAGCTATCATATGTGGTCTCTTTGATGACCATGGAAGCTAGTATACATATTAGCTGATAAACATATACTGCCTCTGCAATATCTCTGGAGTCTTTGATTATGTGATAATGAGGAAGCCCTATCTAGAATGTCGCGATGCCTGTCCGACCCTAACATCGACTTGTTGGTAGCATGAAGATAACGTTACCGCAAGTCTCTATTGATAAATGTTGTAAGTATAAAGAAGTGTCTGTCTAATGGCAATTTAGATATTGCCTTTCTAGGTGAAGTCGATCGGGATGGAGCCGACTCTAGGTCGGATTGTGGGGGTTGCTAGATCGCGATGGGGCTGGCATTTATAGAATCCGACAACCAAGAATCAGGCGAGATACAGGCCATTGGCCATTCCTCAACAACCGTCAATTAATAGACAACATTTCAACTTTACTTTTATATATAATTCTGAAGTTTCCTCAAATGTGTCTTTGTTTAGTATCAACGTGATTGCTTGCTAGATTGAAGAATTGAGGAATTGACGATCATGGCTTCAACTACCGGTGTCGGAGATGAAGAAGCGGCGCCTTTACTAGCAACATCACCAACTTCATCAACTGGCGTTATTAATTCGCAGTATCAATCATTAAGCCAAATCAGCAGCAGTAATGATAGCGATATTAGTAACACCAGCAATACCGACCCCGGATGGACTCTTAGTCAGAGCGCGCGCCGACTCTACATCTCTCATACCCTCTCAACATGGAACTCACGCGTCTTCGAATTTGGAAGTGTGCTATATCTCGCCTCAATATTTCCCGGAACCCTGATGCCACTTGCGATTTATTCGATAGTGAGAGGCGCTTCTGCTATTACATTGTCGTCATGGGTCGGGAGTTATATCGATCGCAAAGACCGCCTCAATACCGTGAGACTGTCAATCGGTAGGTCATTAGAAGCCCTCATGACGGACGACCCTAACCTGAGTAGTCTCACAGCGACTTGTTGTTGCTGCCTCATGCGTTATCTTCTTTATACTCAGCAGAGTTGAAAGCCCTTCAGATGAACTGCGGGTCGGGTTGCTTGCAGCCTTGATCTTCATGGCATGCGTTGAGAAGCTGGCCGCTATCATGAATCTCGTGTCCGTTGAAAGAGACTGGGTTATTGTTGTGGCACGCTCAGATACTACTGCACTTCGAAGTATGTTGTTTCTTAACTGCCTGGTGGTTGTTTCTAACATAACTTGCTTATAGCCATGAACTCGCAAATGAGGCGGATTGACCTTGTTTGTAAACTACTTGGACCTTTTTTCATAGGTATACTCGACGGTGTTTCCACGGAAACAGCGATTCTTGTCAACCTAGCAATGAACTGTACTTCAGTTATTGTTGAGTATTTCACCATTGCCAAGGTAAGTCATACACAACTCATACGACCTCGACATGATCTCCTCTAACCTAAACAGGTCTATTATCAAGTACCCGAACTGCAGCATCCAAAGACCACGCCCCCTATTGTACCACAAAATGAGGAACAGCAGACTCGTCAGAATGCCTGGGTGTCATTCAAAAGGGCTATACAGAAGACGTCCAGTGATCTCCGACTTTACTTTACCCATCCCGCGTTTGCCCCCTCCTTCTCAATAGCGCTTCTTTACTGCACAGTTCTGTCTTTTGGTGGTGTTATGGTTACATATCTGTTAGCGAGTGGATACACTTCAGCTCAGATTGCTGCAATGAGAACAGTCTCGGTGACTCTTGAGGTTCTCGCCACATGGATTGGACCGTGGGTGATGAAGAAGATCGGACCCGTTCGTGCTGGTCTTTGGTTCCTGAGCTGGGAACTGGGATGTCTAGCAATTGGTGTATCAATTTTCTGGCGATATGCTGACAACGTCTTGGTATCAACACTGGGGCTTGTCTGTGGTTCAATGTTGAGCCGAATCGGACTTTGGGGGGTAGATCTGTCTGCACAGGTCATTATTCAAGAGGTGAGTTCTGTTGTGGTATGAGTTGAGGAACTTTTCTGACCATGCATTGCAGGAAGTTGAGGCAGAGAAACGAGGAGCCTTTTCTGCTGTGGAAGCTAGCTGGCAAAATGTGTTCGAGATGTGTTCATACACGTCAACCATCATATTCTCGTCACCCAGTCAGTTCCACAACCCGACAGCGCTCAGCGTCACATCAGTATTCTTTGCATGGCTACTGTACAGCTCCTTTGTCAAGAAGCGACGAGGACATCTCGTCCACTGGCCTACGTGCATGTCCCCAGAAAAGCAGCAGGCAACGATCGACGAGCTATTCGAGTCCGGGCCGTCGAGGCGAAGAGAGGGGCTCTGAATGTTTGTATGATATGCATATGCAAGAGAGGATCGCACGAGACACGTTGGTGGTCACCTGGATCGGGAAGCAGTGCAACAATGATAGGATAGCACAGGATCTTGTGGGTTGGGAACCCTCCACGTTTATTTCCGTGTCTCGGACGGCAGCGGGTTGTCTTGGATATGCATGCACGGCAAGGCCTCGTGGATCGAGGAGCGGCCCTTATAGATGATGCAGGTTTGGTTACATGAGGGAGGACAGCAGTGATTTTGGGTAGATGTGTATGACGTGAAGAGACTCGAGTAGGGGAAACAGTGAGACGATGTTTGTCTTTTTCTGCTAGTCAATCAGTGCTCCATATCTTGGATTCTCTCTTGTATACGATATTATCTATGACTTTGGAGATATATTGTAGGTCATCGTAAGCCCATGTCTCATATAAATACGACCCTCATAGCCTTACAAGGTCAGGTGTCATTTGAGATGTGTTGCATTATGTAAAGATCCAGGACTCATAAGCTTGATATTGACAATCTAGGTGAACAAAATAGGTACAAAAGTCTCAATCGCCCACCATCTCATCCCCCCATCTGACTGGTCATCTGTCGTCCCCATTGTCTCTATGTGACACACCATCTCGACTCGACCACACCCACAACCTCTTTGTCTTGTCGGGACGGACTAGACGGACAAGGGCGGAGTTATGCACAGAGCACCCGAAGGCACCCTAGGCACCGCGGGAATGACGGCGCTTGCATCGTTTAGCGGCTTTCGAGGGTATCATTTCCCCTGTAACATTAGAGTCCCGCCGCTGCAGCTGATCCACTCAATCACTTTCGAGGCCAAGGCAATCCATCATAAATTTTTCCCCAGATTGCATCGCATCTCTCAAGCCTGGGCCTGGTCTGGTTTTTGTTCATCACATGTCCTCATGAGTTCGCCCTTTTAATCCTACCTTATCAACGCATTCTTTGATTTTCTTCTACCTCTACTTAATCGCTGGCCCCCTCTTTCCATCTCTTTTTCCCTGTCGTTACCCGCGCTGTTGTCTCAGTCCCGTCACTGTTTGCGATCCCTGTCTCTCTGTGACGTTGTCAACTTTCGATCCCCTTTAACCACGAACCAAACTCGCGCTCTTCTTCGCCAACACCGTCGTCGTGTTTCCCATCATAAATCACAGAAATCAAACAGTCATGAATGGCGCAAATTCTTCAGCCCGGGCTAAAAGAAAGGCCCCGGGCTCGCCAGGCGAAGCTCCTCCTTCCAAAAGACCCATCAACGGAAAACATTCCCCAAACGATAACACCCCAGACATTATTGAATTTGACGACAACTCCGACATGACTGACGAACTTCACCCGCACGCTATGTATATTGGAACACCAGGGAGCTTGGGAGAGTGGCAGGATACCATCCAGAAGGTGGTGCGCAACGTTGTCGCCATCAGGTTCTGCCAGACCTGCTCTTTCGATACCGATTCTGCTTTGACCAGTGAAGCTACTGGCTACGTTGTTGACTCCGAGAAAGGGTGTGTAATCTCTGTCTATAATAGCTGAGAGAGGGCTCTAATCTGGCTCTGCAGATACATCTTGACCAACCGTCACGTTGTCGGCGCTGGTCCCTTCTGGGGCCACTGTGTCTTCGACAACCACGAAGAAGTCGACTGTTACCCCGTCTACCGCGACCCCGTTCACGATTTTGGTATTCTGCGATACGATCCCAAGGCGATCAAGTATATGCACATTGATGGCTTAGAGCTGCGACCCGACCTCGCAAAGGGTAAGGACCCCAAGACCTCCCGACTCCGATCACGGCCGAGGACCATTACTAATAAGCACAGTTGGAACCGAGATTCGAGTTGTCGGTAACGATGCGGGCGAAAAGCTTAGTATCTTGTCAGGTATCATCAGTCGCCTGGATCGAAATGCCCCGGAATATGGCGAGGGGTACAGCGATTTCAACACATGCTACTACCAGGCCAACGCCGCCGCTAGTGGAGGAAGTTCTGGCAGTCCTGTCGTGAACAAGGACGGTTGCGCTGTCGCGCTCCAAGCTGGCGGACGTTCTGATGGAGCTTCGACAGATTACTTCCTTCCATTGGATCGACCACTCCGTGCTCTGCAATGCATTCAGAACGGCAAGCCTGTCACACGTGGCGATATTCAGTGCCAGTTCCTTCTCAAGCCTTTTGATGAATGCAGAAGGTTGGGATTGAGCCCTCATTGGGAGGCTGCCATGCGTGAGAAGTTTCCGGAGGAGACCAACATGCTTGTGGCTGAGATTGTCCTCCCCCAAGGACCTTCAGACAAGAAGATCGAGGAAGGTGACGTTTTGATCAAGGTCAACGGCGAACTTATCACCCAGTTTATTCGATTGGACGACATTCTCGATTCGAGCGTTGGCGAAACCATTAAGCTACACCTCCAGCGCGGTGGACAGGACGTGGAAGTCGAAATTGAGGTCGGAGATCTTCACAAGATTACCCCTGACAGATTCGTTTCAGTGGCAGGCGCCAGCTTCCACGATTTGTCCTATCAGCAAGCAAGACTCTATGCTGTCGCTGTCAAGGGAGTCTACGTTTGCGAATCAGCTGGCTCATTCCGATTTGATAATACGGATAACGGCTGGATTGTCCAGAGTATTGACCACAAGAAGGTGCCAGACCTCGACACTTTCATCCAAGTGATGAAGGCAATCCCAGATCGCGCACGAGTTGTTGTCACTTACAAACACCTTCGCGACCTTCACACTCTCAACACCACCGTTGCCTACATTGACCGACACTGGGCAGCCAAAATGAAGCTTGCTGTTCGAAACGATGAGACGGGAGTTTGGGACTTCACTGACCTGGGAGACCCATTGCCTCCTGTTCCACCTACTCGACGATCTGCCTCCTTTATTGAACTGGACCACATGCCACACCAAGGCATTGCCGACCTCATCCGCAGTTTTGTGCACATCAACTGCACTATGCCCTTGAAACTCGACGGTTTCCCCAAGAACCGCCGCTGGGGCATGGGTCTCGTAATTGATGCAGACAAGGGTCTTGTTCTGATCTCCAGGGCTATTGTCCCCTACGATCTCTGCGACATCACTGTCACTATTGCTGACTCCATCATCGTCGAAGGCAAGGTTGTCTTCCTACATCCCCTTCAGAACTACGCCATTATTCAGTACGACCCCTCGCTCGTCGATGCGCCAGTCATGAGCGCTCGTCTGAGCAATGAGGTTCTCACCCAAGGCGCCAAGACCTATTTCCTCGGCTACAATAGGATTGGGCGCGTTGTTCATGGATCTACAAGTGTCACCGAGATCACTGCGGTGGCCATTCCCGCCAACTCGGGCGCCCCGCGCTATCGTGCTGTTAATGTTGATGCCATCACGATTGACAGCAACCTCGGTTCGACATGCAACAGTGGTGTTCTTGTCGCGCCGGACGGTACTGTCCAGGCTCTGTGGCTGTCGTATCTGGGAGAGCGTTCCCATCATACGTCACGCGACGAAGAGTACTACCTCGGTCTTGGCACCAAGACTCTGCTTCCTGTCGTAGAGTCAGTTCAGAAGGGTATCAACCCCAAGCTGCGTATCTTGTCCGTCGAGTTCAGATCAGTCCAGATGGCTCAGGCATCCGTCATGGGTGTCTCCGATGAGTGGATCAAGAAGGTTACCCAGACCAACCGATCTCATCATCAGCTGTTCATGGTCAGCAAGCGAACCTTTGAGCGCGAGAACCACCCTGTATCTCTGCTCGAAGGAGATATCATTCTCACGCTGAACGGCAAGATTTGCACTACCATCTCCGACTTCGACTTGATGTACTCACATGAGCTGCTTGACGCGGTTATTGTACGAGAGTGTGAGGAGATGCACCTACAACTTCCTACAGTGGCAGCAGACGACATGGAAACGAACCATGCTGTTTCTTTCTGCGGTGCCATCCTTCACAGGCCTCACCAGGCTGTTCGACAACAGATCAGCAAGCTGCATAGTGAGGTTTACGTCTCTAGTCGAATTCGTGGATCGCCTGCCTATCAGTACGGCGTTGCACCAACCAACTTCATCACTCATGTGAATGGTACTCCTACACCTGATCTCGACTCTTTCATTGCCGCGACCCGGGAAATTCCAGACAATACTTGTGAGTCAGCCACTGTTCTTTGAAACTTACAAAGACGGGAAAGCTAACATGATATAGACTTCCGGCTCAAAGCTGTAACCTTTGACTGTGTGCCGTGGGTGATCACAATGAAGAAGAATGATCACTACTTCCCCACGATGGAATGGATCAAGGATGACAAGGAGGCTTGTGGATGGCGAAGAGTCACGTACGAAGGCAGCGAAGTGTTTAAGGGGGAGGCAACTGATGGTGTAGTACCGGTTGCACAGGATGCCGATATGGAGTAGATGCATTTGCTTGTAGAGCTGCAAATCCCTGGCAGATAGAGGGAGTGTACAACCATGACTTCATTTGGGATCACTGGGATTAGGGTACGGCGTTATATGGCGATGAAGGATTCTATTATTTGAGATCATCTGGAGCTATGAGATAGCCTTTTGAACTGGGATGGCTATTGATACATAGAGACGAGCTGTATACCTAAATGTTTACGGATGGAAGTATTGGTGTACATTGATTATCACAAGACCTTGCATGGCAGGAAGAATGCTTCTGCCTATACTTGATAATTACTGCTTCCATTCGCTGACCTAAATAATTGAGGCTGCCTGAAGTCCTGAGCTTCGGCTTGATCCGGATGTGGATGAGGTGAAGCTATAGTGGGGCTTAAGGCTTCAAGAATGAGCTCATAGCGTCTGGGCGTTCGCAAGGCAGGACAGGCTACACTACAGCGAAGTTACAGCACCTCAACTGAATGTGCCCAACTCAAACCCCTCCACATTCTTTGTATCTCAATCTCACCTTTATACCGCCGCCCACTTTCTCTTAAGGCTTCTTGCTCACTCGTCCTAAACATACTAACCTTTGCTATATCACTCCTTGTGAGCTCATCATGGCGCCAGGTGCTAGTCTTATAGTCCGTTGCCCCCCGCTTCCCCGCCATCACATCCAATGCCATGATGCGCCAGCCGAAGTTTCAACTAACATTTGCTTTCAATCTGTAGACAAAGCTCAAAGTTCAGCTTAAGCTCACCATCGCGCGGTTGCGCATGGTTCAGCAGCGCGATGAACAGCTTGGAAAGACCGCGCGACGAGCCATGGCTCAGCTCCTCGAGGCCGGAAAGGAAGACTCAGCCCGCATTCGCGTCGAGAACATCATTCGATCCGATATCACCTCCGAGCTTCACGAGATGCTTGAACTTTACTGCGAATTGCTGCTTGCTCGCGCTGGACTGATGGAGGGTCATACTGTTGATCCTGGTCTGGAGGAGGCTATCCAGAGTCTGATATATGCGGCGCCCAAGACGGAGATCAAAGAGTTGGCAACAGTGAGGACGCTATTCGCGGAGAAGTATGGGAAGGACTATGTGCTTGCGGCGACGGAGAATACGGATGGAAAGGTCAACGAGAAGGTCGTCAAGAAACTCAGCGTCACGCCCCCGCGCGAAGAGCTTGTGGTGGGATACCTGGAAGAAATCGCCAGAGCATACGGAGTAGACTGGCCCAAGCGGGAAGCAGTCTCACCACCCCCCGAACTCCTTGACGACGATGATGATGACGACGACCAAGGCGGCCAGAAACAAAAGGTTCTCGAAACACCTCTCGCAGCAGATTCCAAAGATCCAGTGTTAAACACACCAGTTAAGAAACTAGCTGGAGGCGGCCCCACGAGTCCTTTGACAGTGACACCGCCGCGGATGACGACTGACAACATACATCCCAAGGTGACGCTTGGTTCAGTAGAGTTGAAGCCTAGTAAGAAGGCGGAGCCTGCGGCGAGGAAGGGTGAGCCTGATGGATCGATTCCGGATCTTGGGGACTTGGAGAGAAGGTTTGCGGCGCTGAAGAAGCGATGAGGTGCTCTGGATGAAGTGATGGCATTGCGCAATGTGGAGTTTTTAGGGTTTATTTTGTTGATGAAGATGTGCTGTGAGCCTGTGAATTTCTGTTTAAGAATATGATGGTGAGTAGATGAAAGGTCTATTCAGTGAGGGGCGTGCTCAACTTCGTCAGAGTGAATCATGTCGCATGTCGCTGTGGGATGTTCTAGTATCAAGGGGCATTGATTCTGAGTCGTGAACAATGGATTTTGTGTCACACTATTCACTGCGATTCAACCATATGACAAAAGCGTGATGTTACACACAAAGGCCTTTACTGAACCGGTACCTTACACAGATGAAAGATAGATGTGTATGGTTGTCAGTGATAGCCTGTTAGGATCGCTTGCTCTGGCTGCGAGCTGGAGTATTCAAGAAAGGGACAGTGAATAAGGCGGGAAGCAAGAATGGTTTGTTTTACGGCCAGGTCTGACAAAGGTTAACCAGGGTTGATGCAGATGATTATCCATCAGTAGACTTTGAAGACAAACTCAATCACTCACGAGTTGCGACTATGCTTTTCGACCTTGTCTGGAGTATTTACTTTCTCAAGCCCCGCGTTTCTTCTATTTCTACTTTCTTTCCTTCGATCACGGTCCGCAGAATACTTATTATTCAGCTTTCTATTTATCCATCTAAGTATAGGACAACGAGTACACAACTCACTCAGCCTTCCAAGTACAACCTTCTCCCCAGTAACCTTCACTGTATACAAAAACAATGGAATCAAGTCGGATCCTTCTTAACACTCTCCGCTGTACCCTCGGTCTTACTAACCTGCGAGATGTGTCACAACTGACCCAAGTCTCCCAGAACCGGCTCGAGCAAAAGTTTGACGCTATGTCTGAGAGGTTCTCGACTAGGAGAATGAGCAGCATTTACATGAGATGGCTCATTCACCAAGACTTTACGGTAGGAGAGCGTCTCCAAAGCCAAGTGGTTGAGCAATGGGTTTCGTTTGTGGACTCTTGGGGATTGGAGGTTGAAGAGGCCATCGCCTTATGGGCTAAAACTATGGACGAGGACACTGGGTCGGACGAGGAAACAAAACAGCTGAGAGTTAAGAGGAATTCTTTACGACATGAAATAGAGTCTCAGTTCTTTAAACTCAAGTATGATGCTCAGCTCGCATGGGTACGGATATCGTACTAACAGGTATAGGAACCCAGAGCCCATACCACCCTCTGGCTTGGTTGAAGCCGTGCCTCCACGGCGCAATCACAATGTAAGTCAACAACATGTTTGGAAGTTCCTCTGCTGAGAATTGAAGATCAAGACCTGCGGTCAAATCAGAGAGTTTGATGAATATGCGAATGATATAAAAACCAAATCTGCGCTAGAGAATTGGCCGACGAAGGATGTCCCGTTCCCGAGCATAGAGACTGCTGTAGATACAGGTACAGAGTCCGAAGAATCATCAGAGACTGCGTCGTTGGATATAAAACGAGAACATGGGGAAGAAACAGCGAAGAAAAAAGCGAGACTCGACACTGGCGGTAGTATCCCCAGTTTGGTGTTGAATGGCTCCGGCACGATTTCGTCCCCCATCGATCTGACGATGTGAGCCGATCAAGTGTCGTTTAGATATGCAAGTCAATACTCTTCCAGCGGGAGATTGGAATAAAAAGGACAAAGCAGCGATAATGGTATATTCTCGATATTGTGGATGCCTCCACGAAACGCCTCAACTCCTGCCTGCCCTTATGATATGCAAATGACGATCTCGGCCAGATGAAGCAGTACTTCAAAACATTCCACCTATTCTCACGGCCTTTCAGAGCTCAACCCAGCATAGTCCTTATTCTAACTTGTCGAGATGCTCCAACCGTGTAAGCACAACCTGTTTACTCGTCTCCTCAATCTCGCCCGCCAAAAACACCTCGTCAAGAATCGCATAGACCTTATAAAAGTTGAAAACAAGATCAAGCTCGCAGACGTTTCCGAAAAAGGCATCGAGGACCTCGACGAAGAAGTGAATGGCCTCGAGGTAGGCGAGCTCGTTATCGTTTGTGTCGACGCAGGCGCAGAAGAAAAGACCTGCGTAGCGGCGGTAAACAATCTTGTTGTTTCGGAACTCGACAAAGTTGGACTGATATTTTTGATCGCGGGGCGCGACGAGGCGATGGACTTCGCCTTTAAGCTTGATCTTTTGCTCGTCGCTAAAAGGGGCGTACCATTTCGCGAGACGAGTCTTGCCCCTGAGAAGCAGTCAGTACTTTAATCGGAGAGAATGCGCAGATTGGAGAGGACGTACTGTCGGTTCTGGATGAGGATAAAGGAAAGCATCTTGAATTTGGCAAGGCTGAAGCTCAAGACGAGTGTCGGTTGAGAAAGGAGAGCTGGGGTAGAGATGGTGGCATGGATAAGCCGACGTTGTCAGGAGGCTGTCGCGGAACACAAGGGTCGATGTTGATTGGCTGAGTGGGCTAGCGATGAAGCCACTGAAGAGCTGCAAGGCTGCCACTAAGAGACCCTGGGGATGCCCCCGGTTTCTAGCACACGTTTACCCCCTGTCTGTGTTGTGCAACCAGGCTTGGCTGAGGTGCAGATGGGCCGTTTACTCCCCCGCAAAAACGTTGATATAACTTCAAATCGGTCATTTTACTCTTTTATAGAGATGATCCTGTCTGCTGACTCTAAACTACAGCAGCATACTTCTTATAGGCGCCAATTGTTTTGAACACAAATGCCATTGACTGCCCTGAAAGATGGGAGTTGAGGTCTCGGCACATCGCGTGGGCAACCTGCCTTAGCGTCGTATGCCGATGTTCCATCTCCGGCACTTTCCAAGTTTTCGTCAATCATCGTTTTGTTTCACTGTGTTTCCATGACTTTGCATCAATTGCTTATTCCCACGACTCATATGATTGCTCTCTCTCTCACCTTGGAAAACTCTTACCACCTTAATATAACATACTTATAAAAGCAATGACATAGTTCCCCCCTGCAGACACGAATCATTCATGACCCACGAGTAGCCAAGCCTTGGAGCCCAAGACGCGATACGATATTAAGGAATCCGACCCCTACTGCTGGGCATGAATTGCATGATTAGACATCATCGAGCATTGACGATTTGAACTTCTTTTTATCTTTAACTTCTGCATGGCTGGCCGTGCTCGACTGTTTCTTCTCTTATCTGGCGCTCACGCGAATCTCGAAGCGTCCATCCGCAAGACGAGAGGATGACTGACGATTCTCATCAATCTCCAACGAATTCGCCAAAGTATCAGCTTATATCTTTACTGCAGTCATGGCTAAATCACCCATCATGAAGACTGTAACGAAACGCCTTCGAGAGCTGGCCATAGTCATTTGGGTTGACACCGAGACCAACGATCTATGGAAACAGATCATCAAGTGCTCTATCGCTAGTATCGGCTCGGTCGTCGCCGTAATGACTCCTGAAGCCGCAGCAGTCCTGGGCCCTTCGACCTTTCTTGCACCAATGGCTACCGTCTTTGCTCATCCAGGTCAAAGGCTGGGCACCATGATCGAGACCCTTCTCATGATGCTGCTGGGCACTTTATTCGGACTTGCGTGGTCCATTCTTGCACTCTGGCTGTCTGGCTACGCTTCCGGAACAAACGAAACAGCCCCTAATGCTATCTGCGCAGTATTTTTCACTATAGCTGCTTTTTTCCATGGCTATATAAGATCGGCTAGTCCCCGCATGTTCTTATTTGTCACCTTTTTTCTTATTGCCAATATCATTACTCTGCTCGGAGGCTACACCTCGGTGTCTTCAGAGGTTATTACACACACCTACTACCCTATGATGGTCGGCGGTGGTATCTCAGTCGTGGTCAACCTATCAATATTTCCCGAGCTGTCGAGCAGTTACCTCGGTCTATCTGCCATTGATGCTCTTTGCGAAACGATGGATACCATGACCCGAGCTACGCATTGGTTCATCACACCCGGTGCTGATTCTGAAGAAGATTCCACTACCACTGCTCTTACAATGACAAACACTGTAAAGAGTGTCCCCGAGAAACCAAAGCGCAAGAAAGGTCGTTTCCGCAAGTGGTTGAGTCAGTTTCCGAATCCCTTTAAACAATCTCAGCATCGATATCACGCTTCCACCATTCCAGTTGGCCTTACGACAATAAGAAGTCTGACAAGCAAAAGGGGGAGTCTTCGCGCACGTCTCACTCATTGCAAAGCTGCTCAGAAAGAAGTCAACTACGAGATCTCTGTATCTGCCCTTCCTCTAAGCAGCATGAAGCCTCTGAGTACCTCCCATATGAGCAGCCTCGTCCAAAATACACTCGCCATCATCGGTGCATGTGAAAACAAATTCATAGTATTGCAGAATAACCACAATTCCGATGATGAAAGCGACAGCGATATGACTGGCCCCAGTGGAATCAAGCGTATGAATACTTTTGATGACTACCTTCAAAGAGTCGAAGAAAGCAAGCCTCTAAGGGAGATCGAAGCTAGTAGTGCAAGTCTCCTTGAATCCATCATCGAGCGTATCCGAGAGCCTGTCCAGGAGTTTGAGGCTTCGCTGAAAGAGGCTGTACGCCTGGTCATCGTGTGTGTCGCTTATTGCTACGATGTACGACGACTGCCTTCAGGATCACCGGCCCCAAGAGGCATTCATCTCCAAGAATTGGACTTTAGAATCGACCTTTTCACGGAAGCAATCACTAATTTTGATGCCAGCTGCTCCATGGAGCTTCGCCGTTCAGGTATGGATAAGAGTGGATATAGCATGGACTTTATGCCTCGAATGGAAACGTTTTTGATCTCCTCGTTCGTACTTAGTCTGCGCCAGGCAGCTATGTATGTTTTGGACATGCTTCGCCATGTTCGAAAAACAGTCGAACAGAGACAAGCTCGAAACGACAGGGCCACAATCTGGTTCCCCAAACATGTCGATGTCAGGCAGTGGTTAATTACTGGCGGTGAGAGTGATGGTTTTGTTCTGCCAGAAGCGGCTCGCAAAGAAGTTCGTCGGGGAAAAAGTACAACGGGGCACAAGTCGAAAAATAAAACACACCAAAGCAATAAGGATACGAAAACCAAGCCCGCGAAGGGGAAGGATGAAGAAAAAGGCATTCGATTTGCAGAACCGGTTTTTCAAACGAGAGAGGACCGCAACGTTGAACAACCACAAGAGAAAGAACAACCTCAACCTCAACAAAGCAGTAAGATCCTCAAGATTAGAGGGATGGCAGCCGATGCATTGGAATGGATCCAGGACTCGGAACACGTCAAATATGCTTTCAAGCTCACCATCGCCATCCTCTTACTTAGCTGGCCAGCTTTTGTGGAGTCTCAGATGGGATGGTACTCAGCCTACCGTGGTATTTGGGCACCGATGCAACTGTTTCTCGTCTTTGAAGTGGCCATAGGAACGTCCTTCCACGTCTTTTTCATTCGTCTTTGCGGTGTTGTGGCAGGTAGCGCTTTTGGCTATGCATCTGCCCTAGTTGGGGACAGAAGTCTGATCGCCATGGTTTTCTTTCTGATTATTGGTATCATGCCGTCGTTCTATGTCCAACTTGGCACTAGATATGTCAAGGCCGGCATGATCTCTACAGTTACAATGGTCGTGGTCGCGCTCTGTAAGTTGCTATCATTTCGGGTATCCTTAACATACTAACAGTACTAGCTGCGGTTAACGGCACCGAGTCCGCTTATCATTATTTCTATAAGCGCTTGTGTGCCTTTATCATCGGGGGGACCACTGCGCTGCTGATTGAACTTATTTTATACCCAGTCAGAGCCAGGGATCGACTAGTTGAGTCGCTCGCAGCGTCGGTCAAACAGGTTCAGAATATGCAAGCCGCAATGGCTGTTGGCCTGGACGAGCCCATCAAGCCAAATTTCCGGAATCCTGACCTCAACAAGCGCTTCCGTCGTGCCACAAACAAAGCACGAGGAGCTCTGGCTGCGGCTGAGACGTTTCTTCCATTCTCCGTTACTGAGCCGCGTCTTAAGGGTGATTTTAAACCACTCGTGCCTGTCTACAAAGAGATCTTCTATGTGTTGCATCAAATTATCGATAGGATGGAAAACGTCGTGATGCTACGGAGAGAGTATGGTTCGTCTATTTTGGAAGACTTGAATCCTCAAGTCCACGCCTATCGACGGAATGTGGCGGCCAGTATCATGCTGGTACTTTTTACGGTATACGAGGCGTTCATTACCTGGACACCTCTGCCACAGTTTATCCCGTCAAGTCGACTCGCGCAACTGCGCCTAGTCAACCATGTGCGCGAGATTCTTGCGTCCAGGAGTGGCACTCAGACACCCGCTGGGGAGCCACCAAGTGTCTTTGACGAGAATGGGGAGCTTGCTGCGCAGGTCGCATACCTCATCACCCAAAAACGATTTCTCTCCTGGAACGCAAGCACTTCTGGACAGATGGAGATCATCGAATATCTCGAAGAGCTTGTACAACTTGTTAAGATTCTTGTTGGAGTTAATGATTTCCGCAGCGGTCTACTAAAGACTCCTACCCTTAGTAACTATCGGGAGCGTAAGCACTTGACACGGATGCCTCTGTCTCGCGTGCCGACTGCTGATAGCCGCACGACCGGTGTTCCGGCGGAGGAGGTTCCAACAGTCGAGAGCAGAGCCAGTGGACTGCAGCGAACGCAAACAATCCGTGCAGGCCATGCGAGGAGACGGAATCATAGGAGAGACGATAATGAGAAGGAGGCTGATAGTGACAGTGAGGAGGATATACCCATGAGTTTACAAAGAGTTGGCACACGACTCTGTGAGGATGCTGCAGTTGTTCGACGACGCGCTATGTCTGTTAGTAAAGACTAGGGTTGGGAGATGCAGCATGGAAGTCGTCAAAAACGTGTGGCAATAGCCGACGAGTTGTTGGCACCAGTCTATCAATTAATACCTTAATAAACATCCAAATGTCCTTTCCATGCGCCTTTCCCACTAACCAATCCTAACATTGGTGATGTTCCCAATCCAACGCCTTGCCGTACAATAGACTCGTGATTGTTGCACATATGTATCACTAGAAGATGTTGAGCGGTGTGTGTTGTGCAATTCTGGTGCCGTTGAGCATGGCCCTCGACTTCTTTGGCCTCTGCTGCAATCTTCGTGATCCTTCTTGAACATGGCGAGGCTCGATTGGCGTCTTTCCCTCACTAGGAAAATCGAACAACGCGCCCTCATGCTTCCGCTTCTTTGCGTTTCCAACATTATCGCCTCCGTTTTGAGCACGCACCAGATCTTCCTGCTCCTTGACCTTGAGCGCCATCTCGGTGAGGGTCTGGACCATCTCGAAGGTGAGAAAGCCGAGAATGTCGACAATGTCGTCGGAGGGTTTACTGTCTGTCACGATGCCGAAGCCTGCCCACTCGCGGAATCGCTTGCCTTTGCGGTAGGTGAACGATGCCTGGCGGTATTCAGACCACGTAACGTACTCCTCCTTTGTCATGGCCTTGGTGCGCTCATCTGCTTTGCGCAGACGCTGCAGTGTGATGTAGTTCATCTCCTCCTCCTCTTCATCCTCCTCCTCCTCGCGCTCAGGTACCTCAACGTTGTAGTACGACGAAGGCTCCCACGGTAACCCGACTTTGGCCTTTTTGTTCTTCTTGGCTGCTTCATCCGTTGTGTTATCACCCGCAGCCACAGGGTCATCACCAGCAGCGATATCGGCATCAGCGCCTTTGTCATCAGAATCTTTGACGTTCTTTCGCACGTCTTTCCACGAGAGGAATGTGCGCAGACGTGAGACTTTTGCCTGGTCATGGCGGATCTGGAAGATGAGATCGTTGATGCTGATGGATTTAGAACCGCGACGCGAAGCGAGTTCGGTGCAGTTTCGCAGCTGTGAGGGTTAGTATGAGAGGAGATGAGAGTGGGTGAAGGGGGAGGCGTACGAGTTCGATGACTTGTTGGCGGACGATATCTTCGATGATACTTGTTGTTTCGACGGGTGGTTCTGCGGTTTCGCCGGAGACGTACATCATTTGACTGATCTCCTGGCGATATTTGTACGACTTGCTATCTCTTGATTCCGCCATCTTGTCGCGTTGTGAGATGAGACGTCAAGGGTTGTTATTGTGCGCCTGAGAGGACTTCAATAGTCTGTTTATCCAAGACTAACGTTTTTATCTGCGTATTTGGGTTAGTTCTGTGAAGCAATGAAAGCTTAAAGCGTACGGAGTAGTGAGAGGGTGTTTGGAGGCTGAGAGGCGCAATACCTTGATGCTCTGAGAACAACGGTCAATTATCTGTGGAGCTGATCTTGCTCGTAGCGATGTTGTATGCGACTTTGATAATAATTTGAGAATCAATCTCCAAGTCGTTGAACAAGTTGCATATGAATATGTATTCTCAAATGGCGACTCAGAGGTTAATGTTGGCTCGCCTGAGGATGGAAAGTGACTTGTCGGGATCAAGTCCAGCAGGGATGGGGCTAAACTCAAATAGGAAATATGTTGTTCCTGCGCCTAAGACAAGTCATGATAGTTTAGATCTTGATATAGACAAGATGCATGTAAGTTCATCGAGACATGATTCGCTTTAACTCTTACTTAAGTAAGTGACCTGTTGAACATGTTTGGCAATCGTCTCGGCTGTGCTTGTGTAGCCTGGCAGTTCACGAGCCACTTGATACGAATTGTACACAATCATAAGTCAACTTGGAAGCGTTCATCATGCTTAGAATTGTCCATGACATCGCCTATTCTATAGAATCAAGTACAGCCTCTTACGCTATCCCAACTTTCAAATCCCCCCCCTTTCGAAGCCCAAACAACGATGTAATGCGCCGCCAATAACTTCCACTCCTCAACCTCATCCAACCCCTCCAGTGAATCCACACGCCGCTTTTCATCCGCCGATACCCAATTCTGCCAGATATCCTCAATCGTCATGTGATACACCTTTCCAAATCCAGCTCTTCTCATTCTTGCCCGTTGGTCTTCCGGTGTATGGTACATCTGAAGAGTGGGCATTTGGATGCGACGCGCTGCTAGGTTCGACACCATCATCTTGCCAAAGGCGTCGTCTGGACGGATTGGTTCGTAGACGATGGTGCCGAGGTTGGGTATCCGTGAGCCGAAGAAGTTGATTACATCTGAGGCTTCGGTGGCGGTGAGATAGCAGAGACAGCACTCTGAGAGAAGCAGTGTTGGGATATCGGTTCGTAGACCAGGAAGAGAGATCTCGGGGCTTTCTTTCGTTGTTGCTTCTGTCCCATCATCCTCTTTCGGTGTCTTTGACTGAGAGAACCCTCTCAAGTCTTGGCCGTGGCAGTAGTATTCGCATCCAGTCGGTTTAGCTGACCAGGAGTGTTCAGTCAACTGAGCAGCATCCTTCAAGATATTTCTCAACTTGGGCGTCGCTTGTACAGTCCGCAATTTCTTTGAGGTGACAACCTCAAAATCAAGCTCATGATAGACCAATCCAGGACGCGACTCTGAAAAGAATAGTCGAAACGGTCTTGTATCAGTACCAGCGCCCAAAGATACAACCTGTTTCGGTCCTGAGCCTTGTTCACTATCTTGATCGCCGTCCAGAAACGACTCGATAAGAGTGTCCAGAGAGATAGTGCGGGTATATGTTCCTATACAAGGTGTGAGTATAATTTGGGGGCCATGACGATGCTCTCTAGCACACCTCGATTGATTATAGGAAGTCGTCTTGCCACCGGTCCATCGCCACTCTGCACAAAGTACTGAGCATACGGGTCATAAAGATACCCCAAATCAACAGCGCTCAGCCTCGACACCGAAGCATCAGTATCTGTGCCTTGGATGGTAGCATCGTGAGTAACAGCTGATGAGGCGTGACCTCCTCTGCCTCTACGACGGCCTCTCCCTCCTCGAGAACCGCGGAGAGAATTTAGAAGGTTTGGTATCTCGGGGGCGGGCATTCTCTAGTCTGAGGATATCCGGAGTGAGGTTATGGCGGCTTTAGTTGTTCCGGCTGATGGAGCTCGAGCTAGTAGAGCTTGGTGAGGTTGGATAGAATAGAGGGGCTTCCAGTGAATGTGGCCAGTGACGTCGGATAGCCCCTGCAAGCAATGGGAGGTCATGATTGCGGGGCATGCACCTCATTTAACTTACATATTGACAACTGAATAGACAGTAGCAAACAGAGACTTGTAGTTAAATAGATGCGGCATAAAACGAATACATATATCGAGCCGACATAGCCGAGTCAATGGCATGCGCCAACACGAACAGTTTCAGATAAACTCGACAGTTAGCCTACAGTCTCATCACAGCGCCAAGAAGCTCAATCCTCCAGGCATCGCCAAGGTATTAAGAGCCAATCTGCCTTGTAAGCGCCATGAAAACATCGGAACTCTCGGGGCATGAATAGAAATGTAAATTCACAAGAATAACATAAAAGTGCAAGTTGCATATCTGTGAAGACTGAAAGGGCAACGAAGCGCCAATCAAAAGCTTACGTTTGGCATGAGTTTGAGGCAGATTACGTGTATACGAACGGTATCAAAGTCCTACCTACGCACCTCAGTTTGATCCTCCAATCCGAATACGGTAATCACCGACTTCACGGTGAGAATGCATGAGCCAAATCATACTAAATAAATCCATTTTATTATGGTTATAGATTTTGCACAGATCAAGACATTTAATTCTCAAAATATCACCGAATGTCTTTATCATCCCATCATTAGTTGTTTGCGCAGAGTATACACACGTAGATCAATCAATGCGCCTTGAGGCTGTGCAATTCGCCCCCTCCCCCGTTGACCCCCTGTAACCGTAAACGCCCTGTCCCGTCATCGCCATCCGCCATCCACTAGATCGGGGGTCCTGGTGCCTAGTTCCAGTGCGCGATCTGCCCGGACATAACTGATAAAGTCCCCGTCAGAGCCACTTTTCGACATCCCATTAAACCACCCTCCTCCATCCATCCCACACCTCAGCTCACGAGAATATTCATCACCATCTTCTTTTTTTCTTCCTTTTATCAAAACAAACTGCTTTTTCTGCTTTTTTCCCTTGTATCGTAAACTTTCAATATGTTGTCTTCCGCTGGATCGCTGCTTATGCGGCGCGATAACATGCCAAAGCCTGATCTTGGCTATGAGCTTCAGCAACTCCCCGACTGGTCGAGATTCGTATTCCTCGCCAACTTCATCCTCTTCCTCCCTGTCTTTGTTCTCGTAGGTACTCCCTTTACTGATGTTTACCTTTGTACGCTGACACATTTCAGATCAACTACACCTTCGAAAAGGTCTTCCCCGTTCTCGCCATCGTCGAAGATGAGAAGCCTCCCGCTTACGAACCTCTCCCCGTTGAGCCTCTCGCCAACGATGATATGCTCAAGCCTGCTTCTACTTCCTCTGTTCCCGTCGCTGGCCAGGGCCGTCCCGTCACTTCGTCTTTCCGAGCTACCTGGCGCCTACTCCGATCTACTGGTGGTTTCCGCGCCATCTTCCGTGGTCTGCCCTGCTTCCTCGCCCAGGCTGTCGTCACGGCACTCATCAACGGCATCACTTATACCGTCATTCCTTATTCCTTTGTTCTGTCCAACTTGATCGGTTCTCTCGTCTGCGTTCAGCTCAGCACCGCCTGGGTTCACATCGTCATCACGCCTCCTTCTCCTCTCAAGTTCTGGAGCCGTCTCCCTCCTTTCAAGACCACTTTCGCCGCCACCTGGAGACCTACTCTCATCTTCTGGGCTGCCTCTCAGATCGTCAACCTTGGCACCTTCGGTGTTCTCTACCTGTTTGGCGGCGACCAGACCACTGAGATTCCTCAGCTCCAGGGTCTCGGCAGCGTTTTCGGCATCCTGCTCGTCGCTGTCCTTCTCCAGGTCGCTATTCAGATTCCCGCCTACGTTGTTCTCGTTCGAGTCCAGGCCTCTCTTCTCCCCGCCGACGCCGACACCATCATTCCTTTCGACCGCTCTTTCAACGGCCGTATCGAGCCCGTTGTTGTCGGTGGCCTCGGCTATGCTACTGTTCGCGACGCCTGGTCCAGCTTCTCCAAGTCTGCTTGGCGCCGTATTGTCATGCTCAGCGTCAAGATCGTCGCTGTCACCTTCGCTGCCCTCTGTGTCATCTTCGCCGTTATCATCCCTCAGGTCATCCTCCTGGCTGCCATGGGAACCGACAATGGTGATGGCAACCAGGACATCAAATTGTAAATGAATGGTCCGCGCTTTCTACAACTTGTCACTTGATGATATCCCCTTTGGTTAACTGCCTGTTGTCCATGTCTGCAAAGGCATGTAAACAGTTTAGATTGTAAAGCTTTCCGTCAAGAATACCACTCTGTTATAGCTCTTTGATATAAGCAAGAAATAAAATAAAATGTTTGTTAGAAATTCAATCAATTCATTGACTCTCTTATACTTCGTGCCTTTAGCTATGTGGTCGTGACAAGACTCATGTAAGCTTCCTCCACTGCTGCTAATATTTGTCTCATCTCCTATCCTCTCTCTCTCCTTCGACTCATCTCATCTCTTCCTTCGCGCCCAAAGCGCCAGCCATATAACAATCCATCCGTCCTACCGTGGTCCCATCGCGATGCCTGTCATAAATCCAAATCATCGTAGCCGCCCCATCCTCTATCGCCTTCTTATAGTAGAAGCAGAAAAAAAGAGACAAAAACAGAAATCGGGGGGACAAAGTAGAAAGCAGAAGAGAAGAGAGAAACCTTTTAGAAAGCTTTGTCGAACGGGGCATCGTTGAATGGAAAAAGGGGGGGTATGAAAAGGAGGAATGTTTGTGTCTAACAGATCTTGCTCGCAACGCCGTGCCCATAAGCAAAAAAAGCAGCGAGCTCTTTTCTTCTTTTATTTATCTTTTTTCCCTCATTATGTTGTCTATGACTTGGTGAAGAACCAACTGGCACGCTTGCTGCTGCTACCGCTGCTGGTGTTGCCTTCGTTCTGGCCCTGAAGGTTCTGGATCGTGGGAATGCTGGGGGCGTCGTTGCCACCGCCGCCTCCTCGAAGAGGCTTGGCGATCCTGCTGCCGGCGTTGGCAAAGCTAAAGCCACCAGGCGAGTTAAGACCACGAGTGCTGCCGGCCTTGGCCAGCTCGAGTCGCTCCTTGACAGCGGCAAGCTGAACCTCGAACCTGGTTGGTTTGTTAGTGGAGTTCATAGAAAAGGATCATTCAAGGATACGTACTTGTGGTTCGCAGCGGCCATCTTCTCCTGACTATCCTGTAGCAGGCTCTCCAGGCTCTGGATACGCTCATTTCGTGCAATCAGCTTGCGCTCAGCGATAGCAACCTCCTTCTTGAGAGCAGAGTTCTGCTCGACCAGCTGGCGCTGAACCTGGGTGAGTTGCTCCAGGTTCCTCTCAAGGAAGGCCATCTTCTTCTGTTGCGCCCTGTTGTTGGACGATCGGAGAACGTTGTTATACTGCTCTCGAGTCTCGTCGAGAGAAATCTCCAGCTCGACAACACGCTCGCAGCGGTTTTGAAGGTCACGCATGAGACTCTTCTTCATGACGTCAAACTCGGCGATCTGTTGCTGGATCGTCTTGCCGTTGGCCATTGGCGCAGTGGCGCCCGCCTTGACACGCTGTTGAAGATCCTCGATAAGGGTCTTCATTCTTGTGTTCTCAGCAGCCTTCTGGGCAATATCCTCCTTCAACTCTTCGACAAACTGCGACTGAGCAGTCTGGCGGTTCGCAAAAGCGTTCTCGAGTCGGGCCTTGACCTCCTCGATATCTTCAGGGCCCAAGTTACGGGTAAGAATCTCTTCGTACTCGGCCTGGACAGCCTCAAGACGGGCTTCAAGTTCTTGCCTCCTCCTTGAGTCGGACTCGCTTGAGGAAGTGCTGTACATGGAAAGCTCTGCTTGTCGAACAATGCCCTGGGTCTCCACCAATCGAGCCTTGAGTGCCTTAAACTCATCGGGTGCGATGTTGTCGCCAGTTGCACTGAGGTCATGGAGCGAGTCGACTTTCTCGATCGTCTCGGCGATATGGCGCTCATTCTCGCTAAACACATCACCACCCAGGTCGAAGCCAGCCATCATCTTGGCCATTTTCTCAGCCTTTCTCTTCTCCTTCTCGTCGAGAGCGGCACCACTCTCCTTGGCGCTCATCTTGACATCGAGGAGCTGCTGCTTCACCTCGTCGAGCTCGGTGGTGAGCTCCGAGTTAGCCTCCTTCAAAGCATCCATTGTGATCTGAGCTTCCTTGCTCTCGAATGTGAGCCTCTCCAGTTGCATCTTGAATTCGTTAACCTCGGTTGTGAGCTTCTCGTTCTCCTTGCCGACTTTGCTATCGTGATCCTTGAGGTAGGCCAGCTCCTCCTTGGTCTCCCGCAGCTGCTTCTCAGCCGACGCAGCTTGAGACTCCTTCTCCGAGATCTGGTCCTGCAGTTCGTTCTCTCGTCGTAGGAACTCCTCCCTCTCGTCCTTGTCAAGCGGTAGGCTGGGAGTGCCAGCTCGTTCGGATATCGCAGGTGTTTCTGAGCGGCTGTCTGATATTAATGAAGGAGTGGATGGTCGTGTCGATGTCCTGGCATCAGCCTTGGTTCTAGCAACGGCATCGGTAGTCAAAGGTGTGGCCCATCTCTCCTTGGGGACAGCTTCACCAGCACGCCACATCTGAATTTCGCCCTCGAGGGAGGAGATGTAGCTCTCGAAGTTCGTAACCTGTCCTTGTGCTTTCTTGAGAAGGGATTTGAGTTCGGCAGGACTCAGCTCGGCGTTGACCTTGGCCTTGTTCTTGATCGACTTGGCTCGCATACCGAATCTTAGTGTACCCAATGTTTCGGCATCGTTGTAACTACTGGGCGAACAGTTGATGATAAGGGTCGTCCGACTGTTACCACCGAGAGATTCTTGCAAGATACGGGTCAACTTGGAGTCTCGGTAAGGAATATGTGAGGATTTGCCATCGGTCAAGGCGTTGATGACCATTCCCAGGGCACTCAAACTCTTGTTGATCTTTTTGGCTTCCTCCAGAGTCTGTCCACTGGCACCGGTCTTGCCAACCTTTTCACTACCTGCCAAATCGACAAGGAACAGCTGTCCGCTTTTTGCTGAGCCGGTTTCGACATTCTTCTGTGTGATGGTGATGACAAAGATGGAGTGGGATCGTGAGGACTCCTGGTTCATGTTCGTGGCGGCGACAGCTCGAGCATTTCCACCTCTCCTCATGACCTCGTACACTTCTTGGACACTCGAGACGTAGATTTCCAAAAGACCTTTAACATACACACCTCGGTTCTTCTCTTCGTGGACGGGCAGGTTGTCGTTCTGCGGTGCAAGCAGATCTCGAATCCTCTCCATGTAGATTTCCATATAACTGACGCGGACGGTGTACTCGATCGTGCCGGGACTGGACATGATGCTGGCAAAGATCTGCTCGACGATACGGGGAATAATACCTCGACCCTCATCGTCGTCGATGTTGGTGCCCATCATGGTATAAGACTTACCGGCACCGGTCTGGCCGTAAGCGAAGACGGTTCCGTTGTATCCATTGAGAATATCGTCGACGGTAGATCGGATCGAGAAGTCGAAAATGTCTTGTTGTTTACATCCCATATCAAAGACTCGGTCAAAGGTGAAGCTACCCTGCGCCTCCTTGGACTGCCGAACATGTTAGCTGTGAGGTCTCACCGTATGTTTATGTTGCTGTGAACAGTAACGCAACGCAACGCAAATGGCAAAACATACGGCGATGGTACAGGTCTCCTCGCCATCGAAAGATACGATGGGCTTTCCGCCCGACTCAAGCTCGACCTTGTTCTGAGGTCGAAACCTGGCCACGACCTTGATACTATTTGCGGACGACATGTTGAACGCAGGCTGTGTGTCACGCAACAAACGTTATCATCGGCCGCGGTGCTGTCGTCCCGAGAGAAAGAAAAAAGTCGGGCTCGATCGTTGGCTGCTCTGAAGCGAACCTTCAGGGGGGGTGAGGGGGGTCGCAGAAGATGCGGGCCGCAAGTTTGTTGCAATGAGCCACAAAATAGCGGCGAGAGGGGGGGACAACGGGACCTCAAACAAAGAGAGGAGACGAGGATAATAAAGGGATGTTTAGACTTCGATAAAGGGAGATAGCTCTGAACAAAGGCCGAGTCGCGGATGCAGATCAAGGCAGAGCCAAGATGCAAGCAGGGTTTCGTGATTCACTGGCAGGGCGTACGTTGTATATAGAATAATATGCACGATAATGTTGTTTAGGTGTGGTTTGGCGTGCGATCAGCAATAAAAAGTATCGACGACAACAACAAATGAATGCCAACCTAACGTCCAGGTGTGTTGTTGGCAACCAGAGGCGGTGGGCATTTGTTGGAGAACGGGGTCTGAAAGGTGATAGGTCAGGCACAGAGAGACGCGCGCCAAGAGGGGCCGAAACGGGGACTCACCTCAAGTGTGAGGGCTGCTCAGGGGGGTTAGGTGTCCTATAATTTAGGGGACTCTTTAGAGGTTTTTGGTTTTTTTTTACCCCTTGGAGATTAGGCCTCCCGGAGTGATGTGCCTAAAAACAACGTTGGACTTTGAGGTTCAGGCCCAGGTTGTTGGTCTTGTTTCACTCGACCGACGCAATTTGGAGATTTGCCGGGATCTTTGGCTTACAGATATCAGGTATTGGGTTGCTGCGTCGAGGAGTTCATCATGGTGCTGTCAGTAGTCAACACACTACCTATTATGGCAAATGGCCAATCATTAGCCTCAAGTATTCTTATCAAGTGCATTAAATTGTCCGTTCAGCGCAATGCCTACTTTACAAAGGGAGGATATTAAGTTCATGCAACGATAACAAGCGTTCTTTGGCAAAGTGTCACATGAAACGAAATGATAAGAGTCATTAAACATGTCACCATTCCTCACAAGCAAGGACACACAATACACCCCCACCATTTGACACATTCCGCTTCATTAGCAAGCATAGTTCACTTCGCTGAGAGTCATTCTCGGACAATAAACAAAGGCGCTACAAGAAACATTAAACTCCTTCTTCATGATGAACCCTTGTGATATCATAAGCTAACGTTCCCGGGGCTTCCTGGACGCTTGCAACGCCTCGAATGCAGTTTAGTCAGTTGAAACTCCTCGCACCCCAAACGCCATTTACACAAAATGCTTGCAGCTTTGGGCTGCAGAGCACTTTCATTGTTTGAGCAACCTGATCTGTACCTTGCTGGACAGGTCGACGTTGGCATACCGTTCTCTGTCCTTTTGGAGTTCGGCCGTTCAGTCTTCCCAGCTCTTCTCCACCGTCTCTCTGACACGCTTGGTGTATTCCTTTCGGTTGTCCTTGTATAGGTTGGAAGCTTCGACGTTCGCAGGTGAACCAGTGTTAGGGTCGTTAAGTAAACTGTTGAAAGATCAGCGTACGCCTTTAATCGGCTACTATTGATGCTGCTCACCTTTGAATACTGGTCAAGACAGCGGCGACATCGTACGTAGGACTCCATCGATTTTGCAGAATGTCGAGACAAAGCTCTCCGGTGGCGTAGACGTTGGGGTGGAACATCTGGCTGATGAACTTGACTTGGGGAGGCTTGTTGGGATATTGCTCTTCGAACTGCATCACAAGTCGAAAGGTGCCATCTTCAAAGGGGGTGTCTGCGGGGCCGATGATGACGGCGTTCCTACAAGACGTATGATGAGTATTTGTGTTCAGGATCGGCGATGTCGACGAGGGCGTACGAACCAGGTCATGACATTGTCTGGTACAGGTGAAGCAGAGACGCCAGCGGGAGGATCGGTCTGCATGCGCTATCGTGGGAGTCAGCGAGGTTTGATCTGGGGGCGCTCGTTAAAGAATGGCGAACCTTGAAGTCTCGCATGAGACGGCGACGAGCAGCGGTAGACATGATAGCGACTGGGTCGGAAGGCGAGAACGGATGTAAGGATAGAAGTTGAATGCTGTTGAAAGAGAGAAATCGTAACGTGAATGCTGCACTTGATGAATATTTCTAACAAGCGAAACGATTTGCATGCACGGCTCACTGTCCTAAGATTTGGCGGTGCAAGATGATGAGCGGAGATGGAGATTGGTCATGGACAGGCTGGTCGATGATTCGGATTCCACAGCGGAGGAGTTAGGTGATGCAATCTACCAATCAAGCATGTTTATCGTTCTGGCCTATCAATGCACGGTGAGTGGTCCACTTAACGTCTGTCTCACCTTCTCACCGAGAATGCCGCACGTGACATGGCCGAGCCGCAGCAACTTTGGTGGCATCTTCAGAGCCTGCAAAGCCTTGAATAGTGTTTGATTTGCTTTATAAGCATCAAGTTATCCCTCTTGTCTTAATAAGGAACTTTCCTTGGACAAATTTGATCGCATAATTATACGCTGACTGTCAAAATGCTTATTTTATATCCCCCACTACCCGGAGCTTTCACATGGTCGCGGGGGACGAAGGCCGCTCTGGGAACTAAATTATGGCATTTCGGAACCGACAACCAATTCCGATGAAGGAGAAGCTACTAAATTGAAATGAATTACACGATAGTGATATAGGCAGCGGTGGAAAGAGTCCGTCTCCAGATCTGACAAAAAAGGTACTTCAGACTATAAGCCAATGTCACCGTTTAGCTTGTACCCCAGCTTCGACGTCACCTGTAAAACTCCCCCGGATTTGTAGTCTCGGCACGGGAGAGCTTGTGGCCGCCACCTCGGGCCCTCCCCCGCTGAAAGCCGAAGAGGACCGAAGCGGATGTATATTGCCATATTATTACGATACCCGAGGTCGTCTTCTCTTGCTTATTACTTCAATCCATTCCCATCCTCTTCTTTTCTCTCCATTCTGCCTGTCCTGTTACGTCTTGATACCCCCTCATATACATCGAAATGTCTCCTGCTCAACTACGATCCGCTGGCCGGCTGGCCCAGCTTGCTGGACATGTGAATGGCGCGCGACAGTTCTCTACACGGCCGGCTCTGCGTAAAGAGATTCAGGACGCCTACATCCTGAGCGCCGCTCGAACTCCTACAGCAAAGGTACAGCATACTCTAAATCGATTGGTGTTTGAACCAGCTTATTAACATGTTCATAGTTCAACGGCTCGTTCCTGTCAGTATCGGCTCCTAAGCTCGGCGCTGTCGCTATCAAGTCCGCCCTGGAAAAGTCAAAGGTCCCCGTCGAGAAGATCACCGATGTATACATGGGCAACGTTCTCCAAGGCTCTGTTGGCCAAGCGCCCGCTCGACAGGCCGCCATCTTCGCTGGTCTGCCCAAGGAGATCGAGGCTACCACTATTAACAAGGTCTGCGCTTCTGGACTGAAGGCCGTTGCTCTGGCCGCTCAGAACATCCAGCTAGGTCTCTCTGAGGCTCAGATCGCTGGTGGAATGGAGAACATGTCACAGGTTCCATACTACGTGCCCCGCGCCAGTGGTCTTCCTGCTTTTGGCCACGTGAAGATGGAGGATGGTCTTATTAAGGACGGACTTACTGATGTTTATGATCAATTCCATATGGGCAACTGCGCTGAGAACACTGTCAAGAACTACAAGATCACCCGCGAGCAGCAGGACGAGTACGCTATCCAGTCATACCGCAATGCGCAAAAGGCTTGGGCCGACAAGGCCTTTGCTGACGAGATCGCCCCCGTTACCGTCAAGTCACGAAAGGGCGAGACTGTTATCGACACCGATGAGGGATTCAACGAGGTCAAGTTCGACAAGATCCCTACCCTGAAGCCTGCTTTCGTTCGTGACGGAAGTGGCACTGTCACCGCCGCCAACTCATCGACTCTTAACGATGGTGCTAGTGCTCTTGTTCTCGGAAGCAAGGCCATTGCCCAACAGTATGGCTCTGGCTCGCGCGTTCTGGCCAAGATCTGCGGTTACGCTGATGCTGCCACTTCTCCCATTGACTTTCCTATCGCTCCCGCCAAGGCTGTCCCCATCGCTCTCGAGCGTGCCGGTATCACCAAGGATCAGGTTGCCATCTGGGAGTTCAACGAGGCTTTTGCCAGTGTGATCCTGGCCAACTCTAAGATTCTGGGTCTTGAGGGTGCCAAGGTTAACCCTCTGGGTGGTGCTATCTCACTGGGCCATGCTCTTGGCAGCTCTGGTTCACGAATCTTGACAACTCTGCTACATCAGCTTAAGCCTGGTGAGTATGGTGTTGCTGCTATTTGCAACGGTGGTGGTGCTGCGACTGCACTGGTTGTCCAGCGTGTTGAGTCTGTATAAAAAGGTTTATGAGCCATAACGATAGAGTATTTATGATTGATAGTCGAGGAACAAAGCAAAATAAGATAAAAATTGAATAATAGCAAGGAAGATCATTTCAGTGCAGCTCGTATTTTTACCTGCAATGTGTATGCCATTACTTCTAAGGACCAACTGCTGAGCAGTTGTCATGATCTCTCAGTGCAGGGTAACATGATGAGCACATGCGATCCCATGTTGCTGATAAGCTGTCATGATGAGCCATCATCTCACATAAAATAGTAGTTTTATTCCACTGGCAAAATTGAATTACCTCTGAGTGTTTGGGTTAAGTTCATTGGCTAATAAGAAGACTGTTCCGGTTAGGAAGTGTTTAGGAAGAACAATGGGGGATGTTCTTGCTGCTCTGTTCACTGAGACAGTGGAGCCATACTATTTTCCACTCACTCACTGACCCAACTCTCCCGGAAGCTCAGCTCAACCTCACCTCTCAACTCAATCTTCACCCTCTCTCTCTCTCTTCTCTCCCCTCAATCACCACCATCACTCGCGATGCCTCTAGTCCTCGACTTTCTCACCCAGATCCGCAATTTCATCCGCACTCAGAATGGCGACGAGCTTCGCGCCTGGCTCCAGGTAGAGCCTAATTCTCCTCAGCAATATCACAACCTCGCATCTGAGCTACGCTCCCAATTCCGCCAACAGGGTCTTGACAACATCGTTGAAAGGACACTACCTCAGGAGGATGACGTCCTGGAAGGTCAAGCTACCGTGTGGCCTGGCTTTGTGGCCTTTATGAAGGACTACATGGCCTTTTGGCGCGACGTCAATTATGATGATTTGCTGGGCGCGCATCAATTGCTTAGTGGGCTTGTCAAGTATGATACCAAACATTGGATGGATAATGGTCATGAGGACTAATATTTGATATCATAGCTCTTGCGCAACTGCTTTTGCTCACCCAACCTACGGCGCCATGCTACTCAAGACGAGCATGTCCCTCTCAGAGACCCTGGCTCGTCTCACAATGTCTTTGAACAAACGCCCTGACCTGGCGCGTCGTCTACGTGCCGTAGATGAGGATAAGAGCATCGCCGAATCTTCAGCAGAAATCATCCAAAAGATCTTCACAACATGTCTCACAGATCGATCTAGCGGTCGTTATGCGAAACCAGAGGGCAAAAAGGTTGGAGTCTACATGTTTGCCAACCTCGTTCTCAAGCTTCTCTTTGCAGTATGTGACAACCCAATATGTTATAAGATATATCGCTGACCAGATAAAAGTGCCGAAGAACACATCTCGCCAAAATGATCTTTGTCAATATTTCCACCATCTCTCCGCCACTATCTCTCTACCCAGCTGCTCAGCGCGTCACATTTCTCTACTACCTAGGCCGCTTCAACTTCTCAAACAACCACTATCTCCGGGCTGCGCTGTGCCTTGAAGAAGCATACCTTCAGACCCCTTCGCAGCTGGTCTCTCATCGGACAAACATCCTCACATATCTTATTCCCTGCAATATCCTTCTTGGACGTTTTCCATCACAAGTATTGCTTCAACGCCCAGAATGTCAGACTCTAGCGCCTGTTCTCTTCCCCATTTGCCAGGCTATCAGATCTGGCAACTTCATCCAATTTCAACACCACCTTGCGCAACACGAAACATGGCTCTTCGAGAAGGGCTTGCTTTTAACCCTCGGTAACCGACTACGACCTCTGCTCTGGCGCTCACTAAGCAGAAAGACTTTCCTCCTTACATACGTCCCGCCAACCGATGCATCATCCCGAAAAGCCGCCACACTTGACCTTGCAGACCTTCATACGCTCGGGGTATACCTTCAACACCGCCTTGAAGGTTGGCTCCCAGCAGGACCAAACTCACTTGGTCGTTCTCAAAGCGTCAACCCTCTCCTTATGAAAGCCCTCGAGAACAATGCTCAAAATCTCGAAGCCACGTCCACACTAGCTCCGCCACCCGGAGGGCCCAAATCTCTCCGGCCAAATGAGGGTATGATCTGGGGTAACGCAGAGGTCACATTCGAGGACGTGGAGATGACGGTCGCAACGCTTGTTCAACAGGGTTTGATGCATGGGTTTATCGCTCATGGGCAAGGACGATTTGCAATCATCGGTGCGAAGGCCAAGGGCAGCCCTGTGCTTGCTGGCTGGCCCAACGTCTGGCAAATAAATCGAGAAAGGAGATATGAAGACTACGATCCTGATGAGGTACCTGGATGGGTCAAGGAGTAAAAAGAAAGGGGAGATGGACAGTTGAGCTAGATCACCTAGCTTGGATACTTAGATCATAACTCATCTTGATGGCGTTTGTATAATATCATTTCCTGTATGATACCCAGGGGATAATAAGATTAGAGTATGGCTATAATATGAGGATGTACTTGTGGCAATCAAAACGACCAGACACATATTTCTTTTCCAATAGCTGCGTGCGACAACGTTCATCACACCCATTAAATATGTCTAATCAAAAAAGTGTTTTTATAATAATAAGCCGAGATGGCCGAGCATCATCCCATCGACTAAACCACACCATCTCCTGCTTTTTTCAACAACCGTACAAGAAGTTTCCCCCCTAAACTCTCTGATTCATGTGTGCATACGTCGTTAATCGCGAGAATAAACTTAAAACCATCGCTTGTTTTCCCCAAACATCCAAAAAAGTCTCCAATGTGTGCAAAAAAGGGTATATCGACCGTGAAATGAAGCGTTGAAACTTGTATATAATGCCCACGGGCCCACAAGAGCCCAGACAAGGGACTCTTGAAGAATATTATACCCGGGGCGGGTATTAGCAACTAGGCTTTCCAACAGCCAGAAGACTGCTGAGTAGTCTAGTAATAAGACAATAGACACTATCGCCGATAGGTAGTTGGCTTTGATAATATATGTAAAGTACCAGTAATAAAGGAATGTCGTAGAAAATAGTTTCTGTGAATAGAATGCCAGCTGCGTCAAGACAGTGGTAAATGGTCGTCAAAGGATATAGAAATTAGAAGAAACAAGCGGCGGCGATGAATGCGACGACAAGGCCAGCGACAGCAGTGTTGCCTTGGTGGCGACCTGCCTCGTTTTCCTTGGACTGAGTGGGAGCTGCTCCAGAGTCGACCTCAGTGGCGACAGCGGTCTCCTCGGACTCGGAGGTGTAGGTTGAGGTTCCGTTCTCACGGAAGATACCAGGCTTGACAGTAGGGTAGACCTTCTTGGTGGACTTGTGCTTGGTGGTCTTGGAAGTAGCAGAAGTGAAGATGGTTGAGGTAGGCTCCTCCGTGGTGGTATCGGAGGAAGTCTCTTGCTCGGTGGTGCTGCTAGTCTCAGCAGAAGAGGTAGTCTCAACACTAGTAGTGGTGGTGGAGGTTGAGGAAGTGGTGGTAGGGAGTGCCGAAGTGGTGGGCTCAGCGGTAGTCGAAGGCTCCTTGGTGGTAGAGACAACAGGTTCCTCAGAAGTGGTGACCTTGGCCTCGGCTGTGGTAGAGGGCTCAGCCTCAGCGGTAGAAGACTCGGTCTCTTCATCGTCATCGTCATCACCGCCGGATGAACCTTCGCCAGAGGAGAAGGCAACGATCTGAGCAGTGCTACCCTTCTGAACGGTAACGACACAGAAGGCAGCGCCACCAGCACCCTTAGCGGAAAGGCTGCTGCCAACATTGCCCTCACCCTTAGCAGGGTCGATCCTGCAAGGAAGACCATTGCAACCGCCGTCGGGACACTGGATCTCAACACCGAAGTCGGGCAGCTTGCTCTTCAGAGCCGAGTCCTCCCAGATAGGGTTCCAACCAATCTTGACAAAAGTCTGACCGTTGGACTCAGTGTTAGCACCGGCAACGTAGGGGCTCCAGTTACCAATGGGCTCCGACTCGGTACCCCAGATGCAGCCCTCCTCACCAGTGCCAGGGGGGTTGATGTAGAAGCTATATGATCGTTAGAGATCTTCGATGATCAACAAGACTCAAGTGACTTACTGAGCAGCGGTGGAGCACCAGTACGAAGATCCGGGAACAGCCAGAGTGGCGCTAGAAGTGACAAGAGTAGGGATAAGCATAGCTTCGTTACCAGGCAGGACAGTCTGGCACCAAGACATCTTGGAACCACACTTGTTAACAGCCTCAATGGAACCAGTGCCAGAAACACAGTTGGGCTTGCCCTCGAAAGGCTTCTCAATTTCACCATTCTTGTTACAGAAGAGACCTCCGTTCTGAGAAGTGTTAGTTGCGTGCATCGAAGTTACTAGATAATACAGGTCAGGCGTACCATTGAAGCGGGATACTCATAAGTGGAATCCGGATCCCATTGGTTCATAACCATACCGGGCTTGCAGGCAAAAGGGCAGTAAGAACCAGGCTTGCACTCCTGATCGGGGCTCATAGCCCAACCGGCGTTCTTCGCATCGGGAGTGACGGCGACCATGTTGGGGTCATCGGTAGGGAACTGGCATTGTCCACCACGCTTCTCAAGAGTCGAAGACTGAACGGGAAGATGTTGTCGCAAGTGCTCAAAACCATTGTGACGGTGACCGTGTTGCTTGCTAGCGACCATTGATGGCGCAGACAAGGCGCCCAGAAGGGCAGCCGAAAGGTTGATGAGTCTCATTGAGATTGTCGTCGATGAATACGAGTCGATTTCGTTTCGGTAAATTCCAGAACGGTTGTTCTTATTTTGTTGCGCGAATACCTCCAGTCCTTCAACTATTGTCACAAACGAGACATATATCCTGACGGGCGTTTGGTAAAAAAGAGTGTAATTGTCGTCGAGCAACAGAACGAGTGATGCAGCTGACGAGGAAAGTCGATGAACTCGCGGACTAGCGACAGAAACGTTTTAACAAAGCAAGGAAACAAAAGAATGAGTGACAGGCAAGGAAGCAAGGACATGAGTATTAAGAGATCGACAGGTCCACGAGATGGATATGGATCCCCAGGAAATGAGCCATGGGCAGAAGCGCGGACACCAGCGCAGTCACCCACAGCAAGGAGATTGAGCCGTAGGCGAGGCCTCGTCTGAGTGGGCTCGTGGTCAGGCCCCATGCTGAGCCATGGCCTCACGGTACCTGCATGGAACTGAGAGACCCTGTTCTTGTGTGGATGCCCTCCTGTGACGGGCGGGTCGAGTAATGTAACCGTTTCCAATCAGACGTTGGCATGTCTGACCCCTGGCCTCGATCTAGCCAATCCTGTTGAGACCGTGCCTGGTTCGAGTTCTTGGCTCAGGGGATCACGCTCGGAGCAGATTAGAGTCAACCATATCATGTCAAGGTGATGCTTAATTGTGCAGCTGTCGATGCCAAAGAGGGATGACTCTGCGGCCATGGTACCAGCATGTTCGGAACGATGGCCGGATGGGGCAACGGCATCGTTTTCCATGAAGACTTGCTGTAAGAGAGATCCTGGGGTTCAGGTCATCTAACCACCATTGTCTCGGTTCTGCTTCTCGTTCAGATTCAGATTTTGATTCTGGATTGTCTCGTCCCTGTTTTTAGGAACTGGCGTCCATGTGTCATTGCACTCTCGACACGCTACCCCTGGACGTTTTTCTGTGGCTTGCGACAGAGACTCACATTGGTCTGCTGGCTCTTAAAGCCCCTGGCGAGTGGTTTTTGCCACAGCCTTTGTAACCATAGTTCCCGGGCCAATGTGTGTTTGGTTAGCGTTCAAACAGTCCCCAGACGGTTCGGAGCCACAACTGACAGCCTACTCAACGCGTGCTGTGCCACTCACAATTGGCCAGGGAGACGCGCTTGACTACTGAATTCAAGAGGGCGAGTCAGCTCTTCTCGTCAAAATAAGATTGATGGCAGCAGTCACCTTCCAAAGAGGGGTCAGTAATTTCACTGTTTGTTAGTGTATTCGGCTGAAGATCGACGTCATGCTCCCCTGTTTAGTGTGAATGGTCAGTGGAACAAAGTTGACAATATCCGTACGAGAAACGACAAGTTTCGGCATAATATAAACACTTTGGCGCCATCTCGATTTTTATGAGCCGCTTATACGAGTAGTATAAGGTAAGTTGAAGATATCATGAAACAGAATGACAGGACGAGATCGAGACACTAACACTCACACGTGACTCAACAGCTTCCTTCCCTCTTCGTAGAGGTTGGCTCGATAGGTAGGTACCTATCTTACAAGACTTTCGCATAGGATCTATCGCGTTTCGAATATCGGTGTGGTTCAAACTGAAAACTGTCTTGGAAATTCTCAATCCCTTTTCCTTCAGCTGAACGATACATTGAAAGAGGGGCATTACACGATACGAGCCACCGATATCGCATCACTGAGGATCCGAATGTCGCTTAAAATCGCTAAACATTCCTAGGATTTATAGCATCCGGGGACTGATCAATGCATATTATCCATGCAATGCGATAGGGACAAGCGATTCATGCTCGCCTCTACATCCTGCCAGTGGGAATTGATAAGTTGAAGAGGTGTCAGGAGATATGGTGAGAGGATGATATGTCGTAACGGCCACCCCTATCCATTCTGCCAACTTGTAACGAAGCTGAGATCCTGGGGTCTATGGCAATGGAATGTCTCGGTAGTTTAGTAGCATCAATTAAGCATAGTTTTTTTGCACTATGATTCAACTGGAATCTGTACCATGCCAAGCCATTACTTGTGACAAGAGCCCAAGGTTGAGATTGAAGCAAAAAGACACGATGCTCCAGGGTAGATCTAGGTTTTACGATCGAATCAATCAGATCGTAGTCGGTAGTTGACGGTTCCAGAACTGGGCGTTTTTTCCAGTGGATAAAGTGTAATTTTAAGCATCGAGAGCCATGTCTCGTCTCAGCTCAAAACAATAAACAATGAATATGACGAGCTCCAAGCGGGAGTGGCGTACGGCATAGAAGAACAAAGTGGATGATGACCTGCATGGCGCTGAAGCCACAATGATAAAAAGGTTTCAAGTTTCAACTATTGGAGTTTGTTTCTGACGTCTTGGTTACAAAGTGAGAATATCGAAGATCTACGAAACATATGGCTGAAACGTCCAATATAATTGACTTCACACTACCTATTGAAGTTGAACTTGGTGACTTGGACATGTTTCTCTGAATGATGTGCTGACAGGTGCTTGAAAGTTGTAAGAACCACAAAGCAAAGATAAGCGAAATGTTTACAAACAGTGGGGATGTTTCCTTTCATTCTAGACAAGAAACAAAACATCTTCAGATCGGCTGTGCTTCCACACGTGGCCCATAATAGAGGCGGATGATAATTATAACCAGATGATAAATCTATGAATAAACCCAGCTTATTCCTCACTCAACCTGGGGAAACCTGGCCAACAAACCCATCTCATTTGACACTTTCACCGGATCATTCAGTCTCCGTAAGAACAAAATGCCGTTGGTGCTGACAGGAATCCATCGCAGAAGCGCTTAGTCGATTATTTTTGGAGGAGGGGGGTCGGCGACTACTGCGCGTTGGCGTCCTTGCACAGCCCACGAACCCTCGAAATAGCGGCAAACCACCAATCAACGACACTCGCTCAGCACCAAGGCCGCTAGGATGAGGCTGGTAAACAAGACGGATATGCCATCTTCCGTAGGATGTTGACTATTTTTGACTGTGCAGAGCCTCTGAGGCTGTCTTGTTCCTGGGTCTGACAGCTCAGCATCGTGAGTCTTGTGCCTGGGTTCATGTGGTTATCTGATGGTGAGAATGGGTATAAGAAGATGGTGGTATCCGGTTGAGATTGGAGATATCATTCATAGCATCACTCAAGCATTACAAGCATTACAAGTCTTACAACCATAACAATCTCATCTCATCTCATTCTCCTCTTCAAACTCTATACTTCAATATCTCAACATCATTCACAATGAAGTTCACCACTGCTCTCGTCTCCGCCGTCCTGGCCTTCACCTCCTTCGCCGAGGCAGCTCCTCGCAACACTCGACGAACAGACTCCAGCAAGCCTCTCAGTCTGACTGCCCAGCTTCGACTAGCTGATACGTAAGCAGCCCCCAATGATGACTTGGCTAGGACACATGACTAACATATCACCAGTGCCGCTGACCGCTTTGCTCTTCTCCCCGAGGACGATGACTTTGTCTTTGACTTCAACAAGAAGCAAGATAACCCTGGAAAGGGCGGCGAGCTCATCGCTGCTAACCGTGCCAACTTCCCTGCTCTTGTTGGTACTGGCGCTGGTATGGCCTTTGGCAGAATCGATCGTGAGTTTCTCTTATACCATCTCTAAATAGCAACACTAACATATCATCAGCCTGTGGCATGAACACTCTTCACGTTCACCCTCGCTCCGCTGAACTCCAAGTCGTCACCTCTGGCCGCCTCATCACCGAGATGGTCCCCGAGAACGGCGTCCTCGACAAGGATGGCAAGCGTCGTGTTATCCGCACTGAGCTTACAGCCAACATGATGACTCCCTTCTACCAAGGATCTATCCACACCCAGTTCAACCCCGACTGCGAGCCCGCTACCTTCATTGCTACCTTTGCAACTGAGGACTTTGGAACTGGTCAGATCGCTGATGAACTTGTTTCTCTGAGCGACGATGTCATTGCTGCTACCTTCGGCCAGAGCATCGCCGGTGAGGATATCGACAAGGTCCGGCAGGCTGTCCCTAAGAGCATTGCTCTTGGTGTTGATAAGTGCCTCGAGACCTGTGGCCTTAAGAAGCGATCCATCTAAAACGGGTCCTCCCTTGTCTTTCTTTCTTTCTTTCTTTCAAGGCATAGCATGGAATGAGCATGTGAGCGATGTTTCTTCCCCTGGCGTTATTCTGTAGTTCAGTAGTATAGACGGAGATACCCTAGTTCTACGCAGTAGATATTGATAGGATCCGGCAATCTGTTTATTTATAGATAGCATTTGGTACATATTATACAAGTTTTTCTTTCATCTAGTTTACATACATCGTGATACAAAGCTTCCATCATGCCCTTGACTCTACAGACCCTTTTCGCGATGACCAACGACCTTGGCAAAAGAGTCAAAGGACATTGTCATCGAGTGCCGTCCCGCAGTCTTGCTTCTCAAATGATTATCATAGTCCAGCATCTCCTTGTACGGGACCTTGGCAATAATCTCAACAACCCTAGCCGAAGACTTCTTACCGCGCAGAGAAGTGATAGAGTCATATGGATCAGGAGGGGTGTAAATCTTGGAAACGTCAATATGATCCTCGCCAGTCGACTCAGCAGACCGATCATTGACTTCGAGAACTTGACCACCAGCACCAGCAGTGACATCATGCTGTACCGTACCGGCTACAACCTCTGGACATGTTATGTTAACATGCATGATAGGCTCGAGAATGCCGATCTTCTCTTTCTCGAAAGCATCGCGAAGAGCAGCCTGGACGGCAGTCCTAGCGGCAGTGCTGAAATGTCCTCCCGTGGGAGTTTCACAGGCGCCGGGTTCTGTGTCCAGTGTGATAGTAACGTGGCACCCGTGAATGGGAGCTGCGCGACGAGGGCCCCTCGCCAGACCTGCAATAGCTCCGTTGAGAAGCTGCGCCCTCGCCTCCTCAGGATCAAAGTCAAGAGTGCTAGTCTCGTCTGTCAAAGGAATAGCAACATGGTATATGTTACCGTCTCGTTCGACGCAAGACTCTAATAAAGTGTCGTGATGATGATCCTCGAGTGGCGATAGGACAACGGTACAAGAAGCTTTGCCGGGCTTCCCTGCGACGGGACGGTCAAAGACTGTGTACTGTGGCCGTGTATGCTCTGTGACGCATTCCTTGTAGTCAACTTCGATAGGACCGAAGTCGGCATCGATCTTGTACTTTTGCTTCATGTTGTATAGTGACACGTCGAGATGAAGCTTGCCCATGCCCTGGATTGTGAATTGTTCTGTTTTGGGATCTCGGCTGTACCGTAGACTGGGGTCTTCTCTTGTTGTATTTTCCAAGGCGATTTGAAGTTGTTGAGCAGCAACGTTACCGTATGGCTCAACTTGTAGGAATGCCACGGGCGGTGGAATCTCAGGAGGTCGAATCTTGACATGACGGAAGTTTTCAGGAATGGGCTTGTTTGCATTCATCGTGACAAGTGTATCGCCTGTACGAGCTTTCTTCAGTCCTCTCAAAGCTCCAATCTGCCCGACCCCAAGCGATTGAATATCCTGTGTCTTGTTGGCAGCAATCTGAAGAATGCCCATGGGCTTTTCGTGTGTTAGAATGTTGGTGTTGAAACTTGATGCGTTTCTGGTAAGAGTGCCGTGATAAACTCGCACGAAGCTGATGACACCCTCCTTGGGATGGTTGAAGACCTTGAAAACTGAAGAAATAGACGCAACCTGGTTCCTCGCGGACTTGGGGCTGTTTTCGAGAACTTCTGTCAAGCGATGCTTTGCTGATCCGACTCGGACTTCTGCTGATGGACGTTCGTCTGGGCTTGGTAGATAATCTGTGATAGCGTCCATCAATGGCTCAACACCGATATGTCGGAAGCTTGAGCCAGCGAATACTGGAATGACCCGACCATCACCACTTCTGATGACTCGTCGAATAGCCTCTTTTATCAAAGCACCATCGATGTTTTCGTTCTCAGCCAGAAACTCATCCATGATAGCCTCATCAAAATCCGCAAGACCCTCAACCAAAGCCTGTCTCGCGGTCTCAATCTCTGGTAAAAGATCTTTGTTCGAACTCGAGAGTTTCTCTTTCAACTCCTCAGTATTGTATCGCTTCTTTTCACGTTCCGACTTCCATCGGTATCCGACTCTGTTGACAATATCAATCACACCAACAAAATCCTCTTTCTCCCACCAAGGGATCTGACAGACAAGCGGCCATCCTTTCAGACGCGTACCGATCTCGAGGACGGCTTTTTTGAACGAAGCACCCTCTCGATCAAGTTTGTTGCAGTACACTATACGGGGTACTTTGAACTCATGAGCGGATCCCCATACTCTTTCTGTGTGAGCTTCAACGCCTTTGACTGAGTCGATGATACAGACTGCTCCGTCGAGAATAGGCAGACAACGGTCAACTTCGAAACGAAAGTCTTGATGGCCGGGAGTGTCGATGAGGTTGATTGTTTTTGCGTGTTCTCCAGGTGCGAGTGCTTGATGTTTAGGCCAGTGGAATGTGATTGCTGCTGATTGAATGGTGATGCCTCTTTCTCGTTCCAAGTCGAGGAAGTCAGTTACTGTATTTCCAGAGTCGACATCTACATTTTGTTAGTATATTTGGTCAGTGAGTCTAAGATATGCCTACCTCCAACACGTTGCGTGACACCACTATAATAGAGCATTCGCTCAGTAGTAGTAGTTTTTCCCTGAGTAACATGAGAGCTAGTCATTAAGTGATGCCTGATTTCTTACTTACAGCATCAACATGAGCTATAATACCAATGTTTCGAATGTTGTGAAGTTGAGTATCATGATGAGCTTGATGCATAGCTCTACGACTCAAATTCATGAGCTCTTTATTGCGCCATTGACAGGCAAGACAACGGCCCGAGCCTTTTACAGCCGGGCCATTCCGTAACAAGGATAAAATAATCATTCCAATCTCGGAAATAAACCAAGATTCGACTGCCTCATCCCAGTCTCTCTCTCTTTTCTTTGTCTTTTGAGGTTGATTTTGAGCTTTCTCTGCTGTTTTTGGAAACGCTTTGATGTCATTCGTCCAAACTGTCCTGGAACTCCACTACCAACTCCTGATCATCAGCCTCTACATTCTCATTGGCCGAACCCCCCGTAAAGGAATTCCAAGACCCCCCCAAAACTTGAAGCTAAGGTTGGACTGGGGGCTTTGAGGCGTAGTCTGTCGTTAGCTTCAAACTCAAGGCTACCTACGTAATCTTGCTCCTCGTGCTTTTCACCTCCCGTCTCCGTCTTCGTCACCTTGCAACACTTACATACGCCTCCCATCACAATTCGGCTGCCTTTGACGCGACTGCCCTTAAACTGCTGCCTACGCGATAATTTTCAGTACTAAACTCGATTCTACCTCGATTCTCTACGGCGCAGTCCTCAAATCAACAATAAATCAATCATCATGGAGCTCTCTGACATCTTGTGAGTAGCTACGTTGCACTGTAGTATCGTCACGAGAATAGTCGCTAACCATCGCTTTCAACTGTAGCCGCATTGTCAACTTGGCTGTTGGTGTTATCACCGTTCTCGGTGGTATCGCGTCCATCTTCCATCTCGGCCTGTACGTACACTCCAATCCTGCGCCGAGTGATCAATTCGCATTCAGGCGACACCTCGACAGCACGAATACTGACAATGCCTTTGTAGTCAACCCATCGTTGTCGGCGCTTACATGATCGTGTTTGGTCTCGTCATCGCTCTGCTCGGTATGTTGTGACACTGACCGAACTTCCCATGCGCCGAGCCTAACAGATCGCAGAGTTCCAGATCCCTCCCCAGGTCTCCCGACATGCCTCTTTCATGTTCTCCTTCGTCGGCCGTGGTGTCTGTAAGTAGCTACCTATCATAACCCACTCTGATACTCTCCTAACACTCCTCAGTCTACGTCTTCATTGGCTGCCTTCTGTTGGGCAATTTCATCCTCAGCAAGATTGCTGGCAGCATCATCGGCATTGTCGGTCTCGCCTACATCGCCCTCGAGTTCGTCCCCTCCATCGAGCCCCCCAGCAACATGCGCGAGGCCGAAGATGCCGGCTGGGGCGCCGAGCAGGTCTAGAATGCCGATGCCAGCCAGCCGGGATCTACCCGTGCGGTTGCCTCTTCAGACACAGGCGCATAAGCTTTCGCGACGACCATTCGATCATGATACGAATGACAGCGTAAACGCGCAACAAACGCGGTGAACCAGGACGTATAGGATAAATTACTTGAAAGATGAATGTTACAAGAGAGGGAGTAGAAAAGCTGTATTTCTATGAATTGCAGACAGGAGGAGAGAATGAAGAGAAGAGGTGGCTCGTTTCAATGGGATTGAAGACGAGGTTCACGAGAATCAGTGTATAACGATTTGAAGAGATGAACCATTAGCAAAGAGACATTATAAGGACGTCGGGATCGAATATTCTATTGTCTAGTATACCTGATGCTCCCTCATGCCATGAAATCAAACGCCATTATTTCAACATCAACAAAATACTATTTTATGCTTCTCATGCCCTTGGACTCCTCAGGAAGCTAACTACACCACTGCAGTATCCAACCAGACCGTCCAACCGGTTGCACTCCTTCTCTTGATATGACTTCCACTCGCTCAACGCCGCCAACAGATCCTGGTTCTCCATCACCAGATCAAAGTGTAATCGCAGGAACACGGTCATCCACGCCTGAGTAAGCTCATAGTCTCGACGAGTCATGAGACGAGCTGTCAAAGCGCGGATGAAATGTAACAGTTCATTCGAGTCCTCATCGCCATCGCCGATAGAAAGCGAGCGAAGTTCGAGATCTGCGCTTGAGGGGGAGAGGGACTTGAGATGCTCAATGAACTCATCATCTGTGACATGTTAGAATATATGGATTGCGATGTGAGAGAAGTGTGACTTACAACTTCCTGTCTCTGCTCCAGCACGAAGCTTGGTGCTGAGAACCTCCTCAAAACGAGCCTTCTCGACTCTTGTGATGCGAGAGTTGCTCTCTGCCTCGCTCTCACCCTGGAGTTTAGAAGCCATAGGGTTCTCCTTTCCTGTCGTCGAAGGCAAGAAGAAGGGCGCCTTCTCGGGAGCCTTGGGGGCCTCTGTGGGCTTATTTCGCTCCTTGATAAGATCCAGGTGCAGCAATGTTTGCCAGCGACTCTTGGGAACCAAAGACAAAGTTGTAAGCTCGGAGCTAAGCTGTTCGATCGTTGGTGCCACTACAGTGTCCTCATCCTCAGCTTGCTCCTCCTCAAACGCACCCTCCAGCATGCCATGGCTGTTCTCGCCGGATACTGTAGGAGCAGAGACTTGACCAATCTCCTTCTCGGAGATTTGACGTGTGGGAACATGCTTGAACAGGGCCTTGTTGGTCCAGAGTGTCACTCCCAACTCGTTCTCGATTGTTGCAGCTAAGTATTCGCCAGTAACAGACATTGCCAGCGCCTTGCAAGGCTTCTCGAGTCTGATAGCATCGATCAAGTGACTCGTGGGAAGATCCCATACACGAATGACGCAATCTTGAGAAGCAGCGATGATCCATCGTCCATCGTTGGAGAAGCAGAAATCGTTGATGGCGCCCTGAGGACCCCAGAACTCACGAATCGTTCTCTTGGTCTCCATATCCACCACTCGAATTGATAGATCGTCGCATGAGAAAGCAAGCAGATTGCTTGCGGGGTGGTATCTGCATCCTGTTGGGAATGTCATAGGTGCCCAGTCAATCTGCTCTAATAGGTTTCCGGTCAAGAAGTCCCAGAATTTGATCTTGCCATCCAGAGAGCAAGACACCACGTTCTTGTTCATGGAATCGACAACAAGACCAGTAATACGCTTAGTATGCTTTCCGGTACCAACGGGGAACTGGCGAGTAGCCTCGGTATGCATTTGTACGATATCGTCTGCCTGTCGTAGTTGCTGCATCTTGAGCTGACGAGCTTGACCCGGGGTCAATCTTGAAGGGAATCGTTGGCGGTGATTTCCTGACTGAAGGTTGTACATATCAATGCCGCCAGATTCAGCACCAACAAGCGCAAAGGTACCGCAAGGGCTGATAGCAACAGTAGAGACGTTGGTCTCATCTCCAGTAGGGAAAGCCCATCGACCAGCTCGCTTTCGGCCCCAGAACCATGTCCTGGCATAAGGATCGTTCTTATGAGCGGTGACGACACTCTCCCAACCAGTCATACCACTGACCTCCGCATCCTGGGTCTTCTTCCTGTCTCGGGACTTTTGCCATATAGGCTGGTTGCCGGGCATAGCACCAATGCCACCATCTCGGTTCAATGAGGATACCATACAAGTAATCTCAGGGGCCTTAAGGTCCTCCAAGGTTGTTGTAGGTCCATGAGATAGAGCGTTTGTGGCTAGAATACCAATCTTCTTGGCCTTCTTGCGAATGTTACCCTGACTCAACTCTGTGCTCTGACCATCACGGCGCAGACTCCATCCCCAGAGGCTTCGATCTTGTCCACCACTGAGCAACCACTTGTTACCGGCATCGGCACCCTCAAAGTCGGTAGGAAGGAATTCGAGGCAGTTGACAGGACCAGCATGGCCGCTGCGTGAGTGGAGAATTCGAGGAATAGGAGAGAAGGGTGTCTCGTCGAAGATCCAGGACTTGAGAGAGTTATCGCGACCGCTAGTCACCACTACTGGTTGTCCAGGGAGAAACTCAATCTTGCTGATCCCACCACGGACAAGCGGTCCATCGTAAGAAGGAGGGTTATGAGCGCTTCTCAAAACACCCATCACGCGACCACCACCATTCAAATCCCAGAATGTGACATCTCCGGTAGCAGCTGTCGCCGTAGCCATAACACCATCCTTTCGTCCATCATTACCCGCTCCCATACCATCAGTCCGGAAAGAGATTGAGTTGACCTGCGCCTCTGAGCTTCCAGCCTCGATGCGAAGAGTGACCTTATCGGTTAAAACATTCGTGATAATGAGAGTTCCTTCAGAATAGGCGATAGCCAGAAGAGACAGAGCAGGGCTAGGTTCTAGACATGTTACGGAACCGCAATCGGGAGCCGGAGGAAGAATAGTGTAAATGAGCTTGCCGGTGCTGACGTTCCAGATCTCGACCCAGCCATCTTTGCGACCCACGAAAATCTTGTTGAGGAAAGTTGGCATAGAAACAATGCCACCAGTTATTTCGTTGCCGCGGTTGTTGGCAGGTGTAGTGTGAATAGTGGTGTAGTGCTCCAGAGTGGCCGTCTTGAAAACTTCGATTCGCGTAGTAGCAGCGACGATAGTCCATATGCCCAGGATAAGAATTTGCTTGACAGGCTCGTTGAGGTCTGAGGGCAGTGCAAGCTCATCGACCTTCTTGCCCCTCTGGAACACCCAGATACCCTGAGATTCGCCCTTCTTTGATCCGCCCCATGCGGCGAAAACCTTTTCCCTCCAGGCGAGAGTCGCGGTGATGTCGGCGGGTGTTTGCGGGCGAGTAATGAAGACGAGGTTCAATCCGCGACGAAGATCGTAAGTCTGAATAGATCGGCCAACTGAGGTTGAAATTTGAAACGTAGTCTTTCCGAGAGGAATCGATGTGAAAGGGACACTTGTAGGTGATACTAGACCGACAGTCTGAAGCGTAACAATTAGCTACTGGAGCACAACTCTCAATCGGGTGGACATACACGGAAGGGCGCAAATATTCTCGAAGAGTCTGATGCAGCTTTTGAAGCATTGGCTGGCGCCGCAGTCTTCTGGCGCTTGACCACGGGGTGGTCAGCATCCTTATGAGGCATTGTAATTATTTGAGATGCAGCTGGTGCAAGTAGCGACAAAGGTTACTTCACCAAAGATGCCCGCTTCCGCTCTGCGATTGAGGCTGCTCTGCGTGATACTACAGCCATATCCAAAAATTTACAATTTTTGGCGGTGAAGCGGGGCAGTATTTCTGGTGTATGGCTGAAGTAATTATTCTAAGCTGGTACTGAATGTTGATTTTAGCTTTTAGACTTTCTGCAAGTCATTGAATTACGAGAAACACCTCTAAATATCTGATTGGTTCTTCGACTTTGTCATATGTCTGTTCATGCAGCTTCATGACCTTCTTAAACAGCTGGAAAGTCATGTTTCATCACAGCTCACAGTGTACGGTTCATTTTGTCATCTCCCTGCCGACAAACAATGGAGCAGGGCCAACTGATTTGCAGATAACCTTGGCACTAGCCCTCTTGCATACACCGCGGGTAAGCCAAGGCGCATAGAACACCACTAGCGGGGAGATAGCTGGACTGGAATTCCGGGGGAGCATCTGGCTTTTGAGATCTCATCCATGTCCATCATCCGAAGAAATCGGTATGAAGGCGCCAGACCATGATCTTAGCCAGGGGAATCTGGTCCCTTTGAATCGGAACTCTCGTGCCTAGTTGCACAAATAAGGCTGCAAAGTTTCCCCAAGTACGCCCCAATTACGACTCGGCGTAACCGACGTCATACGCAGTTTGATCCAATATTCACAAGACAAGATTCTGGATCATGGATGGTGGTGACACGACGCCAAGAATATTGGAGTCTGTTCAAAACAGGGAGGAGGAATTGGTCGTGTGCCTCACTGCCTACAGTACAGAATGCTCTTATGTGAGCGGCGAGCAAGGGATGACAAATGGCCAGGCTTGGAGCTCAGTGCATGCGTTAGTTGAGTTGATGAGGAAACAATCATGCGCATCTTGACTGAAAGGCTTGTCATTGTTTGTTTGATTGGAGATGCCGTATCACGATCTCTCTTTGACAAGGGTGAGCTTTTTGTCCCCCTGCTCTCTTCTAAACATAGTAAACAACAGTATCGTCACATACTCGCACTCTACTTGGGAGATCTGCTGTAGGTAAAACGACCTACCCCACTATACATGATTCAACTCTTTAAACAATCCTTGTCGATGTCAAACATGACACAGTAAGAGAGAACAGACAGGGCACTATGTAAGACTCTAATATTTTGGAGCGCTTCCAACAGCCGAGAAACGCTCCAACTGTAGGGGTGATCTGATACAAATTGATCCACCTCCATCTCAATGTAAACGTCACCATAAAATTGGCGCCCGGAAATTCCACCCAGATTCCAACCAAGGCGGCAGCACACGACCAGGCTCCAAGGCTAGGGAAACATCAGGTACCGACCAACAAGAAGATGATGATATTCTGAGCTAAATAAACGAGAGGGGAAAAAGGGTTTCGGGATTGTCTACTGTAAAAAGTCTTGCACTAACTCAGCCCCTCGTATTTGCGCAGTAACCGACCGGTCATCCCACCGCATCAAGACATAACCAGGTAGAAAGGTCCACTACATCATCAAGGTTCCAGTTGTTACGGTGCAGCAAATGGAATGGATACTCACAAAGAACTACCGAGTTTGAAAGAAGAGAGAACAAGACCCCTTTTATCATTGATGCTAAAAGCGGATCATAGTTTTGGCCAGGAGAGGCAGGACGATCACGATACCTTACAAAGCAAGCAACTCCTTGTTCCAGAGCACTCTCTTTCTGTTTCAGTGGTGGCGCAGTGAGTCTTGAGAGCGGCCCAGCAAAGCAGAACAAGGCAAGGTACCTTATCTTACTAATGAACTGAGGTGACCTGCAGGGTTCGTAAGGTCAGGCATGTTTAGAATGTGTCAAAGAACCGTTCGTGGCCAGGCGTGCGAGCTTAAACCAAGCCGCCGTCGTAATCCAAGCAAAGCCTAGATGTGCTGGACTACGCTACGGATACTAAAATTCACCTTATTAGCTTAAAACAACCGCCTCAAAAAGGTACAGGTACGGGTACGGTACGGTACGGTCGGTATAACTAACTCTGCCCTCCACGCTGTAACACGCGACCAGATACCAACCCTGGGCAATTTGCATTTGAGGTTTCATTGTTTCTGACACTCCTTCACTGTGCAAGCAGCAGGCGCAGGTTCCCATATATTCCATTGCCTATCCCTGAATATCCTTGGAGGGGGTTGCGTGTCACTCTGTTTCACCTCCAATCACTAATACTCTCGCTCACTCACCCTAAAACTGTCTGTACATACTGTGCTGGACCTGGGGCTTGGCTTTTCAGCTCCTGCTGCAACATTCTTCTTAGTCTCTTCGTTTATATCTGACGAAAGCCTTATATCCGCTTGGCTTTTGCCCAGACCTGACCTTATTCCTCCTCCCCTCCACCTCAAATCCAACCCTTCCATATCATCCTCTTCCGCATCTCGTTGAACCTGATGATGTGAAGTAGGCCCAATATGCCTTCTTTAGTCTCTTATCTTTTTGCTGTCTTTTTCGTATCATTACTATTTACGAAGCTGCTACATCTATTCATCCACATCCATTCCATCGCCGTCATCGACTTTGTCGTCTATCTACCGACCTTCTTTCTGCAAGATTTCTTCCTAGTTCTCTTCGCCCGGTTATTGTTGCGTCGGGAGCGAACGATTCTCTCATTGATTGGTTATGTTCTTGGATGCTTTTTAACGTATATGCCCTCGATTTTACCTTTCCGTTGAATCTCGTTATGGCTAACAGTGGCTGCATAGTTTGATAACGTTCGTTGCTGCGGCATCCGAGCTTGGCTTTCATTATAGAACAGGCGGCGAAGTCGAATGGAGCGACGCTGGCGATTTTGCTAATGACGAGGGACTCAATGTTTTGATCAGCGAGAGCAGCAGTGTCATTGTTTCTGGTTTAATCATCCTCATCGTTGCATGGTTGCCTCAGAACTACCTATACAGGGTCTTTGGCGACATCGTATCTGGAATTGGCAAGCGAATCGCTTCAGGTTTGTCGCTAAACTCTATTAAAATGCTTAATTTATTAACACTTGCAGTCTCTCGGTATTTGCGAGGCAAGATTCGCCCACAGCCGCAACATCAGCAGGACCCCGAGAACGCCGAGCCTTTCCTCCAGCGTGTCAACAGCGAAAGTACCGTCACAAACAGTGGCCATCCATCACCTAATTTGAGCCGCGATGGAGATGAGAAGGAATTGGAAGAGCGTACACAGAAGCGACGCTGCTGTGCATTCATTCCCTCTTGGGTCATCAATGCAGTCGTCTTGCTATTCATCGGCATCACATGGGTTGCCCGCCCTGACCAACCTTATAATCACATCGCAAGCAGTTTGCCTCTACGATTGTCCGACTCTGTGCGACCGAAGCTTGGACTCTGTGCTTCTCAAAACGAATTTCCCTTACGACAGCTCATCGAGAAGTCAAGATGGCAGGATCCCAAGGGCAACTTCAAGGGGTGGGCTCCCAGCAGAGAGAACAACGACTTGGTAAAGAAGTACAGAGAGAACCCTCCTGCTTGGCTTCCTAACCCCATCCCCAGCGGTTTTCTCAAGTGGAATCCTGATCGATATAAGGACGAGCATGATAAGAAGGATGGTCCCAGCAATTTGTGCCCCAATACTTGGCAAGATCGGGGCTTCTACAACCCAGTCAACGACCCCATGCGAATTACTAACCTCGATCAAGAGATTCTGGCTCCTATCCAAGAGGCACTCTCGAATAACTCCGTCAAGATTAGACATATTGCTCTTATTCTCATGGAGAGTATGCGCGAAGAACTCTTCCCTCTCCAGCAGGGTAGCGATATCCACCGATTCATCATGGAGTCGAACGACGAGAATGCCAGAGATGAAGTCAACGGCCGGGTATCACGCATGACTCAGAACTTCGAGAAGATCACCGGAAAGCCAGGCAACTATCAAAGCGCAAACGGAAGTGCTTACGATCCTCCCGCGAAGCCCGTATGGAACGACCAGACGAAGCCCGGCTTTGGTGGTGTCAATGTCGTTGGAGGTCTTACCAGCAGCAGTGTCTCAACCAAGAGTCTTGCTGCCGCGCATTGTGGCGCTTGGCCCATGGCCGTCAACATGTTTGAAGAATCTGAACTCGAGAGCTATCAGCCCTGCATTCCGCAGATTCTCGAACTGTTCAACAAGGTCAAGGGCAACACGACAAAGCGAGATGACAAGCCAGAAGACAAGCCACAGAAGAAGCGAGATTGGTGGGGTTTTGGCGGTACTGCGCAAGCCAAGTTCCATGAGTACCAGTGGAAGCCCGCTTTCTTCCAAGCCGTTACAGACCACTATGATAGGCAGGACAAGTTTGACGAGAAGATTGGTTTCGATTTTAAGGTCACCAAGCCCAGATTAGACGAGGAGGCCAAGGACAATCCCGAGATGGAGGAGATCAACTATTTTGGATACCCCGAAACCGATTTGAGGGAGCACATCAAAATGTTTATTTCCGACGGCCTCGCCGAAGATAAGCGACTCTTCATGTCGCACTTTACCAGCACTACTCATCACCCTTGGGGAGTACCTAAGTGGTTCGAGAAAGAGAAGTACATGGGTAAAGAGGGCGGTAATCATCAAGATCTTGACAAGTATCTCAACACCATCCGTTTCACCGACGCATGGCTTGGTGAGCTTATGCAGATGTTTGAGGATACCGGAATCGCCGATGAAACCCTCGTTGTCTTCGTTGGTGACCACGGCCAAGCATTCAAGGAAGATTTCTCAAAGACAGGTACCTACGAAAACCGTCATATCAGCAACTTTCGTGTTCCGATTTCTTTCCGACATCCCAGCATTCCTCGCGTGCAATACGAGGCCAACGTGACATCGATCTCTATCCTTCCCACCATTCTCGACCTCCTCGTCAACTCAGGATCTCTCAACAAAAAAGATTCTGAAATTGCACTCGACCTCGCCCACGACTACGAAGGTCAATCCCTAATTCGCCCATATCAAAAGACACAAGACGGCCGTCGCGCTTGGAACTTTGGACTTATCAACCCAGGCGGTGGTATGCTCACAGTAACCTCAGCCGACGCACCCTGGCGCCTCGCAGTTCCTCTAAAGAAAGACCTCGAATACACATTTACAGATCTCGGCAAAGACCCGCTAGAGCTAGACGCTTTGGACAAATGGTCGATCAAGTCAATGATCAAGGCAGTGAAGCGCCAGTACGGCAACGACGCTGCGACCTGGGTGAAGGAAGCCGACGAAGTTGCCCACTGGTGGGTTCTAGAGCGAAGACGCCTCTGGGGATATAATCCCGACGAGGATAAATGATCCTATTTTATTATTACTAGTTTATTTTATGACATGATGCATTGGGTATCTGGGTTTGCGGGTTTGCAATTACTTTTGGGAACTGGTTTTTTGGCATACCCATTGGCACTTGTGTACGGCATACATACATTTGGGGAGAGGCTCCCTCGGAAATGGTTGTTTTTAGGGTTGATTTTTTTTTGTCTACAAAATGGCATAGACTTTGAATTTTACGCATTGTATACTTGATCAAGATCGTTTCGTTCATGGCTTATGTTTCAGTGATTGTGTTTTAAGTTGAGCGGCGCATTTGGTTGTGTGGTCAGACTTCTATATGATCGTGGCTATCAAAACGAAACGTTTATGCAATGTATAATCCGAGCAAATCGGAAATTATGTGGCTTTTATTTCCAGAGTACGTTCACAGTGCATTGAGCGCTTGGTCATTGCCGGGTGATGATAGTCTTTACAAGAAGGTTGATGCTTATTGGGAGCTATTGTCCGAAGCTAGCGAAGAAGAGATCGACGAGTTTCAAAGATATTGGTAGTTAAAAGCATAAAGCATGAGATGGAACTACAACTGAAGCCATATAACTCGGTTACCTTGGTATCGGCTGCATCAGCTTGAGATGAAAACTGGTGATGCAAGTCCAAGCAGCGGATAAGAGCTAGCTATATAGCCTCATCCTACAGAAACTATGAGACTCAATGTTGTATTTGCAAAATGTTAAATTATGATCAGGCAGCTTATGACAGAATATTAGATAATTACATATCGCATTACATGGTCAGACCTGTACTGCCAGAGCCGCACAATGAGAACTGTCGAGATCTAGGAATAGCCTCATTGTGGTACACCAGATCCATGGGTCTGATCTCCTGCAAGTCATAACGCAACTGCAGGACCAAGACCGCTTTCCCAAGCTGTCATCGGTTCTCTAGGTTACATAGCTCAAAGAGCTAAGCTTGTCGCATGCCCTCAAGCCACTAAGGAACCGTATCCCCCATGTTGGGGATCTCGTGGGCATCCTTTCTCACGATGCGTCGGTCCAATAACATGGCTCAATTGGAGCATGCCCCTTCCAGAAGTCGTTTTGATTGCCGAGTTCCTGGGACGATGACGACGGAACATGTCTCACTAGGCGTGGGCGTGGCGCCTTTCTTGCAGATATCATGTGCATGAACGCAGTCACTTTAAGGGTTCGTTTGTGTATCTTGATGCTGTATCAAACCACATGTTGGGAATATGCTTCTTGATGTTGAGGGAAACTTGAATTTATACGGCTGCTGTTGATGGATGGATCTCCACTATCATGCACTGAATCGAGCACTCCCCAGATGACCATTGCATTGCTACAGCAGCCCCGCCATCAGAAGCATCCAGACTGCAGCAAATCTGGTGACTGAAAGCACCTGTCATTCGGTGAAATGACGATAAAACAAGCATCTCAGAGATCTTTATATATTTCTGAGCAGGAATATATATGTGAAGAGTCATTTGCAAGCAAGAAAAGGACCTGCCCACACCTCTCATTCTCTGGCCTCTTATACAGGCCCTTGTTCCATTCGCCCACCAGCAACCGAAACACTGCATCCGTCTCGTGGGGATCTTGGTCATTGAAACGGTCATTACCCTACAGCTTTTTCTATAAGAGGAATGAAAAAGAAACAATCTTGGGCTAGTAACTTTCGGCAACGTGAAGATCCCAACGTTGCCTGTATTTATTGATACCTGACGGGATCACGGCACAGCAATCACATTGTCGCCTTAGCACCAAACGAGGTAAAGGCCCAACTCATTTCCAGACCAGAATAAGAACCATCAACTTCTCGCATCGACATTCTTTTTTTGCCTATAACCTATTGTCCTCCTCTTATTGATATCGGTTGCAGATAAATGTTTCATCGTCTCCAAAAGCAGTGAGAAAACGAGACGAGACACTCATCAAGACATCGAAAAACGTCTGTCTTACTCTGTCCGCTCCAAGTTTAGGCTCGGTAGTCTAACCTAACCAACCCTGCTAATAAACGGACCCTTTTCATCGACGTCAGACCTTTCTGACACCTGATTGCGAGCTCATGGAATTTGGTAGTATTGGATTCAGAAGATAACAACAGCACGAATCAATTGACAACCGGTCCTTTTTTCAATTGGTGTACTCGGTCACAATCTCTCACGCAAGACATTTGGGTGTGTACAAGAACTGGCAACACACACAAGATACCTTGACGTTACCGTACTGTATCATACATTACATTACCTTACCTTACCCTTCTATACGATACGACCTTGGCTCACTCTATCTACATCCCGTCCTTGGAGATAGCGGACCTTTAATACTGGACACCATGAACAAGAATAATCCACTGGACCCGGATTTGAATGCTGCTAGTCTGGCCGATACCGATGACAGCCCAGCCCAAGCCCAAGCACAGGCACAAGAAGAACCAGAGCCAGAACAAGAACCATCGGTTAGCTCCTCCGTCTCCGCCTCCGGTGAACCTTCCGCTGCCGACTTTTCTTCCTCGCCTCGCCGCTTTCATCCACACTCTCATCCACCCTCTTCGTCACTCACTTTTGGTTACGTTTCTGTTGAACAGCATAATATTCAACCCAATCCGCCTCGGCAATCTCGTGCTCTCTCTTCAACATCGGCCTCGCTACTCGCCAATTCTTCTGCTGCCGCCATCACAAGGAAGAGTCGCGGCGCCGAGCCCGTCACTAGAGACGCATACGCAACCGCACGCCGGGCCAGTTTCACGGCAGCTCCAAGCTCGACAACCGCGGTCTCATCTTTGCCAATCAGGAACCCCCGACCTCTAGCACGCACTCGCCGCGAGTCCATGACCTCAGATACCGCTTCTGAAGAACAGACGTTGGCCGATTCGCAACTTTCAGGCCCTGGAGAAGAACCCCACCAACTGCGAACTCGCTTACCGTCTACCAACGAGAATTCCCACACCGTATCGTCAGAAGCTTCCAACGCCGCGTACCACCGATTGTCTTCTTCCTCGGACTACCAGTCTAGGAGACTCTCCGGTACTTCCATCTACTCTCTCGCATCTGCCCGTGGTGTACTCAGCGGTTCATCATCAGCTCATGGTTCAGAGCTAGGCACTCCACCAAGATCTGTACCTGGATTACTGTCAACAGGCAAGAGCACAGCAACGGGCCAGTCTGAAGCAGAAGTCTCCAACATCACTGTCACTACTTCTAGTAACCAACCGGGTCAATCAGTCGTGGGACAACCTAATCAGCATCATCTAACGCCTCGCGATCTTCACTCGCAGCCACTTGACTTTACAAAACGAGCTATTCGACACGACAACATGCAGAGCAGTACGTCTGGCTTACGGCAAGGGCCCGATAGATCTCGTAGCCGAGCCAAGAGACGCTTTAGCGGAAGCACAGCAACGAGCAGCCACAGCCCGAGTAGCGATCGGGGTCCCCACCATCGAGAGAGAGAAGAGGGTATGTTCATTTACCTTGGCTCTGGAAATCCAAGGCATATTGCTTAAATCCAGGGTCTAACTTGCTGCAGTGAAACCATCACGATGGGGTGTCATTGGTGTATGCGCTCTAGATGTCAAGGCTCGAAGCAAGCCCAGCAGGAACATTTTGAACCGACTCATCGCCAATCGTGAATTCGATGTGGTGGTCTTTGGTGATAAGGTTATCCTCGATGAAGGTGAGTTTACAAATGCAAGAGTTGTGTATTTCAGAACTAAACTAATCCATCTTGTGTGCAGAGGTTGAGAATTGGCCTATTTGGTGAGTAGATCTTCTCGGTGAGCTGAAGTAGCATAGTGGGGTGCATCTGTAGTGCTGCAAGGGGCACGTGCCGAATTACCCAAAGTGATAACTAACACCAGACAGCGATTACCTTATTTCGTTCTATTCCGACGGTTTTCCACTTGACAAGGCTATTGCCTATGTCAAGGCTCGAAAGCCCTTCTGTGTGAACGATGTTCCTATGCAGCAGATTCTATGGGACCGACGCCTGTGTCTTCACTTACTCGACAAGATCGAGGTCAGGACACCAAAGCGTGTCGAGGTTACTCGTGATGGTGGCCCTCAATATCTTACGCCAGAGATGGTAAAGCATATCAAGGACGTCTCTGGAGTTTCTCTGGATCCTATTGACCCCTCGCAGACACCGCCTCCCCAAAAAGTAGAGCTTATCGAAGACGGCAATACTATCAGTGTAGATGGTCAAACACTCCGAAAGCCCTTTGTTGAGAAACCGACAAGTGGCGAGGATCACAACATTATCATATATTTCCCCACAGAAGAAGGCGGCGGTGCTCGAAAGCTCTTCCGAAAGATCGGAAACAAGAGTTCCGACTACATCAAAGATCTTAATGTCCCCAGAGCCATCACAGAACCTGGAAGCAGTTATATCTATGAAAGCTTCATGCAAGTCGATAACGCCGAAGATGTCAAAGCCTACACTGTTGGCCCAAACTATTGCCACGCAGAGACCCGAAAGAGCCCTGTAGTGGATGGTGTGGTGCGAAGAAATACTCATGGCAAAGAGTTGCGTTATGTCACAGCCCTTGGTGCGGAAGAGAAAGAGATGGCCAGCAGGATATCTACAGCTTTCGGCCAAAGAGTCTGTGGGTTTGACATGCTGCGAGCATCAGGCAAGAGCTATGTCATTGATGTCAATGGTTGGAGCTTTGTCAAGGATAATGACGACTACTACGATCATTGTTCCAACATCCTGAAGGACCTTTTTATCAAGGAGAAAATGAGAAAGGGTGGTGTCACTCCCCCTATGCCTTCGCCTGCGCCATCAGATACAGACCCCTTCACACGAGCATCTAACGCGTTCAAGGATCGTGAACAAACCCAGTCTGGCACTAATGGAGTCAGGACGAGCATCAATTCCATTGCAGGTACTACCGACTCGCAGCCCGACGACTCTTCCCGTCGTGCACCCAGCGGCACAGTTACTCCTCTTCTACCCCCAGACAGCGGACTACCTTCGAAGACGCACAGCACGTTGGCGACTCCAGCGATCCCACCCACTCCTGTCGATGTGACCCTGCCGGGGATTTCATCCGCCCCTCCAACTCAGCAGAGCGCTGTTGCGGAGCCTCCGTCAGAACAAGCATCCATTGCCCCTGAGCCTCCCCTGCCAACTCACTCCTGGAAGCTGAAGGGTATGGTTTCGGTGATTCGACACGCAGATCGCACTCCCAAGCAAAAGTACAAGTTTACGTTTCATTCGGAACCTTTCATCGCACTTTTGAAGGGCCACCAGGAAGAAGTCTTGCTGATTGGAGAAGCTGCACTTGGAAGTGTCGTGCAAGCTGTGGATTTGGCCTACGAACAAGGAATCGAGGACCGCGCCAAGCTCCGATCTCTTCGAAACGTTCTCGTCAAGAAGGGCAGCTGGCCTGGTACGAAGATTCAGATCAAGCCTATGTTTCGAAAGAAGAAGACAGAAGAGCCTGTTATTAGTGAGGAGCTGGTCGCCATGACCGAGGAGAAAAAAGATATCACTGAGGAAGCGGGCGATTCGTCGAGGGAGGATAAGTCCCACCAGGGTCCAAAACGACAAGATTCTCTTTCTGGAGTAACGATGTCCAAATTTACCGCCGCTGAGGAGCGTCTGGTTCTCGACAAACTGCAGCTCATTGTCAAATGGGGAGGCGAGCCAACACATTCGGCCCGATATCAGTCTCAGGAACTCGGCGAGAATATGCGCAACGACCTCATGCTTTTGAACAGGGATATTCTCGACGAAGTTCACGTTTTCAGCAGTTCTGAGAGACGTGTGACTACCAGTGCTCAAATTTGGGCGGCATCGTTCTTGGGCAAGAAGGATATTCCTGAGGACTTCATCACCATTCGCAAGGATCTTTTGGACGATTCAAATGCTGCCAAAGATGAGATGGATAAGGTCAAGAAGAAGCTCAAGGGACTACTGCGCAAGGGCAACGAGCGTCCTGCGCAGTTCACATGGCCGGAAAACATGCCTGAACCTTCTGAAGTACAAACAAGAGTCGTACAGCTGATGAACTTTCACCGACGGGTGATGGATCATAACTATAAAAAGCTGCAGAGTGGTGCTGTTACATCCCTTAATGCCATATCAAATCCTAGTACCGAGAAACTGTCAGGGGAAAACTCAAGCTCATCAATTGCCTCATCACTTTCTCAAGCAAACACCCTCAACCAGATTCAGTCAAGATGGTGCTGTGGCGAAGACGCTGAGCTCTTCCGAGAGCGCTGGGAGAAACTCTTCCAGGAGTTCTGCGATGGCGAAAAGGTTGACCCAAGCAAGATATCGGAACTCTATGACACCATGAAGTTCGATGCATTGCACAACCGTCAGTTCCTTGAATGGGTATACACACCGCCGAACCACATGCTTGATGAATACACAGCTGCTGGTGCCAGCAGTGTCCCTGGAGGTTCTAATGGTACCAAGGACGGAAAGTCAAAAGAGTCTGAGGATGGCAAAACTTCCGATGACAAGAGTGACAAGAGTCACCACCACTCGCCTGAGGGGTCAGACAAGGTGGATGCGGGAAGCAGATCCGCCTCAGTCAAGAAACTGTTTAGAAGACGATCGTTCCTTAACAATCTGCGGCACTTCAACGAAGAGGCACCACCTGAGCAATACTTCCGCCTATACAAGGGCACGAAGCAGACTGCATCCACAGCAGATGCTCATAACGAACCTCTGCAGGAACTGTACCGTCTTGCTAAGGTTCTGTTTGACTTTATCTGCCCCCAAGAATATGGCATCTCGGATAGTGAGAAACTCGAGATTGGTCTGCTCACATCGTTGCCTCTCCTTAAAGAGATTGTGCAGGACCTCGAGGAGATGCAGGCGTCGGATGATGCCAAGTCGTTCTTCTACTTCACCAAGGAGTCACATATCTATACATTGTTAAACTGCATCATCGAGGGAGGTGTAGAGACCAAGATTAAGCGCAGCACTATCCCTGAGCTTGATTACCTTTCTCAGATCTGCTTTGAGCTCTACGAAGCAGAGATGAAATCAGGCGATGGATCATCACCTCACGACGCGCCTACGTTTACGTACAGCATTCGTATCACCATCAGTCCTGGCTGCCATGTCTTCGATCCCTTGCATGTTCAACTCGACAGTCGGCATTGCATCGGATGTGCTCCCAGGCGAAGTTTGACACCCCACGCGGACTGGTTGCAGGTCATCAAGACACTCCGAGCCAAGTTCAACCAGTAAGTCTTTTCATCCGATGTCCACCATTGCCGTGTGAATATCAACTAACACCTGTCCAGGGTCAAACTACCAAAGACGTTCCTGGCAGTCAACTTGTCTGATGCCTTTACATTTGAGGACCTTGAACGACAAGGCAGTGATAGCGATGTGTTAGAGATGAAGACTGCGTCGTCCAGAGGCATAACCGAGCAGCCCAAATCTCCTGAAGATGAGGGTTCAGAGACACTTGCAACTGGTGCTGGTGAAGTTATGATCTCATAGATCAGGGAAGTAAGCCCGAGAAGACCAAGATAAGAGCATATCATGTGTCTTATGTGATAGGGCGTTCAGAGTTCGGGATTTTGCAATGGGGCTTGTCTGATCACCCAATAGTGGCGTAGCCTCTGCAAGTCCCCTTGTACGTTTCATGATGGCGAGCTGTTGAAAGAGTATGATGAGTATTGTCACGATTTGGTGTGACATCTCAAGTTATCTTGCATTATCGAAATAGGAATACCCACATTTAAATAGAAGCAGGTTAGTCACGGACTCTTGTTGCTCTTAAATGAAAACACGAGTTGGCATGTGAAAGTATCTCTCTGTAACCTCAACCTGCACGCTTTCACGTATCTAGTTGTGAGGCAGTCGCATTGCAGTTGGCCTTATTGGGTTAATAAGTTCTTCACATGAGGGACATAACTGCGGAATCAGAATTGTGGTGTCACTCTGAGATTTCTTGGCATGATTTTTTTGATCGTGCAAGGTTTTGTTGGGTTTTTTCTCCGAGGCTCGGCACAGCATGGTTAAGATCCCCCTAATTGCGAAAAAAAAACCAACAGTGTGGGATCGGTAGTCTTGAGCATAGATAAAAAAAGGCTCATACTTCGGAGCCCCAGAAACCGGGCATCTGGGTCAGAGTATTAGAAAGCGATCGCCGGTAAACTGTCCTTGTCCTGAAACTCGCTCCGAAGTCGTAGATTCAGTATCAACTGACTTCAGGGATGAAGTTCTAGGACGAGGTAACGTGCGAAGTAGTGTAGATGTGGTGTTATCAACTCCGAGCTTTGCACGCGGAACTTCTACACCGACGTGCCAATGACCAGATGGTGGAGGTGTTCACACCAGACCGACAGGGACCACGGTTGTTTGATTACCCAGGATATAACTTCGACTTGCGTTCTGGAATTTGTGGATTATGATGGTAGGCTCTCTTGGTGGTCTGTTGAAAAATGCCATCACCTGATACGAAGTCCAGGCTTGACGATTGCCAAGCACAAACCCATTGAGCCATGCAGAGCTGAGGGAAAATGTTCGAAAATAGGAAATAGCTTTACAATTCAATTTGAGTTCCGGAACCAAGAGATGAAACATCCAGCTCAACGCATGAGAACTGTGAGACAGCCTCTCAAAGCTAAAGTTGAGTGAGGCACATAGAATCTTGGGTCCAAGCTTCAACACATGCAAACTGAAGCTCAAGGATACTACCGCTATGGAGTTGGCAACGTCACTCAAGATCGAGGGGGTTCAAGACAGCGGGATGGTGACCGTATGCGGCAGAGACTCCGCTTGGAGATCAGAGACAGTTGAGGCACTTGCAGATGGGGGAAATGTGATGCCGGTACCCCGGCAGATGTGGACTGGGCCGTTCGATACGCTCAAGTCGAGATGAAAAACCATGTATGTCAGATTTTGACATGCAAGAAGATCCAATTGCACTCTGAACGGGTGTGGGAACGCGTATCCGTTGGGTTCGAAAGCAGAAAGGGCAACAACCGATCAATTGCTTCTTGTTACTCTTTATGGTCACTGACAAGGGGATGAAACCCAGGCGAGGCGGTCCTCTATTCCATTTGGCCGAATATTGAGGTGGTTGAAGGAGCAAACTCTCTCAGCAAACGCAATGATGTTGTATATGCGGTCCTCCTGGTTTCAGTTTGAGAAGCGATGCGTTAAAATGAGGGTTGAGCGCCCGTTGAAGCCCATGTAGGGCATTCTTGACATTCAACGGCCACCGATCTTGGCTTGTGGGAGCCAGGGTCCCGGACGGGTGGCTTTCCAAAAGTGTGGCAGACTGCAGGACACTTGCAGCTCGCAGCGGTTTAATGGTGACCAGGGGGGTTTTCGACATGCCTTAGTGGCAATGGGGGCGGTTGAAATGCCGGGACAGCCAGATTAAGCCGGCGACAGGTTCCTTGTGGATGGATAGCGGATTTGGTGTCGTTTCCGGGGAGAGTAAACTGTGCCGGGTAAGTTGGTGGCCCGTGTGAGGGTCGCATGGTGTTGAAGTCAGCAGATTTAACGATTGTAGCAGGTACTCCAAGATCATAGTCAGTTGAGCAGGATGAGGATATCTGCCAAGAGAGTTCTATGTAGGGTAGCTATCAAAGAGGATCTCAGAAAGTCCAATACCGGATAATTAGAGATGGTAATCAGGCGGATTACCATATCTGGGCGGCTGAGACTTGCGATCGACTATGGAGTCGCCATGCATCTGGAAAATTTGGTAGCGAGGCGAAGAGACAAGCGACAAGGCCTGCCACGTTGTCTTTTTCGATCAAGCAAGCAGGGAACTACAGCACATGCGGGCAGGCATTTCCCTGTAATCCTTGCTTGATTTGTCAACCGGGAGGTGACGGTTGACGATGATGCGTGGGTATGTACGTCGATGTTTGTGATGAAGACGGAGAAGCTAAGAGAAAGAGTTCTGAGATACGATGAAAAATAAAATAAAAGGGGTGACAGACGAGATTTCGATTACAGGGTCTTGAGCAAACTATTCAGAGTGGGAAGGTACGGAAGGTAACAGTCGGTAGCTAAGGCAGGTATGAATAAGTTAATGGTTTCCTGGGTTCATGTTCCAATCCGTGTAAGCGGGAAAGTGGAAAGTGGAGGAGGAGGGGATGGAGAAGGAGAGAGTATGGGGTCATCCATCAGTCACAGATCGAAAAGGGAAGTAGGCCCAGAACAACTTCACTTTGCCTCGGTGCATCTCGCTGAAAGGGGATAATCAGAATCAGACCATACACACACACAAAAGTAAGAATTCGTTAATACCCGGATTATGTTATAATGACAAAATGTGACTTTACCATGTCATACCAAGTCAGCATTCGTCTGAGTAAACGAACATATTCGGGAGCAATATCACCACTGACGAGAAACCCCCACAAGCCGCTGCAAACATGCGGGACAACGTGATTAGATCCATACGTAGGTAGTGTAAATGTCATTAATATCTCTAATAAACGGGGCGGGTCGACCGGCCTAGAGTGGACTGAGGCGGGCGGACAGTGAGTGAGGCTCAACATCGTCATGAATCCAACATCGGGATGGGGGCCCACGAGTTGCAAGGGTATTCAGCCACGCCTCCCCGCCAAACGTGGGTGAATAGCGAATGCTCGCCTGTATATCCGAAAAGGTGCAGCAGATGGGATAGCGTAAAGCTGACCAATGTAGCAGATGATAATAGACAAGACTGTTAGGATAAGTGACCGCCAAACAGCGGCAACAACTCCGACTGCCCATCTTACCGCGGCAACATTACTGGTGTAAATAGACTGCATATGCCTAGGCAAACTTGTTCGAACAAGGTACAGACAGAGGCGAGTTGGTAAAACGGCTGTCATAAAGAACTAGCTTAATTCCTCAGCCATGATTGGCCGCTATACTCTAAAGTTGTTTTACGGCCCTACAGCTAAAAGAGAGACCAACATGCACCAACAAGTTGTTTCGGATGGGAATTGATCGTGGCGATTGAGGGTCTGAACGCAAAGGCATTAAAAACGAAAAACATTCCGTAAGAAACGATACAGCAAAAAGCTCAAGCGCGGCAGGCATAGCGGCAGGGTTATTATTTCACGAGCCCCGGAAAGAAGCCGATTTGGTACGGTACGTTCAACGAAATAACAAGTTGATGAAGCGGCTGTTTGTATTGGTTGTGCTTGGACAATCAGAATCAGGACATGAAATTTAAATGGCTGTTTGAACGGGAGATTTCCAGAGTACCGCCAACAGATGATCGACTGAGCACTAGGTTGATGACAGGGACAGCGGTCAGTTCATTACTGCATCCGGCTGCTATTTCCTACGTATCGTTCCCTGTTCACGAATATCATATTCCATGGATGTCTGGAGTTGAGTTCATTACGATGATCCCCCAGCCTCAGACTCAGAAGCACAGATCAGGACCAGAGTTGTGGTCGGAGGCTCCGGCGAGTTTCCAGTGGCATGATTTCTTGGGCAAGGAACATTAGGGTTTGCAGGATCATGGACTTTTGACATGGTGAAGTTCGCCTAGCGACAATGTTTGAGGTTTAGGGCTGAGTTTCCAGGCGTCTTTTGCAGTGGAGGAGGTTCCATTCGAAAACCTTGCGTAGAGGCCCGGGCGGTTGGTAATAACTATGTGTAAGTCGTATGCACGGGGGAAAGAGACGACAAGAGTGATTGACGCTTCAACTTATTTGAAACCGTGTGCCTTCCATATTTGTTTGTGGTGGCTTGGTTTATTCTCCGAAGCCGCACTTTTATGTCAACACTCTTCAATTTGCTTGTTTTTATTACCTAGTTCTGTCTAGGTACTTAGTTAGTTGTCTCTTGATGAACATCTCTACTGCACTTGGTACCTTTTTCCAAACTCCCTGCTGTGCTGCGTATAGAAGTCCCCTCCAATTACGACACGTCGAATATCTTGCACTAGGATCATTACCCCTTCGGTAAATATCCTATCTTGACATTGGATGAGTATGATTTCTTACCCGCGCCGCGGGGTGGGGTCCGCTTCTTCTTACATCACACTCAGGGATGAATGGATGAATACAAACTCCGAAGACGTGAAAAAAAACAAGAATTCCATGTTGTTGTTTTTTACCGGATCACACCGTTTTTTACTTCTTCTCTTTTTTTTGAGCTGGAGCTTTCAGATCGTGATGGTCAGAAGCAAGACCTACCTGTGACCTCACCAGGCAGTCTCACTATTTCAGAGTAGGCATTTCGCCTCGGCACGGCCGGTGTGCTAACTCTTAGAGTCTAGACCAAGGTTTTGGGTTTATCTGCCGCACTTTCGGTATCGATTCCGTAAGGGCAGTTTTAGAATGCATGCCTCTGGCCTTCAGAAGCTGCCTAGCACCACTTCACGAGCTTTTTTGGCTCCCCTTTTGCGGCTTACGCCCAATCCAATCCAAGACAGTTCACAGTCTTTTTCAGTGCTGCACCCCCCTAGAAGCGGCCCTAGAGGGTAAGGTAGTGGAGGTCTCCACTATGAAATATGATCCTGGCGCTGCTGGGTTGGCCCCGAGAACCAGGACACAGGTGCCCTATGGTTTGATTTGGTGTGCCTCAGCGAAGCCCTGCCATTCCAAATCAGTTGGTTTTTGCTCATGGATTCTTTGAGTCATTCTGCTTCTGCTTCTGCTTCTGCCTTACCCTTAAGTTTGAGGTGTCGTTTAACCTTTAACTTGACCTTACCTTACTCGTATAGGTAGGTACAATATTCTACTGTAGTCTCGCCACACCATACCTTAGATAGATACGGAGTGCCTTAGTTAGTTGCTAAACAGGTTGACTTGCGTTATCTTACCTTGGGGAATTATTCTCCTCATTAATCCGGCATTCCCCTCCTCTGAAATTGTGGTGTCTCTTTTTCTTCCCAATTCCTCTTTTTCTCTCTTTCTGTCTGTTTGAATCTGTTCGGTCGTCCATAACCGACACGCAGTAATTGGCCGCACCTAGCGCGATCAAACAAGGCGACGTACCTGCATCAGTGGATACCTTAAACTCTTGCTGTCCATGTTATCCCCATTCCCAACCCCATTCGATCCTGTCTAATTGAATTTCAATGTGATAGTGGAGGTAAGGTTAGGATCGTATCCTTACCTTGTCATTCGGTCTCGGTACCTGACTGACCTTCCACCACTAACTCACTCATTCACTCACTCACTCACATTTTTTTGCTTGTGCTTCTCGGTCGTTCGCTGCCTACAACCCCCATTTCAGTTGCTGGAACCGATCCCTAGGCTGATTTCCTTAGAAGGCCCCATCTTCCAAGATATACACCCCCCTTCCCTTCCATCTGTTAGTGGAGGGTTTCCCTTCCCTGGGCTTCTCTTTTCCCCCCCTCCCCCTCTTTATTCTTCTCAATCTTCCAGAAGCGTCAAGGACAGGGCATCCTTTACAAAACCCCGTCCGTCTGTACCGTACCGTACCTTTAACGGGGATTGGGGGCACATCTGGGATTTGGGCCGACAGGAGGAGAGAACTATACTTCTGAGTACAGTACGGCATTGCACTGCACTGCCTGTACTACGTACGACTCTACCTACAGTACCTTTAAGGTCCTTACACTCAAGATTCCACATTAACTGTCTTTAATGCCCTGGCATGGGCATGACGGCTCAAGACCAAAAGGACAGTCAGGACAGGATAGGGTCGAGCAAGGGCACGGCCTTCAACATCGTCCCTCCGTCCCTCCGTCCACACATCCATGATTTTGGGACCCGTTGGCGGGTACATTATCGCCAATGTCCCCCGGGAGTCCCTCGTTGTTGTAACATTGAAGCTACTGTACCAGAAGAACGAACCCCCATATCCATACCATACCCATAGTTCACCTACCTTACTTCACATAACCTTGCTCCCTCTCGTCTTTGCTCGCTCGCTCGCTCGCTTTGTCTCCCGTCAATCGTCCGTTTAATCTACTCAATTTGGTGTTGGCACCACCTGTCGGCATTTCCGCCTCGTTGCTCGTGCCTCTTCCGTCGTCTATCTCCCAGGCCCGTTGTTGCAAGCCTCATCCCGGCCCTCCTCATCCCGTCTTCCGTTTGACAGTCCTTGCTTGCAAACGACATCATATCAGAACTCTGATCTTTGTTCTGTACCTTACATTTGAACCGCATTGCATTGCCTTGCCTTACTTGCACTGCAACGACGACTGAGCGTGCAACTGACACCAACACCGAAACTCTGTCACTTCGCCTGATCCTCGCTCCCGTTCCCAAGTATAAAGACCTGTGGCCCTCCTCCCTCACTCAGCTGCTGATGAATCACGACGTCTTCCACAACAACTCTGACACATTGCCTACTCTACTACTTCAACTCTCACCTTTTACACCCATAAAAGGACAGCTCTCATCCTGTTGTTGCACTGCATTATCAACATCTCACCGCACTCCGCCTTGAAAGCCCTGACGCTTCATACAACAGCTATCGTGTAAGTCCAAGGAAGAGCGGGCATGAGGTTGCGTTCTACATACCGCATCTTACATATCTGCTTACAACTTACATACAGCCCATTTTGGGTTGTCTGTCTCATGTATGCATGTAAGGCTAATATTGTATTCCCTCAGGAACATAGCCGCATCCAATCAGGCCATCAAATCTTGTGAGAGGGTTCAAGAGACTCTCGACAGCATCTACACCTCTACTGTACCACCCACAACACCGCCACAATTCCCGACAAAATGGCCAACGCTTGCGCCCACCAGTTCCGAATGATCAAGTCGGACAACACTCTTGTCCAGTGGATCTGCCAGCACTGTCGGTCCGGTCCTCACTGGATGATCTGGGAGTGCACCTATTGCAAGCTTCATCTATGCCGGCCTTGCACGCAGTCTGCTTAAGGGCTTGTGTATACATGCGCAAGTCATTTAATGCCGAGACAGTCTTTGGCAGCCACATGCAAAAATGGGTGTGCAGCTGTTTTGTTGTGCTTTCACTTTTTTCTTCTGCTTCTGCAACCTCACTCGGCACCAACTGATATGGCCTGACTTACAAAATGCGAAAGGCTCAACCCAAGCAGGAAGTGGAAAGCTTCCCCTTCTTGGTCTCGGTGCCGATGCACATTTGCGATCAGAGAAGATGGTCTCAGCATGGGCATTTGATTTGATTGCACTTGGCACAAGTTACTTGCTGCTACGCTACACTACAGTACGCTACGTACTGCGGAACGGCAGCCCGGAGCTGGCTCTGGATGCACGGCTACCGAATCGTCACACACCCCCTCGCGTGCACCCATCACAGCATTTCTTTTCACTTTCAGTTGACACACAACGTCATTTCGACTTATACTCACTGGCTTGAGATTTTCCTATCATGCCCAGTTCAGCTGAGCTGAGCTGGGCCTCGAAGAACAACACATACACACGCATGCATTGGACAAGACATCAACCAACAAACAACTTGGAGTACATTAGGAGCTGATACAGTGACTCAGTCGGGCTGTGTCAGTGTCTCTCCTGGGTATTCGGCCAAACGGTGGTATTTTGGGTGACTTTGACTTTTTTACGCTTCTGCCTCTGATTTCCATGACGGAATAGCGCCCTGCACGTTCCACGTGGGAGATTCCATTCACAGGGACCTGTGGCCCGTTTTCGGAATTGTGCAGCACTAGTCACCCCCTTGGCCCTTGCGACTGGAGCGAAGACCTCTCACTCACTAGCTCACCAAGCTCCAACGCTTCTGTCTCGCCGTCTCGTTCGCTTGTGGCCCTACCCAAGTCGACAACCCAAGCATACAGGCCAGACCAGCCTAACACTCAACGCAACGCAACGATGGGAAGACCGGACTGTTAGACGTGTCATGTTGCTGGAACTCTCCTCCAATCTACAGTCCCAGTTAGGAACTTTCCCTTTTAGGAGATCTGATCTGTTACAGGTGATCCTGACTGGTCTCTTTTGGTGTTATCTCTTTTCTTCATTTCATCTCCTTTCCCCTTTTTCCTTTTCGTTTTCTCTTCCTTGTAATACCTGGCTTGTGGTTCATCGCCTGCATCAAAACGGTGTTTGTTGGAATTTTTTTCTTCTTGCTTCTTTTTCTTACTTTCGGAGGGTTTACCCCACGCTTTGGTCTTCATCTCCTCAACCTCCACTGCCAGAAGCAACTTGGCTGCTGATGGTACTTTTGGGCGGGAGAGAAGTCAAAGGGGAATGTCGTTATGACCTCATCTTATTGGAGCCAACAAAACTTTCCGTTTGGCTCATGGCGCAAGGACAGAAAAACAACGATTTTTATGGATATGGGACTGGTGTTTTTTTAGGGTCGGCGCTCGAAATAGACTATGGCTCAAGCCAGACAGATACGGGGCGAACCAGAGGATATCAAGAGGGTGAGAGGAACACACACATCAACTAGTGTATCGCTATCGTCATAAATGAAAACATTCTGTTTCTAGCTTTGACTCCTTCTCTACCACTAAATGCTAGCTAAATGATTGTCATTATCATCATCATCGACGTGGTGGATGTGAAACTGAATCATGAACAAGACCTTGATTAGTAGTAGTATCATTACCTCAGTGGGAGTCTTCCCCAGTCTTTTCATCTTATACAAGAAGCCTAGCAATCGATCTAATGAGCCTTGATTGGCCCGGAGTTTACGAGTAAGTTCACGACGTTAGGTACAGTAGCTGCTGACTAGTGAGCATGAGCGGTACCTGCCTTCTCATCCCCAGCCCCAAGGACCAGAACTTGAGGTGAGAGGTGAGGTGGACATTGGACAGTGAGGAAAGAGGCCCAAGTCCTGTAATCTCCCCTCCCACCTACGGCATTGGCTGCCCTTTCCTCTTCTATCGTCCGCCTCGGTTCTCGTATTGAGTCCCTGCCTTCTTTCAGTGCACCATCGTGTAGATCTCTTGTCTCATCTCATCACGATCCTACCTTTTCAATATTTCTCATTACCACATCACTTTAAACTTTTCTCTCCTCTCTTAGCACCTCGCTTGGATGCTTACTTCACTTTACTTCCCTTCCCCGAGCCGTCTTTGACTGGACTGGACTAGGTTGCGCGGGTCAAATGCGAGAGCCTTGCTCATGGGCAACCAACTTCCATTACCAGACACAAGCTGACGTGGAATAATGCGCATCATCTTCTCCTGGGAAACATCCGGATGGCTGAGGCAGTCTTGTGGAGCGTCGCAGTCTGTGTCTGTGCCATGGCGTAGCGAAGGAAAAGAAGCTACCTACTTCACTCTGAGGGAGCACCGGCACCGAGATCGTTGACAGAGCTAGCTATGGATACCTTTTAACGCGGATGATGCTATTCTAGGCTTCACGCCGCCCCCAGTCTGATCGGCGTTCTTAGCGGCCCGCCAAAAAGACCAATCTTCACCAGAAGCCTTCCAGAACAACTTAGAAGCTGTCTCGTATTGTTTCCACTCTGCACACGGTGCACACGCGAACCCAGGTCCTCAGCTTGACGCTTCCAACGGTGAAGAGCAACGTCGACACGCGAACCAGGGGTTTTCCAAATTACCGAAACACACCAATGCCTGATGTAGACGCTTACAGCCTCGCAAATGTTTCAATAACGTGTATGATACACAACCACCATATAAACTTTGGTATTCAATCAAGGCTCGTTTCTACGGAACTATCTTGAGTCATGCCGACAACCTTAACAACTATCACGAGGCACGACACCCCCCCCCCATGTTTAACGGATCCGACATCTCGCCCGCCAGGCCGACACGGTCCCATCGGGGAACGTACCCGGAGCTTTTGAGGTGCTTTGCGAGCTGTCTGAGCATACATGATAGTATCACTGTTGTTGATTCAGTCTTTCGCCTCGCTCATTGGTCCGTTGGTTGTTCGCTTAAAGACTGGCTGAACTCTTTTGCCCTGTCTTGCTTTGTTTCAAAACTCACAAGCATCAGTTGACGAGCTCTTCGACCATGCACATTCATGTCACTTAACGATCGGGGTGGCAGGGCCTGCCATGCTCCTCAGATTGTGCTAGGGCTTTTGTGTGACCAGTTCGTGTGACGACCTTGTCATACTTCGGCAAATCATTAGAATGCACGGGTTGATGGAACGTTTCCAGATGCTCGGACAAGAAGTTGTCAGTTGCGTGTGACTACTCGCCTCCGGCCCTTTACGGACACTGCCATGCCGAAGAGAGACCGCTCCGTCTCGGCGTCGGAGGTAAATGGCTGACCCCAGTCCCCACCCCTCCGGCCTCCCGCACCGAGATATGGCGGACGGACACTGGGCGTTTGCGGCCGGACACAAAGCTGCTTTGGGTCACATCTGCTCTTACGAGCTGCCTTCTTTGCAAGATTGTGCATATTCAAAGACATTGGCCGGTAGTTTGAGGGCGGTTCGCTGAGGCAACCTTGCTGCACTTGTCACTCTTTCTGGCACCTTGATCGAAGAAAGAGGTATGTTTATTCAGGCAAGTAAAAGCCAACACGGTAGCAGGCCCAGCAGAGCCGCAGCCGTCAGCCAGAATGAGAGAACTATGGGTATGCTCGACCTCGTGTCTGAGGAAGACTGGTAGTATTTTGCGATTTTGGGATCCGCCAACGCCCAATCCCATACAGTACGCTCAGCGCTTCTCTTGGTCACCTCCACACTGTCACCAATGGATATGATCGTATCGCCGCCAGGGTTACTGGTGAGAAACCCGTATCTGCCGAAAACTGGAGAATACTTTGATCCAGTATCGACTCTTCGGTCAGACATGAGCTTCTTGAGTACCGTGCCACGCTCCCCTTTTGCTGCACGGCCAGTGGAGTAGTCAACGTTGAGCGAAGTGCATCGTCCGCACATCTTGGTGAGAGCTACTTGATGAGCCCCATTAATGGTCAGCTGTGCCCAAAAGTCCTCATCCCATGCGGTTTCGCCATCCAGAACAATGTTGGGTCGCATAGCCTTCATGTCAACGTCGCATGTCGATAGCCGGGCTTTGACGTTGCTGAGAGATTCTTCTGTGGTGAACAGATAGGGCGCACAATCAGTAAAGGTAATCCAATCATCCTCAGTGGCTTTCTTCCCTAAAAGGTGGTTGAGAAGCAACATTGGCCATGGCGGAGGAGTAGCCTGAGCCTTGGGAGAGAATGTTCCCAGCACAGGGCGTCGACCATCGCCAATGAAGACGAGAGCTGTGTCGAAACCAAAGCAAGCGGTGAACCATGCATCATATTTGGGTCCCATGCGGTATGCAATAACACGACTTTGATGTAGGCTGACGTCGGCCTTGCTCAATTCATTAATATCCGGTTCAATTGGGACTTCAAGGACAGTGTCCTGCTCTGGTTTCCACGGCACAAGTGGTACTTCTGGAATCAGGTACTTGACCCGGATCTTGTCGCCAACGACTTCTTGTGCGAAAAGACTGCATTCTGGGTGACCGGACAATTGGATCTTGCTGAAGTCGCCCGACTTCTCAATCTTGTAAAGCATGAAACGACGGTCATATTGAAGCCCTTGTGGGCCTAGTTTGGCCGACTGGACTTGAATGCCTCGAAGTCCTTTGATAGGATAGTACCAAAGCTATCATGGGCTGTCAGCAAAAGTCCAGGACCTCTCACAGAGATTGGCATGAGTGAAGCTTGATCGGACTTACCTGAGTGACCTTCATTATTTCTTGATGTGTTGTTTGACAGCCTGTCAACAGGACAAAGCAACAATGTTTATGATGTGAAAGGTAGAACTGGATTGCTAATCAGGTACGAACCCCTCGTTGACTAGGTGGGCAAGCCATAGCCGACTCAAGCACTAACCCAAGGTACCTAATTCCTGTTAGTTTTGAGGAGGTGACGCAGGCAATTGAGATAACATGGCATTCGGCTCCAGCTACCGAAGATCTCACACCGCATCTACTCATACGTCCAATCACAAACTATTGATTGCAATACAGTCTTGGTTTTCAATCTCAGCTGAAGTAACCCAACAAGACTCATTGTGAGTTCTTATTTGTCTCTTTACGAACTCTGTCTTTCATTATTTGTTTCTGTTGCCTCGGTCCCGAGTTCGGTAGACCTCCACTGTCGGAACCCCCCCCCCCCCCCCGCTGTGTTCCGTAACAGACCTCACAAGACATGAAAGGCAACAGCCATACAAATGATTCATCATATCATTATCTCCTCCTTTCTCGTTTGATTGAGTAACTTGTAAGCGAACTCGGGCAGCTGATGCGTGTAATTGACAAGTCTTGAGCCCTTCAGAGTCGGAGTGGCTGGCGGTATAGTTCAAGGGCGTCGTTGACATGGCCCTCCACTTTCCGGCATGTGCAATGAGACATCACAGAGGTAGAGAGAAGAAGTGTAAGGACAGATTGATTGTCACTCAATTCTATATTCATCAATGTCTGCTCTAAAGCCCAGAGATGGAGCTGAATCTTGGCCTAGTATATGACAGAGTTATGAATAGAGAGATCTCTGTTCTTATCTTCCGTGGGCCTTATTAGGATCCATATTCGATGTAGCTGCACTGGAGGCTCCTGTGACTTCAATATTTATATGGTGCTCTCGTGCTTTGACGACTTAGCCAGTGAGTCTATTTTATCCTTTCATGACTCAGATGGTTCACCACCTTGATTCGAGTGTCGTTGTTACTGCACCGGCAGATAGAAAGACCTTGGGATGACAGTCAGATTTCGGGGACCTCAACTTCTGCACGTGAGATAAAGAGAATTTCTTTTACACTTTTATCAAAGCAATTGCTTCATCTGACAGATTAAAATGGGATACTTCCTTCTCTCTCCAAGAGCCCACCAGTTTCTGACATCATAGAACCATCCTCCGTCTTGGATTTGTATGGCTTTATGCGGCTTTGTTACCCTGGACTCACAACACACCGTTTCCGACGAATGTCCCCTGCTGGATACCTGATCTGAATCCTGTTATAAGTGACCGTCCGGCGCTCTGTTTCTTCGGGGCTGCATACACGGTGAGCATCAACTTCTCGACTTCTTGTCTTCTCAATGATAATTTCGGTTCAATACTCTTGAACACAACCATAGATCAAGTCGATCACTGGGCCCGCTCGAATAGCCTTGATCGTAATGACAATCGAGAGACTTCTCTCACAGTCGCTATCGGCATGGCTTATTCTCCTTGTTCTTCATTCCATGACCCGAGAAACTTTTGACAGTTTCCCTTCCATGTCCAGCAGGATCATGAGCCAAGCTCAATATCCATTTTGAAGATATGAGTCAAATACACGGCAATACTTAATGGAATAGTTTCCTTCACAAACATTGGTTTCAACCGTTTGCGCAGGATCATAGGACATGCCCTGTTGGTACTGTGATACACTTGCCATCACAGGTTGTTGCAGTTCTCTTGTGAATCAGCGTGTCTTCATCAAGTCAGCAATGCAGAATCGTGGAGGAAGTTGACACCACCTGCCAGACGCTCGATTTGTCTTTCGTTTCTCGGGGTTCATTTAACAGATACTGGAGACCCATATTCTAGTGTATGATCTTGAATATCGTTGGGCCTCCAGTTCCAGCATTGTCAAAGTAAGATACCTGACACTGGACCTTAGGGTAAGCTCAGTACTGATGAGGTCATGTAGTTGTATTATGAAATCGCCTCCGGTTCAACACCAATAACACGAAGGAGATATTTTCAACACGTTGATGCGACAAGACCAATATGCCTTGGTAGTATGCGTACAGCTTTCTAACACATAGGAAGAGGCGCAAGGAGAATACGTAAACCCAACCACTGCATCCAGTCTCGGATTGGCGAGCTGAGCTGCATATTCTTGCCTCTTTTAAAGATCGGCACTCAAGGTAACATGAGTGCTGACATGACGGTATCATCGCGTCTGGTCGGACCCGAAAAGCGAAGCACATGCCGCGAGCCTCGAGGAAGGATTCATCGTTATAGCTGACACTGCCACGAAGACTCCATGATAGCAATATTTTTTTGGTCCGTGTCAGAATGGAATTTGTCTAAGGTTTCATCGATTAATAGCTCCCATGGACGTTAAAATAAGATGTGGATATTGGGTGAATAAGATCGCGCAGCTAACAAATCCAGCCAAGCATCATCTCACGGCTCGACGCCATTGCTGACATCTATATTCCTAGCCAGGAGAGTGGCGCCGTAGCGCGAGATGAGGCCCTATTAAGCCATTTCCTTGAAACACCAGTTGTTCAGTGAGATGGTCATCCCGTAGAGGACTTCAGTCTCGAGCAAGTCAGGTCAGCCCTACGTGTCTTCCCTTCATATCGAAATTCGTTTTCGCTAAGCCTTAGCTCCCCACAACTCAGAGCTGAGCAAGGTGCAAATGCGCCTCGACCTAGGCTTTATCTGGTTCGACGAGGCGCTGACGACCCGCAGGAGCTGCCGCCTCTGATGTAACAGACCCTGGCCTTGTCCTTGTTGTTGAGGCATTGGCTGCTGGCATCGGCAATATGGAGAAAAAGAAAAGAGGCTGACAGCATTTCTTGGCGTTCCATCACTAAAGAACCTGGAATACAGATCAAGACATATCATTCAGCACGACGTCGCCTTATCACAAGATTATGGCCTCTTTCTCGTATTGCTGCTCTGGCCAATGGCGAGATAATCGCTCCGAGTCTTCGCTCACAAGTGACCGTAAACATTGCAACATCTTGAAACCCTAGGAGGATTCTCGAGCACCGCCTTTTGGGAATGGATGATCCAACCCTGTGCATCCTTCGCGGAGACTAAAATCTGACAAGCACTGCCCAAGGTCCATCGCATGAGTCTCATTCAGGCTCCTTGAATGGTAGATCCCAAGTCCGAACCCTGGGCTCGGAATCCCGTATGGATCTCAGGCAATGAATTTCATTTTTTCTTCCTCATTCAGGTTGTAGGATCACAAAGTCCCAGCCGGCTTATAAGATGGAGTACATGCCGCCTTGTTGGCTTGACATGATGAGCGTTGCTGTTGTTGTTCCTCGTCCTTTCCCACGAGGATATAAGTGAAAAACAGAGAGTCAAAGTTGTCAATAACCTCTCTACCTTTTTGAGCAACAAGTGATACGCCACAATGTCGCTTTCAAGCTATGGCGTCGATGACGCTAAGTTACCACAACAACCTTTCCTTCCAGGTGCCAAGCCCGATACACCAAGCTTCCTCGACACAACTGCATGTCTTTGCGCTCTTCGTGCGCTACCTGGACTCGATAAGCTCGCCGAAGCCGGAGCAAATTTCGATAACGGCCAAGCAGCATGGCAATGCATTGGAAACCAAACACAAGGTGTATACAACATCACAAGCGGAAAATGGTACAAGGCCAAGAATCCCCAGGGTTCGCTTGATCTGCCCATGGAAGACAATTCCAACCCTCCTGTCGGAGGTGATCTCGTATGGGACTCCAAGAGCCGTTCTCTTAAGCCATTGAAGGACAAGAACACACTCACTGTTTACGACCGAGACTGCACTGGCACCAACCGATCGAGCTTCTCGACCAGTTTCTACAGAACCACATATCAGCTTCTTAACGATAGGCTTCCTATTGATGCTGCACCCTGCTGGAGGCCTGGTGCCCTTCCTCTGCAGCTGCAGAACGTGTCTTCCTGGCAGAAGTATGGCTGTAAAGAAGGGTTTCTTTGTAAGTTCACTGGCTGGGTTGCGTGAAATCGAAGTTGACGTTTTACAGGCCAGAACAACACCATCAATTCACTCCCTCAATCATGTCCTCCTCTTGAGAAGTGCACAGTTGCACGTCTCTCAGGCATGACTTGCTCATTGAACGGAACAAACGTGGGGATGGGGGTTTTCGAGCCCATTATCTGCCAGGCGGGCCACTATTGCCCTTTGGAGGATAAGGGCATGAAGAAGATTAGATGCCCTGCCGGTTCATATTGCCAGCCTGGTGCTTCGACTCCAACACCATGCCTATCTGGCAGCAGGTGTCCGGAGGGTGCCTCCTTTGAGAGGTATCTGATTCCTGTAGGCGTTCTAGTCATCATCGATTTCCTCCTCCTTGTTGGTATGTTCGTCTTGATGTTCCGTTCACGCTGGCAGAGAACATCCAAGGCCCATGCTGGTGCTCTGAAGAGACACAAGACCATGAGGGCCGTCAAAGCGACAATCACTGGACGTGGATACAAGGAGTTGCCCGAAGATCAAGATAATGAGATGGCTCCAATGCAGCCTGGCTACAGTCCTTATTCACCATATGGACAAGATTTCCGAGAGGGGCGCACCCGGACTGGTTTTGAGGCTGCTCTCTCGCGGAACAGCGTCTACAGCTCGGAACAAGAGCAGAAAGAAATGGAGGCCAACCCACAGCTCAAAGCTTTTGTTGAATCAATGCGACGAGCAGCTGAGGCAACCAACTTCGGCCTCTCCTTCAGATACTCCGACCTTGTCTTTCATCCAAAAAAGAGCCCAAGGCCCATCCTTCAGAACGTCACAGGCTCTATTGAGCAAGGACAGCTTGTTGCTGTCATGGGTGGCTCAGGAGCTGGTAAATCGACCTTTGTCAATGTTTTGATGGGCAAAACGAGCAATACTGGTGGTATCGTTGCGGTCAACAATACTCCAGGCAAGATGAAGCAGTACAAGAAGTTGACAGGCTATGTGCCTCAGGATGATATCGTGTTACCTGAGCTGACGGTCTACGAGAACATTGTGCACTCGGCACGTATTCGACTTCCTCGTAACTGGAGCAAGAAAGATGTCGAAGCTCATGTTGAGTCTGTCATTGACTGTCTAGAGCTTTCGCACGTGCGAGATTCTCGGGTCGGTAGCGTGGGCAAGCCTGTCATCAGTGGTGGTCAGAGAAAGCGAGTTAGTATCGGCATGGAATTGGCAGCTGCCCCAATGGCTATTTTCCTTGATGAGCCAACCAGTGGTTTGGATGCTACCGCAGCATCATCCATCATGCGCACTCTCAAAGCTATCGCAAGACTCGGCATCTCCATCATTGTCATCATTCACCAGCCGCGAACTGAAATTTTCGACCTGTTTGATAATCTCATCCTGCTTGGTAACGGACAGACCATTTATGAAGGCCCTCAAATGGAGTCACAGACATATTTCGAGAGCATGGGCTTCCAATTCCCAGAGCACAGCAACCATGCAGATGTAATTACCGACATCATCACCGGTAACGGTCGGGAATACAACAGTGCCGGTGATGTTTCCAAGGAAGCACTCATCTCGCACTGGGCTAAGATGCGCCAGAGCAAATCGGAAGAAGCTTACGAACGCAGAAGTGTCAGGTCCACGATGCTGGGCGATACAGGGATGCGCCAGGCGCTCAAGAAGCGTGGTGCTCCCTATATCAAACAAGGATGGCTCTGCCTCTGCCGTGCAATGCTTCAGCAATATCGCGCGAGGGCTGCTCTGTTTGCCGAGATGGGACTTGCTGTTCTCGCAGGTGCCCTGCTTGGTCTCGCCAATAACCCCAAGAACGGTATTATGTTTGTCGGTCTATTCCACGAGCCCTATGAGGTCTTATCGACAGCTATCGACTTCTTCTCTGCACCTCAGTTCGCACTTCTTATTGCCATTGCTATTGGCCTTGTTGCGGGTGCCCCTGGAGTCAAGCTCTTCTCCGAAGAGACACTCTTGTACAGGCGAGAGGCTGAAGCAGGCCATTCCCGACTGGCTTACTTCCTTGCCAAGGTTATTTCTGTCTTTCCCCGCATGGCACTCGGTTGCATGCACTTCACCGTGCCCTTGTTCTTGTTGTCTGTGCCCATCATCGACTGGGGTCTTGCATTCCTCACAAATTTGCTGTACTTCTACTGCATTTATGGCCTTGCAAGTATCGTAAGCATGGTCGTTCGACGTGAAGATGCGCCACTATTTGCTACCATGATTGCCCTCATCACTGGTATTCTCTCTGGTTCCGCGCCTCCATTGGCATCTGTTAAGGATTGGCATATGGAGTGGCTGTGGCGAGCATCTCCTGCTACATGGTTGGCGGAACTGTACTTTGGGCAGCTTGTGGCACCTTTTGCATACCTCTTTCAGGTCGATATTGCAGCTGAGGCGACTGGATATCATCTTGACCGCAAGTGGCTCAACATTGGCGTTTTGGTCGCAATCGGAACTGCTTATAGATTGATTGCCTTTGCTGGCATGGTACTGGGACATCGATTGAGAAGATGATAGGCTGCGGTAGCTTCCTGGTATGGGTGTTTACACGAAGAAGAATTTATGTTTGATGTAAAGTGATGAAAGAAAATTTTAGTTTAATTCATCTTTCTTCTTAGTCTCGCCTGATATGCTTGACAAGACTTTCCAGCAGGAACAGCCAGCTGGCAGCGAAGCTTCTTTCCGTTACAATAAAACTGCAGGAGGGAAGGTACTCGCCCGATCCTGTTATTCGTACTGTCCGTCATTGAAACAGATTAATTTTGCCTGAATGCCTACCTAGGTACCTATTCTCTCGCGATTTTTAGTATCAACATGATCCCACAAAGTTTCGATCGGCCTTTGCAATAAGCATCTTCAACTGGCGGAAGATCACGTTTGCTCGCAAGGGTCTTTTACAGTTTCAGGGTCTTTTTTCTTACAGCATCCCTGCGAATTCTACAGCAACAACGTTGTGGTTCGTTGCAACGAGGAGGGGCTGGATCGACCCTCGTCAAACACGTTGACGGACATGAGTGTTTCGAGTTGTGCTCCGTGCTCCATAAGAGTTTCACTGTCGTGCGTTTCATGGCGGTTTCTTGGAAGTTTTAAGCATGGACCTATTAAATATTGACTGGGAAACAACCGAAAAAGTCGTATTTTGCACCCTGCAGAGAACAGGATGAGCACAGTCAACCAAAAAGTTTCAATCGCGAAAACGGGCGTCATGTTCCCAATGACGAGAACATCAACGACCAACGTCAACGAAGTCGTTGAGCCGCGTACTGTGCTAGAGCCAGTACGGCAAGTGGGAGAGAACGATAACTATTCATACCTTCTAAGTTACTATCACATACTTTCATGCGGCTAAAACCACAAACTTCGGCCAAAGGATTCCGAGCAAATCGGTTACCGTTGGTAACTACGAAGGATTCGCGTTCTCAGGCGGCGTTGATGAATTCATCCTTGGTTGTTCCCCCACACATCCGTCGCTTAGGTGGTAGATGCTTGTCACAAATGGTTTCCTTCCCCTCTGTGCGTTATGGCTGGCTGGCGCGTCAACAACTTTGCAACCAGGGATATGCTGGATACGTCAGCAGTGGAGTTGATCCAACATAGAGATTACCACTTTGAACACGTTTGAACATCCTCCGACGTTGTTTCTTGCTTCAAACTGTCACGTCAAGGACGATCAACTCTTGCTGCAACCACCGAGATGTTGATAGCCGAACCAAGCGACATATATCGTGTCAACCTGAACTATTGGATTGGCCGGTTACTCCTCAAATGACTATTGCCGCATGAGAGAGATGGCGTCAAGACAACGGCGCCGGCACGGTTAGTGCGATGAGGAGACACCGTTGTCGCTGGTCTAGACTATTCAGCTCTTGGGAACAGATTTCACTGGCCCCTGACGATCCAGATGTAAAGGCCGCTACGGAACATGTCGTGTTCAAACCGGGTGCCAAGCGGCGATTTACTATCTGTCCTCTGTATGAAAGTTTGACCTGTACATCAATGATATCGATATCGCCCGATTGTCAAAAGCTTCAAGCACATGAAGGTTGCAGATGTTGGTTTTAGAGCCAACGCAGGCGGGCTATCAGTGTGTCCACTCACACCTTGAAATCATGCCTTACTCGGCTGCGTTATAACTTGCCCCGGAGCCAGGTGAGCCCTTTATTTCAAATCGAACAGCTGGGGCCCAAGCATGGTCAAGGCAGGATCAAATCAAATTTAATTGACTGGCCGTCGCGTGCTCGTGGAATTTCGATTTCGCATGGGCCAACCTGAACGTTATGAGACTACAGGGCACCAACAATAAACTAACATGCTCTGGGCCGCTGGTCGTCTCGGCTCCCCGCTTCTAGTCGTTTGTTGCTGGGACCCAAGTGGAGATGAGGGGCTGAAGGCTGAAATGCCCCCTGTTGTGTCATTCAACAAAAAGACGAGACGAGAGACAACGCCTCTGATGAGGTTGTTTACTGACGATTAGCTACATTGGGAGGGGAAGTGTGAAGCTCTGAACTTGGAACATGACGGTACGACCAAGAGACAAGATATACTTTTTATGATTGGATGAGATGTTGAAGATAAGGCAAAAGAGGGGTGCATAGGTATCATTATCAAAGTGAAGATACTGTGACGGAACCACAGCACATATGTGCGTTGCAGCAAGTGCACCACTACACCGAATCCTTCTCAAGAGTCCAGGCCAACGATGATTGATATCGCTCGACGAGATAGCGTATCTTGTCACGCAACCATGACCGACATCAACACCACCACTACCACATGTGCAAACCCGCCTGGAATCAGCTACTAGTGATTCCACCATCCCGCATCCACGCTAGAGAGAACAAAGCAGACCATTTATCTGTCTAAACTCGCGAGATACAGACACACACGAGAGAAATAGAGGCACAAAGGCGCCAACCAACGAGTTCAGGGATGAGCCAAGGGCCCAGGGATCCGGCCTCGACGCCGTGACAGCGCCGCACTATGCAAGGATCTTAATGCAGAGTGTGTCGCATTCGAAAAAGAAAAAGACGCTACGGCCACCAGAGCGTCGGGTCGTTCCCAAGCCTATTTTTCGACTTGCAGGAGCTGACGACCCTACCCTTCTCGAAACTTTGAAATCTCTTCCTCTTCCCCCGGACTCGTCTCGATCTATTTCTCTCCCGTCTCCCTCTTCCTCCCTCGACCTATTGTTTGTTAAACATAATCACATCTCGACTTTATAATCATACTATTATATTATACCCTTATTGTCTTCCCCAGTCCACTTTGTTTCTGAAGGCTGGCTTCCTTCCATCATCTTTGACTGCTCTTATCTTATTCTTCCTTTCTACCTCCAGTACCTATCTAAGGTAGTCTAATACGCCATTTCTCACTATGGCCACCTACACCACCATGGAAGGTCCTCAGCATATTGCTATTCGAGAGCTTGATCTGAGGGCCTGCCACCCAAGCACGGTTGTCGATAGAGTTGGTGCTGTTCCAGTTTTGAAGACAAGTGCTGGTAAGTTTCTCTGATTTCTCATCATTTTCTCTTTGTTCTTTCAGGGCCTTGTCCTGGTGTAAGAGCCCCCTGTCGCCCGGTTACTATGGCCACCACCAAAGACTACCCTGGTCACAACCTTGAGCACACGACAGTTCGTATAGGCCTGACTTGATGGTCACGAACTCGACGTTCAAGCGCTGGAGCTATTCATTCTGTAGCTTCAGCAAGCTCTAGACACGATGGATTGTGTTGAAATGTTTCCGTCATGAATCATATTCAATATGGCCGGCTTGGGAACAAACCTTGACGGAATCAAAACGGGTAAACCAAAACACCATGACTAACATCGCAACCATAGCTTTCTTCACATTCCTCCGCGCCAACCTTGTCCTCCACTCGGCAATGACTTCAGCCACCAGCACTCCGCAATTTGGTCCATCTGTTCCTTTTTCCTCTTTTGTCCCGCCATCTCCCTCTCCGCTTGCAGCTTCTACGCCATACTTTGGTCTCGACAACGACGATGACGTCGAGCCGTTGTCCCTCGAGGTTCTCGACAAACCTCAAGACAAGGTTGAGGGTATGCGCCTCGTCGCCGACTCAATTGCCCAGATGCGCCAAAGAGCCTCTTTGAACCTCGTTTTCCATCCGCTTTGTCTTGCCGGCCTATCAGCAACCTTGGCTGCCATTTACCATTTCGGCGGCGTTACTCGTGACTCAGGACTTGGTATGACGGTTTCTTGTGGAGTGATCATGAGCTACCTTATGGGTATTCGTTACTTGGCCAACGGTTATATTTCTTTGGCTGAACGCTTGCGATGGAACTGGCTACGTGCTGATGACGGAGAGGAGGATACCCTGCTGGCTGCTCGATTGAACCAAGACATCATCGGAACCCTCGTTCTACGCCTTGAGCCCAACCCGACTTCTAGCCACAGACGCAGACGATCGCTTTCTCTACGAGGAGGCAAGGGTGTCATTCGCGCGTGGACCACCAACCTCAACTACCGTGGAAAGGGCGTTGGAAAGGATCTCCTCCAGGAGGCTGTCCGTGTTACCAAGGAACGTTGTGGAAAGGATGCTGAAGTTGGGTTTGCTCAAGAGCACGCCAACAGCGCCATGTTACTGCCCGGCATCTTCAACGCCCCCTTCCGACGTGACGAGGTCCGAGCTACCAGGGCTTTGGATGGTATCTTGTCCAACTGGGACTTTGTTAAGAAGAGGAGGTAAATGAGTTGAGTTGATCAACCATTGCTTCACATGTTCAAGGGACGAGGAACATATATCGACGAGTTGGTCATCAACAGGACGCGATTATACGAGATGACGATGATGAGATGAGGAGGAATGGGAGACGACAAGGAGAATATTTGAAGAATGCTTTGAACGAATACCCCGGAAGACGATACAATCGACGGAAAGAAGTTACAACCACTAAACAATTACAAAGATACCACTAGAAGAGGGGATATGCTAGAGTATAGACTCTGGGTCAGTCAGGGGAGACGAGATGCTACTGGAGGAAGCATGTAATGGTTGGAGGAGCGACTCTCTCTTTCTTTTTTTCTTATTTCTTTCTTTTTTTGATACCGTACCTACTCGTACTGTCACTTGAGATACCCCAGATCATACCATATTCCTTTCGTTTACAGAAGTTCATAATTTATCAGGTTATGGCACAGCTCATGATCAATATCAATCAATCTTTCGATTCTCCTAAACAGGATATGCGTTTTCCCGTACGCCAGTTTTTCTGTTTCCCTATCCTTCCACAAATGCTCATGGTATTAAACACGCAACCTGGACCAACATGCTAATAAACAATGCGTGAAAATGACGCCTAACACCGCTCATATCAAATGAAAGACACGTAAAAGCCGATTTCGCAGAAACGATTTAGCTTTACATCTTAGGTTTATTTCGACCATCATAGGTGTCCGGATCAAAGCCATAGATGGGTCTACCGAAACGGGAGAGGCTGTGAATAACCTGTTCGTATGTCAGTCAGTGCTCTTTAGCAGTGGCAGGCAGTGCAAGAAACTCACATCATGGACTGTGACAGTCTTAGCGTTTCGGTACTCAACGTAGATGACGCACATCTGGAGGATCTGATAACGGCGTTAGTATAGATCAAATGAAGCAGTGTACACATATTACATACCGCTTCAAGACGCGATTTGAGCGCAGCTCGGACCTCATCGTAGATTCCAGCTGAAATACGCTTGACACCTCCTCGGCGTGCTAGACGTCTATGTTTCATTGTGTCAGTATCGATGCTCATATGTCTCAGGTAGATGGAGGTGAATATAATTCACTAACCGGATAGCGGGCTTAGCTAAATCGACTTGTTAGCAGCGATCCTTAGTGAGGAATGAGTGCATAACTTACTGACTCCAGTAATCGAATCTCGAAGGATCTTTCTATTAGATTGTTAGTATGTAATTCCACTGTCTTAGTTTAGCTTTGGAATTAACTTTACCGATGTCGACGACCTCCTAGGACTGTCTTTCCTGAAGCCCCACGGTGAACTTGACCTTTCTTTTGGAAAGGGACAACCTTTCCGCCAGTGAAGGTCGGTCGTGAACCCGAAGGCCCGCCGCGTGTAGGAACGGTTGGCATCTCTTGGAGGTTTGCTAGTCGAGTTGAGGGTTAAATGACGAACGTAACCCAGATGAATATAGGATTAGGATTTAAAAATACCTGATTGCGTGTATCTCTTCGGTGAATTTTTGAAGGAATAATTAATTCTTAGATTCGCGTGATCTCTCTGTTGTTGGTTGGAGGGGAACTCGTGTTGTTCTGTTGCTCTGTATCATCTTTGCTGCAGCACGTGACTGCCACAGTTAATCACTGGCAATCACTGTCAGGAGATTCAACGACAGGTAACACAGGAATCTTGAGGGCAAAGGAATTAACTTAGCGAGGGAGAAACCATAGATACAGGTGAATAAATAGGCCGCCCGAGTTACCACGATAACGGATTCAACGGCTTGGGGTCATCGCATTCTACGCCATGCTTCACAAGCTATGCTATCGATGTCATATCAGATAAGTGATGAATCAAAGCCAGGGTCTATTTTCCATTGCGAGAGCAGCCAAACTTTTGATAACTACCATCTTCTCCGTCTCCTCTTGCACTTGCACTTGTACCCGAGAAGTCCCACACTCCCAAGACTGAATCCTCGTACCGTGTATCCGTATACCGAGTTTCGCATTCGCATTCATCGTCCCATTAAAACATTTGTATGCTCCTCAATCATCTCTTACACTTCGAAACAAAGAGGCCAAAACGCCTAGAATCCTCGCTGCCCTTGCCGCTAGGAGGTATATCATGAAAGAAAAGCGAGGGCGACGGACGCCTCGCACAGGGGGTATAAATCAAGATGAGTCGTAATTGATGCCAAGACACCGAGCAATGAATCTGACAGTAGCGTTGGGTCAATGACAAATGAAGTGTCAGTTTAAGCGACTGACGCAGATATCAAGTTCATTTCGTTACTAGTCGGAGACGCTTACAACATCACTCTTCTCATGTAGCTGCATTAGCGGGCGCGGGAGTTTCTGTCCCCTCGGTAGCCTCAGGAGAGGCGTCGGCGGTAGCAGCGGCATCAGCTGCCTCAGCTGCCTCAGCTGCTTCAGGCGCGCCAGGTGCTTCAGATGCATCAGGTGCGTCAGGGATCTCAACATCCTCCGTTTTCGTTGTTTCTTCTGCGGCCGCAGGTTGGGAATCATCAATTACGGGCATGTTAGGATCAATCGGAACGTCCGCAGCCTCGATCTCATCCTCGGTTTTGGGAACAGAACCTTCTTTTGAACTCTCAGGATGTTGTGGCAACTCAGTTGACTCAGGAGCATCCACGACAGGGGCAGATTCGACAGCCTCGCTCGGTCTAGAGGCTTCCGAAGCCAGCAATGCTTCAGCAGCCGCCTCAATATCTGCTTCTGCTTGTGTCTTTGTGGGCTCTTCAATGGTACGTGGTCTCTTGGCGGGTCTCTCTCCAGGGGCCGAGTTGGCTTCTTGGAAAGCTTGAAGCTCGAGTTCAAGTTCATCTAGGCGTCGCTTGAGGCTACTCTCTCGCCGGTGGCTATCCTCAAGCTGCCGGCGCAGCTGAGCCTCGCTCTCCTGTGTTTGCTCCAGTTGAGAGCGCAATTGGTTTAACTGCTGTCCGCTTCTAACGACAGCTTCTTGTTGCTCGAGTTGGCTGAGGCGGCCTCGGAAAAGCTCAATGATCACTTCGAGTTCGCTGACCCGCGTCTTCAGGCTTGAGTTGTGCGCAATAAGTTGCTCATGCGTCTGTGGCGCGTCCATTTTGCGATCCCCATTCGTGGGAGATGACGCGCGGCCTTCCCCTGTTGCGACAAAGCCGGTCTGGTAAGGGTCGTCGACCATGAACTGGGATAGGCCATGCGCGTACATAGAGGGAGTACCGGTGCGGGAGATTGGTGAGTCGGCTCCGTCATGGCCGTTCGATCTCTGGGACGCTCGTCGCGCGGCTTGAGCAGCATGTGCGGCGGCAGCAGCAGCCTGTCCGGTCGTGTCGAATCCATTTGCATCGGTCGTAGGGAATCCTTGCGCAGCTGCTTGTTGCTGCTGTTGTTGTTGCTAGTCCGCGTTAGCAATGCGCAATGCCTCTGAGCGCATTGGACTAACCTTTTTCTTATTCGCCAAGTCAGGGCGCATTGTCTTGACTCGATTGCGACTCTTGATCACGTCTGTCTTGAGCGAAATTGGCCGGGGTCTACCATGCAGCTTGAGGAACAAGCCACAGGCATTGCACAGAACCGAGCCAAATTCGTCGCGACGCCATAATGGCGTTGTAGAGGTACTGCAATTTTGGCAGGTAGGCTGCGTTGATCCGTTAGTTGCCATCATGGTGCCGGTTGTTGAGTGTAAAGTGAGTACAGTGCAATGCAATGCGAAAGCGGGAGGGAGAGTGATGATTATTATCTCGGCCACGATAAGAGGATGGAGTAAAATTCTTTGGCTGCAACGTAACTGGCTGCGCTTGATAAGCCAGATAAGCCCAAGACCCATCGACCATCCCGCAAGTGCTTAGTGTGGCAAGGGTTGGAGATAAGACACGTGATTGTATCGATCAGCGGCGATAAGGCCAGGTCAACTGAACTGGCGCCGCAAAAAACGTGACAGGATGCATCTGCTCTCGAGAGATAAGATTGCAGGAAATGACATATGTCGGCCGTAGACCCAGCATATAAAGTGCAACGGGGGAAGTGCTGATAAGATTGTGATAATGAAATATGGTCGCGACTTACCATTGTACTTCCAGATCCCCCACTCGTAGCGGCAGGAGATGCAGTGGCATACATTGCGGGCGACGGAGCGGCCGATGCTCTGCAGACAGGGGTTAGTTAACAATCTTTTTTTTTTTTTGGTAATGGGGGTGTCGGAGGGTTTTGTTTGATGGAGGCTCGAGCTCAAGTCGGCAGTATCGCGCATTCATTGTCACGAATGACGAACAGTTCTTGGGTTATCGTACCTTAGTTGAGATGTTGCTTCTGTAGCCGCGTTGGCAGCAGCAAGAGCCGAAATGCCTGGTAATACGTGTGGTAATGAAGCTGATGCAGAAGTCGAAGTAGAATCTGGTCGAGAAATAGGATCAAGTCCTGTCTGCTGCAGAAGTTGCGCCCCGTCCTCCTCCATGGTGACAATTGCCTGCAAAACGATACAGGGCTGAGGCAAGGTAGGGTAGGGTAATCGATAGGGAGAAGCGCGCGGGATGTTATCGATAATGCTCGATAAAGATTGTGAAGATGGTGGTTGCTCGGCAGTTCTGACTGACGCGCAAGTGCAAGTGTCGATGACTTTGAGGCGCAATGAGGCTGATGAATCTGTGGTAATCGCGAGGTTATAATTCGTGATTTGGTGTAAAGTTGGAAGATACAAGGCAACGTTTTGGGCTGGGCTGATGAGGAAAGAGATAAGTTTGAGATTGGATTGGAAGGTTGCGATCAGAAGTCAAATCAAGTCCAGTGACCGAGCGCGTCGCGCACTGAAGTCCCAGTGTCGCTGCAGTAGATGACGGGCCGAAGGGTTTTAGACTGCAGGTAATAATTAAAGACGCCTTCTGATTGGTCGCTTTGCAATGCCTGGGAATTTTACTTTACTCTTTGTTGCCCCTGTCGGGGAGGGATAAGATAAGGGAAACTTTAACATTTCGTATTTATGTTCATATACCCGCAACTATTGAGTAGATCCGAGATAATCGAGTACGATGTTGTTGATACTGGTTAACTTGGATCCTATATCTTATTGTTAAATATATATATATATGCCTTAGGTCATAGTTTATAAAAGGAGCACGGAGTTTAGACTACTATTTGCAGAGTTTTATTTCGTATGATTAAAATCTATACCTCTTGAATGTTTTCGACAATTCATTGCTATCTGACATTTGCATTCAGCCAATTCCTTGGCGACATCATTCGTTGTGCGACGTCATTCGTTGTGGTCCTGTCTTTGAGGACATTCATTGTTACCTCATCACGACAACAGAGATACCACCAAGTTGATCATCGCAAGGCAACTATGTTATAACGTGTAATTAGAAAATATGAAACCATATATCCAGTTCAAATGGTCAACTCATTAGCAATTTTCGCTTGTCATGACTTCTGGAAATTCCAAGGAGTATCTCTAGGGTAAGTTCAGCATCATGGGACCATTTGGGCATGATTTTGAGATGAGATTACCAGCCCAGCCCGGCGCTGATTTACAATAAGTGGATGCCGGAAGCTACGGGAATTACATTAGCATATTAGTTTCTTCAACACTAAATAAGCAGTTTACTCCTATTCAATGACATGCGTGGCGCAAGACTGCACATATTCATGTTTCTCAACATGCTGTAAGGAGGATATTCTACAGCAATGTAACATGCATATAAGACACTGTACTCTAATATAAAAACTGTAAAGGATAGACGCGTCTTGGTACGCGTTTATGCTCAACACACGTCATTCCCCACATCATCGATTTTGACACCAGCCACAATATCCTTGAAGTACCCCTCCATCACCCAGGGGAAAATCAAGCGGGTGCCGCCACAGAAAAGCAGGCCCAGCGGTGTGAAAGTGACATCGATATTTGGGACTGCAGCTCTAGTATCCAATCCATGCCATAGCCAGCCTTGGGTTAATTAACGACGTCCCCAGCATTTCCTCCATTTCTCGACCCATCATCCCATCAACCTCATTCGAAGCAGAACCCTACTTTCTGTTTCTCTCTCCCTCTTACACATACAAACACACCTTCATATAAAACTCATCATGTTCAACTGGGCCAAGCAACAGTACGTTCTAACCCCCCCTTCAGATCCTTCTTGACCCCACCATGAGATGGACCCTGGAGAGCTTCATGTAAAAATACTGACCGCTATAGACTGGCCAATGTCGCCGGCACCCAGGAGCCTATCTACGGCCCCTCTGCCATCAAGTCTGTCGCTACAGAGGCCGAGAAGACTCCCTACACCGAGATCTCTCGAAATGACCTGAAGTGGCAGGCTATGGACTCTACTTCTGTTGAGACACACACCTTTTACATCTTTGGCGACAACGGTTACATCGCCCTTGCTCAGCTCATCTATAGTAACGTAGCGTATGTTCCGAGTTTCTAGTATCACATGGCTCTGCTAATACCTTCAAAGTGGCATCCGAACAACCTGCCAGTTCAACGCAAAGATCTTCAGCTCAGACCCTTCCAAGCCCCACCTCTGGGCCTCTACACCCCTCAACAACCACGACTTCAACGAGGACAAGACAAGTTTCTACGCCGATGACTGCGCGATCGAGCTGTCCGAGGATGGCACCTTCTACACCATCAAGAGCATGAACGACCCCGACGCCATCGTCAACCTCAAGATCACCCGCTCTACACCCGGTTTCCAAGCCGGAACCACAGGAACAACTCTGTACGGCACCGACCTCGAGAACCCATGGGGATCTATGCGACACGCCTTCTGGCCTCGCTGTGTTTCTGAGGGTACCATCACCACAAAGGACGGCCCCATGGACTTCAAGGGCAAGGCTTTCTTCGCTTACGCTTTGCAGGGCATGAAGCCGCACCACGCTGCATCTCGATGGAACTTTCTTAACTTTCAGGGTCCCACCTATTCAGCTGTCCTGATGGAGTTCACCAGCACTCCCTCGTACGGCTCTACCCTCGTCAACGTGGGTGGTATCGTCAAGGATGGCGAGATTGTCATCGGCGGCGTCGACAACACGGCCACGCACACTCAAGTCAAGAAGGATTCGGAGAATGACTGGCCCGAACCGAGCGACGCCAAATACACCTGGGCCGGAAAGACCAAGGATGGAAAAGCCGTCGAGGCCTCGGTCGAGGGATCTCTCGGAGAGAGGGTTGATCGAGTTGACGTCATGGCCGAAGTCCCCGGCTTCGTCAAGACCATTGTCGCAGCTGCAGCTGGCACAAAGCCATACATCTATCAGGTACAGTTTATTTCTCTGTTTAATTTCCGAGAGACTGGTTTGAACTTAACCCCCTTGCTGACTATAAAATCTATAGTACCATCCCAAGCTCTCCCTGAAGCTGAAGATTGGAGATGAGGAGTTCGTCGAGGAGGGCACCATCTTTACCGAAGCTACTTTCATCTCATGAGGTAGAAGCACGATAGAGTAAAAGACGATGCCACTCTTTATTTTTGGGTGTCGTCTTGAGGACCTCATGGTTTTATTGTTTTCAGAGTACGACTTTTGCATCAACATTGGGTAATACAGTAATCAGATCGGACAATTCGAGTCGGAATCGGACTTGATTAGAAGGAGGGGGAGGGGAAGGGTCGGCGTTGGAGACGGACGGACAGGTCTTGGTCAACTCACTCGTTTAGGACTAACTTAGATGGAACAATGATGCCCTTTCAGCTTTTGAACTATCTATTCTATGTCAAAGTAACTAACTAACTGACCAACCAACCTAATGTTATAGGCTAACTCAGCTTAAACGATCTTTATTTTGACTGACACGTCTCGACGCGTAAAGTTCAGGTCTTGTTGTTAGTAGCTCGCGGGCCGATGATAATGGATGGATACGATCATTGTATTCCCCCTCGTTAGCTGAGATCATCGAGCACGTTCCCACAGTCTTATTGTCTAGTTCCCCATCAAACCTTTCTCACAATGGATAGAATGGATATACTCTATAACTGAAGGGGTTTTTCCTAACTCCAAAGTTTAGCAATTGAGGGAGAAAAGCCAATAATATTGGCAGTTTATCAGGTCAGGTTTCTGTTTCTGCCCCCGCCCACGATATCAAGGGATGAAGAAGACACGAGCCTCTCCACTCCCACACACACACAGAGGATCCTCATGTCTCGCCCGTTGGTGTCTGTCTCGTCACAATCTCTTAGTCTCTTTTTTCTTTCTTACCTGCAATAGTTTCTCTTCAGACTCCTTTTTTGTCTACACGTCTCCTTGCTTTTTCTAGTGCTCCGTGTCTGATCATCTGAGTCGCTGCAGCTCACTTTCTGTACCTGACTAGACGAGTTTAAGCCTCCACATTGAACCGAACCATTTTTGTTGGTGGAGACACAACTCTTTTTCCTCGATCTTGTCAAGGGTCGCGACTTATACGCGCAGAGAGCATTCCTCTAATGTAGAACATCGATGTTTTACTCTGATAGTATTGGGCCGTCCAGCCCCTGGAGATCATTTTTTCTCTAATTACATGGCTTGGGGAGGATAGAGTGATGGCACTAGTGTCAGTTTTACTCCAGAGGAATTGAATATAAGGATTCGAGGATATCCTCTTGTGCAGATAGTATCATCATCCCTCGTTCTTTTACATCTCCCTCAAGAGTAATATTCCATAACTTGGTCTCCCTCTGAGATTCCTCTCTTTTCATCCTCCAGACGAAATACTGAATACCATCAAACAACAACAATAACAACAACAACAACAGCAATGGTCGCCTGTAACTATCACAATGCGTCTTCGTACGCCCCAGTCTTTCCATCTCCTCTCAACCCTACGAACCATGGACCCGAGAACAAATATGCCACAGCTTCAGGACGTATTGTGCGCCGAAGAAGAAGTCGACGAGGACCTCCTGGATCTCACACTCTCACTCAACGACTCCTTCGCGTAAAGGCAGCGGATGCTTGGAGAGGACATGTTCTGAGTGCTCAGGTTGTTCAGTATGAATATGCTGAAGCTGCTGTCATGGGACATAAAGCACCACCAAAGAGCCGAGTAAGTTCCTCCCCAGTACATCTCACCAAGAATGTATCTAACAATCTCTAGAACTGTCTGTATTCAATGGCCGGTCTCAAGAACCTCGGCCTCAACTTCTCACTCTCCGACGCCCACCGAATCGCCAGCAACATCCGTCTTCCCGATCTCACATGTCTCAGGACAAGACGCATGCTGCTCGCCATGGGTCTCGTCGGCCTTCTCCCCGCTCTCAAGGTCCGCGATATGCTCAGAGCAGCTGAGACATTATGACTTGCACAGAAGGGCGAAGATGAACGAAAAGCCATGAATTTTATGATGATTGCGATTGTACCACTACGCCAACATTTGTTAGGCGCGGCGCGTTGGGGAGAGGACCTTTTCTATAGATATACCCGCGTACTTACGCCTGTTTTTCCTTTGCCTTTGCCTTTTCCTAGGTATTCACTCCAGTCTAATACAAACACAAACACAAATACAAATACAAATACAACCAACCATTTCTTTAACCGTACCAAAATACACTCCTAGCTTAGTACATAGGTATCATACATCGTCTAACATAAAGAAAACTCATGCGTAACTAATTCTTCTTTTCTCATTGATCTTTCTTGTCCACCGTTTCAGTGGACCCTGGTTTCTCGGCAGCTGCACCAGGTGAACTCTCTTTAGGTGGGCTCTGACTATCTGGGTCTTGAACGGCTTGCTCGACCTGCCATATAGCCCTTTCGAGCTCCACTTCAAGAGCCGGCATGTCAAGAGTGTCTGAGAAAGTCTGAACTTCCTTTTGTGTAAGAAGGGTGCGTTCCTTATTGTCCGGCTCTTCGGCTGGTGGGGCATGTAGTGCGTAAAGCCGGTCGAGCTTCTCAGAGGGAGCTAGGCGTAGGAGCTTGTTCTCGAGGAGCCATTGGAGATGCTTTCCACCTGAGATGGCTCTGCCGTGTGACCACGCTCTGTAGACGAGGTAGAAGAAGGGCAAGTTGGGGATGCTGTGTATGTTAGTCAGCGGATCGAGAAAAAAAAAGCAAAGAAGATATGTACTCACATGGGTACGAGCGCAAATGGAATAGTAATCGGCATGCCGACAATGCACCACACAAGCCTCTTTTTGTGCAGCGCCTGACGCTCCGTCGCAAGAGTCTTGAGGATACCCTCCGCCTTATTCGGCGGTATCACCGAGCTCGGGAAGCACAAGTCGACCTTTTCCTTCATCTCAATCTCCTTCCCACGGCGTCTCACCGACAGAGGCGGTACAGACTTCAAGCCCCATTCTTCATATGGGATGCGACGAAAAGCGTAGTTGCCGTAATCGACGACCTTGCGCTTCCATCCAGACTCCATCTTCTCCCATTGCGCCCACGTCTTGGCTGCCCAGGCAGTGCCCTTGTCAACATATGTTCTTCCTTGTGGCGCAGTATTTGCTTCGAGTCGTTTCGCATAGAGGAGAGTTCGCCGCGTCGAGAGCGGTAGGAGGTATAATCTCATCATCTTGGCAGTCGTTTGCTGCAATGCGCCAGAGGAAGCTATGTCAGAGTAGAAAGCTCGCCGTAAGAAGATCGTAGAACCAGCACAGCAAACTATCGTAGCATGACGTCTGTGATATAAATCTTTATGGCAAGAACCGCACGGATAGAAAAGAAGCCGGTGAAGAAAAAAAGCGACTAGTAGAGAGGAATTGTTGCCTCCTGCTCAACAACTTTGGTTGGTAGAGGAATCGCACAGGGATTCTATGAGAGAGAAAGGCTAGAACCGTGGCGAAGCTGACGACGATGATTTTTTTTTCTAGTGAGCTCCAGAACTTGGAGTTTGTTGGAGCTGGAGCTGGAGCTTGCTTGGGCTGGAGTGGAATTGGAGGCCCCCAGAGAGAAATGGACGGTGACGCACATGGTCGTCATGGTTGGAGAATAGATTAATACTTGATTTACACGTGCATCGACTCTTGAATTCTACTATGGTATGCATTATCTTTACCACGAGGATATTTGATAGGGCAACACACTCCATTAAATTTAAAGCAGCGTCTTTTTACTTATATAAATACAAATACAACACCATCTCTACTGTATCTTCTAAATGCACTGCCATGGCCAAGAGATTCAACCTGCACGATTCAGGCCCCCCCACTTCACCTCTAACCCCACCATAAATCGACACCATCACCAATTCTCACAAACCACCGACATAGCACACATTTCCAGCAGCTACTTCAACAATTCCTCGGGCGAATGGTTTAGTGGTATAATACTCCCTTAGCATGATTCATCCGAATAATCTGGGAGTGGTCCAGGGTTCGATTCCCTGTTCGTCCAACACAGGCGGTTAGATTCCGCTGTTATACCTTCTTTTTGCCGTTTTTGCATCTACGTTATGCTGTGGAGACAGAACAATAGTTCTTTTTGTATCAGGTCCCTGAATTACCTTCAAGGGTCTTTTTGAGAGTGAAGACATGCTGAACCTTATCAGATGTCCCTTGTTAAACATGCATATTCACAAGACCCTTCTCAAGAAGCAAATCCTTCCAAATAACCAGACTTTACACAATCGAACAACTCGAATTCCCCTGAAAAAATATCCATCATGTTCCCATCATCACTCGAGCCATGTCTTAAACAGATCTCGATCCCAACGCTCTAACATCCCATAGCGAACAACTCCCAAAAGCCTCTTTATGCAGGGCGACTCTTGACAGTCTTTAGCCTACAGAATCTGTCTGCCCACTTCCCCATAGTTCGCATCATGGAGATTTTCTTTGACTCAAGCCCCGTTTGCCTTTTTGGTGCTACAATTGCTCGATTGGTGCTCCCAGATGTTTGGTACCTGAGACATTGGAACTGAGACCTACAGCTTTGCTTCTTCAAGCTCCGAGCTAAATCTTTGAGCTTTTGCGGGCAAGTCCTAGGACACGTATACGAATTGGAATTGGTATTTCGTGTATTGATCAATTGTCTCTAGATTCATTGTCGTGGTATCGACTCGCTGCGCTTCAATGCCCCTTCTATCCTGTATGAACTCCCATCTCTTCTGAATCCATAGTCGTACAATACAATGTGCACCTTTAAAAAGCCCAGACTTATTCATCTTTAGCTCCATGCACGGGACTCTTCGCCCGTGAAGCTCCCTTGCCCACAATCTTCTCCGCCCAGTTCCACCCGCCCGACGGCCCCTGCGCCTCTTTGCCCTTGTCCTGCTGATGAAGCGCCGATGGGGACGTTGGCGCAGGCAGATCACCTCCAAAATCAAGATCACTATCACAGTCGCTATCGTGCCAGTCTCGCTCGCTCCACGTCACAGAGTCCGCTCGTTCCGTCTTTGGCCGCTGGTGCGTTGATGCGTCGCTCCCTCTTTGGGACTGCTGTGGCTTCGGAAGATCCGATACTTTGTCCATAGCTTCCCGAGACTCACTATCTGTTCGAGTCATACTTGCTAAGTTGTCTCGACTCTTCTTGAGCTCGGCTCCGTGCTCGTCAGGAGGCTCGTTCATGTTGCGGGCCCGCTCGCGGCCGTGTTCGTCCTCGTCGCGAAGACGAGAGGCCGCCGAGTCGCTGAAGTGGGCATCGACCAAGTGCTTGATGACAGGCCAGCCATACGCGTTGGCAAACATGCGGCGGACCAGGACGTTGTTGTGAGCATCGGGCTCAACCTTTACAAGAACCTTCCTCCAAGACAGGTCCTTGTGGTAGGCTCTTGCAATCTTCTCCTCAACTCGCATGTTTGAAGTGTCGATAACTTCATGAATATCTTTATCGGGATTCGTGTTCGCTGTATCATCGTAGTCTTTAGCTGACAATGAACTGTCCTCATGGTTCACATGAGGATAAGGCGACGAATCCGCGCTGCTGGTAGAGGCCTGTCCTATCGAGTTCTGTCGTTGGCCCGTCTTCCTCCTGACCAATGTAGTAGGACGTCTCTTCAATGGTGGACCAGGTATATCAGCTGGGTGATAAACACGATCGTGGAAAATAGTTCGCGGCCGCTTGGATGGATCGATCAGGTACTCAACATCGGGTACCTTGGGGTTGAGCAGATCGCCAGCAGATTCAAAGATAGTCGTTCTTGGAGGAGCAGTCATCTCATCTTCGCCGTCATGACCAGTTGTAACCTTGGACTGTTTAGTCGAAGCAGCCTCAGAAGCAGTATCAACACTGCCATCGGCTGATTCATCGAGCTTGAGAGTCTGACTCTTGGAATATATCTTCTTCTGCCTCTGCGACACACTAGGAGGCTTTGGAGGCTCATTACTCTTGAAGAAGTTGAAGAATCCCGCTAATGGTCCGCTGTTGGTTGAATCAGCAGAGTCAGACGGTACCTCATCACCATATGGCGTTGCCACAGAACGCAGACTCGCTCTGTCATCATCAACCATAGCCGTGCTTGGTGGCTGTGGAACCTCGCGCATATTTTCGTGAGTCTGAGGAGATGAAGTACCAGACTGTCCTGCTGAGCCGTTTCCAAGTTGCTTCTGGCGAGCCTGATTTGTACCTGTCAACTCAGCCCATCCGAATCCAACGACTGTTTCGACCAAGCCAGCATCTCGTCGAGCTTTCTCAACACGCCCGAGTCCTTGCCAGTCCAGGAACAAAAGACAACTTGTGCGAAGTGGTACAATTCCATCGTTGACCACGTTGGAGTAAACAGTTCTGTTTCGGAACTTCTTCAGCGCGGTATGTGCAGGGCCAGTCGGTAAGATTCTTAGAAGCGGTTTTGACTCAGGTTGTGTCTCCCCGTAAACCTTCTTATGCGCCGTCTCGCCCAAGTTTCCCACAATAGCACCCCAACCACTCCGTGCAAGTGTCGGAGCTCTCCATGTCAGACCAAGATCCTTCCCTGTCCTGCCAACGAGACCAGAGTCCAGAGCAAACTTGACGTATAAAGGATTTTCGTTGCTCAGACCCAGAAATGGTGTAGCCAAAGCAACAAAGTTGATTGGCTTGATGAGGTCGAAGAACTGTGGTGAGTGTTTTTGTATATATGCAATGGCGTATGTCTGAACAAGACCACCAAGAGAGTGAGCAATAAAACTTATGCTCGTAATCTTGTATGGACGTTCCGCCTTGTGAAGATGTGCCCCATCCTTGCTGAGATGAATAGTACTGTGTTTGTGTACCGGTTTCTGCTGGGGATCGTGCTTATCAAAATTGTGAGTTATAGCATCAGTCATTCCTTTCCCTGTCGGTAGGAATGGCTGATCTGGGTATGTCATGGACAGGACGTATCTAGCGAGCCTCTTCCCGAGATACTTAATTCCTCGCTCAGTTTTCGTCGAGTTGCCTGAATAACCACGAACAATAACCTCTTCATCATCGTCATCCTCATGGTCTTCACCCTCCACTTTGTCCATGTCCTTTGTGTCGTGAGAATCTGATTCGACAAGACCATTGCCTGATTTCTTCCTCGCGGCTCGTTCCCGGGCCCGCCGTGCCTTGGCATCGATCTTGGCTTGCTTGACAGCTGCATCAATGCTCTCTTTCATGAAGAGCATATCTGCGCCAAGATTGCTGTGCAGACCATGTGTCAGAACCACCATGTGGACCTTTTTCTGTTTCTTTTTGGGGTTCTCTGGTTTTGATTCATCGCCTTTTGTTTCGGGATCGCCAGTCTTGACGACACTTTCTACATGCTGATCTGCACCTGAACGCTTTTCAGCGCGCCCTTCTCCTTTGTCATCCCAGCCTGGAAGTCTAGGGGTATTCCACAATGCTGCAGTATCTTCGACCTTGAGTTGTATCGCGCGAGAAAAGACACCTCGTGGCTGCGCAGAATGATGTCCTTCTTTGGCCTCCACGCCTTGTTGGTAGTCGCTGATCTTTCCAGGCTGAGGAACTTGGGATTGTCCACCGACCACAGGACTCGAGTTGCTGAGGCTTAAAGACTTCTTGTCACGAGCCAACACAACCTCGAACCCAACAGCAGCAGAAGTCGAGAACAGAATCTGTGAAGAGACCTCAACAATCCAACTGGCGCTTTCATGATCATGCTCTGGCGCCTTTCCAAAGCCTCCATGACTTCCTAACCCAGCACTCTGTCGGATTGTAACCGGAACCACAAGCTCGCATTCCCAAGAACCACCCGCCTTGACCATGGGCTCAAACTCTGGCACTCCATAACGCTCAGGATATTCAAACTTCTCGTTGGGGTTGAATGCAGCGGGGTAAGCGGCGGCGGAAAGAGTATATGGTCCGTGGACGAAAGCGGCTCGGAGGGCGATGGCCGAGGTGTTGCGTACGCGCAGGAAGAGCTTCTCAGGTGACGGTAAGATCCGGTCTTGAGATGGTATGTATGTTATGGTATATCGAACGACTTCGCCTGTCTTGAGGCTGCCGACTTGATGGAGGAGAAGCATCTCGTCGCAGGGCGCAGGTGGGAGTCTAGTCGTCGTGGGACAGGTTTTTTGTGATTTGAAGCTGCACGTGCTCGATTAAGCTTATAGACATTCGAGTGCAAGATGTCCTAGAGGGTAAGTTTTGACGTCACCATGCCTCGAGCATTTGTTTCGAAACACAGAACCAACTATCGTAAGAACTAGCGGAATAGTCGATTTAAGAAAGATGACGGTGAAAGGGGACCTCAACCGAGGGAGCCGAGTTCGTAAACAGTGGTGACCGTAGAGAAAAGCACAGAAATACAAGAAAGGCAAAGACAACGACAGAAAAAGGGTCTAGAAACAAAACATGGAGCACATGCAGTGTAATTGTATGTACAATGACGGTAAGCTCGCCCTTGTTTTCTGTGGTGTCCTCCAATCTCGCTCCGTCGAAACCGGTCATTAGAGAACAATGGGGGCCAATCAGCGCTGAGCGTCGACATCACTCCTATGGCGGGGCAGTTGTTTTAGGGGCCTACGGGAGTTGCAGGGGCCCGAGCTTCCCGCTGAGTGAGGTTTAGTGATCAGCTGCCCGCGATGGGCGAACTTAATTCTGTTGGGCGTTCTCATTCCACATTACGCGGTCATTTTGAACGACAACGCTACTCCATTCCGTGCCTTGATATTAAGTTCTGGATGACTTCATTCATTTAGACCCTTAGAATCCATACTAGTTGCTCTTCTATTGTGAAAACGACTTTAATAAGTACACAGTCCTTTGTACACCACTTGGGTGCCACACTGTCAAGGAGCTGCTTTGGCTGACTAAGATAATCGAGCCATGCATCTCACCACACATTCATATCTGCCTTACCTCATGCTTCTTACATCTTCATGCCTTGATTGCCATAAAATACAGCAACATGATTGACAAAGATTCCAAGTATTTTTCTCTAAGCGGTGACATCCCAATTGGTGGACCAAGCACCTGGCATATTATCGACTGGGACCAGAGACGGGTTGTCTCAGTAACTATGGACGGTGAGCAGGACGACGAGAGCCTCGCCATTGAACATTTCAGCCGCCATAGCGATCCACTATCACCCGATATTCACAGAATATATGTATCGCATAACGACGAGATCAACTCAACATATACGGACTCGAAAAATGATCCAACCTGCTGTGTACACTATCCATCCCTTCACGATGCCTGTCCCCCAGAAGAAGAAGTTCAAACTGTTCGGCGAGACAAGCTTGAGGAACTCGAGAGGCTTGGTCCCAATGCGGACCTTGTTGCATACTCTCCATGTATAGAGGGATCTGCTAAAAAGGTAAAATCTAGGTGCCGGCCTTGAATGTCTTGCCCTACGATAAAGCTGACCCTTGGGAGGTCGTCTTTAAGTACTACTTCTTGTGGCAGTCGCCCAAATGTCCTGGAAGGAGATGAATCTATGGATGCGTCTCCCATGCCATCCAAACATCGTCCCGTTTGACCAAGTGGTCGTTGACGAGCTTGAGGGTCGTATAGTCGGATTCACTAGCAACTATGTGCCTGGCGGCAATCTAGAGGAGAACAAGTCGCGCGTGTTCAAGCTCAAGTGGCTACAACAACTTGTAAAGGTCGTAGACGAATTGAACCTCGGACATGGCATCGCGCACCAAGATATCGCTCCACGGAATCTCCTGATCAATGAGTCGACAGACTCTATCATGCTCTTTGATTTCAACTTCGCGGCCCGCATCAACTGTCCCTCATCTGGAGAGGGTGAGAGCTACGTCGAGGAACGGAACGATATCAAGGGCGTTATATTTACCATCTACGAGATTATTACTCAAGATGATAGTCTCCGGAGTATTCCTCACGAAGATCAAAACCTCGATAACATCGAGTTAAAATGGGTGAAGCATCCGGGGGTAAAGCTAGACCATCCAGTCGAATCATATCAACTTATGTTGAAGGAATGGCGGGAACGAAGGGAACGAGACTCTCGTTCAGGCAATGTCCCAAGGCTCATTGACTGGCCGGCCATGCCCAAGCCACCGCAGAAGACCATTTCTTTAAAAACTGTACAAGGGCAGACAACCTCCGTCACAGTGGACAACTGGTATGAGAGGCGGCAGGATATCCGGGGTAGAGGTGATAAGGTACTAAACTGGGAACGGCCACCACAGAGACTACTAGACAACGGGATTCGGGTGCTCTCGACCGGTGAGATACCCAACTGCTAAAAAGCCGGGTTTCTCGAAGCTGTATGTGGCCCAATACGCGTACGCAGGTCTACGACGTAAGTATCTGGCTTCCGCGGAAGCAAATACACAGGGTAGTTTTGTCACAAACCTCGGAACAAAAACCAATTCAAATATGCATCTCAGCCGTGATGGCGTGGTAGTTCGGGGGGCTAGGAGAATGCATAATTTATGGAGAAATATCAACCAATTCGATCCCCTTTCCTTATATATTGGTTAATTCTTCTGCAACACCAATGGTTTAAGCAATTACTCTGGATTTGGCCAGTGCATAAATTCAAGATGAACAGTATACTAAACGTTCATCGTCCGATCTTTGCAGTGACTCTTGCGAAGAACAAATACATAATCCCTCACAAGATAAGTTTCGCATCTATCCTTTATAAAAGTCTCCTAGACAAGAGAAGAATACCGAGTAGCAATCTGGCAATTTCATCGCAATACACGTTCCGTATGCCAGCCAATTCAGTTAGCAATGACCAGAGGTGCGGTATCTAACCGAAACTTAGCGAAATCCGAAGACGAGTATTGGTTAGTTACCTCATCTGGAGCTACCTCGGAGGGAAGGGGAGATAAAGACTGTTCTTTGCTTCTGGAGAAGACCTTTCCGATATCATGTGTTGAGAGAAGTTGCTCGAGCGTCGTCCCACTACGTGGTGGTTTGTCTTGAGCTTGTGTAGGAAATTCGTCTTTGACCAATTGCTCAATTTCATCAACGCAAAGTCATGCTATAAAACCGGATTAGTATTAAGTCGATAAGAGAGTTTGTCCTTCTTTGACACCATATGGGTCAATGGGTCACGGAAAATGTCTAACTAGTTCTTACCGGTTGCAATCGACATGCTCTCATGGACCCCCCGGGACTCCCACTTGGGCCATTCTTGGCTATCCTGGTGAAGTTTCTGCAGTATGACTTTTAAGCGCCGACTCCGGCTAGAACACTGCATAATTGATGGGACACTTCCTGTACTGAACCGACCTGTATAGTAAGCTGCTGCCGTCAAAGTTGTGAAAACCTGATGTGCGCATGGTTTCTAGAATGGAGTCGAATCGATGGGTCAGTTCGGCTACTGGAGACGGGTCGGCCAGCTTAGTTTCCTCCGCCGATGAGATTCCTTTAGATGAGGATAAAGATGCCAGCCTGCTGCTGCAAGCATGAACATGTCCTTGCAGCGTTGAATGCGGCATTCCTGCGGCGCTGTCATGCAGACCGGGCCCCGGTCCGTGATGGCCGGTCTCACTGAAACGTCTGTTAGTGGATATGCTTAAGTTACGAGATATTATCGGAGTATCATGTCTTACCTGCGTAATCTATGAGAATCCAACTCAGAATGGCTCGGCGCCGATGGGATCCTGCACGCATCAGGCCCTTGTTCGTTCTGGCGCCATAGTGGAAAGCCCTCTGGAACTTATCCAAGCACCGGCTCCGAGCTGTTACGACAAGAACACGTGGGCTGGGAGTCTGGCCCGGTAACGTTGGACTCCATTGGTGCTGATAAACGTTCTATGTCTGACTGTGACCATTCCCGGTCCGGTGAGAACAAAGACACCATGTTGTCTGGTGTGATCAGATTCTGCATGTCAACTCCTGAATACCACGCTGAGGTTGCAGTGGCTGGACCAGAGTTTGGCTGGCCGCTGGGAAATTGTTGACGTTCAAAGTAATCGACCGAGTTTTCGGAACTGCTAGCATACTGAAGAGGTTCGTGATAACTCCCTGGCAGGTAGTGGAGGTTTTGGGTCCGGTCGAGACCACAGCCTTGTTGCATTGTGCTATTATCGGACATGGATACAGGAAGCACTTCTGAGTTTATGCCTACGCCTGCGTATTGAGGTTGTGCCTTGGTAGCCTCACTGCTCTCTTTTGCTCTTCGCCCTATATTCAGACAGTCAGACAGTCAGCCGGTCTGGAGGATGTTGGGCTGGCTCATACTCACGGTGGTTGCGCTGAGATAATCTGTTCTGAATTCTTCCCAAGTTTCGAGTTGGCGAGAATAAATTGGGGAGATCCCTGGGATTGAGCTGATTACCTTCGTCTCTGAACAGCCCTAGGACTAGTGGATCGACGAGATCGTGAGTTCTTGGGAGTAGGTTCCAAGACTTTTTCCAAGAACATACTAATAGTTCAAGCAGGAGAGATCTCTCGGCGTGTCTTGGACTGTTGTATTCGTGGGGAGCCCAAAACCTGTCTATGTCGACAAGTATTTATATTGAGTTGAAGTGTCATTGCCATCTTGCTCACTTGCATCTTGTTATTTCGTTAGTCTACTCCACGTTACTTGACGGACTTGACCTTGCTATAGAACAGGGTTTCCTGCATAGCAAAGTCCAGTACGAAATTTTGCCTTGGATGAGGTCGAGTTGAGTAGTTGGATAGCCAATCACGGGTGGAGTACACCTGAAACCCCTGTGGATGTAACGTGTTGGATATGCTGGATAAACCCCAGTATAGTCTGAGCATCACGAGAATCCTTGAAGCCAATAAGCTGATTGCTTATGCTCTGTAGCAAAGGAACTTTGACAGGATGCTCGTTTTAGTGGGCTGGACTAGGGTGTCCAGCGTAAGCCCAGCTGGGAAGTTTGCCGTCCCGTTCACAGTAACCGCATAAGGGTTAAGTTTAGGATCTTCCCGTGTAGTTTATTTTTGTACTTTAACTTAAGGTAGTCTAGATAACCATCCATCAGACTCAAGATCTTACACTCCACATAATGATCACTCTGTATCGTTGTAGTTTTCGTAGTGGTAAAATACTTGTCATTTTCCTATCCAGTCTTGCCTCAGTGTTTGTTGTTCCATAGAACCAACAGACACGAGCAGGGGTTACGAAAACTGATCATGTCAGTTCACGGCGCTTTCGCCTTATATTGATACTACCTTCCAAGTTGTCTCAGACCCAGATTGTTGAGCGGAGCAAGGCGTCGCAAAGCGAGACAAACCCGTATCGCATGTACAGAGTGGCCCTCATATTTATCTCGAAGGATTGCGGGCCATGCATTGCATGTTTGGGGTATGTTTTCTTTTGACGTGCTTATCCGGAAATTCAATCGCAGTTATAGTTACACCGGAAATCTGCAGCATCAGCTTGGTTAGCCATGTTATGGGGCATGGGTCCACGGATAATATTTATCGTTCCTTGTAAGGTCGTACCGAATTAGTGCTCGTTCCTGACCTACACATGAGTCGATGGAGAAATGCTGATAGTTCTGAATAGGAGGGAGTATTTGACACTGCCTCGGAATGGAAGCCAACTGTCATAAGCAACTCCTGACAACTACCTACCCTAGCCCATGCAATTTAACGCCCTGGTTCTAGGTTCCATATGTATTGCATAGGTAATCTAGAGAGAGTGCCAACCGGACTACATAAAGCAATCCCCCTTCCAAGGTATCCCGACCAAGGAGTAATCGACAAGCACGCACCTCGAGTTATCTCATCTACACACTTCTAGCCATAGGGGCTCTTCACCTTACAACAGCCAAGTCTGCCAAGATGCCATTTCATGATAGCGAGTTTGGCTTGCTGTACATGAACCGGGACCGGTTTGACTTCAATCTTCATTTTGAACAGCTCTTTTTCTCTATTCTTCCATGCACCTTGTTCATCGTATGCTCACTATGGCGCGCTATCACTCAGTCACGCAAGCCCTCCGTGGTTTATGCACCTATCTTCCAGCTCACCAAATTGGTATGTGGTCGTCAAGGTATATGTCCATCAATTTTGACCTCTAACTCTGGTACTCAGGGAGCTATCATAACATATGTTGGCCTTCAGATCGCACTGCTGATTCAAGTCGGCATGGGCTCTTTCCATGTCACTCGAATCTTCATCGCATCTTCTGTTGTCGATCTCGTAGCCGCTTTGGCTATGGTGATGATCAGTTATACTGACCATAACCGGAGTCCGCGTCCCTCTATCCTCTTGAACACTTATCTGTTCCTGACTCTGTTGTTTGACATTGCTCAGTCCCGTACGCTGTTCCTGCTCTCTGACAGTACACCGGAGATTACCTACAGTGCCGTTTTTACAACATCTTTAGCCGTCAAGATCGTCATTCTGTTCCTGGAAACTAAGTCTAAGAACAAATGGATAACATGGGACAGAGATGAGCATAGCCCCGAAGAAACCAGTAGTATCTTCTCACTCGGCGTTCTGTCATGGCTAAACAGTATTTTCTTGCAGGGTTATAGATCTACACTATCCATGGATGATCTTTACCCTCTGGATGTTGCGCTGCATAGTAAGCAGCTACATGATAGGTTCTTGGCCAACATGGACTACAGCAAACTCAAAGGAGATAGCTACGGTCTCGTCAAAGTCCTCGTCAAGACACTTCTTGTCCCTCTCCTTCTGCCAATCCCTTTGAGACTCGCTCTACTAGGCTTCACCTTCTGTCAACCATTCTTCATTGAAAAGCTATTAGATCATCTTTCGCGGCCTGAAATCGAAGCCAATGTGGGGTATGGTTTTATAGGTGCTGCAATACTGATCTACCTTGGTATGGCTGTCTCGGCAGCTCTTTGCTGGTACGTCAGATTATAGTTAGAAAGCCTTTAAATCAAACCTGACATGTATAATAGGTATCTTCATCACCGCATGCGGGCCATGACTAGATCAATATTGGTGACAGAAATATTTTCCCGAGCCACACAAGCCCGCATCGGAGCAGACGACCATAACGCTGCCCTAACTCTGATGAGTACCGATATTGAAAGAATCAGACTCGGCCTTAGAATGCTGCATAATGTTTGGGCAGGCGTGATACAGGCTGCCCTAGCTGCTTGGATGTTGTATATCAGGTTGGGACTGGTCTTCCTGGTACCCATAGGAGTAGTTGTGGTATGCTTCACTCTCTTGGGAGTTCTGGTAAACTTCACAGGAGATTCTCAAAGAGCGTGGATGACAGGTGTGCAAAAGCGCGTCGGTTTGACGGCTACAGTCATTGCTGGAATGAAGAACCTCAAGCTTTCCGGTCTGGCTTCCACTGTGAGCTCCTTCGTTCAGAAGTTACGAGTAGAGGAGCTTGCTGCTGGTGCTCGGTTTCGCAAGATCTTCATCCTAGCTGCTATGCTTGGCTTCACACCCATGCTGATCAGTCCTCCACTAACCCTTGCGTTTACTCAGGCTTCACTTGATACCTCAAAGGTCTTCACAAGTCTGGCATTTTTGATGCTCCTTACCAATCCCCTCTCTCAAATCTTTACCTCCATACCCGAACTCGTCTCTGGAATCGCCTGCATTGGACGAATCCAGGCCTTTTTAGAGTGCGAAACCCGTCATGACTTCCGCCAAGTCCTGTCTGATCGTAAGAAGAATCTCAATTTCACTGAAATCGAAGCAGACACGGGTAGCTCAGAAATCGAAACGGCACCCGACTCTACCATGATTAGCATAAAGAATGGCAATTTTGGCTGGAAAGAAAATGCCTTTGTTCTTCAAGATATCAATGCAAATATTGAAAAATCTTCTTTCACCATGGTAGTTGGGCCTGTAGGTTCAGGGAAGTCGACCTTCTGCAAGACCCTTCTGGGTGAGATCCCCATGAGTCGAGGGAGTGTAGTTTTGAGTATGCGATGCCCTCGTATCGGTTTCTGCGACCAGACTGCTTTTATGTGGAATGGGACTATTCGCGATAACATTCTTGGCCTTTCAATGTACGATGAAAAGAGATACAACTCAGTCATCCAGGCTACAGCATTGTCAGTGGACTTTGCCAAACTCACCCAAGGAGACCAAACCAATGTCGGATCGGATGGCATTACCCTGTCAGGAGGTCAGAAACAGCGGGTTTCCTTAGCGCGTGCCTTGTATCTAGAGTCCGACTTGGTGATACTGGACGATGTGTTCAGCGGTCTCGATGCAGATACAGAGCTGCACGTTTTCCAACGAGTATTTGGACCTGGAGGCTTACTTCAACAGAGACGCACGACCGTTGTATTGTGTACTCATAGCGTTCGCTTTCTCCCGTTCTCTGACCACGTCATCGCTCTTGGGGACAACACTATCAAGGAGCAAGGCAGCTTCAAGGAACTTGCTGAGCAAGGAGGTTACGTCCAGAGTCTCGGCATACGTGATTCAGCTGGCGGTGACGGGAGCGAAGCTGTGTCCGAAACAGCAGCCTCAAAAGAACGGACTGAAGCACAAAAGGACGCACAAGGCTCACCAGACGGGTCCCCGGGAGCCGAAGTCAACCTCGATGACCCGAACCGTGCAACGGGCGACAAGGCGGTTTATAAGTACTATTTTCTGAGTATGGGTCTCTTGGTGCCCTTCTGCTGTTTCTTCTTGGCTGCGCTCTGGGGTTTCTTTACCAATTTCCCCACCATTTGTAAGTGAATAATGCTTCAATCTTGTCACTATCCTTCACATGACTAATGGGCTTATTTACAGGGCTTAAATTTTGGACTGATGATATATCATCCGAGACCCGAAGTCATTCTCATGCCTACTATGTCTGCATATACGCGTTGTTGCAGGTCTCCGCTTTGATCTCTTTGTTGCTCCTCGGCATCACTCTTTTTATTGTGTCGATCAAGAGAGCTGGTGCTAATCTCCATCATGATACACTCACAACGTTAATCCAGGCCCCATTGTCCTTTTTCACACACGCCGACACCGGTGTTATTGCCAATCTTTTCTCACAAGATCTCAATTTGATTGATACTGAACTTCCAGATGCTTTGTTGAATACCTTGTTCTGTGTAAGTTATGAAATGAGCAAAGCCTAGTATTACTACTACTAACATCAAGGAATAGGTTTTCCAAGCCCTCGGACAAGCTGCAGTTATGCCAACCTCATCGGCATACTTGGCTATTAGTTATCCGTTCCTTGCTGTTTTACTCTACTCGGTGCAAAGGTTTTATCTTAGGACTTCTAGGCAACTAAGGCTCCTGGATCTTGAGGCTAAAAGCCCCTTGTAGTAAGTTATACGGCAGAACCTATCTTCATTGAGAATTTACTGACCTGCAAACTCTCAGCACCCATTTCATGGATACCGTGAGGGGAATCACGACTCTGCGGGCTTTCGGTAAGTGACTGGCTCATCCAGCAAGTTAACGAGCTTTCACCCTGGTAATTTATGGATATAATTATACTGATGATATGAAGGCTACATCTCCGATGAAGTTTCTAAGAATGCTAGGCTACTCAATAGAAGCCAACAGCCCGCCTACCTTCTTGCCATGGTGCAAGAGTGGCTCAATCTCGTTTTGGACATGATAGTCATGATACTGGCAGCAGTATTAACAACACTTGCAGTTAGACTCCACTCAAATTCGGGTTTCACAGGTGCTTCTTTGGTTACTCTTATGAGTTTCGGAGAAAGTCTATCTGGTATCGTTATTTATTACACACGTCTCGAAACATCCATAGGTGCCATTTCCAGGCTCAAGACTTTCAACGCCACAGTCAAGCCTGAGGGCAAAGAGGGAGAGGACATGGTACCCCCTGAGAATTGGCCACAACATGGCAGCGTGGAACTGAACAACGTTTCAGCGAGCTATCAGTAAGCTGCGATACTTTCTTTCAAGTGCGAACCAGAGGACAATTGCTGATAAAATACTTAAAGAATGGGGAGCGAAAGCGAAGGTGAACCTAATTTGGCTCTTGATAACCTTTGTCTGAGCATCAAGCCAGGAGAAAAGGTGGCCATCTGCGGCCGGACAGGCAGCGGAAAATCAAGCCTTGTATCTTTGCTGCTGAAACTCCTCGACCCTCTACAAGACACCCCCAATGAAGGTCTTCTGATTGATGGTCTCCCACTGAATAGCCTGGACAGAGATGCCCTTCGTCAACGAGTCATTGCGGTGCCTCAGGAGGCCGTTTTCTTGCCTGATGGCGCAACTTTTAAAGAGAATCTGGACCCTTCAGGCCTCTCAACCCTGGATGAATGCAAAGCCGTTCTTATAGATATCGGGTTATGGGACTTTGTTCAGGGTCGTGGCGGGATTGATGCTGGCATGACGTCTTCGACTCTTAGCGGAGGTCAACGACAACTCATGTCGATTGGACGTTCTTTGCTACGGCGCCGGGCTCGAACACCGCAGACACCAGGCCCTGGGAATATGACAGAAAAGATCAAGGACCAAGGTGGCTTATTACTGCTCGACGAAGTTAATTCCAGCGTCGATCAGGACATGGAACTCATCATCAAGCGGATCATCGAGACAGAGTTTGACGCATACACGGTGATTGCCGTAAGTCACCGCTTGGATATGATTATGGATTTTGATACAGTCGTGGTTCTTGATACTGGTAAGCTTGTTGAGGTTGGAAATCCTCGGGCATTGGCTAGCACAGAAGGAAGCAGGTTTGCTAGTCTGGTAAGGGCTGGGGGGAAGTAGGTGTTCATTGTTGATGGTCTGTCTACTTGTCAATGTCTGGGCAGGTGTAGATGCATTCCTGGCTTTCTACCTGTACTCATACCTAATATTTACCCTGGCCCTTTCGCTTCTCAAGTTCCTGTTCTAGCACATCTATTCCCGACCATTGCTTGAACAGCCAGTCCCATGTGCCAAGTGGGAAAATAGAAGCTAGTTTACCAGTACCAACTTGGCCTCCTCTATAAACGAGATGTGGTGGATTGACAGAAGTCAAGTCCTGAACTACTCTTTTTGCCCACTCTCCCGTGTCCCCCCTATCGCTTACTGAAGGTCCTCCCATTCAATGGGCCCTCAATGGCTTCCCTCGCCACGGCATAGATTGAGTCCTCGGGAAGTACAGCATTGTTTGAGTTTTGAAAGAATGTCGACTTCACTCGACCTGTAACGATACTGATGACTCGAATAGCAAAGGGGGCGAGTTCCATGCGAAGGCTCTCCGTCAGACTAGCTGCTGCTGCTTTGGAAGCAGAGTCTGCAATGGTACTTGGTCATTGTGTTGACCTCCTGTGATTTACAGGATGAGTGAGTGTATCGACTTGGGTCTAGCTAGGTAGTCGAGGCCCTCTCGGCAAAGCTTGATATCCAGTCTGGTATAGACTTGAGAGATCAGGTTTCTCTTTTTGTTATTTTGGCTATTCTACGCCCAGATAACTTCTTACCTTGATTGGTTACATATGTGAGCCATAGAACCTCACAGTTGTATCTTTTTAAGCAGGATAAAATACCAATGAGTAAATTACTAACTGCCAAGACCTAATCTAACCAAACTGGACTAATATTCGCTCGACTCAAAGGTATCAAGACTGGCGAGTTAGCTGCATGGAGTTAACCTTTCGTGTAGCAGAAGGCAAGGAGCTTTTATTGCCGCTCTGCGATATCTCAATCATCTCTGATGCCCAGTATCCAATCGCCGCCACAAGAGCATCTATTTCCTCGCGAGAATTGTGGGCATGAAAAACAAGCCGAATACGACTGGCATCATCCAAATGTCCATGGTTCTTCGAGACCGCATGTTTGAAGACATGACATTCCAAGAGTGGGAGATGACAACTCGACCAAAGGTTCAGGGTACCTGGAACCTACACAACGCGTCTCTGGCTGCCAAGTGCCCACTCGATTTCTTCCTGCTCTTAGTTCTTTATCTGGAATACTGGATCAAGTCGGGCAAGCCAACTACGCTAGCGCAAACACTTTCCTCGATGCTTTCGCTCGATACCGAGCGGGAATGGGACTCCCTTGCACATCCCTTGATCTCGGAGCTATGGAGGGCATTGGGTATCTTGACGAGAACCAGGACTTGCTCCGAAAGATGAAGGGCACCGGATGGCGTCCTGTAGACGAGAGTGAATTAGTCGAAGCACTGAACGTTGCTTTGATGCCTCCGTCCTCCCCTCAAGAGTACGGAGATGCATTCCTCCTCGGTGTTGCTCCCACCGTTCCCCTGGGAAGCGCAGAGAGTAGCACGCGTCTAAGCAAAGACGTGAGAATGGCGGCATATCACAACATTGGTCGTGGCCAAAGTGATGCACTCCTAGCAAACGATGGCCTCCGTGCTTTCCTCTCTTCGGTCAAGAAAGATCCCAGCATTCTCAACTCTCACGAGTCTGTCAACACACTTGCCTTGGAGATTGGCAAGAAGTTGGCCAGCCTGCTCCTCACTGGCGACGTGGATCTGGACACCAGTACGAACACCGCTGATATGGGACTTGACTCCTTGGTTGCCATTGAGTTACGTGGCTGGTGGAAACTCACATTTGGTTTCGAGATTAGCACACTCGAGATGCTTAGCATGGGAACGTTGAGCCCTTGCATCGTTTCAATGGTGCATTGTGTAAGCTCTCAACTGTAATACAGCACGGCAAGATGGAATGACAGGGTGTCGCGTCTTTATCTCCAAGTTTAGGATGTTTAGGATATAACTTGGGTTATATCAGTATACCAAAGTTTTTGAACTAAGAATGAAATTGCGGTTGGAGACGGGCAACTATCTTGTCGTGTCTATTGTGAACCGTGTGGTCTGGATGTTGGTGCAGGTTATCTGGCCCACATGTACCTTTCAGCCATAATAGAGGTATTTTGGGAGAAGAATGCATAATTTATGAAGAAATATCAAGGGCTAGATGACATCAAGCATTATCCATCTTATCGTTGTCCGACCCGATGCTCACACTCACGCTTATGCTTATGCTCCTACCATCATCACCATACCATCCATGCCATGACATGTCATGCGTCTAGAGAGTTCTGTTGGCCTTTGCGTAACAATCCATGCGACAAGACTCCCCACCAAAATTAAACCCTAGACCAAAAAAAGAAAGACTATCGTACAAAAAAAGACAATCTATCAATCTTGCTCGAGATAAAAATTGTATATGAAATTCGTTATCGTTGAAGTTTCATGCAGTCACGGCAGCTGCAGCGGCTATCTCTCCCTCGGGATCACCGGGCTCAACAAACGTCCGCCAGACGTCGATCCGGTTCAGTCCCGGGGTCCGTGGACCGAGACCGGCGAGCTCGGAAGACTTTCGATTCTCGCTGCGTCGCGTACCCTTTCGACTGCGCGAGCTGTGGCTGTAGTACGAATCGTCGTCGTCGTAAGTGTTTGGATCACGCTCCACGATGAGAGGCGCTACACCACCGCGGTATCCTTCCTCTATGACGGGAGGTGGCATCCCCATTGGTGGTGGTCGCATGCCTGGAGAGTCTGGAGCGTAACGGTCTTCGGCATGGCGTCTGTCCATGCGGCCGGCGTAGTATCCTCCACTTCTGGGGGTGCCTCTTTCGAAGTCTGCTCGGCTTGGTGATGGAGGAGCACCACCGACGACTCTGCGACCTACACGGCGAGGACTATCGCCTGAGTAAGGATCGCTAGACCTGGGTACTTCTGGAGCACCTCCAATATCGTATTCGTAGTCTTTGCCATGATAATGAGACCTGCGAACCAACTCATCGTCACGCTCCTCCTGTTGTTGACGCATGATAGCTTCTTCATCATAGATCGGGGGTCGTGCAGGTTTAGCTTTTCGTGGTCGTCTAGCAACACGAGATTCTTCTTCTTCAGTGCTATCTTCACGAAAGACCTGAATCTCGCCTCGATGTGTAACCTCTTGCTCGTGATCGGATTCGGGAGCATCAGGGTCGAACCATGGACATTCGCATCTCTTGGGCTTCTCTCCACACACGACGCAAAACTCGGCACCACATCGACTGTATATGTTAGAAGAATCCGTATCTAAGTACGAAGGAACACTCACCATAAGGCATGATTATCACCCTCTCGGAGCTGAGCTGAAGCACCGCATCTATAGCATCTCTTCTGCCCTTCAGCTCTGACATACTCAAGAAACATCGCCGTCTCTTCGTCCCTAGGACACTTGCTCGCAAAGTGCCACCTGCCATTACAGGCGACACAAACCTTAGTGTTGCACCGATCACAACGAGCAGCTTTGCGTCCCGTCTCGCGATCGCGGTAAATATCAGCTGGTCGAATCCATTCACCGCATCGTCGAGAGGGACAATAGAGCCTGTTCCTGAGGGAGTACTCGACAAACTTCTTGTTCCATATTCTTTTGAACGTAGAATCAAAAAGCTTGTCAACATGCTCCAGACCAATGTGGGCATCGGTGCAGCATGTTGGCGGCATATGTTCAGCTTCCGTCATTGATTGCTTGAACCGCCTCTTCAGACAGCTGTGGCACATGCGATGGCCGCAATCAAGTTTGGGGCATTTGGATACGGGGACTTCATCTAAACAGCCCTTGCAGTCACGACTGTAGTATGATTGTTAGCAATTGATTGCCACAACGTGATTGACGCCACTCACATCAGACGTGGCCGGTCTGGGGATGAATTTCTGGATGAATCAAAGCCGCTGCGGGCTATACTTGGGGGACGTCGCGAAGACTCCCTAGAGACTTCAACGGTTTCGATTGTAGCTATAGGTAGTCTCCGGGGACGGCCCTCACGGACTAATTCACGAGACTCAACCACCTTGGCAGTTCTGATTCTTAATTAGTATTGGAGATAAGAGGCAATTATAACTAGCTTACCTTCTAGAAGCTACAGGCGGCCGAGAAGCACCGAGGACACTGTTAAATCTTGTGGGAAGACTGTATCTAGGTGTATCGCTGATCTCTCGTCTCAGAGCAGGTCTGCGGTCCGGTGAGCCTCTTTCAGAAGAAGCCTGTCGATATCTTATTTCTCTTTCGTCGGAGGTCGATGGCGATGGTATTCTATTCCGCCTCCGTGGTGTTCTCTTTTCATCTGGTGAGCTGAGATAATCGTCTGGGCTGGGTGATCGACGGTGTCGACGATGATGGCGTCTATGTTTGTCCTCTGGTTCTTCCACCACAACCTCTATCTGGTTTTGATCATCGCTCTCCTCCTCGCTCTCACTTTCACTCTCGCTTTCACTATCTGTCGGCGGTGTCGACTCGGGCGTCGGTTCTCTCCGTCTTCGGACCACCTGCCGGGGCCTCGCGGGCTCCGGGTGTCTACCCCGTGGTTTCATAGCCGGCCAGCGTTCATCATCCTCATCGTCTTCGCCTGCTTCATATACCGAGAACTGAGGGCGTTTCTTGTAGACATCTGTTGAGGCACGCATCAAGTGTGCTGGCGGCATGGGCATTGTAGGCGGGTATGCATCGAGACTCATACTCCTGGAATATCCCCTGGGTGTCCTTCCGTTGGGCCTTTGTAGTTCGTCGATTCGTGTCCGATGGGGCATTGGGTACTGGTTATAGGGCACGACGTCACTGGGGCCGTACCAATCGTGAGATTCAGGGCGGAGGGGCCTGCGACGCACGAGTGGAAGTCGGGCCTCTCCATCAGCGACGTCTCGATCGTATCCTAGCCTCATTTTTGCTGAGTGGGATGGACTCCTGCAGGACCCAGAGGGGGGACACGGCACAGCACAGCAACAGCACAGCTCAGCGCGCGCTGGACAGTGAGAGTTGGTGTCCTAGGCCGGACTAGTTTATATGTCGGAATGCAACGGGCAAGGGCCAAAGTAGTCGTGATGACGAGCGGTCGAGCCACTCAACGAAGTCCACGCTGCGTGAGCAATTGCACCCCCCAAAGATGATTGGAGTCTGGGGGCTGATCATGCATGGCAACCGCAGCTTGCAGCGTCACGTCGAGGTCGAGTCGAGTCGGAAGTTGGGGCGAGAGGTAGAGAATGGAAAAGGATTGGATGTGTGTGGTTCTCCTTCTGGTGCCTTACAAGTTGGGCCGCGAGACGACGTTGTCTCTTGGATGGGCCTCAACGAACTAGTACAGGAACCAAGGAAAAAGTAAAAAGAGTAGAGAGGATGAACGGAATATCAAAAAGTCGGAGAGGAAAAGAGGAGAGTAACACAGACAATCTCCATATGCAGACCTTGAGAAACGTTCCTCAGCGTCTGCACTCTCCTCAAGGTAGCTTGCTATGCTTCCACAGGATAACGCGGCAGACCAAGTTTGGGCGTGGTTTAATGGCCAGTTACCTCACATCACCTAACGCATCAGGCATCTAGAAACGAATCAAAGTGCCCCTCCCCCGCGTGGGTGGGTTTTGAAATGGCCAGGGGGGTTGGGTTTGGTTGGGTTATTGTAGACCAGGCCCTGTCCCTTTGCTCTTAGACCCCGTAACGACTGATGTTGAGTTCATAGAGTAGAGCCTGCGTTATAAAGTCATATGTGCTTGCACAGCATAACACCGTACGAGCTGGAATCATACGAGTTTTGACGGGCAAGAATAGTCTTGTCCAACGATCACGTCGTGGGTGGCTGGTATCCAAAGCAAGAAAATATGAGACTGTGGATGATCAGTTTCTGTCGGTGTGATGTCACGTGGCTGAGCTAACTGAGACATTACATTACACGAGTAGAGCACATGAACCCCAGATATTCATTGTCCACTGAGCTTTTGTTCAAGAAATGCAAGTGCTGTATCCGTACATCTTATGCAAGAAATATCTATCATTGCCTGTTTTTGATACTCACCGGAGAAATAACATCACTGTGGCAAGATCTGACCTTCATCCCCAGACAGCCCAAGACAGAACATCATGATTAAGCAATAAGCTAGCAACAACTCACTGGCCCCCACTAACATCATCAATTAACTCAATCCTAAAACCTCACCCGAAACTCTATGACTTTAAAACCATCTTCCGTTTCCGCATGGGGTTCACACAATACGCTTCCGGCCTTCATCATACCGGCGATTTCTTCATGTGGGTCATCGAACTCGGCCCGGTCCGGGCAGCCATAACGGGCCTCCTCGGAACGGAGCGGCGATTACGGGATATGACGGCGTTCCTGCCGATCTCCCAATGGCCTTTGTTCTCTTGTGATTTTGACTTCCTTAGCAATCTGCAGGGTCTTTTACAACCCCTTGTAGTTAGCATCGTTATCCTTGCGAGCATGTGTCTACTACGTAGGAGTCTTATGTTAGGTCCCCGGTGTCACCATCTCATTCATGCACTTCTACGCAAGTAAGATGTCTATTACATCATGTCTGTCATATGCGTAGACACAATTCACTGCATTCTACTTCTCCGTTCTGCATGAAGGGTCCGGCGAGCATTGGACTCCATCACTGCATCACTGCATCACTGCAAAACGTCATTGATACTGAGGTGTGAGAACAACCCTTCGTAGACAAATCAATGTCTTAGGTTGACTGCCATAATATTTCTTGCTTATCTTCATGTTCTTAATATTGTACAATTAAACAAATGGGTATAGATGCTATCATAAGAGACGTCATCATGTTCTTTGATGGTTAATCAGAGCTGAGAAATCTGTACGCCAATTCCCCCAGGGAACCTCCAGCTAGCACTGGCAACTAGCTTATGCATGATCTACATTACATCAATCAGAGATCCTGATAGTAAGATCGTTAAAGTACCCTTGAAAGCCAGTGTATTGGGAAAACCCGGCCACGCGGCCCGCAGAACCGTGCTGGGCTCAACATCCAACCAATAAAGTCATATTCCCTGACACTGCACCCCAGGATATCACCCCAGAATTATCTTCTCGGGGCGATAATTCAGCCCACCAAGTTTCTTGGGGTAGCAATTGCACCCATGGGGCGTATCTTAGTCGTATGGGAGTAAGGGGCGGCGCTACTATTGAATAACGCCGCAGTCTGAAGTAGAAGTAAAAGCATAAAGTACGTCAGAGCTGATGACGAAGTAGCTTTGTGGTTTCGTTTTGAGTGCCATCTATCAATCTGACACAGATCGACCGGCACCTACGGAGTGCCGAGGAACGCGCGTCTTCTCACCTCTGCCTCCTTGAGGATTTCCGAGGACAGACTCAAGCTAGGGGCCAGGGTTGCATATCGTTCAACCTCTATCACAACATCATTGATCATTTGGTCCAGCGCCTCACGGTGAGGCACCAAGGTTAGCAGAATGCTGAGCAGTGACGGCGACATGCTGGCACCCATGATGAGCAGCGTTTGGGAGACTATCGACAGAGCACCTTGCCAGATGTATGGCATATGACCGGCATGACTGAATCCATGTTAGCTATGAACTAGGCTCATCCTGGAAATGGAAACTCACTGTTCATGGATATGTTCCAGTTGTCGAATGGAAGCCTCCAAGCACTTGTGGCAGTTCTCCCGCACAGCAGGATCCAATACTGCTTGCTCATTGTCTAGCACTGCTAGAATGTATGGCCGATATATAATGGTGCGACAGGCAAAGAATCGAAGTCGAAGGACAGTTTGAACCGGATCTTGCAGCGCATTTCGAGTGAAAGGAAATTGCAGTGGTAGTGGTAAACTTTCATACCATTGGCTCAATTGGTAGTCAAGCTCTGCCACCACCGGATCTAGGCTTGTTGTTGATGCAATCGAGTCCTTAGAATAGATGAGTTGGCTCACTCTATTCAACAGCCGACGTAGAGCAATTTCCGCAAGGAAGTACCAAAGCTCATCTCGACCGACTTGCTCCGATTCATCACCTTCAAATCCACAGGGCAAGCCAACGTTTTCCTCGAATTGGACAACCCCTGAATGAGGCAGGTCGAGTTCCGCGAGAAGATCACTCTCAAAGAGTAGTGCATTCCAGTAGATTCGCTCCACGAGCTCTCGCTGGTGGCTTGGGATACGGCTTGGGGCCATAAGTAGCAGCTGTAGCTTCGTGCTTGTCGTGCAAAGCAGATTCCATGCCTCCATAGGGCGGACCAGGTAAAAGTGATAAGCAGCAGCAAGGAGATGACATTGTGCCGCCACTACACTGTTGGCAGTCATCAATCCTGGAAGCAGCGACCATGCTGCTGTAAAGTATTGCAGTCCGGGGGGATCTTCATGCGGCAAGATTCTCGAAATGCTGCCATGCAAGCTTGCCTGACCCAGGGCAAGAACAAGAAGTACGATGCAACTCTCCGGCCCCTCTCTGAAACCGTTGGACAAGGCTGTGCGGTATTGACTCCTCCAGGTATATGGGTTGACGCAAGCATACCAAATATTAACTCTCTCAAAATAAGCCTCGATGTAAGCCTGGGTATTTGACAAGTCCACACAAGGAGTTTTGGTCAGAGTGTGGAGTGGTTCTCGTGCCATTTCCAGTTGTAGTAGAATCTGAGGATCGCATGGTCGCGAGACTAAATCTCGGATCAAAGGCCATTGTAGTAAATGCATAGTGGCATTAGTGTGGACTTTAGGCATGGTAGAGATATTGGTTCCGGTCGGTTGGGCGGACCAAGTCCCAAACCCACCATTGGGGATAGAGCCAAAAGAGGCAGCATTGGCCGACAGCATCATGTTGTCTCCATCAAGCCCCGTGCCATTGCTCATCCCAGGCGAATTGTCAGTTAGGTTTAGTCCATTTGCTGTTGTGTTCACCATATTCATCTGAAGGAGATTTTCAATGCGGTTGAGACGCTCCAAGATCAGCTTGTCACCAGCATCAAGCTTAATGCCTGGCTCTCGGTAGATGCATTCAGCACCAAGCTCTGTACAGAGCTTGCACTTTGGCTTTGTGCCATCGCAACGGGATTTCCTTGAGCGGCAAACCTCACACTAGTGGGAGTCAGTATACAAAAGCGGAAATGGAATGAATTAACGAAATAAAAATGGTGTAGTGACGCACAGCAATAGTGGCCCTGCGGCGGGGGTAATCGACACCCGTTTCGGTATTCCTCCTTTTGAGTGGGTTCGAGCCTTCATCGCTTGAGACCTTTTGCGCGCCATTGGACATGCTGTCAGGTCTGTTGTCAGATGACTGCGAAAGATGTCGAGATTTTTGAGATGCGCTTAGTATGCCCTCCCGACTGAAACTGGGCGTCCGCTGGTTTTTGTAGCTGACAGGGGACTTGAGCGAGGCGTCAGCCGACATTGCTGTAAGTGAAGATATCGGAAGTTCGAGAGAAAAGCTGTCGCGTGCAGGTACCGTGAATGGTCGCGCTGCGTTGAGAGAGATTGAATGGAGGGATTCGCCTGTCGATGATGCGGACATGATGATAGATTGGCGTCAAAAATGAAACGGTATCGAGGAACGGCCTCGAGAATAAGTTCTAGTTGAGTTGGTATAGCGGCGTGGACAAAGCAATGATGCGCACGACTCGAAATGTCCTTTCAGCAAAACAGCATTATGTAGCAAGGCCGATGGTCGGGAATGGTGAGATGAGCATCAGACGATGCGACGAAAGCTCACGTTTCAAAGCTGTGTTGAACTTGAGCTGGTGAAGAGCGACTGGTTTCCTTGAGAAACGATTCGCGGTTTGGGCGTTCCAACAGACAATTGAAGAACGTCAGTCTCACAATAAGAACACCGAAATGTTCTCGAGACACTGAACGTTGAAAGAGGCGTCCTTTCCTGCAGCCGAAATGGAGGAGTAAATGGTTATGTATGGGGGAAGAGCCAGGACAAGGGTCTCCGAGCCCCCGTTGTTCTGTAGCTGCACTTGGACTTAACCCCGGACCCTGGGTCGGCGGGCGGTGGAACTCGGAAGAGGGTGGTGGAGAAACGGGCGGGAGAGACTAGGTAAGAAAGGTAGAGAGTCAACCTGGGGGACTTCTGGAGAGATGGGTCATTTATTGGCCCAACAGAGTCGGCCGAAGAGAGTATCCAACAAAGGATAGACCCAGTCAACATGTATGTACTTGGTTCCGCGGTCGAGGTACCTGAGAAGTTGATTTTAAGTATGGCATGATATGTCGAGCAAAATCCGAAATGACTGTCTCGGGGGGCAGTTTTGCTTAAAGTGGTGGTGGCGTACGTTTTGTTTCTTGGTACGAAGGCGATTCGCTTCCAAATCTGGGGTCTCAGGGCGTCAGCAACAGAGAGTCTGGAGAAGTCCATAGTAGCTACTCTGCTCTGTGGTGGCACTGTGAGAACAGAACTGCCCGTCACGTTGTCCTGGCCTTCCTGAAGCGTTCGCAAGCATCAACTCCATGTTGTTCCCCAGAGGATTGGGTGGCTCAAGCCAGTTGTTCTCGTTTAAACCGCCATGACAGGGATAAGGTTGAGATGGAGGTGGGCGGCTCTTGAGGGGGATTGGTGGGAATCCTTGCAGCAAGACCGTTTGCGTGTGGAGAAGCGATTTCTGGAGGATGAGGTTCAATTTCTTGCCTGAGATTGGAGTTGTTGACACAATTTTTGTTGTCCAAAGTTGGTAAGTGTTCCATGATGGAGATGTAGGTTAAATGTGTTGTTGCTTCGTATGTGGATTTCAGGTACATACTGTGCGTGAAGCTTTGGGGAAAGAGCGGAAATGTCGTCCCATGTTGTGCTTGCCGTACTGCCCTTGCAGCAATATCAAGAGTAATAAGGAAGGAACACATGGGAGAAGCTAATAAGCATCCCAGTTCTTTCACTTCATTGCTTGAAATGCACCTGGAACTAAAACACAACAATATCATGCTTTATCCTTGAGTTTAACGATGTGATTACATTGCAGTCTTCTCTTTACCGTTGCTATTTGACATAATACGATCCTCTTATTGCCGAGTATGCCATCTTATAGATACGTCTCCTCCAAATGGTGGCATAATGAGCCCCGAATGATGCATCTCTCTACCACGATATGACAGACAACCGTACCGTCACCGTCGAGGTAATGAATGGTTCTAGACCCCAGCGGGGTTAGAATCGCCACGAGAGGAGAAAGACCTTCAATAGCAAGTGATTGACTGTCTCGGATGGCACCCGGACCTCTCGCTCATGACCATGGGTCTGCAAATCTTTCAACCCCAAACGGACTTGATGCTTACTTGGAATTCCACTTCCTCACTTGGCGATTTTGATATAGAATAATATGTCAAATACCGATCTCCGGCTCATCCGATATATTATGGCGCACACACCTTTGTTTCCAATAAACGTGGCTTTGAAATCGAAATCTGGTCTCAGCTTTCCTAATGCTTACACTGACTTACTTATTTACATTAGACCATTGCCTTGCCCAGACGCACTGTCGCTCGACCTCACCCATCATGACAAGCGCTCATGCGCCCGATCCATGTAACGGCCCGAATAGGAGTGCTCTTCCGTTGGAGCCTCGCAGCCCAGTCCAATCCAAATCTCAGCCCGTGACCAACCTGGGGTTCGGTTTTAGCCTGCTCCGGTCTGGAGTGCCTGTCTCGAGACGCCTGTCAACCTGCGGGGAAGCTTAAAAGGTGTGGCACGTTTTGTCCGCTTACGGAAAACTGCTGGCAAGGTTGTTTGATGGATCTTCCGGCTAATTAACACTCGCGTTAATCTACCATGTCCAGAGACTCCAGACGAAGGCACGGCACGGACAGAAACCCATCGGTTCGGGTCACGGCTTGAATATATCCAGACTCTCGGGTGGACGATGTCTTCACGTTAGAAGACACGTTTCCTGTCAGAACTCAAATAGATGATACTGATAATTCTATACGTACATCAGGCCTGCCCAGTAAGCTTTATAGCGAGCTGCTCAACCATTTAGAAGATCGAGTTGCCAAGAACCCGTGCCGCTACCCACATTGACAACACCTTCAGGGTCTTCAACACCCTGGCCATCACCTTGAGCCTTGCTACCAGGCTGCGACCTGATCTCCAAATCCACAGTCCCCTCGATTCCCTTTTCGGGCATCCGGGAGATTCAATGCCCGATACTACTCCGGCAAGGATTGCACCCGCGCGAGAGCAACAGTCTTGTAGTCGAGGTCTGATGGACTGACAGTCTCTCATGTTCTCCGAGGTCGCTGCATGAAAGACACAACAACCTACACGCTAATGTAGTGTGCTTCACATCATCCCCTGCGTCACAACAACACGATCGAACAGTTGTGGCAACCCAACACCAATCAAGTGAATAATGGGCATCCATAAAGTGTCCATGATTCTGCAACCCACAGCTTCTTCGGATCTGGCAGCCGTCAACCCGAAACTACAAATCAAGGCATTCAAGACTGGTATTGTCTGCATATGAGCAAGTCCTGCGAATTCAAGACGATACCCATAAGTTTCAGGTATTTGGGACGGATGGTCATACGTCATGAAGCTCTCGTTCTCAGTAACGTCAGTTGCACGGACGAGAGACACCAAGAGACGGATGCACATTATGACGCCGGACGGAAACAAAGAAGCTGTGAGGCATCTTTCTTCAAAGGGCGAAGCTCATGGTCACTCGTAGAAGATCACGGCTGTAACTTCGCCTTCTAGCTCTGCATAGGCGATGAAATCACCCATGATTCCAGTTTTGGCATCCCTCTCAATGATGACGACACGGCTATCACTTTGAAGAGCCACTGCAACCAACGTTCCCGCCTTGTTGATGGAGAAGTGACGAGGAAATCTGCCTCCACATGGAATGTCTTGTTGGAGAGTGAGATGCCCGGTTTCTGAGTCGATTTTGAAACTGACTAAAGGATCAGATGGTATAGTGCCGTTACTGGTGTCAAAGTCTGGAACTTGGAGAGTGCTTTCATTACGAGACGAGATGATCAGGAATTCTCTATCCGGCTTTGTCCAAAAGTTAGAATGAACGCTGCTCAAAGGTTGTGAACAGACTTACAGATACCACAATCTCAGCAGCTGCAGCGCCTTGCGGCACGTCTTTGCCTTCTCCATGGATACCACTGTTCCACATTTCCTTGAACCTGATAAACTCGCCACCATACACGACTTCATAGCCGATAATGGTATTGGCCAGCTCGGTGACAAGGTACATGAATGTCTTGGTCTCCTTGACTACAAAGGCAATATGTCGAGGCCCGCTACCTGGGGCAACGACCAATGGATCAAGCTTGGACAGACCCAGATCTCCGAAACCAACGCCGTATATGTGAATCAGATCTGCTCCCAGATCAGGTACCAGAACAAATCGTTTGCTCGGATCAACGACTGCAGCATGGGGATGGGATGCCTCCTGTCTTGAAGGGTCCGGACCAGGCTCGGAAATGCTGAACTGTTGGACATTGAGTGATGTGAGATTTGCCGGATCTTGAATGTCCCATGTTGTAAATGCCGAACCTCCACTTGAAAAGCGTCAGCCGTTTATTTGATGCTGAAACTTAAGGTTTGAGGGGGATACATACTAATGGGCTACTGCCAGCCCGTAATCCCACTCGCCGTACATGACCGCACTGACAGGACCAAGGACTGTAGAAGTCTTCGCTAGAGGCGTCAAAGTACCGTTCTCATGCGTTGCGAAGGATGCCAACGACCCATGCTTCCCATCTTTTAGTCCTTCGTCAGTGCAATACAGCACTCCGTTATACCAGTCGAGTGTAAGCCATGAAGGGCTTCCAGCACACCCATCTGTTGTGGACAATGTTTCAAGTTTCACAGGCGTATCCCGATACTCAGCAACCGACAGATTCAATGTTGTGACAAGTCCACTGTAGGACGCAACATACAACAACACGTCCGGCTCGTGGTGAGTGCTTAATTCAAGAATGTCATGGTTGTGACTCCAGTGCGCGCCTCTGCGATAGTAAGTCTGATATACGCAATGGAGTAAAAACACAGTAATAGGCGCGGCGAGAAGGAGTGTTGAGACGAGAAGTGTTGCGCTATTATCCCGAAAGGGGTTCTTTGAGGGTTTCTGACGACCGAAGAACTTCATTGTCTCCAGTCGACGGACAGTGTTATGGTAAAGTTGAAGATTATGACGAAGTTGGAGCTGACGCAGCTTCACCGCACTAGCCGCAAGCTATCAACCAGGGGTGAGAGCATGGGTGAAGCAACAATGCCGATCAAAGAAGAGATTCAGGCAAAAGATAGCAATTCTGCAAGAGAACAAAATGGAGGTGAAGATGCAGAAGTGAGATTGATCCTAAGGCTCTAAAGGAATACACTACCGTCGCCGTGCAGATCGGGGTGACACTGTGATGACTTCGTATTGCATGCAAGTATCACCAGATGGATCTAGTGTTGCCGCTAAAAGCTTGGATTTAGAGTTCAGCTTCCAACGTCCATCCGCGGGAAGCGAATTGTTTCAGAAACAGTTTCAGTTGGCTGCATGTTCGGTAATACTTTGATGTATTGGATGATTGTTTTTATGAATCATATTATGCTTAGGGGAGGTAATAGACTAAAATTTAGGGCCTCGATCCTAAAGGATGAAATTACTTAGGCAAATTATCGTAAGCTTAGGGGGCTTTTTGATGAATATATTTTGGTATCCGTTGTCATGGTCTGAAGTTTTGCTCCCCTTGGCATGCTTGGACGAAGGATACGTGCCTGCACTGGCCTTTTCATGGGGTCAGGAATAGCAATTTCATGAACCCATCACCATCAAGGCATTATCGGGATGCTCTACAAGTTACAATATCCATTTGTTTATTTTTAGTACCCTCTTGCTTCATTTTTGGTATCTCAAAAGCACCCCAACCAACACCTCACCACATACCATCTCCACGAAAACATCTGTCACTAACATCTCCAAACATTTTCTTTTCTCAACTAGGCCTTTTCTGACGGGAAGTCCTGGATTGCAGGCGTCGTAGTTCCTCTTGATAATGACATGCTGTATGGAGCCTAATGAACTGTTAGCTTTGAGCAACCTCGTAGTTGATGTTGTACATACCAAAACTTCCTTAGCGTTACATATTCTCCAAGCAAGTTTACGAACGCTTCCATCCGCGGCTACGACGGGTGGTGCAAACTCAATGCCAAACATTTCTCGAATGGCGTAGACAATCCTCTTGGCATATTTTGTATCGCGCTCGACATGGCCGCCGAAAGGCTCCTCAGGCTGGTTGGGTGCAATATCTGGATCACGGTCCAGGCAGTTTTGGACAACTGGAAGAAGTGCGGCCTCGACCGCTTGCTCGTACAAGCCCTTGGCACCAAGATCGACATCCTCTTCATCAAACTTGCTGATTCGAATCTCGAAAGGTTCTGAAATCGCCATGGCATGATGGTGTCCGTTGTGATGGTATCTGAATTCGAAGACACCTTGCGTCCACCACAACTTGTCACCTTCAAACACAACTTCGCCTTCGACCAGATCGGTTTCTGTGATCTCAGTTGAGGTCACGGGGTGTTCTTCGACCACAATGCTAACATCGGCAGTCAAGGCATCATAAGAGCCAGCGTTAGTAGGTGCCCATCGTCCCAAAGAAGATACCTCAGTCGTTTCCCTCGAACGGTTATCGGTAACCATGTAAAGACCAATCCAATCTTTCTTACTGTGGTTAGCAGGTGCTCTCCACTTGACCCGGAGAGGCGCTCCATATTCAAAAGCCATGGTCTTAACAGGCTTAGGGAACCGGCCCGTCAAGCTCTCCTTTCCAGTGTACTTCTCGACGATAGGTGCATTGTTAACAAGAGTACCCTGTACGGAAAGAGAGTAGAACTTGGGATCACGGCCTTCTAGATCAGGAGCAATTCTGGTAATGGTGAGTCGTGCGGGAGCCATGTTGAAAAGAGCCGAAGTATCTCGCACAATGGTCTTAACACCTGCTGCGAATTTAGGCCGAGCGGTATCGATAAAGTCCTCAACGAATTGGCTGGTGTCATCTAACACCTTGTCGACACTCTCTTGCCATCCCTTGACGGGAGGAGGCAATGATTTCTTGATGAACTTGGTAAGACCTGCTTCTTGACGTAGACTGCGACCATAGATCTTTTGCATGTGGGGTCGCTCAATGTACGAGATGTAGTAGACAGTCAAGATCTGGGTGAACAGGGCCATAAGGAAAATAGATCGACTCCACGTAATGAGTGCAGCACCCCACACAGCAGCCGTTCCGAAGAACCGATCAGGGTTGTTCAGGAACCGGTAAATAGACTTGTAAGTCAATTTAGCCTGTTGATCAAAGAAGAAATCGCCGCAGAACCAGCCAAACTCGCCCAGAGAATCATAGACACTGAATGCGGTCCACAACTGAAGGGCAACGAGACTAGCGCCAAGAACATGCTTGAGCAGGACCAGGCCATAGGCCCAGTCTTCAGGAGGCGAGTACATCTTCCAGCAAGCGGCAACAAATGCGGTGTTACACATGATCATGCTGATGTGGTGGAGGCCCTTCCATTGGCGCCAAGCTTCACCGGCACTCTCGCCAAATTTAAGGAAATGGCGCGTCCACATCTTGTTCTTAGACTGTTGGTCGAGAATAAGACCTAGGCCAAGATGATACCAAACACGCCAGGCTAGAGCGTGAAACACGAAAGCCGCCTGCCATACGGCAGTTGAAGGTGTCACAAGAGTGAGGACGGCTACATAGAACGGCATAAGAATGACGGCGAAGTCAGGGACGCGGAACAAGTCAAGATTGCTTAAACCAACGAGATTGTGGACAGGAGCGGGCTCGTCCTTTTGGGCGGGCGTAAGCGTCTGCTGGTCGAATGCACCTTCAAGCGATTTCATATCAGTGGGTATGGCATCACTTTGACCCCCGGAGACGGTTCGCTTGCGAGGAGGAGGAGGGTTGTAGGTTTTCTCAATATGAGGATTCTCGACAATCACGAGGAAGGCGAATTGGGCCAAGTGAGCGAGGATCGAGATGAAGAGAACCTCATAGCTAGCAGCCATCATGGAAATACCATAGTAACCTGCATATCCGATCGAGTACATGGGGTGAGGAGCCATTTCGAAGACACCGTCAAAGGTCAAGTCTTGATCGATGAGATAGAAGAAGTCTCCCCAATACCAGGCAAAGTCTTTCACAACACGGTGGGCGTCGAGTTTCACCCAGAGATTGAAGCCGATTAGGGCGACGCCAACGGCCCAGCGGGAGAAACCAATCAAAGGATTCTCTCCTTCAGGAGTGTGGCCACAGACGATGGCGAACAGGCAGTACGACACAAAATCACACATGAGGATCAAATCAACAACCCTTCGGAAGACCAACCAAGTGTTGTACTCAATGGGGGCCTTCTCGAATTCATAGTCCTCCGGGATCTTTGTCTCGAGCTCGTTCTTTAGTAGCTTGTAGAGCCATGGTCGCGGGTTTTTGCCTGTTGAAGGATTCTCGAAGAGCTTCCAGCGCCGAGCCCAAGTGACAAGACGCCGGTGATTTGACTGAATCTGGAGGAGTACACCAATGCCGATGTTGTAACAAGCTCGCCAGAACAGGAAGACAGCAGCGAAAACAATACGTTTTGAGCTAGATGGGAGGAAATAAGCAGCCAGTATGTGAAGACCCAAAATTGTCAAGACAATTGCATCAGAAAGGTTCTTGGGTTGTCGAGGATCCAAAAGCTGAGAAACCATATCATGGGTTGTGGGTACGATAAAGACTACATGTGACAGTCAGCCAAAGACGCCCCGACGCAACACACCACCACAGCCTTAATGGAATGTACATACCTGTGCCGTCTGGGGTTCGACCATACGTCTTACTAGACGTATCAGATGGGACAGGCACATCAGATGACTGGCGACTATGCCCTTGTTCTGCTTGAGGCTTGTCCTGCTGGGCAGGAGGATCAACCCCAGATTGCCGTTGCCGAAGCCCAGGGCCGGTGGCAGGCAGATCGGCGGCAGTACTCATGACTGGCGACGATTCAGCAGAGAGAGCGTGGTACGATGGCGACAAGTGGTATCCAAGAAAGACGGCGACGAACTGGCAAGTTGAATGCCAAAAGGAGAATAAGAACGAAGGTTGAAATTGAAAGAAAGATGAGAGAGACCGGAATGGAAGAAGTTAACAGTCGGCTGTTGGGAGGGTTGCGGCGGGAGTTTGAAACGACGTCAGGGCTCCGCTGGCTTAGACGTTAGGGACGGGGTCACCTGGTTCAGAGCTATCAATCGCTGGACCGGCTGTTTAAGCCCTGGTTTAAAGCTAGTTCCTGGTCTAGCTCTGGGTCTGGGTCTGGAGCTGCGGCTCCATAAGTCAAAGAGAGGAGCGATTTAGCAGGGGATTGAGTGTCGATTTCCAGTGAGTGTTGGAGAATGAGAGCAGCATGCATGAAGCTACTGATTGGTGCGAGGTCTGAAAGCGGCGTATGAGAAGATGCTGTTTGAGCCCGTTTGATGGAACAGTAATTCATTGTGCAAGTGGAAGAAATGATGACGAGAAAAGAGAGAATGACGAATTCGACGAGAAGTTGTTGGGAAGTGTCCAGTTCGTGAAACCAGGCCAGCTTCACCTTCCGTCCCGTTCAAACGAACATGTGCAATTAACAGGGCCAGTCACGGTCTTGCCTCTCTACAGTGCATTGAGGCTTGAATGGGGGCGTCCATTTTGCATTTGCGCCGCGACAAGAGCGCTAAACCCACTGTGATTACCGGGCTACTTCCATCAAGTGTGCGCGGGGCTACGGTAGCATGGCCGAAAGTGACGGTACGGCGGGGACTCTGAGCTTCCATCATCTTCCCCCACTCGTTGAGTCGCGTGCTTTATTTCTTTGGTTATAGTATCTTGAGAACCACAGCAACAAAGAATGGTATTACTGAAATCAGCAATTGTCTATAACTTTATTGCTAGAACGAACCAATCAATGATTTCTGTCTACTCCAAGCGGTTTTGTAAAACCTAGGGTAAAGACTCTTTCCACCGATTCTACCCGTTTGCCATGCCGCTCCCTCATGGACTCTAACCGGTGTCCGGCTCCGTGATGGAGGACGCCTCCCGATAGGTACCACGGCGAGAAACCCCACAACGGGGTGGGGGCATCGGAAGCGAGTTGCTCTACCTCTTCTGAGCTCTCACTCTGAAAGTGGACGATCTGATGCGTGGCTTTTCTCCGTAGAACCCTCATTTCTTTCACTCGGATAGTCAATAAACCCTGGTCTTTAATTAGTCTAAGCGTGGGGTACAATCACATGCAAATCTGGCTGAAGTAAAAAACGACAAATCATCCCAGACAATTTCTCCCAACAAAATGGAAAATTAGAACTGTTTCTAGGGTCTTACTATTACAGCTATTGCAAGGGGTTAAAGCGGTAGTTTATTTAGGTGCTTTTTCATGGACAAAAACACCTAAGCAAAGGGAGACTCAAGAAGCATGGCGAGACAAGGATACAAGAACAGGGAACAAACACAACACGATGAGCATGTTTCCTCGCAGAAAGCTGTCAGAGAAGTGACGGCTTCTCCTCAAGCCAGAGTATGCCCAAGTGATGCGAACGGCGGAGTTGAACTGTAAGCTCTTATATGATAAAGTTCAGAGCAAAAAACTATTATCTCGGACCTGGACTTTTCTCAGTTGAACCATTTTCTTAGTGCAGGGGCTCTTTCTAGGACCGTCCCCGAAGGCAAAGTGATTTGGTTATTCTTGTTATATAAACGCTCCCTCTACTCGGTTTCGGCTTACACAGGAGAGACGCTGAGGAGATGGCTCTCCAACACTCACGTTAAAACACCCTCGTTACGGACTCGATGCGTAATAAATAGGTGCCTGTCCATCGGAACTTTACAAATGAATTGAGATGTTCTTCATGTTTTCTAGACTGATCACAAGACCTTCATTCTGAATCAGGAATATCTGTGAAACAAGCATGGAATATCCGCCCTAGTCACGAAATATTCAGGGTCTCGAACTACACGACCCTTGCTCTACAAGCTAGTCAAATCTGTTGAGATGAAAAAAGACCAATCGTCACTATGTTCGTGGCCTTTTCTAATTCCTATAAGGGAAACCCGAAAGAGCCCCGTTGGCATGTAAATGCACGAGTTATATCCCGCATTGTCTGACCCTTGCTTGTTTGCGACTGAGCTAACCTCGTGTCTTAGAAGCCTCGGGTTGACAACCGGTTAATATGGGATGAGGATATTTATTTATCTTTAGTTTTCTATTTGATTCCATGATAGAATACACAGCCTAATCCTCTATTGAACAATCTTTCTTCATCCTGAAAATCACGGGCTCAGAATGGTTGGTCATTCCACCAGTCTAAGGCTTCTCCTTCATCTCTCAGCGGAGGAGAGGAATTTTACCCAGATTTTGAGCATTATCCAGCGGTATTACTAAGATAGAATATGTAAAGAAGCCATAGACTATCTGGAAACACTGTTCTTTTGACATTGACCAATGTTTTGTCTGTTCATGGTCTACTGTCACTAAATAACCTCACAATAGAGCTGCCAGATCGAGAGGCAAGTATGTTAAGAAGTCTAAACTACTGAATGTATGAATCGATATCCACATATTCTGAGATTATGGTAGGCTTTCATTTGTCAAGACCTTGCATTGATGCTTACCAGAGAGACGAAGAATGACCAATAGTACTCTTTCTACCATAAGATATCACCATAGGACCCCCTTTCTTAGCAGTATTTAACATCAAATTTTCTATCGCAAATCCTATATCTTGTTGTCCTGAGTTTGACGAATACTTGTATACTTAGCGAGCGGATGTCATACGAAGGCGCTGGATCTCGGTTGACTTGGCTATCACTGGAGCTGAGCAACACTATGAAGCTACACTCTCCAGTGCAATATTGAATCCCGCCCATGATCAAGCCGTTCCACCAGATAACAGACATTTACTATGCTAATCATGCTACAGATAGCCAGACCAAATCCGTGGCAAGCATTTGATATATTGTCATACGTGCTCATTTGTGAGTTTATAGCCCACCTACAATTATCTATTCAATGACGACCCTGATATGCACAGGAACGACACCTGTTTTGTATGAGAAAAGAATAGTCAAAGCTTCAGTCTGAAAGACGGCTCGTCACTGTATCCTCTCAACCCCTATCAAGTTACCGTCTAAGCGTATGCTGCCCAGTCTCAGAAACCACTCATTTAATAGATCTTGATAAGCGCTGTCTTCCCCTATCTTCACATCATACCTCATATCACAAAAAGACCAGAGTTCACTTTTGTCCCACTCCAGACCCCATATCCTAAGGGCCATGAAATTCATGAGGTTGAAAAAAAATATCTTTTGAAAAATCCCCGCAACCGATCGATGCAATTACCGTGCGTGACAACTAACCCATGACAAGATCGAAACATCATCAGCCTTACTGAGCCTTCTTGGCAAACTCCACCCGCAGAATGAGATGCTTGAAACCAAATCCGTCCATCTTCGCACAAGCCTTGACGGCATCGCCCCGATCCGCGAAGCTGATGAACGCAAAGCCCTTGGCCATACCGGTTTCCCGGTCCTTGGCAAGGAATACTCGGGTGACGCGGCCGAAGCGCTCGAACATGTCGCGCAGCTCTTGCTCCTCTGCCATCTCGGAGACCTGGATGTTGTTAGTATGAATATGTAGAGGGGCGGCATGACGGCACTTACGTTGGTGACACGCAGTGTAGCAAAGTCGTCCCTCTCGCCGAACTTGGATCCCATTCTCTCGCCAGCTCCCCTGTCTCCACGCAGAGCAGGAGGAACATATGAACCCTTCTTGGCACCAGCAGCGCCCGCACCAGCAGCAGAGGGCTCGTCTCCCATACCAGCAGCAACGTCCGCAGCGCCGGTCTCTCCGATGGGCGCCATGGTATCCTTGTAAGGACACCTGGCAGTGAAATGCTGACCGTTGCAGATACGGCACTTGACCTGCTTGTCCTTGAGCTTGTCCTTCATGGACTGGGCGTTGGCGTCGGCGGACTCATCCTTCTCGGCCTTTCGCCAGTTGACGCTTGGTCGGAAGATGATGTTCTCGCCGACGGAGGTGGTGTCGGGGGCAGGGCCGGGAGGATCCTTTGCGCTGAGGCCGAACTTGGGCCAGGTTTTTCGGTCGGCGACGCGGGGGTTTACGGTCTCGGTGTGGGTGGTGAAGCGAATTCGGCGGGTGGTCTTGACCTTTCGGCCGTCGTCATCGTAACGGAATGTGATGATGGTCTTTGTTCCATCCTTGTTGGAGATGGTCTGAGGCTCGGGGAGATCGGTGGAGGTCTCCTCGATATCGTCGTCGTCGGCCCAGTCGTGCCTGTTTTTGAATGGTGGGGTTAGTCAAAGGATATCGATACAACACCCCAGTCAAGGAGAGCAGAGCAACTCACTTGGGCTGGTTCGCTACGGCGGCAGCCATTTTGAATCGAGCGAATCCGTGCGATTTGTTCGGGAATTCTGTGTAGGTCTCGCGGTGCCGTAGGGATGCGTCGTCGTGGCTCGTCCAGGCGTCACTTCGTGATCGTGGGGTTTTAGTGATGGTTGAATTTATTCACTTTTTCGTGGTGCGGCGGTTTGAGCAGTGGTGGGGCAGAAGTCAAGCCACAGCTGCTCGAGGCGATGGATGGTCGAATCACATGATGTGCACTAGCCACAGGGCCAACTTTATCCGATCCGGCCGTCGAAAGCATGAATTGATGATTAACGGTGTAATTCGGTTACGTTACTCTGAGGGATCTCAACCTGAGGCTCGATAGTTTTGTTACGTGGGATCATGCCATCGACAGAATTTGAATTGAACCATCATGGAGATTGCCACTGGTTAAACGGAAAAGCGGCATGAGAGGATTCGAACACGGAAGAGGGATGTGTGGCGCAGCTGAACTCGTGCAACAAGTTGAATTCGGGGTTTGTTTCAGAGCCGCATTTGAAGCAAATACTCACTCGTATAAAATGATTTGATAAGAGCCAAAACGATTATTCGACATGTGTTAAAAACCTGACACAAATCTGTGACTCGGTAAATATCCTTGAAAGGGTCTTCTCGTTGGAAGATGAGATGAACTTCCATGTCAGAAACGCCAAGGGACAGGCGCTCGAATCTATCGAGCCAAGCGTGGCGCAGCTGAAAGAGAGTCCAATCCGGTCCACGTAATGGAGCAACGCGGTCTCTGTGGCGCTCGGAAGCGCGCTGAGGCCATGTGAGAGGATACGGGGACCGGGGAGAAGAGGAGGGAGGGAGCTTGAGACTGACTTTGGCACCAACGCCAAAAACCAATCTACTACGAGTGGCTTTGGGCACTTCTCCTCACTATCCGAGGCCGTTGTCTTTTCCCTTTTGTATTCCTTCACATCCACTTTCTCTCTTTCACTCTTCCATTCACATCTTCACTTCTTCATTATTTCTCTTGGCGATCGCTAATTCTTTCGCCCATATATCTCGATAGCTTTGCGCGCGATACCCCAAATCTACTACCTCCTTTTCTGTCGCAAACAATCACACCATGGCTTTTAAGCAAGAAGAACCTCCCGCCTACGGTCCTCCCCCAGGTGCCCCTCAGCCTACATACGGCGGCTACCAACAAGACCCATACGGCCAGCAGCAAGGTCAATTCCAACAGGGCGGCCAGCAGCAAGGCTACTATCAACAAGGTCCTCCTCAGATGGGCTACTACAACCAGCAACAAGGTCCCTTTCCCGCTGGTCAGGGTCCCTATCCTCCTCAACAAGGCCCCTACGGACAGCCTCCCCCTCAGGGCTACTATCCCCAAGATGATCAGAGAGGAGGCGGTGGTGCTGGTGGCGGTATCATGACTGGTCTTCTCGCTGGTCTGGCGTGCTGCTGCTGTCTGGACTGCCTCTTCTAAATGCCGATTCACTGCGACTCGATACCACCGCCAATAGCGGACATGCAGACAAATGGAGGGATCGGAAGCGCAGCGTGGCGCATCAGCAAATGGAAATGGTTTCCTGTTTCACGGCGTTGGGGATCATTTGACTATAGAGCTCTGATTCTATGTTATGTGTTTCTTTGTTTTCTTGATAAAGTACGACTTATAATTTCATAATATTCAGTCTCAATACGTATATTTGTCCCTAGGTGTGAATGCCAAGCCAAAACTGATATGATACTATACTGCGGCAAAGGCTGTCTCAAACTCGGACCTAACCTTTGCGACACAATCATTTGTGTAAATCATCTTTTGTACATCCGGCGATGTCCACTTATCAGGAACCGAACCACTCGTCTTGTGCTCCTTGAACATCCTATCTCTCTCCTCCTTTGCTTTTCCTTCGCCCAGATGCAGTGTTCGACCAGACAGATATGCCATTTCGACCAGATTCGAGGTCCATTCCTTTCGAGATTGCTCATACACCTTTAAGCACTTGGCAATAGTCTCGGGCCGAGTGTCGGGGGCAAGGGACAGAACCTCGGCGATTGTTGAACCGTCCTCAATAGCCATTGCAGCTCCTTGGCTAAGATGGGGGAGCGTTGGATGACAAGCGTCTCCTAACAATGCTACTGATCCTTGAGTCCATGTAGGCAATGGCTTGTACATCCTTAGTCGCCACTCGCAGACTTCTCCTTCAGGGACCAGGTTGAGCATCTTCTGTACAAGAGGACAGAATGTCTCAAACACTTCCAACATAACTTTCTTAGATCCCTTGGTTGTGTATGTGATAGAAGGAGCGGATGCAAAGTTGTCATCTGGCTGGACAGTTGAAAGGTTGTAAATGGATTTATTGGCGATTGAGTATGCGATGATGTGTCGCTTCTCCCCCACCCATCTTACAACCTCGTCGCTATCAATGAGAGCCAGTAATTCAGGATCATGAGCCATATCTTCTCGCTTGAGCATGATACGATAAGCAGCTTGACCGGTTTCGGCCTCTTCAGGCGTGGCGTTGACTTGTTGGAGGAGCTGAGATCGAGTCACACTCTTGATGCCGTCTGCGCCGAGAAGGATATCAGCTTCACGGGTGAATGCCTCCCCATCTCTGGGCTGGAGCTTGAAGGTAACTTTAGGAGCGAAGCTCTCAACTTCGACCAAGCTCGTTGCGAATTGAAAGGTAATGGCGCTCTCTTTCTTGCAAGCTTCGTATAGATGACCAGCTAAGGAAGCTCGATGGCCACAGAGGTGCGAGAAACCGTATTTTCCCTTGATATCGGGCATATCAACATGAGCCAGCTCAACATTAGTTGCCCCCTCTGTAAAACGTCAGTATATGCTCCAAAGTCTTGGGATATGTAGACTTACGTCGAATACTGCTACCCGCTACACAAGTAGCTTCCTTCTCAATATCATCCCAGCACCCTAACCTATCAAGGATTCTCCCCATGTTTGGAGCCATTTGAATACCAGCTCCTACAAAACCAAGGCTACTGGCAGTCTCATAAACATCAATGTGCTTGAAACCTCGTTTGGCTAGAGCTAGGGCAGCTCCTAGTCCGCCCATGCCGGCGCCCATGATGGCGATTTGCAAGTCCTTGGTGGTAGCCATGATGTTCAAGCCAATTGAATCTTTGTGAGGCCAATGGAAAGGATGATATTAAAGATACAGACTTGGCATTTTGAGAAGTCGTTGAGACTTATATATATATTTAGTCCAATAACGGTTGTTCCTTTATCCGATCTCGTTCATATCGTTACCATCCCGAATCAAATGCCGGTGCGGGGCCCCGAGCGGATGTACGCATCTCAATGGAGCTTGATCGATATATGTACGAGCCCGAAAAAGGCCTCTTCACAAACAACTAATTACATATAGAAACGAAGAAATTCAAGTGTTTTTTTGTTTTATTTCCTTGTTCGGATCGTGCTAAGCTCCTATATCGGCGCAGATAATTCATATTATTCAGCGTCTGTAGAATCTGGGGTTCTCCGGTGTCGTCATCAATACACTTTGGCACATGTTTAAGCCATAAGCACTATCATGTGCTCTTCTTTTTGTTGACTAAAATCTTAGACTTTTGTAACGATGCATTGGATAACGTGTCTTTGCGGGAGTGTTTCTCGGCATGCGGGAGAGACTTCGGAGACCGAAATGGCCTTTGGTCTTCCTCTCTGTCACTGCAATGTCTGCCGTTATTCGACTGGCTTGCTTTTCACGTCCTATCTTCCGACCGAAAAACCGAGATCTTTTGAGGGATTGAGTGTCTTTAAAGGAGCCGACAGCTCATGTCGGTATTTCTGCTCGATATGTGGCTGCCATGTATATCAATCACACAAAGATCAAGACGGCGAGTTGAGGTGGGGAGTGGCTACAGGTGTTATCACAAGAAGCGGTGATTCAAGTGCGAGAGTGAGTTATACGGCGCATCAAAAAGTTGATGATGCCATCGATGGAGGTGCTTCGATATGGCTTCCTCTTGAGGTACAGCAGAATCCCTCCAACCGCTCACATTCGGGATCATTTACACCAAAATCGATGCATCTCGATGCACTCTGTGCGTGTGAAGCTATACATCTTCGCATCACACGCCCAAACGAGGCGAGCTATCTACCGCATCGCGCATACCCTGACCTAATGTATCCTTACTGTTCTACTGATGAGTCTATCACGTCAAACCCATCAGACGAGAAGTGGTGGATCAAGGGAGACAAATATCTCGCTGGAACCTGCATCTGTGAATCTTGTCGTCGAGCATCTGGTTTCGAAATACAGACCTGGGCCTTTATCCCCCGAGCGAACATATTCATCCCTTCTACAGATGGCTCAGGATCAGAGGTTGCATTGGACTTTGAGAGCTTACCGACGGGTGCTCTGAAGTCGTATCAATCTTCGCAGGGGGCAGTTCGTCACTTCTGCGGTGGATGCGGCGCAACTGTGTTTTGGCGAGATGCTACTGATTCAAGTGTAGTTGACGTGAGTGTAGGAATATTTCGTGCTGATGAAGGAGCTAGAGCCGAGAACTGGTTTCATTGGCACAAGAGCCGTATAAGTTTCGCGGAAGAAGTGCAGAATCATCGATCTGGTCCCCTGGCTATAGCAGCCCAGGGTTTATTGGGTACTCTTTCAATGGGCCTGAAGGGAAGCTCTGAAGGTGGACTAGACTGATCATATTTCATAATCTTAAGTGAAGATCTTATGATAACGGCTGAGATTCCGCTTAAAGAAACCGTTGTTTCCTATAAAAACGGCCGTTAAATGTTGCAACGGCTAGGATCGACGTTTCGAAACAGTGTTGCATGAACAATAGGTCAGAGGTAAACAGCAATAAAGCCGAGAAGAATTCAAGTACAAAATTCTTCCAACACAGCACTGCACTAGAATAAAGTCATGAAGCTAATTAAGCTTATTTACTCTATTTTGTCTAGCCTCATCATATTTCCCTCACTATCATAACATGTCTGTCATGAATAGGACAACTCTACATACGATAAACATGCCCGCTAACAGAACCCCCCCCGAAATCTTAATCCCTGTCCCACCCAATAGAACTACACCTTTGCAACACGAGCATCGTTTCACAAAAGTGCTCGGTGTAGAATTCGATGTCGCTCTCGACCAAATTGGCAGGACATTTCAGCTATTACCATCCATCGGCATAAGTGACCAATTGAGCGTAGCACGTGCCTTGAGCGAGGATCATATAAAAAAGGATGGAAGGCAAAAGTAGAGACTGCTCCTTTCTGCAGAGGAAGAGTATTCTGGCAATCATGGTTGGTTCAAGTCTCGTTGGCCTATTGGCTGTTGTTTTTCAGATATGTTTCGTCAAGGCGGTGGACGTAGACGTTGCTGTTTCTGCTTACACCGGCGAAGTTGAGTCTGATTGGACTGCTGTTTACTACTCTGATCGGAATCCTCTATTGATTGGAAACGATGGCGGTCCTGATGAGGGAGGGTTTCACGTCTATGATCTCAATTCAAAGGCTCCGTTGAAAGAAGTCGCTGCGAAAACACCTGGACGCAGCAAGCTTGTCACCACTGTTTACGATGTCAACAAGAAGGATATCCTCGTCACTATCGCTCAGCCAGATTCTATCGTCCGTGTGTATGAGATGCCAAAGTTTGAGCAGATCAAGGATGCAGACTTTAAAGTTCTAGGAGATTGGTCTGCGCTGTGCAGCTGGAAGAGTCCTGCTGGGAACGATTATGTCTACTTGTTTGGAAAAGGACAGGCAGCTCAACTACTCCTTCAGGAGACAAAGAAGTCATTTGAGTTTGTCCAGGTATGGTCCCTTCTAACAGAAACCGATAATGTTTGCTAACTTGCTAGATTCAAACTTTCCCTACTGACTTCGAAACATCGGGATGTGCCGTTTCACGCTCCGAGTCTCGCATGTACATCTCTACAGATGACGACAAGAGCGTTTATGCATTTTCACTCAAAGAGTCTACAAAGGCACCCAAGATCACCAAGGTTGGCAAGGTAGAAGATGATGTTACTGGCTTGGCCGTCTACGTTCCCAAGAAGGGCTCAGACTACTTATTTGTCGCTCAAACAGACAAAATCACTGTCTACGATTCCTCTTTCAAGCTCAAGGGCACACTATCTTTGACCGGACAAAAAGACATTGAAGTGCAGGGTCTGAACATCTATCAAGGTGCTACGAGCAAGTATCCTGCTGGTGCTCTGACATACGCCATTGAGTCAGAGGACGTTAACGGTTTCGCCGTCTCATCTCTTGAGAACGCTTTGAAGAATCTCAAGATTAAGGCCAACACCAAGTACGACCCCAGAAAGGTCAAGACAGACACCAAGACTGAGCCCATTTGCAAGACTTGTGGAGGCAACGGTTACTGCATTAAGGATAAGAAGAATAAATGCGAGTGCTTTGCTGGTTTTGCTGGAAGTACCTGCAGCAGCTTCACATGCACCGACAAGTGTTCCGGTCATGGAAAGTGTGTTGGACCTAATGAATGCAAATGCGACAAGGGATGGGGTGGTCTTCACTGCTCGTTTCTTCTCGTTGAGCCAACCTATGAGACTGAATCTCGTCTTGGTGATGGTGACGATCCCGCAATCTGGATCTCTCCTGATGGACCGGAAAAGTCTCGAATTGTCACGACGATGAAGTCTGGAAAAGAAGCTGGTCTTGGCGTTTTCGACTTGGCTGGTAATCTTCTTCAGACTTTCACAGCTGGTGAACCTAATAACGTCGATATGATCTATGGTTTCAAGGCGGGCGATCGAAAGGTTGATTTGGCTTTTGCTGCGTGTCGAGCTGATGATACACTCTGGTATGTTACATCTGTTCTGTTGTGAGAAGTTAGCTGACAACCAAGTCTTTTCGAAATGCTGCCCAACGGCACACTGACCAATATCCCCGGCGGCATTCATCCTGTTGTCGACGACTACAAGGTCTACGGCTCGTGCACCTACAAGTCACCCAAGACAGGAAAGCAATATCTCTTCGTCAACGAGAAATCCGCACGATATCTCCAGTACGAACTCACTTCCACATCTAAAGGAGAACTCCAGACAAAGCTTGTCCGAGAGTTCCAAGGCGGTAGCGGAGGCCAAGTCGAGGGCTGTGTGGCCGACGAGGAGAACGGCTGGGTCTTCCTCGGCGAAGAACCCTCTGCCCTGTGGCGATACGATGCAGAGCCCGATTCAAAAGACAAGGGTGTGGTAATCGGCAAAGTCGGCGATGGGAAACTCTACGGCGACGTTGAAGGCGTAACCCTCGTCTACGGCTCCAAGCCCACGGAGGGTTTCATCCTAGTGTCATGTCAAGGCGTCAGCGCATACAACGTCTACCGCCGAGCTTCTCCTCACGAGTACGTTACCACCTTTACACTCGTAGAGTCATCAGACGGACAGATCGATCCCGTGTCCAACACAGACGGCATAACGGCCGTGGGAACGGCGCTGAACAAGGATTTCCCACATGGTTTGGTGGTTGTGCATGATGATGCGAACCAACTGCCCAATGGCAAGACCAGTGCTGAGGCGAGCTTCAAGTTGGTCAGTCTTGAGAAGATACTGGGGTCCAAGGTGTTGGGGAAGAAGGGCTTGTTGGATCAGGTGGATAAGAACTGGGATCCTAGGAAGTGAAGAACTCATAGAGCAGTTAGTGGACTTTGCCTAGTTGAAGTTGCGTCTCTTTGAGAGGTCAAAGTGCTATCACCCCTGAGTCTATTGAGGCCCATTTTGAGTCAACCGAGGACCTTCTCAGCGTCTCATAACAAAGAACGCAACACGAACATTTACATGTGTTCTAATAAGGCTTTGATCGTCGCCGCAGAGGCTACTCATGTGCCTGTGATGTTGAGTGGTCACATAGGAGTGGCGTTTACAAGATGCGGGACAGTCTCGACACTCTTCCACCGTCAGTGCTTCTCCTATCTCTTCTAAGTCTCTCATAAGTATCAAGAATATGAACTTTTGGATCCACTACATTTGATAGATAATTGTTTGCTGCCATGGGTGGACGCCGCAATGCTTGACACTGGCAGACGGGACCAGGATGTCAAGTACCTGCGTCGTCAGATATCAGCACAGACATTGTTGTTTTATTGACTGTGTATAGATGATAAGCTATCACTGTGCTATCAATCTGTGAAAACTGCCGATGAACTTGTGATATCTTGAAGTTCGATATGTGGTAACTAATGAGATCACCCCTTAACCTGATATCACAGTCATCACATAACCACAGCAAATACAACTTAAACTAAACTTAGTATTTTTCTTTTTCGAACACTTTCAAACTCTTTCAAAGCCACTTCTCAAAGAGAAAGTAGGTTTGTTTCCTCTCTTCTCACCGTTTGTAGGCTACAGCCGCCCCCTTACCCTTTTTGGGTGTCAATAGAACCTCACTAAGCACTGACAGATGTCAATAGCCAAATATCCCGCCAACTCGCATGAACCAACGTTTATCCCGCCCGCCAAGATTAATCTCCTCGTGCATTCGCGTCTGGCAAGTAAAAAGCGAGGTGAATGAGTTGGAATTGTCACATATCGTTAAGCTAAGAGTAGTTTAGATGATAGTCTACACAATGACACCTGAGAGTAAGCCGCAGAGCTACTCACACTCTCTTGGAGAAAGCTTTGATATCTTTTGCATACATCTCGTGGCTTGTACCACCTTTGATCGTCTCCTGGGTCTATTAGGAATAGAAATCTCGCATTGACTGTTACTGTTCAAACCGAAGAGCGGAGGGGCTTATTGACCCCGCAAAGCGTCAATAGACCTCAATAGAAGCCTTACAACACCACAACCAGAGCAAGTGTGTGTATGCACGGGCAAATTCCCTTTCTCTCATAATGGCCAACTTCTCAATCTTTATCAAGAACATTGACCTCGAAATCTATAAAAAAACTACTCAATTCCATCATAAATACTCTCCTTTTTCTCTCTTCAGACTCGTTCCCATCGAAAGAAGGATAACGATATCTCAAAAACCTTTTGATACACGACAACTCTTTTACGAGTACCACTCACTTTTTTAACAACTTTTACACTTCGAAACACTCACTACTGAGACACAACCTCCCGGGATGAAATACTCCTTCGTTACTCTGGCCGCGGTGGCCGGAGCCGCACTCGCGGCGCCTCCGCCGTCCGCCATCGACAACTTTGGCCCAGATTTCTTCACCCCTTTCTGCAACCTCGACTACAAGGGCAAGCCATGCGAGGAGCTCGTTGGGAAGGGCGACAAGAATGCCGATGCCATCTGCAAGGCTGGCCGTGAGCACTTCTGCGGTCCTCAGAAGCGTGATGCCGTTCCTGAGCCTCAGCCCGACCCCGTCGCTGATCCGATGCCCTGGTGTACTTGGCGCGGACAGCCCTGTTGGAAGGAGAAGATGAAGGCTAAGCGCGAGGCTATCCCCGAGCCTGTTGCAGCTCCTCAACCCGATCCCGTTGCCGACCCCATGCCGTGGTGCACTTGGCGTGGCCAGCCATGCTGGAAGGAAAAGATGAAGGCCAAGCGTGAAGCTGAAGCTATTCCCGAGCCCATCGCTGCTCCCAAGCCTGATCCCGTTGCTGAGCCTATGCCCTGGTGTACCTGGCGTGGTCAGCCATGCTGGAAGGAGAAGATGGCCAAACGCGAGGCTATCCCTGAACCAGTTGCTGCTCCCCAACCCGACCCTGTCGCCGACCCCATGCCCTGGTGCACCTGGAGAGGCCAACCCTGCTGGAAGGAGAAGATGGCTAAGCGTGAGGCTATTGCCGAACCCGTTGCCGCTCCTCAGCCCGATCCTGTCGCTGAACCTATGCCCTGGTGTACTTGGCGAGGTCAGCCTTGCTGGAAGGAGAAGATGAGAATGGCCAAGCGAGAGCCTGAGCCCGTTGCTGCCCCTCAACCTGATCCTGTTGCTGAGCCTATGCCGTGGTGTACCTGGCGCGGACAACCTTGTTGGAAGGAGAAGATGAGAATGGCTAAACGTGAGGCTATCCCCGAGCCCGTCGCTGCTCCCAAGCCTGATCCCGTTGCTGAGCCTATGCCCTGGTGCACATGGCGCGGACAACCCTGCTGGAAGAAGACCAAGCGTGCCGCTGCCCCTGAACCCGCTCCCGAGGCTGAGAACGAACCTAGATGGTGCTTGTGGCGAGGTCAGCCGTGCTGGAAGAAGACCAAGCGTGATGCTACCCCTGAGCCTTGGTGCTTGTGGCGTGGCCAGCCCTGCTGGAAGGCTAAGCGCGACGCTGCTCCCGAGCCCTGGTGTATGTGGCGAGGACAGCCATGCTGGAAGGCCAAGCGTGATGCCGGTCAAGCTCTCTCCAACGCCCTCCACGCAACTCGATCCCTCGACACCCGATCCGCCGACGCACCCAGCACCGCTCATCTTCCCCGCGACGCCGCCCACAAGGCCAAGCGCTCCATCGTCGAGCTCGCCAACCTGATCGCCCTCTCTGCGCGTGGTAGTCCCGAGGAGTACTTCAAGAGCCTCGAGCTTGAAACCTTCTTCCCCGATGCTGCCCCCAACGCTACCGCCAAGCGCGATCTCAACACTCTTCAGGAGGATAAGCGCTGGTGCATGTGGCGAGGACAACCTTGCTGGAAGGCCAAGCGCGCTGCTGAGGCAGTTCTCGATGCCGTCGATGGCGATGATGGTGCTACTGGTCCTGGAGGTCCCGACTCTCACTACGATACTCGGGACTTTAAGTCTGAGAACTTTGCGGCTAAGCGAGATCTCATTGCCATCAAGGCAGCAGCTCGTAGCATTGCCGACATGTCCGAGGAATAAGTAAGCTCCACATCATATTCTCATATCGAGCATCTTCTAACATCTTCAGGTGTCGATGACTTTGAATCCGATCGTTTGCTTCTACAGTACATCGGTGATATTTTTGTCACTCTTTTTTTACCTGCGAAAATTAGCAAAAAATACGCTCGAAGAAATAACAGAGACAAAATGAACAGATGGATATGGCCATGCGGGGGGACGAGTTCCTCTTTTCTCTTCTCTGCAGCTTAATATTGCTGTACTTTATTTCTGGATAACGGTAGTGGATGATTTGAGTCTGCTGCTTTTTTTTATGCGATTCTGCTTTTGGCATGAGTCGATAGGCATGGCTAGGATAGCTCGAAATAGTTCCTCGAATTCAGCTGATTGTCTCAATATTCTTGATTCTTGTGTTGTGTAGCATAGCAAGCATAAGTCTTCGATAGCGACGAAGTGCAGAGTTTGACAGTCTTGACTGGACCTGGGAGCTCTATGACAGCCAACCAACATTTGTCAGAAGGGTAGAGTGCAGATTCTTCAACCTCGTTGCCTTTGAACGAACAATATCAAGACATAACAAATCGTAGCGTCGTAAGTACAGTGCATTCATTGTTGGATGCAGTGTCATCTGCAGCACGAGTAGATCTTATGCTGATTGATCATTCTTCAGCGTCGTTACAGTCGAGCACTCTTAAACATTCACAGACCCTGACTCCCATCAGCAGGTCATTTATCACAAGTAGATATTACATCAAAGTAAAAGTATGTACGTTCAATCATTGCGCTCCTCCCCATCGTCGAGGGAAGCACCGCACCCAAGATTGTTCGCTTTTCTCTCCATTCTGTGTTCCTCTGAATCGGTGGTCTTGGGCGCAGGTCTTTCGACGCACCTCGCATCAATTATATGTAGAGAAACATGAACGTGGTTTTTTGCGTTGTTCAATATTTGAATTGGAGAGAAGAGAGAAAGAAAACTGAAATAAAAATTCGAGATTTTTCTTTTTCTACGCGTCGTGAGGATAGTGGGGCCAATGCTTTGGTGCCTTAATGCCTGGTGCGCAAGGCTGCCATTTTGAGCCCTCAAGATACCCTGGAGACGAGAGAAGTTGAAGGGCTTCTATGAATTTACCGAAAACTTATCACCAATTGCGAGAACTACAAACATTCTGTATAACTTCCTATGATAATTATCAATTTCAAGCTACCTTACATTGAGGCTAAAACTACTACCTCGATAGTTCTTTCCAACATCTTTTTCGATATACCGTACCTTCCTCGAAGCGACCTAGGTACCTACTCTAGTACACAATAACAGCGCCTCCTCCATCTCTCGACCTCCAACAACCTCTTTCTCTGCTTCTCTCAAATGAACACCATTCTCGCCCAAGATGATGAGGAGTTATCCCTTCCCTCCTGGGATCCCGTCTATGAACACACCTCCTCTGCCATCTTCGCATAATGGACAACCTCGCCGGTTGCTCACTCCAGAGCCACCTCAGCGTGGAACGGAGAAGGCAAACAGCCCATTTTTTCAACTACTTCCTACCGAAATCCGCACGAGAATTCTGCGCCTTGCATTCGGCGACCGCGTCATTCACGTGGATCTCATTTATAGGTTTCCAATCTTCCCCGACTCTAAGCGTCATGTTGGTCTTCGACAACTGCCATAGTATGGCACTACTTCTCACCAGAACTGCCTCATGTATCCCGGTCCCCTTGTCATTGACTGGGATAAGCAAGAGGAAGAGGGCTGGAAAAAGGACTGGAGATGGCAAAGTTCAGTCTGCCATCGATTTCCGCCTTCTGGTATCACAGACTCGCGCGGACCAGGGTACGATCCTCAGCCATGCGACGATGAATGCGTCTATGGATGGAACGGCCGAAATGGCTTCCGTCCACAATGTGAGCACTGGCCTGGAGAAGGGCCAAAGAAGTGTTCCGTAGGCGCCATAGGCTGGCTACTTGCCTGTAAGCAAGCGTAGGTGCCCAGCTCTGTTTTTCATGGTATTCGCTGACACTACAATCCAGTTATCGTGAAGGGATTCACGTGCTATACGCTTCCAACACCTTTCATACAGCAAGCAAAGCGATGATTCTGAACATGCATGACTTCTTCCAACAACAGCGACTCAATGCCATCACATCTGTCGAAATTATTTGGGAGTTCACACCATGGATCCTGCCAGACATCAGTGAGGACCTTAGAGTCGCTCCCCCGCTCAGTGATATCGAGACTTTTAGGCAGTTCCTCAAAGCCATTCCCGGCCTTTTCCTAAATATCAAGAAACTCTATGTTTCCCTACAAGGAGACATGATCCCCAAGTCGCATGGACAAAACAGCGAGTATCAATACTCGACCAAGGAGCGGATCGAACTTGTGGAGGAAAACATTATCTGGAAGGTCGACGAAATGGTGCCTTACCTCAAGCCCCATGTCGACTTCTCGATCGCCTATCCTACAAGTACGTATGCTGTACAAAGAAGTCTTGCTCTTCGACAGGGCTGGACAGTGAAGCAGAGGCACGAGACTGGTGAGGTGGAGCGACACTGGAGGCCATTGGCGAAATGCAAACCTCGAACCGGCTACTGGGTCTGCTTGGGTGATAAGGATGTGAGAAGACAGAGGGCGAGGGGCATCATTGGGCATCAGCATATGCCAGCGCGTGTTTCTGAAAAGCAGTATGATGTTTTCTTTCGATCTTAGGACTCGGGTAGTGTATTGAGTGTATGGCAATTTGGAAGGAATATGGTTTAGGTTTGGGGAATCTTCGTCGGTTATATGCCAAAAGTCTCACAATGCAGGAGTGCTGCATCTCATTTCATGTAAATAAATATTAGTGTATTTTTTCATTGCTAAGTTTATGAAAAATAAATAAAGACTAGGAAGCTAAATTCGCGATAATCTAAGGCGTTCTCAGACTTTTAGAATCTAAGCAAATAATACGACAAGGCCAACCAAAACCCCAAGAGCTTGGACTGGTGACAATTTGTGGCGAAGCTCTTGTGGTATCCACAGAGAGACACGATGCAGCAAATAACGGCTCATTAAAGCTGTGCCAACTCGGCTTCGGATGCCGTGAATATTAGCACATCCATGTCTTGGACTTTTGGTGAAGAGCTGACCTGGCTAGTCGCTTGGTAGTGAGGTTATGCTTGGCGCCTCATTCTTGGTGCTTGATGCGGAGAATTCAAGCAAGTGAGAAAAGCCAAGACGTGACATTCTGCGATCGTGGCAGTGCATCCCATCATCTTTATATCGATTCTTGATTTAAACCATGATGAGTGACTCCATGCGACATATAATTCTTGTTTCTTTTCACTGTTGGCCTTGAATGATCTGATTACATACTCAACTCTACTCTACATCTCAATCATTCCAGCTCAGCTACAGCTACAGCTATAGCTGAAAGCTCCCCCTCAGCTGCCCCTCACCTCATCTCATCTCACTTCACTCCTCCATCTTCACAACGTACGTCATGGCCTCAGAACTCGCAACCCGCATCGGCGACCTCAACCCCTTCTCCTCAAAAAACCGCCGCATCGACGATGAAGACTTTGGCGAAGAGATCGACAGCAACACCGTTGCGGGCGGCGGCCACAGCGCACGTCGCATGGTAACAGACCTCAGAGTCAGCAGCGCCCTACGAGAGTTCCTCGTCAAAGAGAAGATGCTCTCCAAAAAGGAAGCCAAGATTGACTCTGAGGACTCGTCGCGTGAGCTTTTGGAACTCGTTAGCAAACCGCATATTCGCGTACCGGCTGAACTCACTGATAGGTCGCATCCGCTGCCGGAGTACTTTATTAGCTCGAGCCATAATACCTATCTTATGGCGCATCAGCTTTATGGCTCTTCGTGTGCGACTGCGTATGAGAGTGCGATTAGGACGGGGGCGAGATGTGTTGAGATTGATGCGTGGGATAACAGCGATGATAGGGACGAGCCCAAGGTCACTCATGGGTATACTCTAGTATCCCACATTTCGTTTCGTCTGGTTTGTGAGACGATTCGAAACTCGGCGGATCAAGAAGCAGTTGATGCGCAAAAGTATGGCTTCAGAGCTTCGCCTATTCTTCTGTCGCTGGAGAACCACTGCGACCCTTACGGGCAGATGCGTCTTGTCAATATTATGCAGGATGTTTTTGGAGATCGACTTTTGAGCAAGGCTGTTAGACATATCGGCCATGAAGAACAAGCTGGTTCAGATCAACATGTGAAGCTTGAGGATCTGGGTGCGAAGATTGCTGTTATTGTTGAGTATCACTTCACGGATGAGCCTTCTAGCAGTGACAGCAGCTCGGATGACTCAGAGGACGAAGAGGAGGAAAAGGCTGCGCGAAAGGAGTATAAGGATAAGAGAAAGAAGGAGGAGCCCTCTATCATCATTCCTGAGCTCGCTGAGCTGGGTGTCTATGCGCAGTCTGTCAAGCCAATGGACAACTCGTGGTTCGAAGAGGGATCTCTCGCCAACGGCCCTCATCACCATCTTATCAACGTATCTGAATCAGGGCTGGCATCTCATCTCCCAGCGCACGCAACACACATCGCGCGACACAACGCCCACCATCTCATGCGCGTTTATCCCAAGGGCACGCGAATCTCATCCACTAATCTAAAGCCCGTTCCTTATTGGGGTATCGGAGCTCAGATCTGTGCTTTGAATTTGCAAAACTTTGGTACCAGCAACCAACTCAACGAAGCTCTCTTCAGTGGTACAGACGGTTACGTTCTCAAGCCCGCTGCTCTGCGCGCCGGTGGAAACGGAAGATTGAGTACAGGTCGCAGCAAGCGTCTTCGTCTTCACGTCGCAGGTGCAACAGATATCCCCCTGCACGGCGATTCAGAAGCAGACTCCATCAAGCCGTATCTCACATGCACGCTGTACCACCCTGATAACATCAAAGGCGACCCTCCTAAGCGCAAGACAGAGCCGTACAAGCAGCACAAGCTTGAATTTCTTCACAGAGGACCAAATCCGCCCCCAACAGAGCCTCTTTGGGATGAGACTCTAACGTGGGAGTATGAGGATAATGAGTTGACTTTCCTGCGTATGCTTATCAAGAGCGATGATAGTTGGACGAGGAACCCGATGTTTGCTGTTGCGGCGGTGAGATTACTTTATGTTGAGCCTGGATGGAGATTTATTCGCATGCTGGATCTCAAGGGGCATGAGACGCAGTGTTCGGTTCTTGTGAACTTTGAGATCATTGATGCCTAGGTGGAGGATTATGAGTATATGATGAGATGTTTATGGATTATGCGATTTCTTTGTTGAGTTTGCATTTGATGTGGGCTGAGTGATAGTCTTGCTTTCGGCATGCATTCGTTCGAGATATACCTCAGCCATAGAACGAGTGATTACAATCTTTGCTTCCTCTGAATGAAAACAGCTTCGAAAGAGACTCTAGAGGAGAGTGTTGGAGTAGATTTCGTCGTGCTGCCTCTCAATCTATAGTGAGCAAATTGAATCGCTGGCATTCACAAAGTTGCCATGCGCCCAGGTTTCGTGGTCTAACGGTTATGACTGCGGATTCTGATTCCGCCAGCGAGGGTTCGACTCCCTCCGAGACCTTTCTTTTTGTGCGACTTGGCTTCTGTGAATGAAATAGGTTCTGATGGTCATCTCGCCTGGCCTGCGTGCACTATAAGCCGTACGACGCGACGAAGTCTTATTCTTTTGTCTTACCTGGCTATGAATCCGAAGCAGTCTTCTGATGCCGAACGGGGCCGGATATTGGAGTGGGTCTTGAGATCCGGCCCGGGGTTAAGAGCTGACTGGCGTTGACGGTCATGGCATATCCGGGGCTGGAGGACCGGGTAGACTTCCATAATAGGCTCATGGTATAGAATATATGAAACCATATAGTTATAAAAAACAAAGTGCCGTAATGCGTTATGAACGAAGCTATGTGTCTCATATGCTTGCGTCAGTTTAACCTAATCAAGATGTTGCCTGTTTCTGTACTACAACAATATGGACGAGACATTGGTCGATTGAAAAGACATTTATGGTATCTTGCTGCAGTATTTACATGCTCAAATCAATATTGGCCGATTACGAATGACACTCTTTGTGACGCCGCATCTCAGACGTAAGCTTAACTTCCGAATGGCTTCGGATCTAACACACGCCAATCAACGACACCTCAACTCCAAGTATAAGAAACGCCCAACGTCACCTCCAAATGCCATCCTACATTTATATCCAACTACCAACAAACCAAAACCTCTGAAGTAACTCAACATACGACAAAATGGCCATCGTAACAACACTCCTCGCACCAGTCCACCTGCTCTCCTTCTCAACTCTTCTCGGCTCTCAACTCTACCAAACCTTCATCATCACAAAAGTCACTTTCAAACACCTCCCACGAACTCCATATATCAATTTACAAAAGAACCTCTTCCCCATATTCTTCCAAGGCCAAGCTCTTCTCCTCTTCCTCACGGCCATAACACTACCTCCGTACGGTGCTCTCTCACTTATTGAGCACAAGAGCGATTGGATACCATTTGCGATATCTGGATTTGTCTCGGGGCTTAATCTTATGGTGTTTGGACCGAGGACGAGACAGTTGATGTTGGATCGTGCTGAGCAGGGTAAGTTACTTCTTTGCTTATGTCGGATAAAAGCTAACGGGATAGGGACACTGGAAGGGAAGACGGTGGAGGGGCCGAGTTCTGCGATGGAGGCTATCAAGAAGAGATTTAGGACTTCGCATGCTATGTGTATTCACTTGAACTTGATCGGTCTTGGGGCTCATCTTTGGTATACATGGAGACTGGCATCCCGCCTCGACTTTTCACTATAATGGGAGGATCACACATGTTCTTAAGCTCTTGTAAATCTTAAGTGCATTTAAAACATCCCGTATATCAGATAACCTACTTATAGCTTTTATATCTCAACTTCTGACTTTCATCTCAATTCCAACCACAAATCAACATTATCTCCAGACCCATATCAAGGGAGATAAACTATCATCTCAAGTCCACCACTATAAGCCGTAGTAGTCGTCTTGAATCCATTCTTCGGATCATGAATATAATCCAAAAACTCCTTGTACAGCGCCCTAGCCATCTTAGTATTATCAGCCAGAATGATAGCACCTCTCTTCAGACGAGGCTTGATGATCTCCAGAGCTGGAAGAGCCATTGGTATCCAAGCTGAACAACATTAGTATTACTTCATAAGTTAAGGCACTTGGAGCTTACTATCAAGGAGCATCATATCAATCTCCTCAGGCATACCCTCCTCCGACAGCGTCTCTCTCAAATCTCCTTCCCTCAGCTCAATCCACGGCTCAACCTCTTCACCGGCTTCACTCCAATGCTTTCTCGCCCTCTCAGCCTTACTACTCTCCCACTCCGTAGCAATGACTCTCCCCGCAACTTTCTCATCCCTTGCTCTCATAGCATTAACGTTCTGCCCCACCGCCAAAGCAAGATACATCGTCGAAACACCAAAACTAGTTCCCGCCTCAACGATGTTCTTCGCGTTTATACTGCGGGCGAGAAGATACATGAAATGACATTTATCTTGCTCTAGAGCGACGAACTTATCGCTCATGTGGGCGTCGGCAGATGTAGACCATGTTTTACCGGTGAAGTAGAAGCCGAAGAGATATTTGAAGTAGAACCAGCTTTGAGAGAGGGTCTTTTCTTGAGCCTCTGATTCGGCGTGTAGGCGGGCCAAGAGACCGTGGACGCGAGGACTTGCCTCTAGAGCTTGCAGGGCTGTTGGTGATGGTGCCATGGTGATGGAAGTTGATGATGAAGGCGGTGATAATGTTTTGAAGTCAGAAGAATTTCTGTTTCTTATATACATCAAGAATGCGTCAACCGGATCTGTTTACGAGCTGAATACGGTAATTGAGATCGGGAAAGATGTTGGCGTTGAGCTGATATCACCGAGGCCGATTTATCATGACCGAACTCTCGGGCCTGCACCATATGCCTTCTAGACTTGTCTCAATATCAGTTTAGGAAGCATTCAAATATAAAAGATAGAAAAGATCCTATGGGCTAGATGTATCTATTGGGTAAGCTTTCGGGTCAGTATACCATGAGATACTGTCGCTCTATATATGCCACATACGTCCTGCTTGATCTGCCTATGATTCGCTCAGGCACCTTAGAACTAGATATTGAGATCCAACAAGATGAATTGTGCATACATACGATACTGATGTACTATGGATTAATTTCCATTAATGCTCCAAATTGATTGTCTTTGCAGTAAAGCGACCTCTGTACTCGTTAAGACCGATAACCAAACCCGGACTTCGGCCCCGGTCCTAAACCTCTCCCTTCCGATACCAGTCCGACCCTATATTGACTCACAGAAATCATCCGCATGCAAAGCACCGCAGAGACCCTTTGAGCGGCAGGATACGAAAACTCCAACGGGAATAATGCGATTACCCGTCAGACTCTATCCCCAGCCTCTTTACCATTCGTATCCACGGGGATACAGACAATAAACATCAAACATCCACGCTCGCTCTTGAAAGGACCATGCCGCATTCCGGGCTTTCGGTACGCATAGGCGCCCTTCTCCCAACCCTGCTGCAGATTCTGGTCGTACAAATCACCCTCAACCATGAAAATTTCCTCAACGTAGTCGTGGATAAAAATGTCCTGCTGATTGCGGGCGCCAGGCTGCCATCGCTGTAATGTTGTACGTCTGCCTGTCTGCGAGTCCTCGTTGAGGACTAGTTCATCGACGCCCGGCTCGATAGTTGACCAAACACGATTGAAAGATGTGGTAGCGGGGTGAAATTCAAACTGTTCCATTGCGAATGAAATACAGAGAGGTGATCGATACTGTCGCACTTGGGCTCAGCATCGACCGACACAGCCTTAAATCCTCCAGAAACATAGCCATTGCCTTGAATGACGAGAACACAATGATATCATTGGTAAGCTGACATATGACAAATGCAGCAACGTTATTGTCTAAACCTCCTGCCAAAGAGAGCAAGCCTCCATACTGCCTTGGAAAAGGCAATCGAAATAATCATCATAGCTTGGCTCTTCAAGACAGACAAGTTGCTTCGACATAGCCCAAGGCATTTGCAATGGGAACGGTGCTGACCCCGTGAAGGGAGCCTGCAGCTTACCTAGGCAGAGTGCACCCACTTGAATGCAACCGTTTAAGCTAAAAATGCACAACAAGCAGACTCCTACTGTTGCCAAAGGCTATGCGCAGAATTGATAGGAATCACGGTGAGATATGCAGGATTAAGATCTGCGCTCACGAGGTATTGGTGACTCTAAATGCCCACTAGGACTCTTGCATCAAGCTCATAAGAGGTCATGGGGAAACTAAAGCTCGATATTGAGTTGCATCTGAAGTGATGGATATTGACGAATGCCAATCGATATATGGGGGCGGCTACCAAAACCCATGTTTAGTATGAGTTGTTTCATGTCGTGGCAGACGTTGGCTAGTGTCAAGGGATATAACACGGCTAATCAGACAAGGTGACAGCTCGAAAGTGCTAGAGGCATTCCTCTCAGTCTCAAACACGTCCTTGAGATCGCCTTGCGTCGGTAGAGTTAAACTGTAAATGCAGCCCGCCGATCCGACGGCTCAGAGTCACTTGACGAGCCAAGTCAGAGGGCAGGACGGATAACATCGCAAGAGATTGTCACTCAGGATGCCGGAGGAGCGGACAGAGTGTTACACAACAGCCAAAGCTCGTAAAAAGAAAAGAGATGCTCATCGATATGGTGGTACAGCATCATCACGAGAATTTGAGACAATGCTTACAATGATTCATAGTTCCTGAAACATGTATCCAAGTCTTTGGATGCCGATAATGCCGTCTACAGTTCACGAACATCTGGTTGGTGTTTCCAGTCAACTGTAGTACCAGTACTGGGGCAGAGCGGGGTGCTTGTCAAAGTGTGCATATCAAGTCAAGGGGTGTCAAGGGCGTTATGCTCTGTGTTAAGATCATCAGTTGATGTACACGTTGACCGACGACTGATAAACGTTACATCGTCAAAGGGGCACTGGTCGAGACTGAAAACGCAACAATGATGAGTGCGAATCATTGGAATTGTGGCATTGGTGAAAGTTCAACTGGTGAAACCCATCAACGGGAACCAAGATAACCGGCGTCAGCCACCCGATCAGACTGAGCTTCAGCTCCGGGGCTGAGACAAGGCTCACCACACTGGTCTGCATCTCCGTCACAGTGACAGTGACTGCTTCTCCCCTCGAGGACCTATCGTCCACCGCTAGATTGATGGTCTCTTCTCACGGGGATGGGGGCCAAGAAGTGTGAGCGGGGCGGGATTGCCAAGAGCCGACCATGGGTGGACCTTTTGACCAGAAATGGAGAAGGATTTCCGAGATGAACTCCAAGATGTGGGACAACTAACGAACGAAAAGAAGAGGATCGGCATCAGTGAGGGCAAAATCAGAGGCAAGCAGGACGTTGATCAAAGTACTTTCGTCCACTGAAAACATGTTTCAATGACACCGACAACATCAAACTGTAATCTGTGCTGAGGAACCACAAGTTGTTGGGTCATCGGCGTTTTTATTTTTCTCTCCGAATCATCGTGAACATCCTCATTGAGCACATTCGAAGAGAAAAGAGGGTTTGGAGGGGAACGAAACGAATAATCCTACCTGTCACTTACCATTGAGGCTCGCAAGCTTGACAGCCGAATCGCTGCCCAACGGGTTAAACGCGACCTTGACAGGTTTGACCCCCATGCACCCATTTTTATCGGTAGCGATATAGGGACCCCTATAAAACAACCGCTCGGCCGAATAAGTGTCTCCGAGCGATAGTCAGTCAGCTCGCAGGCGAAAGCTTGGGGCAAGATGACGTTGAAAAAAAACCAATATGATCTTATGAGAATGAGACCACTGTCAAGACCAAAAGGTGCTGTGACATTGAGCGTATCGCTGTTGCCTCAAGTTCTTGGCTTGGGAGACCTCTCACGATGACTTCACTTCTGACAGGTCCGGCATTACACTGCGACCTTGTCACGGGGAACATCCAGGCGAGAACTACGGTCCTGCCTAAACGACAGGAGATAGGTCCAGGATGAAGTATCCTGTCGCTGTCAGTCGCTTACAACCGTGAACCACTTTTCTTCCACGTTTCTTCCAAAACGATACCAACACCCTTGTATAGACGCTGGGACGGTGGGAGGAATGACGAGAAGATTGCGATTTGCGGACCTAGTCAAGGAGCTGATGATCATTATCAGAGGGGCGCGAAAAACTTGCAGCAAAGGTGACCGTCTTGGACTGTGCGTTCCTGGAAAGTGAGAGTGATAGGCAGTGATTGGAGGTTTCGAAAGACGGTGACCGTTTCGTTGACCGTTGATCTTTAGAGAATACTGTACTGTGATATTGGCCATGTTTCGCCCTTGAGCCTGCAAGACCTGATACCTTGGGACTCTGTAGGGAAGTTGACGCGGCAGAATGCAGATCTATGACATTAGACTAGTCGAAGGGGTACCTGGACCCTTGCTGCTGGACGGCGCCTTGTGTTTCCGAGGGCGGAGTGAAATGTAACCCCATAACCAGTGAGTGAAAGGGATGAATGACGCAGACTGATGGCTTAACGCACTGCGGGAGAGATCAGACGGATATGCAAGCCAAAGCTGTAAAGCACTGATGAACCATAGGATCAAAAGAGGCTAAAACCGCACCTAAGAGGGCTGTAGAACCCGAGTGTGCGGTGTAAGTCCAGGTACAGCCAATTTGATACTCGAGAGTATCCTTGGCCGCTTTTCTTCCTTGTCATTCCAACTTGTCGGGTTTGGTAGGAGTTGCAAGGCGATCAGCTAAGTCGTTGACCGGCAATGATCTTTGAGCGATGTACCAGAAGGGTTCCTTCGAGTGACAATTCAGACAAAGATTTGCAGGTCAAGTCACAAGAGCTGCAAATCAGTACCGAACTCGGCGCCCTGACTGACACCGCTCAAGGATCAGTCCAACGAATAGACAGTGATAAACACTGTATTATAATAGTTGGTCGGTATTAGACATTCTGTCGCAGTTGCGTTCAACCTGCAACAGTATCTTTTTGAGTCTCGGTGGGCACTTAGAGGGTCCAACATAAAGGAAAACGGCCAACTCAAACCCAATCACGATAGCGTATCAAAGATGGAATGGTTGCCGCGAAGACAAGAACCGACGATCTCTAGCAAACAAGAAGAAAGAGAGGAAAAGTTTATTCGCTGTCAGAGAAGACTACCGCCTGTGCTGTTGTGCGCCCAGCAACGGCTGTCATAGTGGACATACCCTGGATCTTAGAAGGTCGCCTCTCCACTGAAAGTCCTCCGAGCCCTCTAAAACCCACCGAGGCTGGCTAGCTGATAGGCACCCAGCGTCTATTGCAGGGATTCAGCCTCCAGAAGCGGGCCTCAACAGTGGTCTGCAAGGGCCAACAATTGCGTCACGACTGAATGCTGATCGGCCAAATTCTGTTAGGCCTTCTCACGAGGAGGCTTGGCCTTGGGGGTATCTGAGGCTCGGGTCGTTTCCCTGTGGCCGTCTAAACTCTTGGCCTACCTAGGGGCGGGGGTTTGTTTGTTTTTGAAATTAGGCAGGGTGATTTGATTGACATTGTAAAAGTGGTTGTATCAATAAGGAGCACGCACGGTGATACTCATAGTGAGGGGTTTTCTTGATTTCGTTAAATAACGACGTTCGTGAATTGCGAAGCCTATGGTGTTGAAAATGAACATCTCAATATTGGGTGCAGCATGAGGTCAGTTTTTCTGTGGAGGAGATACGTACCTCTGCACCCAGCGGATGGCAGGGCCAGTGAGGTGAGCTTCCATAAGCTTCCCTTCCATTTGGGGGCTGTCGAGTCGCGTGGGAGAACGCTGGTGCCACTGTCATCCAATCTAAAGATGCTGTTTCCTGCTGGACCGCGACATTGAATGCCTGGGTCAGGATACCCGATGACAGATGACCGCATAGGTATAGTCCCATATAATTTCATGCGATAAAACACTTGTACCAGGATGGTCTTTCCCGTACCGAGGGGCGTCGATCTCAAGTCTCATGACTCCCTATTCAGTCGTCACTTTCCCCATTCGGGCCCCCCAAGCCCATTGTATCTTTCCAAGGGTCTCCTCCCATCCTCATCCTTGGGAGACACGATGATACTGTAGCTGCCAGCTGCTGTGTCTTTTTTCCTTCTTCTAGAGCCCATTATTATTCGACTGCCGGTTTTCCTGGCCCTACGGAGCATTAAGTGGTACCTGCTCCTCGTGTCTGTACAGGCCCTGCTGCGAACCCCCCAGTGGCACACTGTAGGTACTGTCGCCGTACATACAGTAGAGAGAGAACTAGAAAAATATCCCGACGCCTACCTTACCTTAGTGAAGTAGTGATGACCCTCAGCTTGAGGTCCAGCGAAATTATCAAATTGACGAGAAATCCACTTTAACATTCCCATCCCCATTTCGTCCATCCCCTTCCCCTCTTTTGTCTCTTCCTTTTCTGTTCTGGGTTCGCTCCTTCTTTTTCTGCTGGCCGGGTTCTTCCTTCCTGCCACCTAGCACCTGCCACCTGCCGCTCCCACTCCGAACCCGACCTTAACCTGCCCTGTCTCGCCATTGCCATCGCTCGCCCGTTACCATTTCAAAAGAAGGGTCCTTCCTGCCTTGCCCTGTCCGCAACCGTTGGCCGAACTATTGCCTCCTGGACTTTCATGATTGTTTGCGCCTTGGAATATATTGCCACTGCCGGGATTGGTCATTCTGACTTATTCGTCATATTCTTTCAATTTAACTTTTAACGTTTAACTTTTTTGGTTGGTCTTCTTTTATTCTTCTTTCTATCAGTTATCATTATTCTCTCTTGACTTGATTATTATTCATTTTCCAATCTGTTGCTGTTAGTTATCCCCTCTTGTTCACTCCCACGCACCTGCATTTATCCTTGAATGTGACGTTGCTGCTCTCTATTACATTGCATTTGCTTTTTATTTTCGCATGCTGCCCCTGCCATCAAACAATTCCAATTCTCATTCTTCGTTCCTTTCATCTGCTGACATTCGCGCTCGCTTTTGCAGGGTCTTCCCCTCCGCAATTCAACAAAACCTTCCACCACCTGCTTCGATTCTTTAGCAAAAGCAGGCTAGTATTCTCTGACCGCTACCTGCCGCCAGCATCTTCAGCTCCGACGACTAAACTCTAACACCCGCACTCAACCACACCCATTCCTCCCGTTTCGAGAACACAATCCACGACTGAAGCCACCAAACCCACGATATCTTCAAAACACAAGCCTTTGCAAATCTTATCTACCGCTACCAAAGCCACGATTTCAATTGCGATCAAGTTTCGAATTCATTTGCAGCTAGTCTGATCGGCCTCTCCGCGTGTCGAGTCCGCCTTCGTAACGCCCTCTAGAACACAATCCAGCCTCATCACACCCTTAGTGGATCCGAAATCGTTGCCTCCCTCGCAAGCGTGCATGCTCCGACTTCGAGACCTTTAAACCACGTGGAACTATTTGGTCTCGACTTGCCCCTCTCCACAACACCCCTCGACGACGAGTTCACGCGACTCTTGGGACACCTACACCGACATACCATCAATCCATTGAGTCGGCTATTCAGGTTGACTTTTGGTGCCCCCTAATTACTGTTATCTGTGTCGTCACACGATTGTGGATGTCGCAGTAACTTCGTATATTCTGTGCGACAAGTTACGACTTATTACGAGTTATTTGAATCGAGCGACAACCACCACTTCACCCACATACCATACTATACTATAATGGCAGTCAACGAACTCCCAAATGCTCCTGCAGAGCACCCCCATGCAATCGCACGATCAGATTCCTCCACCTCATCGAGCCCTGAAGATAACAACGAGCCCATTATTCACCAGCCCGTCCCTGTCCGACCTGGCCTACCTCAACGGAAAAGCAGCGGCCCTCTAGTTGTCCCTCGCGACAGCTCAGCAGTTGGTCCTCTCGAGCCTGACTTTGGCCCAGATGACGTCAGGGCGATGAGCCCCAGGAGAACGAGTGAGGATCTTGATAGGATTGGAAAGGCTGCGCGCGAAGAAATGCGAAGGTAAGGATTTCACAATTGAGTAATTCGCTCAGGGCTATCACTGACTTTGATAGACACGCCAAGGCATTACAGGACTCTCTCCTCACAATCTTCAACCGCATCGAAGCCGTTCGCGAAGAACATGACAAGCTCGATAACAACAACAAGTTCTTGCAAAAGTACATTGGCGACTTGATGAGCACTAGCAAGATCACAGCGACGAGCAGCCAACGCAAGAAATAAGTCTACCTCAGGACATCAGACACAATGTCTTGACTTTCCATTCACAACCATCATACATCGATTCGACGGGCTAGGTGTGACTACATCTAACATCTACGCCAACACTTTAGAAGCATTCGACATTATACTTGGGATTCGTGACTTTTTAGGGCCCAGAGTGGGCATGATACCCGCGCCTTGACAGCGCAGTTTCTTGAACTCTACCTCTTAGGTCAGAGGAAAAAACATTACATTTGCATTTCACTGTACATTAACGCATTATGAAACCGGGAGCAGTTGGGATCGATCCCTCATGATGGATGGATCATCGCACGGTGGGAGCACACTGGAGCTTTGGATTTCTCGGTTTTGCATGATATTGCATCACCTGCATTGCGCTACGTCTTGTCGGGGTCGCTGTACCCTTTTGTTCGCGCATTGGTTTGGCGTTTTGAGCTTGCAGCATACAAGGACTGGGATGAATGTCTGGTGTTTTTGTATTGTACCATGGTATTATTATACGGCTTGATTACTGTAGCTTCTATAGAGAGAAGCTCAGAGTGGAGTGACGGGTATGGGTTACTGGCATCTATCTGCCAGGGGGCACGGAGTGAGGTTCGTAAAAAGAGTATCATCATTGTTTTGAGTGAAGTGTCTTGGTCTTTGCCTTTGCCTTTGCAGAATGATACCAATGCAATACCGTGAGTTGAGAGTAGTCAATAAAATCGAGATTTCAACAAATATTCTGATTTGATACCTTGTGATAATTACATCTCCACCATTGGATTCATCTTAAACTGAACTAACCCCGTTCATACATTGATATTCTGCAAACCTGCAAGATGGATAGACCGGGTACGTCCCTTCATACATTAGTGCATCCATGGATCCCATCACCAACGCAGTCTCCACGCTGGGGAGGCCCGAACCTGACTCGGGGTTTATTACGTTACCCACCTGTTGCTTGGTGCATCTAGAATTTTTCCATTAGTTGCCGTGTTGTTTCCGGGTGTGGAGAAGAGAGTTCTTCTGGAATTTTGCTTTTGCAGGGAAGTTTATGTGGCTGCTGATGATAAAAAAAAGTTTGATGCCATTGCCGGCCATGTGTTCGGTTTCACCGGTGTACGATGAGTTTATCGGTGCGAGAAAAAAGATGTTTGCATGATGGTGCTAGAAGAGGTCTGGAAGTGAAGTGACAGGGGATTGTGCAACCGAAGTGTATCGGTGAGGCGGGTGTTGATGGGAGGCCGAATATTGACGGCATTTGTCTCAGATAGAACTAGACTAAGTTAGTTCCCTTGCTCAGCTGGTGGCAAGAATGAAATCAATACAATACGATAGTATAACAGCTGAAAAGTAGATAGACTAATGTAGCTATTATATTGATCAGCTGGGGAGTTTAGGTCAAAGCTATATCGCGCTAGATAATTCGGCGAACTAGTCTAGACCTCTGACTGCAATCACCATACAGCTGATGTACTAACATTGCGCTGTAAATGCGTTTCAGGATCTGATTCTTTTGTCCTTGTTTATATGTATCGCAATTGTGTTATTTGCAGCTTATTCAAGACTGCAAGCTTACTCGATTGTACAATAGTTTATCAACCAATGAACATCCTGTTATCTGATAAATACAGGCGATAAGGCAATTTTGTATTGATCTAATACCGTTTTATCCAAAACTACTAGTCGGATATTAGATGATAGCTCAACCATGGCCAGAGTCGAAATATTCCTTCACCTAAAGACAACTCCAGATGGTGTCTGTGTCTGTAGACTTGAGCGACAGCAGATCTGGGATGCGACTCGCGTATGTACACGTTCACCAGCACCATACTCATTGATACAATAAATGCTAAAACCATCATGTATTTTATACGTAGAGTTCCTCCACTGCACCTGAAGACTACGCCGTATGGATCTTGTGCCCTGAGACAGCGAGTAGAAAGCACACGGCAAATCGCAATACCAAAGTCACTTCAACTAAAGTCCATGCCATTTTGGATATCCATCCCTAGAGAAATGTGAAAGTTGCTCTTGCTAATAAACAGAAACTGGGGTCAGTCCGCCATTCAGCATCTATCGACATCACATATCCTCCCAATAGCGGCTAGCATCCTTCCTCCTCATCGTGCTGAACTCATTCTTCAACCATGAACGAGCGAATTGCGATTCCAGTTCTTCTGTATCGTCGTCAGTGGTGTCGTCGGGCTCCTATCCAGTACCACCACCACGCCACCAGCAGATGCTCAGAGCGTTTGAGTGATATCCATCGACTATATCTCGAACGAAACCGAATGGGAGGAGTGATTCCTTTCTAATGGGTAAAGGACGAAAAGCAAGAGATGGGGGAAACAGTGAAATGGCTTAGCCTAACAACATTCTCAATGTCTATGATAGATTGGCTGCCATATATAATACTGGCTTTCGCATGCCTGATGTCCTCGGTATTAAAGTCCTTGTCTCAACGCGCCAGCATTTTGCCATGACATGCTAAGCAAAAGACAATTGGATTCAAGTAAGATTAACTACTCAGACGACGCCGAGAAAAGAAAACTTTCTCGATAAAGTCGTTGGTGTTCTATGTCTGTTTTGATAGACATTTTGTAAATACTTGACTCATTTCGATCAAGGACCAGGGAAAGACTTCAGGATCTAGATATTCGAAGGGAGGGACGTCGACGCCCAGGCCACTCGACGTCGAGGCGTTCTCAAAATAGGGAGCATCCCGGGCTCCTGCTTCTATGATCTATCCGAATACCAGAATGTCAATGAACTCTAAGAAAGTAGTGATATTGAGTTCGGGCACTTGGCGATCGACCTCGCCTCTAAGTACCTTGCCGCAAGATCACCTTATACTCCTGCCCACGAATGCCATTGCCACTGCGGCTCGCCCTTTAGACTTAATAGGCTGATAGATATTATCTGGGATATCGCCTCCTATGTTTGGCCGGCTTTCTCTTACACCGCACTTGCTACCAGCATCCTTACGATACACTAGCCTTTAGGATCAAATTATCGCAGCTTCTGTGCAGGAGAGATGAGTGACGAGTTAGCTCAAGTTCGGATCTCCTGTTGTAAATATCAATTGCTGCCGCCCATTGCTATGTAGCCGAACTTGTTGCGGACATAAGGGACTGGTAGGAATTCGATATAGACGGTGGAAATTCCCCGACTGCTAGAAGTAACCTGACGACTACCAGTCCTGGTTTGATTGAGACAGCTGGGCCTAAGTATCCTTTAAAGATCTACCTCTTTGGAGGCTCTTCTTCCTCCAAGGTCAACCCGACAGTGACTCCCCCTAACCCTTTTGCTCGTACCTTAGTGTTACGTTAAGTTGGGTTATGATATCGAGGTTAGAGTTCGCTACTCTGATATCCAAGGCGCTCAGCTTCATCACTTAAATATCACTGGAGCGGAAATGCTACTGCGCAGCTATTGCATGGATAAACCAGGTACGAAAGAACAATTCAAGCTCAAGATACAGATATGAAAAACAAACGCTCGATAGTAGCAAATGGATTAGTGTTTGACGGTTATGCAGGAACATGACTTGTAAGTGAGTGGCAAAGCCGTGGCGGCCACTGGCAGATGAGAAAAACTTTCGTCCTACAAGGTCGGGGGTTTTTTTTTCCCCAGCCAACATCAAACCGAAAACATGAACAATTCTTCTTCACATTATTGACATTTTAGTATTATTTTCCTCTCAACCTTCTAATATTCTCTCATTTCTAACAGTCAAAGAAGCCGTTTTAATAAAAACAGCGACCAGTAAGCAAGCAGCATCAAGCATGTTTTCGTCTCTTACGAAAGAACTTACAACCTCTCTCCTAAGTTCACCAAGCAAGAGTCTTTCCACTTTCTTTCGCCAAGTCAATACATCCTCGTTTGGCCACCACATCTGTCAACCGCCCCAACTCACACTCAGAGCCAGCATTTCACTCAACATCAACGATTCCAAATTCTCGCATCCTCAAAACACCATACACTCTCTCGTCGTGAATATAAACACCAAAACTAAGCGAGCATGCCAACAAGAGGACGACACGCCCCGGCCCCGTTGGCCAAGTGGTAAGGCGTCGCACTCGTAATGCGAAGATCACTGGTTCGATTCCAGTACGGGGCATCGTTACCCCAGCTGTCTCAGACAGTTGAGTCCTCTGTTTTTGCTTCCTCGATAGATCGTAATACCATGTCTTTTTGCCTCGTGGTAGAATTAGAGCTAGAATCCGGGGTCGGGCCGCTTGGTTGTCATTGGCTGGCCCTGTTTGTGATTCCTTCTTCTGGCAACTGTGACCTCACATGCTGGGTGTAACTGGAGGAAAGGTTAAGACAACGCTGATACGATTCCAATTCGAAATGGCACTCGTTATTATACACCTATGTCTAAGCAACTATCCTTCCCCTTTCCCTCTTTGGCTCTTCACTCTCCAACACCAACGGCCCTCCTCCAGGTCCGCTTGCATCTAAGCTAACCGTCACACCCTTCCTCTCACCCACAGCTCGTATCGACTCTCCCAAGTTTCTAAAGTCAACTTCACAAGTCTGAGCCTGATTCTCGACTCCATCCTTGACCTCCCGAATCTCAATACCAGGATATGGTAGCCAACCTTCTCGAAGTGGAATCATTATGAGTGGAATTTCAGCTTCCGTGTCGGATGTTGAGGACAGAGGGTCCTTCTTTGAACCTGGAATGACAAGGTGACCTTTTCGACGGCCACCGAGAAGCCATGTATCTCCTGCGGCAGCGACTTCATAACTGTACTCCACATCCTTCTTGTGTTGCATCTCAGTGTCCCAGATCTGCGTCCACCTAAGATGCAGTGTAGCTGGAAGCATCTGATTAACCGCCACAGTTGGGACAGCACCGGGTTTCTGATCCATCAGTTCCGTTACCGGAGTTTGCAGCTCAATATCTGCTGTATGTAGAATCGGCAGCGAAGGTATCTCGACCGGGATGAGAAGTGTGCAGGGGTTATCAGGCTGCGCCGCTGAGATTTGAACCTGGGGATGGGAGGCTTGCCATTTCCTTATAGCAGTTGAGATCTTCTCGGTTGCATCCACCTGCGTTCCAGGTACCCGTCCAATGCCAGCAAAGTACTTGTCCCAAGGAACGTCAGCCAGAAAGGCCGTAGGCACTGCACCAAGAAGTGCAGCGCGCTCGAGATCAATGGGTTGCAGGGACTTTGCTTCTCTCACAACCAGCGATGTGATGAGTTTCGAGAACGATGCTAAAGAAGGATCGTCAAGAGCATCAAAGATGGACTTAACAAGTGCCTCCTCGATCTCCGTTTGGAGAATGTTGTAGTAGAGTTTCAAGTACATAGTTCTCGCCGCCCGTTTACTCGATCTAACATTAGTCTTCCTCTTGATACGATAAAGTAGCGTCGCGGGTTGTTTTGAAAACACCATTGTTGTATCAGCAGGAGGAACGCCAAACTCAGATTCGAACAAATCCGAGGGCATCAGTTCACTCTTGTACAAGCGTAGAGGGCTGTGGCTCGCTGTAGACACATTGAACCGAGAGTAAAGTGCATTATGCTTGAAGACATCTTGCACATTGACACCTAAAGCCAGAGAGATGGGGATGATTATCGACTTTGCAAACGTGTACTGTTGACCCGACTCAAGCGTGTACGCGACGTCGACCTTAGCAGACACATCAGCGATATCATGCTCAACCGAGTAAGGGAATCGTAGAGTGATGCTTGACTCGGCGGCAATCTCGTTGAAGTAGATGATACCACCCGCCTCGGGCCTCTTTGCAAACTTAACATCTGAGTCGATAACTTGAGCTTCAAGAGTTAACATCCGCAAGCCACCAGTAGTGGGCCTGAGACGGATCTCGCAACTCTTGATTGAGTTCCAGCCTGGGTTGAGAGTGAAGTCCAATGTGTTGTTCTTATCTAGGGAAGTGTGCCTTGTAGCTACAAGTTGCACATCAAGAGCACCATCTCGGTGAAAGATGACGACTTCGGGATGCTTGAAGATATCAGTAGTTTGTGGAGGTGGTTGGTTGATGTCGCGTTCAAAGTGAAGGAAGAGGTTGCTCGAGAAGAGTCCAAGATGATCTATCTTGTATTTTCCGGGGATAACAGACTGCAGTCATTAGTATCGTCTTTCATAACGAGTTGAGAAACTTACTGTGCATTCCACTGTGATGCTATTCTGGCCAGGTTGTAGAACAATGGCTCCCTTTCTTGAGAAAAGCAGCTCCTTAGTAGGCCCCGGCTCAGAAGCTGTGGCTCGCACGTCTATTCCATCCAACTTAATTTCGTCCGGCAACAAACACCATAGATTGATGGTCAAAGAGCATTTGTCTTCCTTGTCAAAATATTCAGGAGCACCTGCAAGCTCGATGTTTGTGAAGAAGTTCGACAGGTGCACCTTGACTTGTGAAGACAATGACGAAGCCAGGTCAAACAAGTTACCAACGACTCCCTTCATAGACATTGCATCCGCAGGCTCAGGCTTGCCGAGCCTAGAGACTCGTTTTGAGCGTTGCTCTAGCCGCTCCTTTTCAGCTGCACAAGACTTGGTCAATAGCTTGAGAGCAACACGCACGTAGTCATCCTTTGACTTCATTTCACGAAGACAATGGAGATACATGACAAGCATAGACAACTCGAGCGAGGTCCAACCGCTCTCGCCGAAGAATGGTGTTGCTCGATAAAAGTAGGAAGCAGCAGTACTATACTCCTTGAGATAAAAGTTGAGCACAGCGAGATCTGCCATGCTTGCTTGCACTGCGTGATCATGGTTTGCAACAGTATAGTGTCGAAGCGCCTTGTCTGTGAGAATCTCATACAGACGGTAAAAATTCTCTGGGTTATCAATGGCAGTCTGGAGGAGATTGTTGTTTACACCAGCGTCCAATGGGGGGATTTCCTCTGAAATTCCACTTGCAGCAGGTTGATCATCAAGACTAATTTCCTCGAAGTCTGCCTCAGCTTCCGCAATGATAGGTGCTTCTTTCCAGCCATCACTCCAGCCACGCTTCTTACCCAAACCATCAAGAATGCTTCGTGACAGCATATAAAGCTCGGCGCGTCTAGCGGCGAGATCTTCAAGACCTGCCTTGAGAAATTGTGACTCCTGATCATTGTTGATCTTTGGCATGCCCGGGCCTGGGAATACACCTGGGCTTAGTGGAGGACGAGTCCCAGGTGCTGGGCCTGTTGACACATGAAGAGATGTAGTTCGGGCAGGATGCATCATAGTCTTGGGCTCGGGGATGGAGGACTTTTGCTCCTGACTTTGAGGTGGAGCAAGAGTTGAGGGAGGAATAGGAAGAGATTTTGATGCTGTCTGCGCAAGGATTTGCTGGGCAACTGAGAAGGCGAATGATGCAACCACATTGTCAATGACTTCTGATAGGTTAGGATCGATAGGAGAGTCGTCCTCATCAGACTTGTCAGATGCCACAGCAGTCAAAATGTCTCGTCGCATAATCTGCGAAACTGCCGGGATGAACTGTAAAGTCCTTCGACATATCTCACCAAGGCTTGCCAGGTTTTCTGTTTCTTCAGTAAGTTTAGGAGGGGGCGCCAGAGGCGCGACCCCGTGCAAGACTGAATCCTGTTGCTCCTTAAGCTTGTCGAGCAAATCATCTCGTGATGACCAGGCGTTTCCAAGCCGCAAAAGCAATGCCATTTGTCGCGCAAATATATAACACCGGAAGTCAAATACTGAGACATCGTTGGCTAGAATTTTGTCTCTGTAAGCCTTCTTGGTAGCACTGATGGGTATCTCATCAAATTGCTCCTTGATAGTCTCATTCGACTGAAGATCCACGGCCTCTTCGTCTTCTGTATTTCCACCGGGTGCTTTGGCAAGAGCGGTCTTGACAATCTCCTTGAGATCTTCGGTGTAGCTGAGCATTGCACCTCCATGTCTCGTTGGCGAACCTTCGTCAGCTTGCTCATTGACAACAGAGTCAAGCCCAACACTGAGCTCATCGTATCCCACCAAGGCGTCCTCCACTAGACCAACACTCTCGAAACCTCTTGCCAAGCCTTCTTTGAGGATAAAGAAAGTGCAAAAGTTCCATCCCGGTAAACTTCGTTGACCGTCTTTTTCCTTGATATCTTCTTCGTACTGTGTCACGCGCAAGTCGAATGAGGTGAGAATAAGACTCTTGAACTTGGCAATGAGCTCCGCCCAAGCATTTTCAGCATCATGCTCATCTTCCGAATACCCTGTTGGCACTGCGGGGACGACTCTCGGTAGCTGATCGTACGGAAGATCGTTGATTCCAATTCTGATCTGTGCAACTCGATCCGGTGCCGTCTTTCCAAGGCCAGAAAAGTCGGTACGGAGCTTCTCCAGAAGAGGTGTTGAGCCGGTGCGCCATCGCGGAGTCGACTTCTCTGAAGTATCCTGCGAGCGAGAGCTGGTCCTCGGTTGTGTCGACGCTACCGTATTGGGGAGCACCACGTGTAGAATCAAGTAATCGAACGCATCGTGCTTCTCTTGTTTGCTATTTCGTTTCGGATTGCTTGATGAAGGTATCTGAGTCTTAATCCATTCTCGAATTTCTGCTCGAACGGAGGTTTTGTATGTTTCATTGTCGTCACATCTCACCAGTAGCACCTTAAGATACGGTGTCCGTCGCAGACCAGGAATTTGATGCCGTCTTTGACTCCCTATTGCCCTCGAAGGCAAAGACTGCGTGTCTATCTGATCAGCAGAAGACGCCTGACCACCAAAGTTCTGTTGTTGAAAGCCATCATCGAGCGTGCTCCCTGATCGTCGAAGGGTATGAGGAGAAGAAGCTGATCCAGGGTCATCCCCCTGAAGAAGCTCAACGTGAAGTGTATCAATAGATCGTAGAGGTCCAGCATGCGATTGCCAGTTCAAGTTTCGCAACGGTAAGCGAGGAATCAACCCAGGGGCGAGGAGTTTATAAACATCGTGAGGATCGAAGTACTCGACTTGCGACAAGGTGTCGTGTTAGCGGACATCTCAAGGGAGGCATAAGGTTTACAGGGGAATAAACGTCATAGAAGCTCAGGACTTACCAGTCACTTTTGACGTCGAGAATGGCTGTTCCATGGCAAACAGCTCGAATGCGCACTTGTCATTGCTGTTTGTCCAAGTAACAGTGAAGGTATCTCAATCGAGATGGTGTAGAACCGCTAAAGCTGTCCCGAACGAGCTCCAGTGGATAATGATTGGAGACCCCTGTTGACGTAGAGGTACCTCCCTTAGCTCATCTTCATGCGCCGGAAGCGGCATTTGTCCGGTCCCAGGCGGTGAGAGCACGTGCGTTTTACGATTGGTTGAGTGCTATGACGCTATTTTCATTTTGACGGCGGGGTGGCGGCAGAATCTTGGAGGGGCAACATTTTGTCAAGGAATTGCGACTAATAAGCGTGTTAAACTTCTTCGTTTTCTCTCATTTCAAGCCGTTTTACTCCAAAGCTTGAGCCTAATCATGTCTTCTCTTAAGGCTGTCAAGTACACTCGGGGCCAACTCCAGGTCCTCGACCAACTCCGTCTTCCTCACGAATTTCACTACGATGATGTCTCCAACAGAACAGAGGCCTTCGACAGCATCGCAACTATGCGAGTGCGAGGTGCCCCTGCTATTGCCATCGTAGCAGCCCTCGGACTGGCTGTTGAGCTCCACAATGGAAGCATCACAGCTTCAAACGCTGAAGATACCATTTCTCAAATCGAGGAAGCTCTCGACTATCTCAAAGAAAGCCGACCTACAGCTGTCGACTTGACCAACGCTATTAACCAGCTCAAGTCCACAATAAGGGCGGTTGGAAGCACTGCCACCAAGGAACAGGTTATCACAGCTTTCGTCGAAGAGGCTGAGAAGATCTTTGAGAAGGATCTCCAGACCAACCTCTCTATCGGTGATCATGGAGCTGAGTGGCTGCGAGCCCAAGCTGGTGCTTCTCCTGACAAGAAGATCTCGGTCCTCACACACTGCAACACTGGATCCCTTGCTACATCTGGCCATGGCACTGCGTTGGGAATAATCCGAACTCTTCAGTCCAAGGATCTTCTCCAACATGCCTTCTGCACAGAGACTCGACCTTACAACCAAGGAAGCAGACTCACTGCTTTTGAGCTTGTCTTCGAGAACATTCCCAGCACTCTCATTACCGACTCCATGGCTGCTTCACTCTTCCGCAACCGCAAGCAAGAAAAGAACATTGCCGCTGTCATTGTCGGTGCTGACCGTGTCGTTCGCAACGGTGACACAGCTAACAAGATTGGTACTTACCAACTCGCTGTTCTGGCCAAGCACCACGGTATCAAGTTCATCGTCGCTGCTCCTACAACCAGCATCGACCTTGAGACCGAGACTGGCGATGGTATCAAGATTGAGGAGAGAAAGAAGGAGGAGCTTACACAGGTCACAGGAGCTGTGATCAAGCCCGATGGTACCGTTGATGAGAGCAGCAAGGTCCGTGTTGCTACCGCTGACCAGCGGATCAACGTGTGGAACCCTGCCTTCGATGTCACTCCCGCCGAGCTCATCGACGCCGTGGTCACAGAGAAGGGCGCCATTGAGAAGGGACCTGATGGTAACTTTGACTTCAGCAAGATCCTGCCTGAGCGCTGGGCCAAGATTACTGGTGCATAAACCAGCTTTACAATGTCATTTCATTTGAGCGGGCTATCATATCCAACATTAGACTAGAGCAGCGGAAAATTGGGCTTCTATTTATTGCTTCAACGCATGAAGAATCAGCTTTTGGTATCCTTCAACGGCAGTTTCAAGATCAGCAACGGTCAAGTTCTCCCTCGCGCCATGTGCAACAAGAATGTTTCCTGGGCCATACAGATACCTCGTGTGGTCACCCTTGAGGTTGGGAATGTCGGTTCCGTAGTTGACGGTGATTTTCTCGAAGCCTGAACCTGTTAGCGACGCTCTCACAAGATTTCGGTGTACGTACCATCTACATCGCAGTTTGCCTCCACAGGTCCGTACCCGTGGGTGCAGTCGAAAATGAAAGCATCCTTGTCAACCTCGTCAAAGATGGCCTGGATTTTGTCATGGACAACAACATGTCCATCAGCCTGCTTTCCGCTCGCGACTCGGACAGCCAGTCCGACCTTGGCCTCCTCAGGAATGACGTTAGAGGCCACACCGCCATGGAATCGACCAATGTTGACAGTGGTGTTACCAAACAGCTCACTGCTACCAAGGTCGGTGTCGAGGACTTTAGCAAATGCTCGAATCATCAGCTCGTTGGCTGACTTGCCGAGCCATGGGTAACCACTGTGGCCGGGGAAGCCCTTTGTGGTAACGTCGCAACCCAACATGCCCTTGTGTCCGCAAGCAAGCTTGAGCTCGGTAGGCTCTCCGAAAATAACAGCGTCGAGACTGTACGGGAGCTCCTTGGTCTCAACCGCCTCGCTGAAACGGCGCATGCCGTCGCCCTTGACCTCCTCGCCTACAACGAACAGAAGGACAAGCTTATGGGGATCGATCTTTCCGTGCTCGATAAGATCCTCAACTGCAGTGATTTGAGCAGCAACGCTACCCTTGGCGTCCACGCTGCCTCGGCCGGTGATCATGGTCTCTTTTGTAACCTCCCCATCATCAATTCCATATGGGATGTGCGGCGGCACAACATCAATGTGGCTGCTCACGCAGACCTTGGGATCGAAAGTCTTCTTTCCGTCTTGTCGCCAAGCCAGCACATTGAACCTCGGCTTTCCTTCCGGCGTATTCTCAAAAGGCTCAACTTCCTGACGCGAAGTAGTATATCCCTTCTTCTCAAGATATCCCTCAAGCCAAACACCAACATCATGTTCAGTCCCAGAAACCGAGGAGGTCTCAATAAGAGACTTGTGCAAGCTCAGTAGCTCGGATCGGTACGAAGGCGCATCGTCGTTGCTGGCAATGGCGTCGGAGGAAGGCTGTTGGTCCCAATCTCCAAGAACCTGCTGCCAATCGAATGCAGTGGCCAAAGAGGCCGAGGCCAGAAAACTGGCAACTGTTGCGACACGCATCGTAGGGAAACAAAACGGGTTTGTGTAGCTTAAAGTTTTGGAGTGGAGGTTGGGGAATAGAAGGGAGCTTGGTTCAATTGAGCTCGGATATTGGTGGAGAAGTGCGGAATGACGCAAGTGACCGATGTCGGGGTTGTCTAGGGTACCTGGATGGTCTGGTCAGATAAGAACACAGATAAGATTTTCTTTTGGAGAGGACAGTGGCATGATATAGTAGCTTCTATACAGGGAATATCGTAATTGGAAGGTGACTATAAAGTGGCTTATAGACTGGCGAACTCCCAGGTCGCCCCGCACATTGGATAAACTGTCACAGGAACACTGTATTGCTCCTTCGAATAGCTTCTATTCCGGTTCGTTCTACATACAAGACAATACTCTCGCATCTCCTAGCTCTACCCAGCCTATAAGTGTTGCTGGTACTCTTACACAAGCAAGTTGCAAGATCAGGCCGCGACAATGGACCTAACCTACACCTTAGGCCGACCATATCCGCTTCGAACTTACATGACGACTTTTCATACCAAATATGTTTGATGGCACATTAGTATTCCTATAGCTTGGTTATCCCATCCTTCTTATTAACTACTCTTGGTCTCTATTTGAACGGCTTTGAGTCAAAATTATGACTTTCCTCTTTAACCGATTCCTTCGCGTACCTTGCTTGGCTCGAGTGTTATGACATGAGCAGTGAAATGCTTGACTCTACAAGCTCTGGCTTTACAATATTGCACAACCTGTTACGCAAGAAATATCGGGCCACGGACCGTCATGTCGGCTTGTCCTTCCGATCAGAGCCGACTAGTTCCACGATGTTGGAGATAAGCGTAATGCGGGGTTGATAAGTTGTTCTTTTTTCACAATTCGAGAACTGACAACAAGGATATACTGTCTTTCCTGTTTAGGGATCTATTCTATTGATCCTTGTTCTTTAAGAATTGATGGAGCATTGAAGCGGACTCTGTTGCTATTTTGCTTTGGAAGCTTGACCCAAAGCTTGAAGATCAAAGTTCCAATTTCTGGTGCTTGGTCATATTCCGAAGATTCCGGCCAAAATTCCCTTTCTTCGATATAAACAAAGAATCTTACCTTTTTCTAAGGCATGTTTACTATTCTGTAAGTTTTACTATTACCCCTTGAAAGTTCTTGGGAGGCTCTAGACAAGTTGAGAGGAGAACCCGTGCCTTGCTCATCAGCCTGTAAGCCGTGGTGTAGCTAATTCGGATTATCAGATAATTCTCTAACAAAGTGAAGCAAATACAGCCAGGAACATACCATGGGGTCTCTTGACGATGATGCATGGACTGGAACAGCCTATGTTCAAGGTCGAGCCTCAGCCAAACTCCTCGCGAGTGACCTTGAGCTAAGCTTCTGGGGAGGCGTTGAGCCCCAGACGAGTGAGATCATTGACCGACACCATCCCTTGAGTGGACAGCATCTCCAAAATACTGTCCTCGCTATTCCAGGAGGTCGAGGATCATGTACTGGCAGTGGTGTTATGCTCGAGCTGTTGCTCAACGGCAAAGCTCCTGAGGCAATCATATTCGAGCGAAGAGAAGACATCCTCACTTTGGGGGTTATGATTGCAGAAGAAGTCTTCAGCCAGTCCATTCCTGTCGTGGTTCTGGACAAGGAAGACTTTCGACATCTCATTCGAATGAACGGGCAGATGATATATGTGGACGACGGTTACGTTTCTACTCACCCGCCATCGAAACACCGAAAAGGTTCGGTGATAGACACAGCAAGTGGTCTTATTCTGGAGACGACACCGGCTCTAGAAGGTATCAAACTCTCAACACTGGACCAGGAACTTCTGAGGGGAGACTACGGCGAAGCATCCCGCGTCGCTATCAGAATCGTCCTCCGCATGGCCCATCTTCTTGGCGCAACACGTCTCATGGACGTAACACAAGTTCACGTCGATGGCTGCGTCTATACTGGTCCAGCAACGCTGGCCCTAGCAGAGCGACTTCGCGATTGGGGCGGTAAAGTCCGAATTCCCACGACACTCAACTCTTTGTCAATTGACCAAAAGCGCTGGCGAGCACTCGGTGTCGATACTACTTTCGGAGAAGCTGCTGATGCGCTTGGCAAGGCGTATACAGACATGGGGGCACGGCCAACCTTTACCTGCGCGCCTTATCAGCTAGAGAGTGCCCCGAAATTGGGTGAGCAGGTTGCTTGGGCGGAGTCGAATGCTGTTGTTTATGCGAACAGTGTTTTGGGGGCGAGAACTATGAAGTATCCGGACTTTCTGGACATATCGATTGCTTTGACTGGGAGGGCGCCTAGAGGGGGTCCTCATCTAGGTGTCAATCGACTGGCTTCAGTTTGTGTGAGGGTCGTTGGGCTAGAGGATGCGACGGGTCTAGACGATTCATTCCTACCCCTGCTGGGATATTATGTTGGGACTTTATCGACGAGCCGAATACCTGTAATAACAGGGCTCGAGAAGCTTGGTCTCTCAACAGATGATCTGAAGGCCTTCGGTGCAGCTTTCGCCACGATATCGAGCGCTCCAATGTTTCACATCGTTGGTATAACACCAGAGGCAACGACGCTTGAGGCTGTCATAGCCCCTCAGTTCACCTCTGTTGAAGTCAAGTTGAGTGATCTGGGAACATGCTGGGATAAGCTCAACAGCGCGCCAACAAACCAACCTATCGATCTTGTCTCACTGGGAAACCCGCACTTCTCCCTCTCCGAGATACGAAAACTCGCTAATCTTTGCGATGGGCGACAAAAAGCCACTAGCGTGTCAGTTATAGTTACGTGCGGTCGATCAATGTACAAACTCGCTGAACAAGCAGGTCTTGTAGCCCAGCTAGAGGATTTCGGGGTGCAGATATTGACAGATATATGCTGGTGTATGGTAACCGAGCCTGTGATCCCAACGGCGGTAAAGACAATCATCACCAACTCTGGGAAGTATGCTCATTATGGACCTGGGCTCACGGGGAGAGGGATGTACTTTGGAAGCCTTGCAGGATGTGTTGAGGCGGCTTGTTCAGGAACATATGAAGCTGAAAAACCAGAGTGGCTTCAAATTAAAGGACTTATATAGAAGACAAAGCCAATATGGAATTCCCAAGAGGCGACAAGATTTTACTGAGCAGTACTTCATGAATCAACCCCCGCCCCTTTTATAGCAGCCTTCTCCAGTATAGGCTCAAGAATTCGTTTGCTTGATGCATCTAACAAACAATCAACCCAAAGAACAGATTTCAAGACGTTATGAAGTTCAGACCATGAACATATCGCCAAACCATCCATAACTTCCAAAATCCACCCCTCAATGGCTTGATCACCACCATCTTGAACAGAATTTGTTCTCCAAATCATCAAAAGCCACAAAAGAACAGTAGAAGGCGGCCGAGTCGCGGCCTTCTTCAACTCTATTAAGGCATCCCTGAAGGAATCATCCAGATATGCTTGCCTTTGCTTCATATCCCTCCATCGAAAGAAGATAGATGCAGCGAACGTCATCATTCCAAGTCGGAAAGCAATCTCTGAAGCTGATTCGGGAGACAGAGCGAGTAGTCGGTAGAGAATCGATACCATGGCTTCGCTAAAGATAGTGGGTTGAAGTTTCCGACCAATTTGGCTGGCGATGTTGCTGAGCTTTGCGAACTCTTCGAGATCTCTCCATACGTTTGATAATCTAGGATCAAGAGTTTTCAAAAAGGCTTCCATGTCGTGGTTCGTATCCGGATGCTTCCTTTTACCGCGAACGAAATCTTGACTGGAAAGGTATGGGTTCCAGGACATGTCTTTGTCGAAAAAGACTGGCTTGCAGCCGAAGCGAAGGGCTAGGCCAATGTCAACTCTACCACATGTCAGATATTATCCAAAGCAGTAGAGATAAGCACTCACCTGCAAACTTTGGCCGGTAATCTGGGATTATCAAATCTCAACATCTCAAGCCCACCCCTTAGATCCACTATCCTTGCCATACCAGTAGCATGATTCTCAGCTGCTGTCCGGTCACCTATCATCTCAGCTGCTAGGCCCAGGATAACAACTACCATGATAGTCGCGTCTGAGATAGACGTTGGGTCTTTGGGATTGTTTATTCTTGCTTGAAGAAGCCTGAGCGTTTTCAAAAAGTGAAAGTGTGCAAGGCTGCCGTAGTCTCGTCCGAGAAGCATGTCGAAGTACACTTCTACCGAGAACATGATAGAGTGAAAGTATACTTGGTCGACCAGGAGGTTTGTAGTCCAAGATGATTTCATCTCATCTACTTGGAGACATATCTCAGAGGGATATAATGATCCTCTCATCCCATGAAACGCTACTTGATATTAGCTCAGACAAATACTACATGACAGAGGGACGAACATCGAAAGATGTCATTTTCCATGTATGCCTGTAAGGGCTCAGGAAAATCAAGTAAAGAGAAGTTTGTCCCAACGCGACCTGGAATAGTTCCGTCAGGAACCTGCAGCACCATGCACTCTTTTTGGTTTAATATCCATGACTTGACTTGGCCCTTATTTTTTCGAGCCGAGTTAGAGCGTGCATGACTTCTCACAATCCTTTGGTTTTTCTTATCAGATTTAGTTGAAGGCGTCTGGGCAATGAACGTAAAATTTTGATCTGCACAAGATTTAGCAAATGCTGCTGTCTGGTGCGGAGAGATCTTACTGTGTGATGTCTGCTGCCTTGATTTTAGCATGATTTATGTAAACATGCAAAACATAAGCTGATGGCGTCGATTTTACAATACATCAGAGTGAAAGGGTTGCTGGTGTAAGCTTGAGTTGAGTATGTCAGCTCACCCTACTGTAGATGTCATCCCGGATTTCGGGCTTGTTAACTCCGAACGCTTATGACAGAACTACAGTTCTGGACACTCTAATAAGCCACATTATTAACATGGGCATAACTGTGATATTGTTGTGTCCATAATCGAAAGGAAAGCCTTTCATCTACATACATTAAACCGAATACCGCTCTTTATTATAGCAGAGGGTTGCGGAGGGCCAAGATATACACAGTTTGCCTCAAGTCAAATACCACTTCTCTGCAATCAGGTTCAAATATTAGATACGATGTCCTTGGCGCCAGCAAAATCCAACTCCTCAAGTGTCTCGTTCCAAACCTGATCAACCAAGACATCACCATGTGTATAAAACCAACCCGCCAGCCTACAATTCAAGTTAGCAATCTCCAACAACATTCATTAAGAATCAACTCACGGTGCAATCTCACAACTCATCAAAAAGGACCCATGAGACTCCTTTCCATGTCCATAAACAGCATTAGTATAGCTCGCAGCACCTCTATCAACAGGTCTTCCACAAATCGCAAAGAACGCCCCTGCAAGCGCTCCAGCAACACCACCAAGTTCATGATGTCCTCCAAGATTAGTACCCTTTGTAAGACCTGGGTCAACCATGTTGATAATCACATCATCTGGACTAACGATCTCACAAAGCTTCACGACGAATAGTTGGTTGAGAAGTTTTGACACGCCGTACCGTTCTTGGGAACTCCAAGGCGTGATCTTGGGATCGTCGAAGGATGCAAGGAGTGGACTTTCATCTTTGTTTGGGAATTTGCAGAGATGGGCTGTGAGAGAATTCACTGTGGTAAGACGAGGTGGTTTGTGGCCCGAGGTTTTGGTCTTGAGGATGGGGATAAGAAGGATTGTGAGAAGAGCGGTGCTGATGTGGTTGACTTGAATACCAACTTCGTGACCTGTGTCGGGCACAAGCTCGAAGTTAGAAGGCGAAAGGCCAGCGTTTAGAATAACAAAGTCAATGCGAGAAAGCTCAGTGTCACATCTCTTGGCAAAAGCTTGGATAGAATCATAAGATTGCATATCAAGTTGCCAAACATCAATCCTAGCAGACGGCGCGATCTTTCTCAGCTTCTCAGCGGCAGCATTTCCCTTTTCAATAGATCTCACTCCCATTATGAGATGAGATAGACCCAGGGAGAGAAGTTGCTTTGAAGCTTCGAAACCAAGTCCTGTGTTTGAGCCGGTAATGATGGCAGTGCTGCCTTCGACTTGGGGGTATTTCTCTCTGGTGGGAAGTTCGATGGTGGTGCGGAATTGGTTCTTCCAGAAAACGGGAAGCCAGAAATCTGGAAGGGGAGACATGTCTCTTGAAGAGACGGTAGGCGAGGGCTTTTGGTTCTTTTGACACGGCATTTTAATGATGGTGATCTTGAAAAGACTGGCTGAAGAATATGAAATCTTGGGGACGCAGCAGTCGAAAGTGTTGAGAACGAACAATCTTCTTGGCTAACAGTTACGATAGAGAGAGACATTCTACACATTTTATACCCAAAATCTAATTTCATGGCGTTATATAAACTGCTGCTCTTCGTCGGATTCTAGACTGAATCATGCTGAAGCTGTCCTAAATAGGAAATTGAAAAAGTCTTGGCATTCTTCCAACGTCGTCATGGCCAATCAGATGCTTGCAGCACGCTCACAGACGACAATATCACAGCCATCTCAGATGCGCCGAATTGCGTATGATGCATGATTGCCTTGTTTTCAGGTGATGAGAGAACGGAGTTAAGTAGACTGTTCGCACGAAGTCCGGAGATGCTGTCTGTTCTTGTTATGATGGTTCGGTCATGGAGTACCCATGATGTGTCCTAACGCCTAGGCCAACAGACAAAACACAGAAAGCCCGTGCCTTCAATAAGGGTATACTTGCTAGATAAAGAATCCAACTTTCGCCAAGAATGCGAGATGTAATTCTTATCAGAATTATTTGCCGATCTAGACGGCAATGTAATACACGCCCTACAACATAGTAGTTGATCCCCTATGATAGGGACGGTCTCTAGTGTAAGTGAGGTCGAGGATAAGTGGTTACCCACTCACATCAAGTCAAAAGCAACATTTCTATGCGTAGTTTCAACAATCACTATCTCTAATCTTCCGTTTATACCCACTACCGTATCCTTCCAAGTTCCCCGAATCTCTCCCGATCTATCACCCTCTCCAGCTTATCTCCACACGGCGGATAACCCACGATATGCCTCTCCCCGCCGACTCCGACTCGGAAGCTACATTTACCACCGACTTCACTGTCTCTACTGACTCGCTCTTCAAAACACACGCCAAAAAAGCAAATGTCATGTTTTTACCCCTCGTGTCCCTTGCGCCCTACAACACACTCACCCAATCACTAACCTCAATGTCAATGTCTTGGCTCTCAAAGTGGACCATGCCATTCGTGCCCCGCGATGCCGGCAACGGAGGGGTCCAAGGGTCGAGATACTTTATTATCGAGACGATTCCCTTGGCTTTGGTGTTGTAGATAACTTTTGATATTCAATTCTGTTGTATTGTACAAGACAAAATGACTGTTGTTACTCTTCCCGAACCCTTTGCTAGCATCCCCCGAGAGAACTTTCTCTTCGGCGCATCGCCTCTCCAGCCCCTCCCCAGAATATCCGCTGCTCTCGGCGGAAAGGTCAATGTCTATGCGAAGCGCGAGGACTGCAATTCCGGCCTCGCCTACGGTGGTAACAAAGTCCGAAAGCTAGAGTACGTAACTTCTCCCAAACTCATTCACAGCATAGCTAATCGAAGATAGGTACCTCGCTGCCGAAGCGCAAGCCCAAGGCTGTGATACCCTCGTCTCCATCGGCGGCGTCCAATCCAACCACACCCGCGCCGTAACCGCCGTCGCTACAAAGCTCGGTCTCAAAGCCGCCACCGTCCAAGAACACTGGGTTGATTGGGAAGACCCTGGTTATGAAAAGGTCGGCAACATTCAGCTCTCGCGACTCATGGGCGGTGATGTGAGACTTGATCCTTCGACATTCGGTATCGAGCACAAGACAACGCTTGCCAAGCTCACAGATGAGCTTAAGAGCAACGGTCGCAAGCCCTACTATATCCCCGCTGGAGCTTCAGACCATCCCCTTGGTGGTCTAGGTTTCGCGCGATGGGCATTTGAGGTTGAAGCCCAAGAGAAGGAGTTGGGAATCTTCTTCGACACCATCATCGTATGCGCCGTAACAGGCTCTACATTCGCCGGCATGATCGCCGGATTCAAACTCGCCCAAAAGAACGGTTCTCCCGCGCGCAAAATCATCGGCATCGACGCCTCTGGCAAAGTGCAACAAACATTCGACCAAGTCCTGCGCATCGCCAAAAACACAGCTGCCAAGATCGGTCTCAGCGAGGACGACATCACAGCGGACGATGTGATCCTTGACCCCAACTACAACGCCAAGATCTACGGTATTCCTGACGAGACTACCATCGAGGCTATGAAGTTTGGTGCTGCCACTGAGGCGTTCATCACGGATCCTGTGTATGAGGGGAAGAGTTTGGCCGGCATGATGGATTTGATCAAGACGGGAAAGATTGCGAGCGGGAATGTGCTTTATGCTCATTTGGGAGGCCAATTGGCGCTTAATGCTTATTCTTCCCTGTGATTTTATACATGATAGATTGTTATTTGAGCGTGAATAGAATTGATCGAAAAAATGCCTATTTCTAGAATAGTAAGAGTTTCTGGGAAGCAGGGTAAATTGATAGCCTATGGCACCTTATCATCCATCGTGCTTATTAGAGCTCTCAACCTGTCACCTTTGCATTCCGTCGACTTTCTTCCTTTTGAACTTTCTAATAACTTAAACTCAAGTCAATTCGCAAAAGATACGAAGAATGGGCGATTCTCGAGACACCAAGGCAGCTGTTCTATCTGCTCTAACAGACTTCTTCAACATGTCACCCAAGAGTCCAAAAGATGCCCGCAACCACCTCCTCGAGACCTCTTACGTCATACAGTCCACCCCAGACACTATCGAGCAGACAACACTAGGAGAGCTATTCCTCAGCGACACAAAGCAAAAGGGTCACCTCGAATGGGCCATAGATGAACCTCAAGAACTCTTCATCCATGAGAAGCTCGCCGCAGTCTGGACCGGGTGGTCTATCCGCGCCGAAGATGGTACTATCATCAGCCACAAGAAGGGCATCCTCGGATTAGCTTACACCGATGGACGCTGGAAGATCTCAGGTCTAGCTTCAACAGAGCGCTCTTTGGAAACACCCGACCCAGAGGATGAATCAACCCTGACCCAAGAAATCATGAAACCCATCAACGCTCTTCTAGATGACTTCTCCCACCCAGACTGGGACGTCCTCAAACAGTGGTTTCTTCCCAACGCTGGTGTAACGCTGTACAGACCACCTGCTGAGCCAGCACCTATGACTATGGAGCAGTCCATCGTCCGTCTGCAGGGTATGATCAGGAGTGGTATCACAATCCAGGAAAAGCTTCATGATATCCAGGTTAGAAAACACGGAGATATTGCGCTGGTTTGGGCGCCGTTTGTGGTTGAGATTAATGGGGTGCCTAAACATGATGGTGTTAATGCTTTTACGCTTTTGAGAAGGGAGGGGAGATGGGTTTTTAGTGGATGTCAGGACTATGGTGTTGCTCTTCAGTAAGGAATGACTGCTGGGCTTGCTTCTCGTCATATGTCTGGGTTTGATCTGGTGAATATCTGTGTGAAGGGTGAGGCTGGTCTATTTATTTGGTGCTCTGCCTGGAGGCGATGAATCGGAAAGACTGAAGCGGATGCCTAATTATTTGCGACCGATAGCGTTTCTGTCCGTTTTGTTTGACATCAGATTTCTACACAGGTGAAATAGTGTCTACGCCATAATAAATTTCTCTTGTCCTTTGGGAAGTCGGGTGGCATGGTTCAAAAGGCGCACACGATGCGCATGGGCATGAACCCCCCTCTGCCAGCCAAGATACGGAATGATATCCTTATAGCTCTCTAAAGAACAGCACGTATTACAATTGTGCAGACCACACCTGGGACATTCTCAAAGGGAGTCAAAAGAGGCAGAGTGTGTTTATGCACAGATGCTTTGTTCGGTTATTTGTATCATCACACTTTTACCAACCATGCAGGTACCATGCAGGTACCTTTATGCTGGAAAACACATCTGTTATCTCCTTGGTCAATAAAAATAGGATTGTCATTGGCTAATTATTGTCACATTTGCTCTCCTTTTTTATCTGAACCTCGCACTCTTTCAGCTGTTGCAGCTACTAGCTCTAGAAGCTCAGTGCCACCAAGTTCAAGACGTCAATGTTTACTACTTTAGCCTTTCCCTGTTATTAATCTAGTTGGTTTCTCCTGGCTATTCGCATAATGAGGCATCGCCTAACTGGGTCCTGAACAGGCTGGAGTCTGTGTGCTGCTGGTTTGTTCACGCGAAATCCAAGGACAACAGTAGAACTGCTTGCAGTGAGCTTTGGAACGCCCAGGCCCATGCCACTGGTAGCAATCAATAAGATAACAATCTCTCAAATAGAACAATACTGCTGCATCCCACTTTCTATTTCTATCAACTACCTCAATGACAATTCCTTGACGATGCCACACAAAAGAACGGAATACATAGCAGCAGTCTTTACTTTACTGTCCAAGCCGAATCAAGGTTGTTAAAAGTCTTTCAAGTTTGATTTTTACTGCAAGGCGCAGGAGTTGCACGCTGCATCATTCGCACAAGGCTGCCATCTGTCAGCAAAGTCCAATCATTCACCTCAAGAAATGACAAAGCCTACGAAACTCGATACCATCCATGTGAGCAAAGAGTCAGAAGGCTGGTATTCTTTGTTTTTGAAATTTATTGGCTCTTTCAGCACCTGGGTGCTTTGTTTATTGATAGGTACGCTGAAATAAAGCCTAGGTAGGGAGAGGCTTCCACTGCCATCCTGCAACTAGCACTGCAACAAGCGTCTATCACCTATCACACTCTTTTATATTGTAGTCCCAATCAACCAGGCAACCATTTCTATGCGACTATAAATCTAAATTCCCATCAATATCGAATTCTTCTTCTCTACATAACCTTCGCCCCACTCAACCTTCACTTCAACCAGCACTTAGTATTTCCGTCTCATCCTAACTCATTCACTCCTTTTCATCGCCCAATATGGCAGACATGTCCTACGAAGATACTCAACATCTACTTGACTCTATTACCAGCACGTACTTGGACCATCGTCTGAATGACCACATGGATGACAATGCTACGGAGGAAGTTGACGAAGATACAAAGGTATCTATGCTCATGGACCCCAGCAACTCCAACTTTCAGAACCATCAGGCCCAACATGGAATTGAGAACGAAGGTCTGCTGGCATCTAATCCTTTTGAGAAAGAGTTTATGGACGCATGCAAGGCAGAAAATGCTAGGATCCCGAATTCTTCTGGGTCTGATGCACAGTTGAGTGGTCTTGACAACAGTGGTAGTACTATCGGCGAGTATGTTGTCCAAGGTCCTGTCTCTACTGCTCTCACACCTGCGACTCAGTTCTCTTCGTCCACGAATCCTAAGGACTACCTACCAGAGTCGTTCCAGACACAGCCATATCCGCCACTTAGTAATCAGGCTCAGTCTTACCCTGTCCCGATGGGTCAACCATTCTATGATCAGACGGCCCTTCAGCAAATGCAACCCTTTCCAGTACGACAACCCACTGGCCTTGGCGGACGTCAGATTAGGCAAACTCAATACCCCCAGAAGCAACTCTTCGTCTCCGTGAATAATCAACTTCATCAACCTCTCCCTGGGCAAGTATCTCACCCAGCCTTCCAAGTCTCTCAACCTCACAAACCCCCCTCTCAAGCACCACCTCGCAAAGGCCCTGCCCCCGGCGAACCAACCCGTCACAAGATCCCAGCCAACCCAGCCAACATCAGAGCCCACACTTTAGAGCAGCAGTCACTCCTCTCAGAGCTGGAGCACTTCACCCACGAATACCAGGGCTACATCACGAACCCAGTTCAAGCTCGCCACATAGGCAACATCTTTCTCTCCCTGGCACATCATGAAGTAAAAGTCACTCCGCCAGACATAGATCCCACGTTCCCCCGAACGCACGAAGCGTACCGCGCTCGTGTGCAGGAACTCTTCATGGCTATTGTTGACTGGTCGAATCCTAGGGGATGGCGAACGAAGATGGGATCGAAGCTTGCTGCGCAGTGGATTGAAGAAGTCATGGCCTATCGAAAGAATGTTGGGCTTTCTGTTGAGCCGTCTGATATGCTTGATCACCAAATCGAACCTCCTCTTGATAGGATGCCCCCTGTGAATGAGCAGTGGAAGAATGTCGTTCATCGTCAGTTGTCCAACATTGAGATTGAGATTCTTAGTTCCAAGATTCTCGTAAGACTGTCATCTACAGATTCATAAACTCTGCTGACCTCAGTCATAGGACTCAGCCATGTTGTCACAGCAGGATCGCAACTTTGTTCCGCTTTGGAGCAACGCCGAGTGTCAGTGGGAGCAGTTCGCTAGTTTTGGAGAGCGTTAGGAACGCCTCGTGCACGCTTTTCGAGTAAGTGACCCCCTTTCACTTACCAACCAATAACTAACTTGACTAGGACAACAAGGTTTTGATTCACTCGGCTCTACGCTCATCATGGCTCTCCCGGATCACCAACTCCCCAGTTGCCGAGCTTGTCGTAAGTAGATAACCATCGTTTTGTGATGTGAGTACTAACGGAAGCGCAGCGCAAGGAGAACAATAAGGCCGGTAATGACAAGAAGCGAAATGCCGCTCACCGTCAGAATGGCAAGGGTGCGAAGAGACCTCAGAATGAAGAGAGTGAAGATGAAGAAGAGGGTAGGAAGACGAAGAGGAAGCGAAACTGATCGTTCAATTTGATTGGTGATATGGTTCTTTTGTGCCTATATACGATGGCGATATCGGGTGTTTTGGGGTATTTTCAGGTATGATCTTCGAAATGGTGGCATTTTGGCATCATTGGATGGCATTATAAATAAAGCACCTTGGGGTTCGATTTAGACAGCATAGACCTACACCCGCATGGGATTGACACGCATAGCATGTTAGTTATACCTCGCCAAAGGAACACCTTTTTTTTTTTTTTTTTTTTTTTTTTCAGAACACATAAGGGACTCATGATAGCAGAAACAAATGGGAGAAATTTGTTATCAATTATGGTGTTAAAACACCCGCTTATACCATCCATGTCATATCTAGTCGAGTTGGTCTTCTCAACTACCCTCAATTTTCCTTAACCTTCTTTTTTCATGTTGAATCCCCATCAACGCCAAAATCAAAACACCACTTTTTCACAGCCTACCATCCTCGTCCAGCAAGCTTCTCCTCGGGCTTCATGCTATCGCAGTTAATTCCCACCATAGCCTCGCCAAGCCCCGTGCTAGTCTCGGCCAGCACCTTGGCATCCTTATAGTGTGTAGTCGCACGCACGATAGCCTTGGCCCGCTTCGCAGGGTCGCCAGACTTGAAAATACCGCTGCCGACAAACACACCGTCGCAGCCGAGCTGCATCATGAGCGCGGCGTCAGCGGGCGTGGCGACACCGCCGGCGGCGAAGTTGACGACGGGCAGACGGCCCAGCTCCGCGGTCTGGCGGAGGAGATCGGCGTCGACTTCGAGCTCGCGGGCGAGTTCGCGGATGCGGATTATACCGCCCTCGGCGAGTGCGGCCTTGGCTTGCGCGATTTGCTTGTTGACTGTCTTCATGTGTCGCACGGCCTCGACGACATCGCCGGTGCCGGCCTCGCCCTTTGTTCGGATCATAGCAGCGCCCTCTGCGATTCTTCGCAGCGCCTCACCGAGGTTTCTGCAGCCGCAGACAAAGGGAACACCGAAAGTGCTCTTCTCAACGTGACTCTCGTCATCGGCGGGGGTGAGAACCTCGGACTCGTCGATGTAGTCAACACCAAGAGCCTCGAGGATCTGACACTCGACAAAGTGGCCGATGCGGGCCTTTGCCATGACGGGGATGGTGACGGCTTCTTGGATCTGCTTGATCATGGCGGGGTCTGACATACGAGCCACGCCGCCGTCTTTGCGGATGTCGGCGGGTACTCGCTCGAGGGCCATGACGGCGCATGCGCCGGCTTCTTCGGCGATGCGGGCTTGCTCAGCGTTTGTGACGTCCATGATGACGCCGCCCTTGAGCATCTGGGCGAGACCGGCCTTGACGGTGAAGGAGGACTTGGCCTCGCCGTTGGAGGCGGCACCAGTGTTGGAGGAGTCGTTGGTCATGGTGAAGGTATAGTATGAAGTAAAAGACAAGGTAGTGGGGGTATGAGGGCAAGGTTTGAGTTGGAGAGTTGGAGTGACAAGAGAGGGGAATAGGTAATTATAGGTTTTTTTTTCCCCTACGCAGGTAGAGTCAATGACTAGAAAGGGTATTACTCAAAGAAGAAGTTGACAAGAACAAATCTTAGAGTTTCTCCTAGTCTGACTGCTAGGTACCCCTCCGGCCCTCCGCCTCCGCACCCGGTATACGGCGCCGTGAGTGCGGAGTCAAAAAAGGGTCCAACTATGACACCAATTTACTGCAGCCGCGGCCTCCGAATATGCAAGTCTAATGCGCCATAGCCCCTCTGCAGAGCCCAAAACCCACCGGCATCGAGCTCCGGCCCATCTTTAAGCGCGCCCTACAGCAACAGTAATTGGATGAATCATTGACATGTGCCGATGTTTAGAGGCGGCAATTGTCGGGAAGACGAGGCTCAAAAAGGCCCTTGGCTTTGCAGGTGAGGAGTATCCAAAGAGGGGGATATGCATGCATTGTTCTAGATTCTTGTGATATCATGGATGGAATCATTTGGTAGATCGTAGATAATGTCTCATCTCATCTCATCTCACTCATCTCTTATCTTGCATGAGTTCGCCACGATAAGCCATGTTCACTCTCCTCCATTGTCCACACGTATTGTTCTCTCAGCCCTTCTAGACTCCAGTACCAACAACCTCTAGTAAGTAACTGACTCAATATAGTTCAACTACCTCCTCAACTCTTATTCTCTTAGCCCGGAGAACAATCGGGGTAGTCCGGAGGTACTCTCGCTCTAGCGGCTCCGTCATGCATGCAGCCTACATGCGCTCTAATGCACGTCTTTATCCCTTTTCGGTCACTCCGGTACCCATCACCAGAATCTGGGGAACCTTTCTATCTTGTATGTCACTTGCGAGTGACTAAGATTTTTTTGCCTTCGGTGAAAGGCTCCGAGTTTAAACTGTCCGTTATCGCTCCTTGTCTTTATCATCTCATATTTCTCTGGCAAATCATTGTTGTTGAGAACTCCAAGTCAGAATGATCAGTCTTACGGTCGGTGTCTTGGCCCTTCAGGGTGGTTTTGCTGAGCATATCGATCTTGTTCAAAAGGCCGCAGAGTACCTTTCTTCTACAGAAGGTATTTCCAAGACGAAATTCCACTGTATCGAGGTTCGCACGAAAGAAGAACTCGATCAGTGCAATGCTCTGATCATTCCTGGCGGCGAGAGCACCACTATCTCTTTCGTCGCCGCTCAATCTGGTCTCCTTGAGCCATTGAGAGATTTCGTCAAGTAAGCGGTCCCCGTGTCATAAATGATACAAATACTGACATAGATCAGAGTCCAGAAGAGGCCAGTCTGGGGAACATGTGCAGGCCTTATTCTCCTCTCAGACGAGGCAAATGCTACCAAGAAAGGTGGTCAAGAACTCATCGGTGGTCTCGCAGTCCGCGTTCACCGCAACCACTTTGGTCGTCAAATGGAGAGTTTCGAGTCAGGAATGAACCTCCCCTTCTTAAACGACGATAAACCGTTCCCTGGAGTCTTCATCCGCGCACCCGTCGTGGAAGAAGTCATCGGTTCGTCTGACGATGGACGACCACCAGTTGAGGTCCTGGCCAAATTACCAGGTCGAGTAGATAAGATGAAGTCTGGCGTCTCACAAGCCAATACCAAGGACGATTCAGGGGACATCGTCGCTGTTAGACAGGGTAATGTGCTAGGAACAAGCTTTCATCCTGAGTTGACGAAGGATGAGAGGATACATGTGTGGTGGTTGAAGGAAATTCTCAACCAGCAATAAATACAGCGACATAGACGGCGTTTTGGGACAATAGAAATATTAATTATTATTCGGGGGTATCAACCACTTATTTACTACGTTTCTTCATACTTTGCCCATCGCTGCATCATATCCAGGCGGCGGTGGTGAATGCGCTCGAGCTGGTCCTCTCTGTGAACAAGAGCCAAAGCCCAATATCTGAAGAATCTCAAGATCACCCATCGACTGCGCCAATTCCTGCGGTGAAATACACCCTCCAACATTCATATCAGCGCCGTGTGCTTTCAGAACCCTTAACAACTCCGTATCTCTCCTCGAAATAGCTTGCATCAATGGCGTTCTGCCCTTCTTATCCGCCGCATTAGCGTCAGCGCCAGCTTCGAGAAGAAGCTTAGCCTGATCCCTCTTCCCGTTATCAATAGCGTAGAGCAAAAGTGTCTCGCCGCTGCTCATCTTCTTCTTGGTGTTGGAGCCAGCGGCGAGCATCATTTTCACGAGGTCGGTGTTGCCTGTCTCCATGGCGAAACAGATCGCTGCGACGCCCCATGTTCCGTCTGATACGTTTGGTGAAGCACCGTGGTCGAGAAGCATCCTGACGGCTCGAATTTTCTCGTTCTGTGAAAGTTTGCTGTCGCGGAGGGCTATGACGAGAATTGGGTGGCCGACGAGATCCTTTGCGCTAGCATTGGCGCCATGTTTGAGAAGAAGTTCTGCCATGTCAAGTTTTCTCTTTGCAATAGCGTCCGCGAGAACAGATAGTCCACTCAAGTTCTTTGAGCTTGCGTTTGTTCCACTTTCAAGAAGCAGCTTCATCATATCCATACGATCCTGGCTCGCTGCGATAGACAATAGCGAATTGCCAGACAGATCGCTAGTGTCTGGATTCGCGCCATGTTGAAGCAGCATCCTAGCAAGCTCCAAGTTACCCTTCTTGACAGCCTGTGCAAGAACCGGTCGTCCAGAGGTGTTCGTGGTGTTTGGCTTCGCACCGTTGTCCAAAAGAAGCTGAATACCCTCCAAATTCTCACTGTTGCATACATCGACAAAGTATGATTGTCCAGACCAGCTGGCAGCGTTAACGTTCCATGTGCCCTGGTCGATGAGCATCTTTGCAACGCCAATGCTTCCAACTGATGCGGCCAGGAAGACCGGTGGAATCTTCATATCTCTGCCGTTGGTGTCGGCACCAGAACCGATAAGAAACCGCACAGCGTCTTCTTGATTGGCCAGGATAGCACAGCCCAGAGGCGAATTGCCTTCTCCGTTTCGTCCGTTGATGTTCGCTCCTTGTGCGAGTAAGCCGCTCATTTGTTGAACATCACCGCGAAGAGCCGCTTGACACAGAGCTGTGGATAAAGGATCAGGCTTAGGCCAGAGACCAGCTGTCATGGCCTTGAACGAGTTTGTCAACGAAGACAGACCTTTAGCAAACCCTGAAGATCCACTTGGTGATTCGCAGCTCGGCGATTGAGCTGAAGAAGGCTGTGCTGGTTCATAAGGCGGAGGTTCGATATCGCCAGGAAGAGGACCTTTACTACTCGATGCATAAGAGTCGTTCTGCGATCCAGTGAAAAGAATATCCTTTGTCTGAGAAGCCTTTTGACAAGCTCTGTTAACATGATCAAAGATCTCTCTTCCACTCTTGGTATCGAGAGCAGAATCTTGATCATCCCGAACTTTGCTAGCACATCATGAATAAACGTTCACACAGCGAGATGAGCACCACTCACATCGACAGCACTTTTGCGAAGAACGCAAAAAGCCGGGAAAACGCAACAACAGCATCACTATAAACCACCAAAAACACCTCATCCAACAACGGCAGCGTCTCGGCCTGCAGTCTCATGACCTGTTTATTCAACACAGTCGCGACAACATCGCACGATCCAAGACTCTGACTTATCGTCGTCTGCAATCGACCCGAGATAGCGCTGGCGCTATTCAGCGCAGTCTCGAGAACGCCCACATGCTGATGGAGCTGATACAACCTCGTCGCGAAAGAGGACAATCGCTCGTCGGGTACTTCTAGCGCAGTGTTTAATTCATTGAGCTCTTCGGCGCTGGACAACACACGGTGAGAAATACTCGAGCCGAGCGAGGTAAGTGAAATAACCGAGAAGCCGTCTCCGTCCATTGTATGTGGGGAAAGTTAAGAAGGGTTGAAGTGGGGGATTGTCAGATCGACTGAGGGCAGGCTTCAGTCTACTGCTATATAACCATGGAAACTACATCACTGACTGCCTATTCCCAGTAGGGCTGATAGCGGGAGACAAAAACGCCTAAGAAGGCTGAGAATGATTCAAATGCGCGTCGTGTGCTGATTACGCGGTCTGTTGACTGCGACACGCACGTGTATATCACATCACAGACGAATAGAGACATAGCTTTGGCTTGGCTGCCTCTTTTGAGGCTGTAAACTAGATCCTACGGCCAACTTGACAGGGATATAAGCTCTGCGGTGATAGGTGCGGAGATGCCGTAACATGACGACCTGCCTCATTGATTTGGTAGATAATGCAGTTGGAGCTGTAATAGGTTCTGCTTGTTATGGACGACCTATTTTCTTATTCAATCATCGCTTACGCCATCGATCATTATACCCTGCATATCCACGTTGCTAACCCCAGACTCTCTCGTATCTCGTATTCTCTCGCTCTCTCTTTATTTGGGGCTCACGGGCTTGGATTTTACACCCTCGATAGGTTGTTCCTTTGCTTTCTCGGGTCGAGACATAAGGAAGAAGAAACCTAGACCGATCGCAAGACCAACACCTCCCAACATCACGATCTGGGAGCTATTCATCATGAGCCACGTCTCTAACTCTACCACAGCACAACTTACTTGTCACCCTTGCTCACGGGTTTATTTTGAGATTTCGGCCCAATAGGTTCCTTCTCATTGTGTCGAAGTAATCTCGTTGTGCGAAAGCCTCGCTGGATAGGAAGAGAGGGCCTCAAGGCCATTGAAGATCGAGAGATACGTGCAGACATGGTGTTGATGTGTCGTTGAAGATGGATTCTTTATTGTTCCACTGAGGTTGACAAGGTGAAGTTAGGTATGACAGAGTGAGCAGCTACTTACCCAGGCATGTTTACCTTATTAAAGAAGTACAGATTATTGATGACGTTCTAGTCGACATGTTTGGCGGCCAAAGGTGAATCAACAGTGGGACTTCTTTGATCGTGGCGTCATTGATGCGTACCTGCAATCGACCACTTTCATCATTTCTGCAGAATAATTAGGACATTTCCACTGCGAGGCGCACTAATTAAACAGTCGGACGTTAGGTCAGTGTCGGTTTATGTAAGAAGTGGCTGAACGGAAAGGCGAAATCAACATTACTTACCTTAAGAAATCCGTCATGAGGCTCTATCAGATCATCACATCAATGTTCCCCTCAATATCATCAACAGCTCTGACTTGCTCATGCTTTGTCAATCACATCACATAGCTTTTTGGTACAGCACAGACTCTTAACTCGCTCAATGATTAAAATAAATACGTAAAATTTCCGTTCTATGATGCCCCTAACGTCTATGCCTGCTTTTTTCCCCAAAAGTTTTCCATCCCAACCCCCGTCCCCTCACTCACTCATCCTCCCTCCAAACAGCAAATCATCAGATCAACTGTCCGTACCTAATATCGCTTGGGTATCAAACATTATTCGTAAAATCCCCATGCACCAGACGCATTTTGACGGGTGGGACCATCGGTAGAAAGGAGGTTTGTCTTGGTTTGTTGTTTTGTTATAAATATGGTTATGATTTGATAGATGGGAGTGCCGGTTCCTGGCGAAAAGAAATACGCCTTTCTGAACCGTTTAAAAAGTCGAGACGGATTGGGATGGGATGTTTCCGGCCGTTCGATAGAAGGGAATCTCTGTTGGGGGCTGAGGCATGTCGCGGGCGACCTGCATCGGCATCGTGCGCTTTGGCACGTCGCTGGGCCACGGGGTCATCGTGAGCAGCTTCCTCTAGTTTATATCCAATACTCAGATATGCTGTATCCAACTACCGCGAAAAGATTCGAAGAGACATATCTACACTTCCTGTAGCAATGACACAGCGGATCTGCACATCTTGAGGTGCCGCCGCCGCTTTCTTGGGAGTGCCCACATCACCATTGGCCTCCTCAGTCGGACCCTTGTCCTTGATAATAGGCGGCGCCCATCTCAGACTTGTAATGAAATGTTCGTGGGCTCCTTCAACGGTCTTGACACACTTTCCTTCTTGGCTCAGATCCCAGCATCGAATCGTCTTGTCATCGGATACGGAGAGAAGGAATTTGCCGCTTGGATGGAACACAAGGCCTCGAACCCAGTTGTCATGACCTACCAGGGTCTTGATACAGGTTCCTCGGCCATCCCACAACTTGATCGTCTTATCTCTGCCACCGGTCGCCATGAACTCCGCCGTGCTGCTTGCTGGGGGCGCCTTCTTTACTCCGGCGAGAGTAGCCAAGTGCGAGTATGCTGCTGGTGGCGCAAAGGTACAGCATTCGACGAAATGCTCGTGCCCAATCATGACGAGCTTGGCTTCAGGATTTGGTACTGAAATATCCCAGAGTCTCACTGTTCGATCGTTACCAGTCGATAGTAGGTATTTTCCATCCAGCGACGGAGCGACATCACGAATCCAGTCGACATGCCCTCTTATCGTCTTGACGCAATACCCTGTCGTGACATCCCATATCCTCACTGTAACATCTCGACTAGCGCTCGCAAGCAGATTTCCAGATAACGGTGCCCCAGGAGCTCCGGAGGGTATAAATCGGACTGCGCTCACACTATGGTCGTGACCGGGTAGTGTGCGAATATTTTGGTACTCGTTCGAAGGATCCCATAGCTTGATAGTTAAATCGGAACTGCAAGACGCAAGCAGCGTATGACCTTTCGGACCACCGTAGTCGAGATCGAGAACCGCTTTGGTGTGACCTTTCACCGTCCTTTCAAGCTCGCCAAACTCCCAATCCCAGATCTTGATAGTGGCGTCTTCATCTCCGGATGCGATAGACGAAAAGATCGGATGAAAGGCGACGCAGTTGATGGGCGTTCGATGCGATTGAAGGACGTGTCGTGGGGGACCGGCTGGGAGCCAAGAAGATGGATCTCCTCTTCGGTTAGAGAGAGATGTCGGTGTAGCGCTATTAAGTTCTGTCTGAAGGGCGTTGTTCTGTGCTTCTAGATCCATGATCTACGAATCGCTCCATTAGCAACGCCACGATACGCGCATCTGCTGCCGTACCTTTTTTTGTAACCGCACGACACTTGTCCATTTCTTCTCCAGCAGCGTCTCGTATTTCTTCGCGGTAGCCGTATCGAAAGCATCCTCTCCAAGACTGAGCTCCGTCCTCATGGCATTGGCGCTTTCTTGTAGGTTATTTGCGGCGAGGTAGGCGATGATGGATTTATGCCTGCAGCAGTGTCAGATGGGCAAATCAAAGCTCCAGAAGCTCCCCTGTACGAACAGCTCCTCGGCCTGCCGGCTCGTCAACGTCCGGCTCATGATGGCGGTTTGTATCGCTCCGCTCAAGAGAGCACTAGGGTTCCCAAGATCTTGTGTCTACTGTATTTCCAAGAGTTGAGTTTGTTATCGTTGGGTGTTGGGAAAAGGAGTATGCGAGATCGGTTCGTGGAGAAAACGGCGGGGGAGGGGCGGCAGGAAGTTTTGGTGGGAGCTTCGTTTCGTGACGTGTCTGTGGAGGATGCGCTGAAGAAAGAGATGATTGCTGTAGAATTGTTGACCAATGGGGCGCTTGATTGGGGATTGCTTAAAGGCGGTAAGACGCAGGGGGACAAAGGAAATATCAACAGCTAAACCGGCTTCATTGAAATGCGCAGCGCAGAGTAACACGGTCTCGCCAGGGGCATCAACATCGATATCCAAAGAGCGGTGCAGCTAGCCTGAGATGAGCCGCTGCCCAAGATCACGTGGAGATAAGATAGGCCTACCCTGTATCCACTGCATTGATAATTC